TAGTTAATTAGTACAAGTAGTTAATCAGTACAATTAGTTAATTAGTACAAGTAATTAATGGGGAAATAATACAATAATACACGTTATACGTTAGAGATCATGTAGAAGGGACCTGGTTGACGAGATGAGGTGGGCCATTGTGTCGGGATACATTTCGTAGACTAGGGTAGAGTTGATGGGGGCTCTTTCCCCATGTTCTCCACACAGGTTCAAACAACATTGTAGACAAAGTCTGATTTCCTCCTGGTCATTTAGCTGGTTGAGGCTGCAAGTATTCTGGACCACCGTCATTTTCCCCTTTGGCTGGATGGTTGGATGATTAGGTTTGCGATTTTTGTGCAATGGTTCTTCTTCCTTGGAGACTCTTCTTGAACGACGGCGCTTACGATTATTGTCGTTGTCGTCGTTCTTTGCGTCTTCAATCAACTTATTCCACTCGTCAGCCTCGCTTTTGGATTCATTCGGGCCCAGATCGTGTTCGGCAAGAAGCTCTTTTTTAGGTCGATTGGTGATTTCTTCGTAGGGAGACGATTCGGGAGTTAATAATTGACTTATGGGGATTTTGTTGAAAGACTCAAACGTGGCTTCTTGCTTGATGGTTGGAGTGATTGGTTCAATTGACTTTAGTTTTGAATCCATTGCATCGGATGACGCAATGGTATGAAACCTATGACGCTTATTATCAATGATACAATATTGATAAGATATTTTGGTTCGACATATATCACATAAATCGTCTTCGTAATCTTCATCTTGGTCATTGTTATCTTGAGGGAAATAACCTAATTGTTCGTCTTCGAATTTTCTTTCTTTGAAAAATTTTGGTTGGAACTTGATTATGAAGTTTTTCTTAATTTTATTGAATTGATCAAGTTTATTCGTTTGGGCTTGGTAGAAAGATTCATAACTCTTAATGCATCTTTCCACTAAGTTGATTTCCTCTTTGGTTAACTGAATCCCCTTCACCTTCTTTCTTTGGAAATCGTGTAGGATATTTTCAACTAATTGATAATGGTCGAAAACATTCTCCTTTTTAATCAGCTTATAATCGTGGATTGATTGTTCACCAAACTCTAACCATTGGGGCATGGCGAAATTAACCGCCTCGTTGAAATTGAACCCGCTATTGAATCCAGCATGGTAAACGCGTGGGTACGTCACTATGAATTCATTGGGTTGTTGATCGGCGTACATTACCGGGATTCCATTTTTAACTAGGGTCATTGGTGATAATAAAGTGACTAGCTGATGAAGTAAATCCGGTTGTCTTTTGAATAAATCGGGAGCAGAATCTTTCATTAATTTTTCAAAACTGTTAGCATAACTGGAGGGGATTCCATACCACTTTTTAGTAGCTCCAAAATGACAGTAATTTGCTGATAACGTATAATGATCTTCCACATGCCAACAAAATGTGGAAAGTAAGGACCCTATATATATCCACGGAATTGTCATTCCAGAAATTGACGTATTTATATAATTCAACAAGGAGCCGGGTGCAAATGGGAGTTTTGTTAAATTACAAGGATGTTTAATATAAGATTCAAAGTTTGAATCAATTTTAATATTAGGAGTGTTTGACATGGGGAATCCACTTATTTGACCCGGTCTTAAATTATGTATATCGGCCCCATATTTAACTTCCAAATCATTTTTTTCAATATCGATAAATTCCCAAAATTTTTTTTCAATTAAATCAATGGTTAATGGTTGATTGTTATTATAAATTTGTTTAAAGCTTGATTCAAAGTCCAAACACATTTGATAAAATTGCGGCAAGGTATATTTTATCTCTACCGGTTCTTCGAACCCGTATTCCCCAGTTCCAATCAAACATTTATCACAGTACCAAGTTCCGCTTGGTATGGAAGTAAGTGGAGGCGACAAGCATCTCATATGAAATGGATTATTACAATTATCACATAATAATGTTGTTGTAGGCAGGTTATTTTTCCCACAAACTAAACAATTGGCAGAATCATCTTCCAGATCACTTTCTGGGAACTCATACGATTTATTGGAATTAGTAGAAAGAAATTGGGCATAAGACTTAATATTAAGTTCGTATTGGATATTTAAATCTTTAAAATCGGTTGGTAGCCCAAATTTTAAGTTAATTCTACTCCATATATCATCATTTAGTCTATCAGGACCGCCATGAGATTCCACTGATGAATAAAGATCATAATAGTATATTTTCTTATCATCGACTTTAAAATAAGAATTTATTTGCTTCTTTCTTCTCATTTTCAAAAATCTATTAATATTATTAATGAAAAATTTTCTACTTCTTGTAGTCAACCCTAAATCACTTAATTTCTGATGACGGGTATGAAATTTGAAATCACTAGATAACAGAAAGGGTGGTTTCCACCCATCAGGAGGAATAACCTTCACCAAACCATATTTTGAACCAACGGCAGCGATATCCGGCCTCGATAAGTATTCAATAGGACTTGAAAACTCCTCAGCACTAGGCCTGAAGATCGGACAGGCAGTCAATAAGCTTTTATCAAAAGATAATGGCATTGAATTAAAATCCCGATAGCAACAATATTAGCCAGCGAAAAAACTGGAAAATGATATAAAATCGTCCTGAAACCCACCAATCCGGTATTAAAACCAACTGAACTAACCTATAAACCCGGTGATAAGTTGGTTACTAGAGTGTATTTATCAAAATATCCGATTTCACTTATCCAGTGATAAATCTTGTTCTACAGCAAAAGAAGCAAAAAAGCAAAAACGAAAGAGCCTGGACTGTTGTACTTTGGACAGAATAACTAACCTAGTTCAAGTATATAGTATACTTCTCGATGAACAATCTTTATTCCTAAAAAACTGTAGGAAAAGAGAAAGAAGTTGAAAAACGGTTTTGGTTTTAGTTCGGTATACTACTTTCTCATAAGTAGCAGCATTTTTTGTTCCCTTTTTCTTCTTTTATTAGACATGGTCGCACTAATCTCACCTGAAATCTTAATCAGTCCATGTCATAACTAGTATTCTACAGTCGGTGCCTAGTCAGTACTGCAGTCGGTGCCTAGTCAGTACTGCAGTCAGTACTCCAGCCAGTACTGCAGTCAGTACTGCAGTCAGTACTCCAGCCAGTACTCCAGTCAGAACCGTTTACAGCCACCTTCAACACTTCCTCATTGTATCTTTAGCTTGATGAGTTCTACGACTGCAAGGGCCTTTACTTGCCTTATCGCCGTGACTCCATGTATTCCTCAATTCTCACGCTTTCTTGATTCTTTTGCTATTCGTTAATTCTTATACTACTCTTCCTTATACTCTATAGTTTGTATCTTGTATAGTTATTATTGGATATCTTATCGATTGTATAGGGAATGCGAAAGCGAGCAGGGATTTTTTCGTTCAAGTATAAAGCACTAGCTTTTCGATGAAAAATTGAATACTTTTCAAGATATCAAGAATGAAAGACTATACTATTGCGGTGTTGGGCTGTGGGAACTTGGGTTCTGCGGTGACCAATGCCATTCTCAACTCCAGTTTCGAACCATATCCTGCTAAAATCATCTGTTGCACCAACAGTGAAAAAAGTGCAGAAAACGTCCGGGCCAAATTTGACCACGAAATAATTGAAGTTAGCCACGGAATTGACTCGAATAAGGCTGCTGTTGCTAAAGCCAATATCATTATTCTTGGATGTAAGCCTTACATGTATCAGACTGTTTATGAACAAGTGAAGGATTCTTTGAATGGGGAACAATTACTTATTTCGTTATTAGCTGGTACTACAACTGACGAATTAAGTATTTTCACTCCATACGTTGCCAAGGTTATGACCAACACCCCGGCACAATATGGATGTGGTATGGCTGCCGTTTGTTTTTCAAAAGAAGCAGAAGCTAAGTATAGTGAACTTGTAATGAAGTTAATTCAACCAATTGGGAGTGCAGTTCAAATTGTGGAAAAAAATATGGATGCTGCCACTGCTTTAGTTGGATCAGCACCAGCCTTTGTCTTACTCATGTTGGAATCCATGATTGATGGTGGGGTCAGAATGGGTTTGCCATTTGACGTTGCTAAAGAATCAGCAATAAAAGTAATGGAAGGTACTGCTAAAATGGTTCTGGATTCGGGCGAACACCCAGCAGTTTTGAAAAGTAAAATCTGCACTCCTGCCGGTACTACCATCGGTGGATTAGCAAAATTAGAAGACGCTGGAGTCAGAAGTGGGATCATTAGAGCCATTGAAGAATCTGCTCTCATTTCAGCATCATTTTCTAAAAAAAAATAATCATTATATTAACACTATATATATATATATATACGTATCTATTCTATTTCTTATCGGCATTTGGAAGACTCATGAATGCAGTGAGATCAGATGGTGTAAGTTCAATCCCTTCTTTTTCTAAAGTATCTTTAAGTCCCTTGATTTTATCCTTAACATCGTCATGCGATATAAGCTTAACCATTTGCATTATCGATGGTGGTTTCCCTGAACTGAAATCAAACCCCTTTTCACTCAATAATGTTTGAAACTCTCTCAATTGTGCCTTGAGTTCAGAACTATCTCTGATTTTACTAACTACTTCTGCAACCCTTTCTTCATCAGATGCTCCTTTGCCAAACCCAAACGCCCTTATAGGCTCTATTCTATATACTCCTCTTGGTGCTTGTCTGGCTATAGCAATTCTTCTGCCTAATACCCTTCTAATCATATCTAAACTCGTATAACTTGTATAACTTGTATATCCAAAGAGATCGAATGGCTTTCTCTTAACGGACTTTTTTTTTCAGTTACTCCACGAGTCGTGCGCCCACCGCCAATAATGGGATTTTTGCCGTTTCCAGACACGACTAGTCTCAGTTTCTGAAAGAACAGAAAAAAATCAACAAGTTTTTCCAGAGGGCAAGCCATTCTATCGACTATTTGATAATATATATTTTGTGTTTTTAATATTAGCTTTCTTTAATTAGAATCAATAGCCCCAGCCAAATCCATCCAACATGTCTCACGAAGGTCAAGAAGAATTGTTAGATTACTCTGATTCCGAAGAAATCGCCGTCCAAACCACTGGTGCCACCGCTGAAGGTGAAGCCGCCAATGGTAAAGAAGCCGACAAGAAAGGCTCCTATGTCGGTATTCATGCCACTGGTTTCAGAGACTTCTTACTTAAACCAGAATTATTGAGAGCCATTGGTGATTGCGGTTTCGAACATCCTTCTGAAGGTTCGTATACTTTTATTCATTCCAATCAAGGAATTGTTATAAGTTGATAATTAGACTTGATCAACTTCAATGAGGTTATTGTTTTTTTCAACTGGTGTCAGTTGTTGTTGTTACATCTATTACCTATTTGGCAATGCCAAACCAATCTTGGAGAATCTGTTATTCCATGTATGAACTTCTTTTCAGAAGTTTTCTTCACTTTAGAAGAAACTTCAACTTGTCATTGAATGTGACACATATCAGATGAAATACTGAATGTTGAAGGTACTGGAATGTTGAAGGTACTTTTTGAATCCTTTTTTTATTTTGTTTTTACAATACAAAAAAAGATAATCAGAACGATTAATATTGGATGTGTTAGGTATGAAACAACGCGTTGTTTCCAATAGAATGTATTAACAACAGACTGGCCTGTTTGAATAAACAATTAGCAAAAGTCAATTATCCTTATATCAATTCTCTTGAGACGATAAAACAACATAAACTAACGTTAACCCTTTTTTTTTAGTCCAACAAGTTTGTATTCCACAATCTATTTTGGGTACTGATGTTTTATGTCAAGCCAAATCAGGTTTAGGTAAAACCGCTGTTTTTGTTTTATCTACTTTACAACAATTAGATCCAGTTCCAGGTGAAATTTCAACTTTGGTTATTTGTCATACCAGAGAATTAGCTTATCAAATTCGTAACGAATACGCTCGTTTTTCTAAATATATGCCAGAAGTTAAAACTGAAGTTTTCTATGGGGGTACTCCAATCTCTAGAGATTTGGAAAAATTGAAAAATAAGGATACCTGTCCACATATTGTTGTTGCTACCCCTGGTAGATTACATGCTTTAGTCAATGAAAAAGGTATTAGATTAAGTAACATCAAATCCTTTGTTATTGATGAATGTGATAAAGTTTTAGAATCTATTGATATGAGAAGAGATGTTCAAGATATCTTCCGTAATACTCCTCATCAAAAACAAGTTATGATGTTTTCTGCTACTTTATCCCAAGAAATTCGTCCAGTTTGTAAAAAATTTATGCAAAATCCATTGGAAATTTATGTTGATGATGAAGCTAAATTAACCTTACACGGTTTACAACAATATTACATCAAATTAGGTGAACAAGAAAAGAATAGAAAATTATCTGAATTATTAGATTCTTTGGAATTTAATCAAGTTATTATCTTTGTTAAATCTACTCAAAGAGCTAAAGAATTAAATAAATTATTATGTGCTTGTAATTTCCCATCTATTGCTGTTCATTCTGGTTTAAAACAAGAAGAAAGAATTGAAAGATATAAATCTTTTAAAGAATTTAACAAACGTATTTGTGTTTCTACTGATGTTTTCGGTAGAGGTATTGATATCGAAAGAATTAACTTGGCTATCAATTACGATTTACCAAATGAAGCTGATCAATACTTACATAGAGTTGGTAGAGCTGGTAGATTTGGTACCAAAGGTTTAGCTGTTTCTTTAGTCTCAACCAAAGAAGATGAAGAAGTTTTAGAAAAAATTCAATCAAGATTCGATGTCAAAATCACCGAATTCCCAGAAGAAGGTGTTGATCCTTCTAGTTACATGAACACTTAGATTTAGTTATCTTTTCTTTTTTTACCTCTCTCTTATTGTTGTTATCAAGATGAAAAAAAAAAAAATTGTTTAAGACCATTTTTATTTCCTGAAAAGAGAATTCATGTATGATTATATATATCTAATAAAATTGTTTCAAATGCTATAAGTAATGTTAGATGCAAACGTAAGAGCTAGAAATAGTATTGCAGACACGTTGTGTCTATGACTCGATAAACATATTCGAGATCCAGTTTAGGAATGAGAAACCATTCAACATGAATGTTGTAGGTGCCCTTCTTGAACGATTCCTGTTTATGTTTCTTGAATAATCTCAATAGTTTCGAAGCATGTTCGGCTTCCTCAACTGTTTTTGTATTCTTCTTACAAGCAGTACAGAGTACATCTCCACTACCGTATTTATCTCTTAATATTTGGTGAATTTGAGTTTCAGCCTGTAAGATCGAATTAGGTGCATAGAACCCTTGATCGCGTACCCGAAGAGTTTTATACTGGCTGGGTTGAGTTGTAGTTGTAGATGTTACTTGAAGCTTTTTGAATTTCAGTATCAATCTACTTACACCCGAGCCACTAGACTCCGAAGTGGAGGAGAAAAGAGGGCCGAACCGATCCATTGAAGAAGATAGAACAGACTTGTTGAGCCCGGAGTTATGCAGATTGGGGATCAAACATGTCAAACCATGCTGGCATTGATTTTCCCATTGTTGAAGTCTTTTTTCAACTGTTTGGGTAGTCATTCCTACTTTGATCAAAGTATACGGATGTTTCCTATAATCAAAGGGGAGCCATTTGTCTTTGTCCTTAGAAGAAGTATTGGGGATGTTTCTTACCTTGAGCCACAGTTCATTGTTTTTCTTTTCATTTTCAATTAAACTAGTTAAGGTATAGACATAGATATATCCTGGTTTATTATGATGCTTAGGCGAATTAGTATTCGAAGGTTTATGCGAGTATGCAAGTACAGGCTCTGAGGCCAGAGGACGTTCATGAAAGGCCTCGCTAACCTTTTCATGGAGTTTACCGTTTATTCTACCCAGTAGATTATTCGCTTGATCCTGATGATAATGACAATAATCTCGAGAACCGCGTACTTTCTTCTTGCATCGAACACCCTTCTGTGTAAGACCACAGCATTGGTATTGGTAAGGTGTGTAAGAGCCAGACTTTTCTTTCGAATCAGTGGTCATTAGCACATAGTTTGATTCCTCTGGCCTTTTCAATTGAAAAAATGCTTTTCTTCTGCTTCGCAAGCAGTTTCTGGGAAGAGGTATTGACGCCACACGTGAAAAGTCGCAAAAAGCCAGAATCACCAAAATCGATTGCAACATCTCACAGTTTTGGCAATTTGCTTGATTTACAAGGAAAATGGTGGACGGAACGGGTGACGGGGCATCTGCTGACTAGGTTAGCGGTGAATAAAGAATGGGGTTTGCATTTGGTGACAAGATGAAATTATATAAATAGTTGAGAAAGTCTCCACCTTTCACCATTATACTTTTCTCTTTTCTTCTTTAGCTTTAATAAATATGTCATATCACTTTGATACTCTTCAATTACATGCTGGTCAGCCAGTGGAAAAACCACACCAAGCCAGAGCACCACCAATCTATGCCACTTCTTCATATGTATTCAATGATTCCAAACATGGGGCCCAATTATTTGGATTAGAAACCCCGGGTTACATTTACTCCCGTATAATGAATCCTACCAATGATGTTTTTGAACAAAGGATAGCAGCTTTGGAAGGTGGGGTTGGTGCTTTGGCTACATCGTCTGGACAAGCAGCCCAATTGTTGGCCATTACTGGCTTGGCTCATCTGGGTGATAATATCATTTCAACTTCGTTTTTATATGGAGGAACTTATAATCAATTTAAGGTTGCTTTCAAAAGATTGGGGATCGAGGCTCGTTTTGTTAATGGTGATGCCCCAGAGGATTTTGCTAAATTAATTGATAATAAAACAAAAGCCATCTACCTTGAATCCATTGGTAATCCAAAGTATAATGTACCTGATTTTGAGAAAATTGTTGAAATTGCTCATTCTAATGGTATTCCAGTGGTTGTTGATAATACTTTTGGTGCAGGAGGGTTTTTGGTTAAACCTCTTAGTTTAGGTGCAGATATTGTTGTTCATTCTGCTACTAAATGGATTGGTGGTCATGGTAATACTATAGCTGGGGTTGTTGTAGATGGTGGGAAATTTCCTTGGAAAGATTGGCCAGAAAAATTCCCTCAATTTTCGAAACCTTCTGAAGGGTATCATGGTTTGGTTTTAAATGAAGCTTTAGGTAATGCTGCCTTCATTGGTCATGCTAGAATTGAATTATTACGTGATTTGGGACCAACTTTAAATCCATTTGGTGCTTTCCTTTTAATTCAAGGTTTAGAAACTTTATCTCTTCGTGTCGAAAGACAATCTTATAATGCTTTAAAATTAGCCCAATATCTCGAAAAATCCCCATACATTAGTTGGGTTAGTTACTTGGGTTTACCTTCTCATAAAGATCACGAAAGAGCAAAAAAATATTTCAACCATAAAGATATTTTTGGTGGGGTTCTTTCATTCGGTGTTAAAGATTTAGATACTAAGACTGATGATCCTTTCCAAGAAGCTGCTGCTCAAGTAGTTGACAATTTAGAGCTTGCTTCTAACTTAGCTAATGTTGGGGATTCAAAGACTTTGGTTATCGCTCCTTGGTTCACTACTCATCAACAATTAAACGAAGAAGAAAAAGTCGCTTCGGGTGTTACCAAAGATTTGATTAGACTTTCAATTGGTACCGAACATATCGATGATATAATCAACGACTTTGAACAATCTTTCAAAAAAGTTTATAAAGCTTAATTAATTTCAGTTCTCTCCCATTTATTTTAGAATCATATATTATCGTTATTTATTTTAAATGTAAAAAAAAGAGTTTTTATCTACGTCTAAATATTTTGAACAATGCAAATATTGCAGCCAAATCACAAAGTACCATTAGCCAAAGCAATAATTGACCCCAGCCATATTCAACTTTTGCAATTTCGTATGCTTTGAAAAACAAATCTATAGAATGAAACGTTCTTAATTGTAAGATGTTACGTCCTAATAATATTCCCAAATGAACAATTAGTATAGTAAACATACCACCGTACAAAACATTGGACACTATTTTATTATTAGCTTTAGTACCTTTAATACTTCTTCTTCTTTCCATGAAAAAAAGGGAAACTAATAATATAACAGCAATGATTGAAATCGAAATGGTATAATTTGGGATTTTAGACATTAATTCACCAAATGATCTAATAGATTTAAGATGGTGAGCAGCATTAAGTTGTTCCATTTTCAAGCTATTTGATTCAGTCTCATTATTAATCGCTGTATAATAAAGGGCATCTAATAAGTCAACAATATTAGTATAAGTTGAAACCATAGAATCACGCATTTCTTGTGAATCATTTGCGCTACCACCACCAACTTTACCTAATTGTATACCGATATCAGCAGCCAAACTAGAAAAAATATCAAGACCATGACCATTCGAACAATACTGTTCTTTGGAGTCACTATTATAACGGCAAAATCCATTTGAATTAAACTTGTAAAGTTTATTTGTGGAGAAAGTATCAATGGTATTCATATAATCTACATTTGATTGTAAATCGTCATTGGAGACACCGAGATCAGTAGCCAAATAAGAAACCATTTTAAGACCTTCTCTAAGGGTGGATAAAGTTAATTTAGCCTTGAGAGTATCATCAGTTGGTTTGATTGTCATTTGGGGAACACATGCTAAACCATCTTTTTGACAGGAACTTGAAACACCAAAATCAGTCGATAATACAGCAATAAGAAACACCAATATGATAGTGAAACCCCCAGTCAATTTTGAGAAAAAGGGCACTTTGAAATGGTTCATTTCTTCCTTTTCTTGTAGTTCTTCCATATCTTCATGAGAAGTTGCAGACAACGGCACTTTAGATTCTTCATCAAAGTTATAGGCTGTTTGTTGATTCAACTCTACATCCTGGAAGCTTCTACCACTGTAGTCAATATTTTTTAGTATATCTTTTTCATCTTTCGGATAGGGAGTGCTTCTGGCAATAGAACTCGAGCTTCTATCATAATCCGAGTCTGATTCTTCAAAAGTATCGGTGTCGAGATGTATACGGTTTTCGAAGAGCATTTCCACCAGGGTATCAAGAGATATAAAGAGATCAATGGGTATAAAGAGATCAATGGGTATTAAAGATTGGGTATCAAGAAAAAAAGTGAAGGGTATTAGAAAAGGAGTGAATTTTGGTTGGTATCAAGTAAATAGGGTCCGGAGAATATATTCCAAAATCATGAATAAGCTAGATAATAATATTCATATATATATATATATATACTGCTGTCTATCACTCGTGTAATGGATCCACAAATTGCAAAAAAAAATTATTGTCTCAAAGCAGTTTTATGTGCACAATTTATTTTTGTTTTCTCTATTTTAGTAGTGGAAATCTTACCCACTATGCTTATAGAGTGAAGATATAAGCAGACAATTAGCCAGATTGCCAGAATAGGTAAGTGGAGCACATCCTCGAGGCTAGCTGCGTTCAAAAACGTTATGGGGCATAAGCTACTAATTTAGCCAGTTGCTAAGCAGAGAAAACGAGAGTAATGGGAAGGTGTAGAGACTGAGTAGGCATATACAATTCCAGACACCATCTTTTGAGCTAAGGATGAGTTGTTCGAAAGCCTATCTATTGACGTGCTTGGAGGGGGCTTTCCGTGATCAAGCTTCAATGACAGAAGCATTAGAGTTGGACTAAAAATTTTTAGGCGATCAAAAGATGACTTCCTAATACGGAAAAAAAAGTTTTTTTGATCCAAATGTTGCACTAAACAAGGCTGTAAAAGCTTTACTTCATGGTAATGTATTGATTTATACAATGATTTATGCAAAGATGTATTGTCAAAGATTTATTTAAAAATGAAACTTTAAAAAGTGAAAAGAAACTCCCCAAAAAAAAAGATAATAAAAGAATTGAATACTAAGAAAATGGAACACTAAAAAAAAAAAGGTATGAGTGGTTGAATTTACTTATATAGATGGTTAAGGTAGTCACTGTTGTCCAAAAGATTTGTTTCTGCTTCATTGAGTAGGGAATCATTCAAGGAGAACCGGTTGTTTTTATTATTTTGAGCATCGGTATTAACTGTTTTGTTTAGTAATTTACTTGATTGTAAAAATGGATTATTTTTAGGGTTATGATGATAATATCGATCATCACCAGGAGGTTTTCTACTTGGAGATCTCGAGTCAGCATGAGAGTCAGGAATGATTTCGATATTTTCTGAATCATTACGGCTTCTATTAGCCAATTCCCGAATGTTATCGATTGAATTGCTATTACTATTTGCCAAAGAATTTGATTTGGAATGATTTGAACTAGGATTGGTGACGATGTTTGTAGAAACAGTATTGTTCAATGGAATTGACCCAGCCAAAGCACGATTACTATTACTTCTACTTCTATTTCTATTTTTATTTTTCCAACTATTACTTCTTGAATTGGCCAAGGAATTATTTTCATCTGACCTTTTATGTGCATCAACGTAACCGTCATAAGTTTCTTCACGATAATGATGAGGAGGTCTTGGATATTGAGGATCAGATAAAGTATTCTCATTATATAGTAAGAGTTTTGTTTCTTCTTCCTCGGGTAATAAATCGAGTCTTGAAGATTTTGATTTTTTATATAAATGACGAACTGAGGACTTTCTTGAAAGCGATTCTCCCAATTTTCTTAATGATTCTTCATCATTGGTATAATATAAATCAGTTGATGAATTACGGCCTTCATGATTATCATCTTCATCATTATTAGAAGAAGTAACATCCCGGTCTTGATAAGGACCAAATCCACCTTGGTCATTTTCAATACCTGAAGGAATGATCTGACTTCTATTACTTCTGCTACTTCTATGAGTTTTTGTAGTATTTTTTCTTGATATTAAATCATCATCTTCATTTTCATCAATGGTACGAATACCACTCATTCTTTTACGACTTTTGGAATTTGGAGCAGCAAAATCAGAATTATCAGCGAAATTTGTGAAAAAATGAGTAGAAGATTTTCTACGGTGTTGATTTTCATAATGGTGATTATGATTAAAGTTATCTTCGTAATCGAAATTATAGGTTTCATCATCTAAATCATCAACAGGGTTAGCACACCATAATGGGAAGACCCAAGAAAGCATTGATAAAAGACCAAAAGAAAAACAAAACCAAAGTAACAGAAACCAAGCATTACCTAGTTGTAACGAGACACCAAAGTCCCCTAAACTACCTTTAACTTCGGAACGAATTGAAACCAATAATCTGGTGATAATCCCTGACCCAACACCCAAACTTAAAAAGGATGCCATTGAAATAAGAGCCATTATGTGAAGTAAGAAGCTTGGAACTTTACTCAAATCCGGTTCACCTTTACGATTTGAATAAATAATAAGGGTTAAAACCAAAAGAATGAGTTGAGTAGCACCGGCAAAAGTAAGAGCAGGAACCACCAATCGATATTTCTGATGTCTAGATTGAACCAAATTAGAATAAGATTCATCGTCATATTTAGTGGTTTGGAAAGCATAAGCCAATATACTATTTAAACCAATGCTTTCTAATTCTTGACGGTAATCAAAAACATACCCATCGCCATTGGGTCCACCTTTAGAGCAACTTAAAGTATCGTCATGATGAATATACCGAGTACGACCATCCTTACCGGTGATTTGAGTGGTGTTATAATTCCCATAACACCAACTCCATAGAGTGGTTATAATATATTGGGGAGCAGAAGCAACTTGCGACTCAGCGTATTCGGTAAGAATGGAAATCTCCGAGTTAGTTAAAGAGGAATCAACGGGGAAAGCATTTGTATTGGAATCATCCAAGATGGTTGAAGTTAGGGAAACTGAATTTCTCAAGGATTTATATAACCCATAAGAAACATCAAGATGGGCACAGTTGATTCTGGCAAGATAAGCCTTTTCACTTATGAACGGAGATACCATGGTGAATATTATGAAAACCAAAGCGCAAAAAGCACTGAAGAGTCGAAATATTTGAAGAATCCGGGTTTGTTTCGATAGATTCTCAAACGGTAGTAGAAGCCTACCTAATTTATTCTTAATTGCCACCATATTAAACACTTGTGATTTGCATAATTTTACAACTTGCCCTTCTGGAAAAGATCCAACTTTATAATATTTGCCAAACTGGCAGGGGCAAGTCCCTTAATAAGGGGGGATCGAAATAAAAAGCCAGAAACCTGGGAAAAAAAAAAAGAAGCAAGCAAGACCAGCAGTTAGCCAAAGCAATAAGACCCGACCAAGCACTCACGAATAATCAACTGAATAGCTAATAAAACTTGCAAAAAAGTGAACTAAAGATCAAATAACTGAAAAAAAACACTAACAAAAGAAAAGAAAAACCGATAGCAAAGAATCAAAACCACTGGAAAAAAAGCGAAGAGAAGTAGCTACTTCTATTTTGTTTTATCGTAACTGAGTGAGGGTTTTATTTAGAACAAGTAGTGTGCATCACAACATGGCTTTATGCCAGGACAACGCCAGAAAGCCCCAAGCTTAACGTGTTGTTTGTATTTGATACTTTGAACTTGTTGTATACGTTGCATGCTTGGTTTACAGGTGTAGGGAATAAACAATATATATTTTGATAAAAGAGAAACGAGAAGTGAAGAGATTCATAAGACATTAAGAAAAGGGAGACTTAAAAGTCTTCATTGAAACTTAACTGGCCGTACTTGGCACGATAATCGCTCAAGTCAGCTGCTTGGGGAGAATCATCGATATCATCGTAGTTTCTTTTCAATTTATTTGTTGAGTCAAAGTTTGATTGAGGTATAGTTACAATCTTATTATTTTGGTATCTGGATTCCCATTCCGATACGTTCGAACAAGAATCAATGGTGGACCCGTGGTTTGTTAAGGAGGGGGGTTGACTCAAGTGACTTGGTAAAGGTACTCTTTGTACGCTATATGGATTATTCAATCCGTTGCTGGTATTCCCGTTGTTATAGCCATCTGCAACGGCTTTTCTGATTCTCATCCCGATCGTCGACAAGGCTGCCACGTCCGGGTTTTCAACCTGGGGCTGGATCGCAGTATTCATTTGTCTTTTGCTCATTGCTTTAGGTATTGGTTCTATGGGTAGAAGAAGATGAATTGAAGTCTTTTATTGCCGGCTTTTTTTTTTTTTACCGCTTTTGACGATTGGGACAACACCCGTACACCGCGAATTACAGACGCGACCCTCGGTTACCTCCGGATTTCATGACTAAGTAGACTTATATTACTGAGTAGACTTATTGATTGATTGACTTATTGATTGATTGACTTATTGATTACTGAGTGATTACTGAGCCTGATTATGACCTTCCCAAGGTCAACCATTTGAAAGTCCCACAGAGCAGCTCAAAGAATGGCAACCAGTTTAGAATTTGCATCTCAAATCCAGTCTGCAGTCATTAAACAAAGCACCTGTGAGCCATAGAACATCTTACTTTCTTGTCTAAGCAGCTTTCTCGTCTATACACCGTTCTTGTCCATACACCGTTCTTACACAACTTTCTTATGTCTGCACAACTTTCTTATGTCTATACAGCTATTATATCACCTTATAGCATTTCGACTGTTCGTAGTTGATGAATGGAGCACACAAAAGACCCGTGCACCAGGGCATCTTTCGGTACATCTTTCTCTAAACGGCATCCCCTCCTTATCGCAGTGCCAGAACACTGAGCAGTTAGTGAGGGTGTGGGGCCCGTTCGCTAACAGAAAGCCAGAACGAGTGGTTCACCAAATCTTTGGAAAAACTCGCTATAGGCAAGATACTCCGAATCAGTTAGAGTTTCAATAAGATTTGCCAATTCGATTGGATGATTTGGTAGGTTACTCGATTGTTATTTAAACACCCATCAATCCTCCATTCTCTGACTTTCCTGTTTTTTTTCGGTCAATCAACTTATTCAGAATGTCCTCTCCAAACTTTAATATTTCATCGTCCACTGCTCAAGAATACGAATCAGAATATTCTGCTCATAACTATCATCCCTTACCAGTGGTATTCCATAAAGCCCAAGGTGCTCATGTTTGGGATCCAGAAGGAAAAGAATACTTGGATTTCTTGTCAGCATACTCTGCTGTTAACCAAGGACACTGTCATCCAAAAATTATTGAAGCTTTAATTGATCAAGCTTCTAAATTGACTTTATGTTCTCGTGCTTTTTCTTCTGATGTTTTTGGGGTTTTCGCTAAATACATTACTGAATATTTCAATTATGAAATGTTTTTACCAATGAATACTGGTGCTGAAGCAGTTGAAACCGGGTTAAAATTAGCTCGTAAATGGGGGTATAGTATTAAAAAAATCCCTGATGGGGAAGCAATTATTTTATCTGCTGAAAATAACTTCCATGGTAGAACTTTAGGGGTTATTTCAATGTCAACTGACCCGGATGCTACTACTAAATTTGGTCCTTATCTTTCTGGGGTTGGTCCTCAAATTCCTGGTGAACCTCAAGGTACTTTATTAAGATATGGTGTTATTGAAGATGTTGAAAAAGCTTTTAATAACGCTGGTGATAAAATTGCTGCTATTTTATTAGAACCAATCCAAGGGGAAGCTGGTATTGTTGTTCCTCCTGAAGGTTACTTAACTAGAGTTCAAGAATTATGTAAAAAACATAATGTTTTATTAATTTGTGATGAAATTCAAACTGGTATTGCTAGAACCGGTAAAATGTTATGTTATGAACATTCTAAAAATGTTAAACCTGATATTATCTTATTAGGTAAAGCTATTTCTGGTGGGGTTTTACCAGTTTCTGGGGTTTTATCTTCAAAAGAAATTATGTTAACTTTAGAACCTGGTTCTCATGGTTCTACTTATGGTGGTAATCCTTTGGCTTGTAGAGTGGCCACTGCTGCTTTAGAAGTTGTTAAAAATGAAAATTTGGTTGAAAGATCAAATAAATTAGGTGATTTATTACGTTCAAAATTAACCGATTTGAAAAATGAATTTAATGGTATAATTGCTGAAGTAAGAGGTGTTGGTTTATTATCTGCAATTGTTATTGATGAATCAAAGGCTAATGGTAGAACTGCTTGGGATCTTTGTCTCTTAATGAAAGACCAAGGGGTTTTAGCTAAACCAACTCATGATAATATTATCAGATTAGCTCCTCCTTTGGTGATTTCTGAAGAAGACTTATTGAAAGGTGTGGACGCAATCAAAAAGTCTTTAACTGAATTGCCAAATGCTCCTAAAACTCATCATTAAATGTATATAGAATAATGTGAATTCATATTAATTACCTTTTGAGAAAACTAATAATTTTGTAAATGTAGTCATTTCGCAGTTATATAATTTTAACTAAAAAGTGATAAAATTATGAAAAATTATGGAAATTTTTATACAATCAATAAATTCAGAAATTTTATATAAACACTATTTCTTAGATTTCTCCTTTTGTTTTCTTACCTCTAGGTTTCTTACCCCTGGCCTTTTTCCCAATCTTTTTATTCAGAACACCGCCCTTACTAACTGTATCAAGTGGGTGGAGCAATTTCATATGTCTATTCAATGAGTCTTTCCGGTAAAAAGCTCTCCCACAACTCTCTACCTTACAAACATTCAAATATGACATCATTCTGTCAAATACTTTGGGGCCAAACTTATCTCTAACTTTTGATTTTTCTTCAGTTTTTTTGCAACCATTATATTTTGTGAGGTGTATTTGAGAAATATGAATTTTCAAATCCATCTTTTTAAGAAACCCAATCCTAGCATGCAAACAAGAAGGTACAGGACAGTCATATTTGGGAATCAACATAAGTCTGTCCAAATGTTCAGCGTAATGGGTAGCCTTATTAAAACATTGTGTACAATGATTACACTCAATTGGTTTACTTAAATTGTAGCTACTTTTTGGATATTGTGAAAGAATTGAGCAAAATGAAAGCTCCCATGGATTAGAAGCCAAAATACCTTTGCTTGTTCTTAAACTAGGTGAAGGCTGTGAAGAGTCCGGGGTAAGAATAGATGAGTTATCTGTCAAAGTCGCTACCGAGCTGCGAGACGAAGGAGAAGGGCTCTTTGAATGTGTTACGCCCAGCATATTCGATATCATCTGGTCTCGACCAGTTTGCTCTTGAAGGTGTCTCATTCTTTCGTAGTCGAGGTCAGCGCTGGTGTTCTCATCATAAGCAGCATCATCGTCTGTGAGTAAACCGATTCCTATACCAGGTAAGGAAGCAAAATTGGATGGCGAAGATTGGTATTCGAGAATTCCAAATATATCATCTTGTTGAAGAGTCAAGTTGGGTGTATCAGTGTATTCAATATGCGGTCTCCTGGGTATAAAAGGGTGTGTTGAGAATTTTGTATGGTCAATGTGACCTGTATCATTGATAAAGGTCGTACTCTCAAAGTGGCTCCGATTTACTTCAAAATGCCCCAAAGAAAAGTCACATTTGCTGGGAATATCAACTTCTTCAGAGTCTGTGCCCACAGATGAATACTCATGGGATCTTCCAACTTTCCGATATGGTGTTTTTGGTGTCCTGTTCCCTCCATCTTCATGAAACAAATCCAGGTTCATGGCTGAAAATTCGGGAAAAATGTCGTTGCTGTAGTCAAAAGAGCTAAAAGGGTCCATTAGCCAAATAAATAACTATAACTAAGCTAGAAAAGTGTCTTGCAAATAGAGTCTGTGCTCTATAGGTATATTATTAAATGGTTGTGAAAAAGAGTTGGTAGTTTGAGAGACCGAGAATCTCACTCCTTCTTTAAATGCCCCAAAAATCATTGCAAACTGAAAAATATGAAAAACATAAGAAAAGGGGCAACTGACTTTTAAGCTTATTGATAATAAACCAGGACGTTCTTAACAGGAGTCTTAAAAGAAACCGGTCCGTAGTTTAGTAGAAATAATGTAATTACTGCGAGAATCTGTAGTTTCAAATTTGAAGCTACTTCGCTACAATAATCTTGATACTCTTTTATTTCTGTTCAGATTGTTAAGCTCGAATCTGAATATAAAACTTTCTTAACTTGATGGTAGAAGTCTTGAGTAGTTTAATGAATTATGATAGTTCACATTTGACGATTAGTACTAGATAATGTTTTATTAAACAAACATATATACATATATATATATATAAGGAAAAGGCTTTGGTAACAGAAATGAAATATTGGAATAAAAACAAAACGGTAGATCAAAGACTGTCATTAATGCCGAAAAAAAAAATTAGATAGAAAATAAAAAGTAAATTAGATGATATTAGATGAAATTAAATATAGTAGTTTGGATCAAACAAATGAGATGATATTAGATAAAATTAAATGTAGTAGTTTGGATTAAATAAATCAGATGAAAAACATATTAATGACAATGCAAAAGGTCCCATACCTTTATATATATATAGATTTAAATCAAATCGAAAATCAGAATCAAAAAAAAAAAAATGCAAGGAAAATGTGATTTAACAACTTATTCTTCTTCATCATCGGAATCACGTTTTGTAGAAAGCTTACCTAAAGCGGCCAATCTTCTCTTTCTTTCGACTTCTGTTTCTTGTAATCCTTCATCTTCAGAATCCTCTTCGGAATCTTCACTAACTTCAGAATCTTCTTCTTCGGAAGTATCTTCTTGTGGACGATGTCTCGATGACGACTTATTGGTAGGGACATCCACTGGAGTTGCTGATTTGGAGTTTGTTCCTTTACTCATGGATCCCTTGGTCAAAATACTAGTTAGTTTATTTTCGATACGACTTTCGATATGTGGATCTCTTAATGGACTGTTATCATGGGTGTTATCATGTTCCTTGATTAATACCCCTTCGTTTCTTTCTAAGTCATCGCCATTGATATTGATGGTTGGAACATTTTGTTGCTGGCTTTGGCCAGATATATCGCCAGGGTTATTACCTTCTTTATTTTTGATACCAACCAAAGATAATGCCTTATTGACAATTGTACTTGATCTTGATCTTGACTTTTGTTTATTAACGTTAACATGTGGATTAACTTTATATCTTCTAATGATTTCACCTTCTTCATTTTCAATAACAATTAAATTATCAACTTGATGAGCATAAACCCTATGACGATTTGGATCATTCTTTTTATGTAATGCACGTCTTGAATTAGAACTGAAACTTCTTGAAAGTTTACGTCCGATACCGGGCCCATTATAGGATTCGGATTCATCATCATCATCGTCATCAGAAGCACCAGAGTAAGAGTACTCCGACATATGACGTCTAAGAGAATCCATTGAATGAATACTCATACCTTCTGAATTATCACTACCTATTGATTGGGCAGTACCTGAATTTCTGGAGAGCTTAGGTTTCTTTTGAGATTTAGATTTATCAATAGGTTTGGAACGCTCACCTTTATCAAATGTACCATGTTTTTTAACACTACCATGAGAACTTTCAGCAGTTTTCATAGGAACAGTTTCTAAAATTTCACCATGTTGATCTTCAATAATGATTTGAGCGCCTTCTTGATAAGCAGCAGTCGGAATACTTTCAGTTTGTTCTTTTGCTTCTTCTTCACTACTAACGGGAGAATCAGGTTTTGGTTCAGGAACTGAAATAGATAATCTATTATTTTGATCATCTTTGGAGACTTCAAGTGATTGAGATGAACTGTCAGAAGAGCCATAAGATTCTTCTTTACTTTGGCCAACATTAGTATCATCAGAACTTTTACCAGGAGTAACAGTGGTAGTCGGAGATTCAGTTTCATCATCAACTTGATCAACACGAGAAGGACTTTTACCTAATTGTAAGAATTCAGGAGCAGGACGTTGTCTTTCAGTAGTTGGGGATAATTTCAATTGTTGATCATCATTAGAAGTAACTCTTGATAAGGATTTCTTAATTCTTGAACCTCTCTTCTTCTTTTTATGTTTTCTTCTTTTAGCACCACCAGCAGGTCTAACTTTAATACCACTTGTTTCCACGGTGTTGGATTTTGGTAAATGATCTTTTTCTTCATCGTTATTTGAAGGAGGAACATGGGTATCGACTCTATGTAAAGAGAAAGAAGTCGAAGTTTTATCAAGTTTTTGTAAACGAGACATCCAAGAAGGACCTTGGTCTTGAGTATTAGTAGTAGTGAAAGACATGGTGATAGCCATTCTATTAAGACGTTTACCCAAGGTTAAAACTGCCACTGATGAACCATGAACAAGAATTGAGGTAATAACAATAAAACAAACAATGGGCCAAATGGTAGCAAGAAGTTGAATATGAGGGAAATCATGATCAGGAACTTCTTTTAAAGGGGTCTCTTCATCGGTGTAATGCCCTTCTAAATCTTTTCTTGCTAAAATAGCAGCAAAGATGGCACCAACCCCAATTGGACCGAAATGGCCACAGAAGAAGGCTTCTCTCCAAGTTTTAACATCTGGAGTGAATGGTTTTAGAGCCACAACAGCGGGGATTCTTCTTAAGAAGATGATAACGATTGCCAAAACAATTAATCTCCAACAATTAAGACCCAAATCAGCGTTATTGAATTGAGGCCAAGGAATAATAGCACCAAAATAAACAAAAAATGATAAATTTAATAATAAATCAATAACGGTAGAAACATGAGATTCTTCAGTTTTTTTAGCAAATTCACCATCCCAACCAAAAGCGGTACCAGCAGCAAAAGAAACCAATAAATCATCAACCCCAAGAATTGAACCAAGACCAGCAGAATTAAATGCTAAAAACACAAAAATAGCTAAAAATGATTCACGATCGATTAAACCCTTTTTTTCAGCAAACCAAACAGCTTTTTTCAAAGCATAACCAAGAATAGCACCAAAGAGACAACCAAAGACACATTCCCATAAAATAGTGTAACAAAACCAATCTTTAACAACTTCACCGGCGTTACCAGGATAAAGAACCAAATTTAAAGAAAGGAAAATAAAGGGGAAAGCCATACCATCATTACAACCTGATTCTGCTGATAATAAATTTCTTAAATGACCAGGAACTCTTTCAGCAAATTTACCTTTACCAACAACTGCAGCTGCCAAAACAGGATCAGTGGCAGTAACACAAGCACTAACCAACAAAGCAGAAGAAAAATTGAAATGGGGAATAAGGGCCCAAATAAATAAACCAACAATAAGCCAACCACAAGTCATCACCGGTAATAAAAAGATTGTAACTGAAAGCCAATGTTTTTGCATATATTTTTTGGGCAATTCAACGGCAACGGCCACAATTTGAATACATAAGACAATACGACATATTTCAAGAGTCAAATAATCACTATTCCCCCAAGTTGTCGGTTCAAACCAACCCAAGCAATGAGGTCCTAAGATAAGTCCAGCCAATGAAGCAACAGTAGCCTCACCTATATATAATCGTTCTTTAACAAAAAGTGATAATAAGGAGAAAATTGTACTAAACACCCCGACACATGCATAAGCAATGTGTGGTTTTTCTAGTTCCAACTGGGACCACACCATTATATTATGATCAAGGTAAAATGGATTTTGATAATTTCCAGATGAATGCTAATTGCGATTTGAAAGTGAAGAAAAAGAGAGAGAGAAAAAGGGAAAAGTTAGCAAATCAATAGAACACCATACATAGAATCACGCACTTAACACGAAGACCATAACTTGAAATAAAAGAAAGAGAAGTAAGCAAACGAAATAGCAGTAGTAAAATAATGAACTTTTCCCTCTGCTCAGTAGCAAAACAAAGGAAACAGTATTCGCACTAACAAAAAAATTCAAAAACGCCTAACAAAACAAAAAAAAAAACACTTGAAAAAAAAAAAAAAAAAATAATAAAACAAAAAAAAAAAGGATAAGTTACCCATTTTCTTACACAAATTTTAACTCGAAGGCTAAACCTTAATATCGACTAGAGCCTTGTCCAACTGAATATCCGTAGAGCGGTTTCGTTGACAATTCGTTGACAATCAGACCGGTTTATTCATACTCCCATTTCCTATTTCTATTCGCTTCAGGTTCTTCTGGCTGTTTTGTTTCATCGGACGTTCTGCAAACGTTCAAGAATTTCAACCCTGATTTCTTGTCATTCATTCTGTATATAATACGATTGTTGTTTTTACCTTATTCTACTACATTATTACATTGACAGCACTGTAGTTTGACAGGCTTCCCCTTTCTTAGCCCTGTCAGGCCCATTATCAGGAACAAATCAGGAGATATGACTGGAAAGGGTCTGAGAATTGCAAAAAAGACTAAAAAAACAAAAAAAAACAACAAAAAATTGATAAAACACAGATCCATAGAGGGTAACTCCGATAGATAACCAGAGCGTGGAGGAAGGCCACTAAACCCGAGACTCCTCGGGTTGGTTCCGAGAGAAGGTCCCCGGGAGCGGGAGGTACGGGCTGTTTTATTCTGGGGATGAGGACTGCAGATCAATAGTTGACAGCTTGACCATAGCTCCAGTTCCTTGTACCAGACAGCAACATGACCGACGACGAGGGAATGTGGGTGATTGGCTACGGGTCACTTATATTCAAGCCGCCACCGCACTGTGCGTTCAAGATCTCGGGGTATCTAAAAGGGTTTATTCGAAGATTTTGGCAAAGTTCTTCTGATCATCGAGGAACGATTGAAAGCCCAGGAAGAGTGGTTACTCTAGTATCATTGGATGATTTAAAGCAGCACAAGAGGTTTCATAACGATCTCCATATGTACGAGATGAGGAGCCATGACCGTGAATGTGATTTAGTGGATTCGAGTGAGTCGATTGAACAAATTAAAGATATTCCTTATAGAATAGATCAATTATCAGACGAGGATTTGAGAGTATGGTGTGTTGCATATTACATTTCTCCCGAGTACGTGGAAGAGGTTCGCAATTATTTGAATATCAGAGAACAAGATGGTTATACTACTCATAAAGTACCATTTCATATAACCAATATTCCAGAAAAAGTTGATCCAAACGTCATTGAAAGAATACCGCATAATAAACAAGGAGATCGTTTTATAGAGTCCTATATCTACATAGGCACGATTGATAACGACTCGTTCATTGGTCCGGAATCAGTGGTTGATACCGGAGAAAAAATCAAAATAAGTAAAGGTCCTAGTGGATTAAATTCCGATTATTTAAGAGACTTGACTCTCGCAGTTAGAACTTTAGATCCCAACGGATTGTCTAGAGACTATTATTTAGAAGACTTGCTTAATTTAGTTGATAATTAATTATTATATAGTCTAAATTAAAAAGATACCAATATATATTTAGTTTCATTGAAAATAAAAAAGGTAAATAGGAGAGGAAGAAAAATTTGTTATTGGGAACATGCAGCGAGACAAACTGGTGTCAAAGTAATTGTAGTTCGACATTTGTGAAGTGTGTGCATGATGTCTTCCATCAAGCGAGCAGTTGCAAGAATCCCTCTTGGTGAACTCTCTTCTAAGGTAGGCGCTTGTCTCAGATCGAGGTTACCTGAACACAGAGCCGTTGAGGAGTTAAATTGTTATGGATTGGATATACACTAATGCGAAACAGTCTTTGAAAACTTGTTCTTCAACTCAGAAAATCGCCTAGTGCCCACCCAGAGTCACAAAGAATAGAGTCACTTTTACGTTATATTGCCAGTTTGGTCCGACATAAAATAAAACATGTTTTTAACTTATTCCACAAATTGAATTCTATTTTTTATAGCACTCTACTTCTACTAAGACAGAAAAAGCTTTGAAAAAAGGGAGAAAATCAAAAATGTTTGAAAATGTGCAATTTCAAGCCACAATAATAAAAAGCATAGCTTAAGGACACCCTAAAAATCTTGTTCATAAATCGTCCGATATAGTGTAACGGCTAGCACGGTTCGCTTTCACCGAGCAAACCCGGGTTCGACTCCCGGTATCGGAAGATCTTCTTTTTTTATTTTTCACCAAATTGATTTATTTTTTCCGCTATATGGCTTTCCCCTGCTGTGCTGTTTACTGTCGAACGATGATTGCAATACGATGCAAAAACGTAATTAGATGACGACAACTTTGACGTATTGATGCCTTGTCGACGAGGTTTTCCCCATGCCTACATCTGAACGATCAACTACATGGTTTTAGTCTTCTGGCTTGGGGCAGTTTTAAGTGAGCTTCACCTTTTATGGATATATTCCACAGAAACGATTAGCTGGAAAGCATAAAAAAAACAGCCAAAGACTCCTTTCATCTCACAATAATATACACGGTGCTAAAGGCGTTATGAGCAAGCTTAACGCGAATTTCTCATTAGGAACAAAGATGGCCAAGTGTTGGAGTAAAATGCTCTAACGGGAGTTAGATTCGAGAGAGACAGTGTTCAAAAGTGTTTAGCGAAGGAGACATTTCATGGTTAAAAAATGGGAAAAGGGAAAAATCAATGGAAGAGAAAAAGCCCATTAAAAAGGGAAGAAACATACTTTAAATAGAAATTGGCAGGAGGCGAAGATAAACAAAACCTCTGGCCCTGACAACAGCTGGGTAAACCATCAGAGGTCTCCTCACAAGAAGCCAAGGGACTTGCTTTCTACATTGCTTGGGCCCAAGCTTTATACTGATGAGAAGTATGAACACGAATCAAATCTGATGAATCGTAAAACCTTTTAGACTCGAAGCGTCGACGTTCATAATGAAAATTTTTCCCAAGTTTTCAGTGGAGTATTCCTTTTTTTTACGCACAAAATTAAAGTTCCAAATTAACTACTTGGTCTTTTAACAAGTTTTAACTCAAAGTGCAGTTTTTCGGTCCTTTTTGTTAGTTTGGTGATACTTTCCATTTCACAACTATTTGACGATATAAATAAACAACAACAAGCACAATGTGGAAGCCTCAGTTCCAAGGTGATGGGACAAATGCCCCTTGTCGTGTTGTTGTTTTCTTTGTAGACTTGGCTGCGGATTATCTTGTTTATTTCCTTTAGTTTCTTTTTGTTCTATAATTATTCTTCACGTCTTTGTAATGACTTCTTTTACTTTTCAAATTATGTCTTTGATTTTGTAGAACTCCTTTTAATTTGGTTTGAACTTGCATTCTGTTCTGTTCTCTTTTTCTTTTCTGTTTTCTTTTCACTTTCTTGATCTCTTCTTGATCTCATTACCAAACTTCTTTTGAAGTGAAGTATTTTTTAGATTGTTTCTTTATTAGATCATCTTTTTCTTGACTAGTCTAATTCACTGATTTTCCACTGATTTCTTAACCCTAGTCTTTCTTTTTCTTATCAAGGGCCTTCAATAATTATTCATTCTCCATCATGGCCCAAAGAGATCTTACCTTTAATACACCTCAATTAGGTGTCGATGGCCATTCGAATAATCCTTATGATCAACCAACATCGCACCAAGATCTTCATTCCCAACAAACAAACCCCTTTGCATCTCCAGGAGAAGAATCATCATCTTTCGAATCTCGTCGAAACTCATTCAATTTATCCGATGATGAAAATTCTCATTACGGCAGACCATTTAACGCTTATAATAATAATTACGCTTCAAGAAATGGTACTTCATCTAATCTTTTATCTCAAGAATCTTCAGTTGATGATTTTAGAAACCAAAATACTAGAAGGCTTTCTGGTACTCCAAATTCCCCCCATGCTGATTCTTTGGTGGTACCCCCAGAATTTGATAGATATCCTTCTATGGGCGGTTCAAGAAATTCAACCTACAGCAGTTATAATAATAGTAGTAGTAACTTGGTTGGCGCCGCTGCTGGTGCTGGTATGGCCGGAGGTTCTGCTTTCAATTCTTCAAATAATTTACTCAGATCAGATGATGAAGATTCTTTATCTAATAAATCAGATCCTTTCGTTCAGTCTACTGATTTTAGTCCCTTTGGTGGTTATCCAGCCCTGTCATTTCCTTTACATATCGATGAAAAAGAACCAGATGATTACCTTCATAACCCTGATCCAATCGCTGATGCTGCTTATGATAAAAATAGATTCATGCATGATTTGAAAAATATGGATAAAAGATCTTTTGGTGGTCTTATGGGGATAATAGTCTTATTACTCGGGGCAATTTTCATTTTCATTGTTTTCCCAGTCTTAACTTATTCTGGGGTAACTTCTGGTTATAAACCGGAAACTTATGCTAAATTATCCCCTTATAGTTATCCTTTAGCAGCTGCAATTAGAACAAGTTTAGTTGATCCTGATACTCCAAAAGATGCCTTAACTAAGAAAAGTCTCAGAGGTGAAGAATGGGTTTTAGCCTTTTCTGATGAATTTAATGTCGAAGGTAGAACTTTTTATGAAGGTGACGATCAATTTTTCACTGCTCCTGATATTCATTATCAAGCTACTAATGATTTAGAATGGTATGATCCTGATGCAGTTACTACCGCTAATGGTACCTTAGTTTTAACCATGGATGCTTTGAAAAATCATGATTTATTTTATAGATCCGGTATGGTTCAAAGTTGGAATCAATTATGTTTCTCTCAAGGTATGATTATGATTAGTGCTCAATTACCTAATTATGGTAATGTTTCGGGTTTATGGCCAGGTTTATGGACTATGGGTAACTTAGGTCGTCCTGGTTATTTGGGTAGTACTGAAGGGGTTTGGCCTTACACTTATGACTCTTGTGATGCTGGTATTACCGCAAATCAATCTTCTCCTGATGGTATTTCTTATTTACCAGGTCAAAGATTAAATTCTTGTACTTGTCCAGGTGAAGATCATCCAAATCCCGGTCAAGGTAGAGGTGCTCCAGAAATTGATATTTTAGAAGGTGAAGTTGATACTAATAAATTATATGGTGTTGCTTCTCAGTCTTATCAAATTGCTCCTTATGATATTTGGTATTATCCTGATTATAATTTTGTTTCAATTCATAATCCAGATATTACAACCATGAATACTTATACTGGTGGTCCATTACAACAAGCGGTTTCTGGTACTACTACTTTAAATACTGATTGGTATGAACGTGGTGAAGGTGAACGTAAGTATCAAGTTTTCGGTTATGAATATTTAAGTGATAATGATGATGGTTATTTAACTTGGCACGTTAATGAACCAACTCTTACTCTTGAAGCTTATGCTTTATCTCCAAATGGTAATGTTGGATTTAGAAGAATTTCAAAAGAACCAATGTCAATCATTCTTAATTTAGGTATTTCCAATAATTGGGCTTATATCGATTGGAATTCAATTCTTTTCCCAAGTCATATGCGTATTGACTATGTTAGAATTTACCAACCTAAAAACAACATTAGTATAACTTGTGATCCAGAAGGTTATCCAACTTCTGATTATATTCAAAACCACTTAAATCTTTATCAAAATAATAATCTTACCTCTTTCGAAGATGGTGGATATACTAGACCTAAAGATAAAATAACTGGTTGTTAGATTCAGGAATCTTTTGGTTCAGTTTTTCTATTTCTTTTAAATCTTTCCTTTTGATTGTATTCTTTGCTTGTTAAATTTTCCTTTCTTCACTCTTTAATTTCACTCATACTTATATTTATTGTTTTATTTTCAATCGGTTATAAAATTTACTTGAATTTTCATTCATTCATTATTTTTTTTTTTAATAATTTAGTTTTTCTCATTATATAATAATTGCATATCATATTGGCTTTACAAGTACTTCATTTAACTGAACATAGTTTTTATTGATATTTATGAATAAGCTGTTTAGTATGAACCAAAAATTTATCAACCCTTAAGCTGAAAAATTTTAATAAATAGAAAAAAAGAAGAGTATATGGTCATTCTTGTTTTTCAAAGAATGAATGCTATTTTACAACGAGGAAAGTGATGGCCTTAAGCAAGTGACAAATAAAATGCTTGAACGGAATATTGAACCAAATGGTTAAGTATCTTCATGGATTTATTTGACTAAATCTAAGTTTTCGTATACAGCACCGGCTGATTTATACAAATCAGATGCAGTGACACCATTTTTAGTGGTTTCGTTTTCTTTCAATTGTTGCAACATAAGTCTAGTTCTTTCTCTTTCTTTAAAACCATGTAAACATTCAAAGTAATCATCGAAATTTGGAGTACATTCTTTCTTGGAAACGGTATCAGCAGAAGTGTAACATGCCACTAATGTTTGGAATTCATAAAAACATCTTCTGGTACCACCAGATCTGGAGTATGGTTGCATCTCTGTTTAACTTGTCTGTATTTATGCCTTCAAAGGATACTTGTAAAGGTCAAATTACTCGATACTTGAGTTATGTCAGCTTAAAATTTCGTGGTGCTTATTGGCCAAAGGAAAAAAGTTTCAAACTCGGGATACACACGACTTTATATTTTTTTTTTGTTAAAAGGCCCGTTTGGCTGCCAAATGATGATACTATTGCTACTATTCTTTATAGATATATACGTGTATTATAATTTTGCTTCATTAAACATAAGCAAGCATTTCACTTATGCATTCCTTAACCTCGTAATATAATGGACCCATCATTCCGTCTATAACTATATCCCCAGTGTCATCAGTTTCCGAAGAAGTATAGGCTACTTTACGAATTGCCAAAGTATCGTTGACAACAAGCGTACCTTCACTCTTGAATTCAGCATTGTAGTTCTTGCTCAAGAGTTTTTTCTTCAATTCAGGTAGTCTAATATTACCAATGGCCAACTTAGGCCCGCTTCTATTCATTAATTGGGCTGCAGTGGCCAATTTTTTATCTTGAACCAATTTTTGTTGTTTCTGTAAATATTCTTCTTTCAGAAGATGCCTCAATATAAACTCACTGGATGGATTAATATAATCTGCCACTGTTTTCTGTTTTTTGTGGGGGTTGAAGTGTGGGTTTCTCACGTCAAGTTTCCCATATACTTGAGCAATACTATAACTATCAGCGATTTTTTGCCATTTCAAAGATTCTATCAACTTTTCATCAAGTTTGACTTCAAAATCATTGATACCGACACCACTTCCATCCCCACCAATTTCAACAGGGTTATTATTGCTGACGGATATGATATTCATTTTTGAACTGTTGTTCAAACCACCACTTACACCACTTCTTATTGCGGAGGAGGAAAGGAAACGAGATGAAGTGAACATGGATTTTTTACTGTTTTCCAATTGCTGATCTTCCTGTTGTTGCTCGAAGACCTGTCTTACTGTTCTCAAGCCATCTAGTTCTTCAGATGCATCATTTTTTATACTCAAGTCTGGTAATAATAATAAATTGTATGGCTTTAATGCAGACACAATCAACCCCAAAGATCTGATATCAACTATACCTGATAAATCAACAAAGGACAATCCACATCTTGCTTTTAGCTCAACTGCTTGGTTAGAAAAGGTAGATGCGGCTGTAAGAGGTACTCTCTTCCTTGGGTTAAATAAAGTATCTAAATTATTTTGTAATAATTCATTATTAAGTTGTTCTTGTGGCGTGAGCTTATTTTGATTGTTGTTTTTATTTTTACTATCTTTTTTATTCCCGTCCTTATCATTACCCCATTTCTTTTCAAATTTTTTCTTGCTTTCCATAATAAGCTTTTTATTAGAAGACTCATCAGCTTTTTGAAATGATTTCACGTCAATAACTTCTCCATAATCGTCGAAGTTTTGCTTATAGTTATTACTAATATATGGAAACATAGCCTGTCTAGGTCTAAGTTTATAAGTGATTTTGATATCCAAAGGTCTGTATGCTTCTAGTGATTCTTTGACATAGTCTGTAATGAAGGTTTCATGGGCTGAAAGTTGATTGACTGCTATTGCTTTTGAATCTAGACCGTTATTTATACTTGGAGTGGCTTTTGAAGGATCAGCGCTTTGTTCATCGGTTCTTTCTTCTTCCGTAGTGTTTCCTTCATCTTCATCTTCGGATGAATCTTCAGCATTCAAAGAGTCTGTATTTAATAAATTTTCATTTTGTTTTTCTCTTACTTTAGCGAGCAACTTTTGTTGTCTCTGGTTGTTAATTCGTTGTTGAAATTCGGCCAATTCACCACCAATAAGCTTCTCTTCGCGAGTCCAACTATCTAGTGATATGGTTTCTTCGAATGGAACTGCGACACCATCTTCAGGAGCTTGACCACCTTGTTTCTTTTTTGCTAGATTATACCATGATTTAAATAGTTGTGCATTGATTGAACCTTCTGAACCAAAATGGGTCTTTTCGGTTAAAATGATTGTAGTCTTCTCGTCTTGACATAAGTATTGTAAAGCCTGCGAAGACATGTCACCATTTTTTAAATCTATACCTGAAGCAAAGACAATTTTTGGACCTGCTAGTTGTATGAGCTCATCGGGATCCAGTAATAAATCCACTTTAGCAGGATTGAAAGGAAGCTTACTTTGACCAGTAGCATCACCAGCGGCAAAATCTTCATAACTTTTAAACAATTGACTAGACATCCACTCAAGAAAATTTGAAGCATAACTCAACACTCTAGTACCAGAGTAGGATAAGAAATAAACTGGAATAGGTGCTCCTTGAAGATGCTCATCAACTAAGTGCAATAACTCAAGAAAACGCCCTGATAGAGTTGTTGGTAACAATACTGCACCACCATTTGCTAAGGTCGCATCTACTAATTGTAAAAATTTCTCTGTCCTCTTTTTATGTGACATTGACGAACCAAGGTCAGTGTTAGTAATTAAAACAGTCGGTCTAATTAAAGAAGATAAAGGATTACCGGTACTTGTTGACAAGAAACTTGCACTATTCAAAAACGAATCCTTGGAATGATTCCAAGATGGTGCATATATAATCTTTTCTAATCTTTTTGTGATAAGCCAGAAAGTACCCCCTAAGGTATGTCCTGCATTATGAGGTGTCATGACTATTCTACCATCGAATAAAGTTAATGCCTGGTTATACTTTAATGGTTGAACTTTATCAAACCATTCATCAACATCAACTACCTCCATTATCGCTGATTCCAATGGACCTAAGATCCCACATGAACGGTAATATTCAACTGTCGATATTCTTCCTAATTGATTAATCGGTAAGGTAGAATAAATTGGTATATTGGACATTAAGCTCGGGAATTTGACACATAACAAGATGAATCCACCTATGAATTCAGGGGTGGAGTGGGATAATATAATCAAATTGACCTCTTTCAAGTGGCTTTCCATGAAAAGAATATCATCTGGATTTTTCCCATTCCAACTTGGGTCCGCTAGTATCTTGATCTCATTATCAAAAGAAAGTAAGGCTGCTCGACAAGAGATGTCACCACTAGAGGGTGTCAATATGGTAAAGTTAAACATTCTTTATTTCAAAGAATGCTTACAATCTCTGTCGAATATTCTTGAATAGTAATCAAACAATCAATGCTTATATTTTTTTTTCAAAACTTTTCTATACATTAAACATCGAGCCAAAAAAAAAAAAAAATGTCGCACTAGTCAAACCTAAGTGAACTCCATAACTACGCTTTTCTAAAACAAATATTTATTTATATAATATACATGGAGGAAAGAAATGGTATAATTTATACAGCGCATAGTGAAGGAATATATAAGAGGAGAAATAAAATTAAATAGGACCCTGACTTCGAAAAATTTAATGAACAGAGCCTCTAAACGTATTAGAAGAAATAAAAGATTAATTTTTGACAACTGAGAACATTGTAATCATTAACCATCAAAGTTTATAGAATTACGCTTGTGGTATGAAATAAGAGTTTCAGCTTGAGTTAAACCAGGTAATTCGTGAGTCGTACTAATTCTTTCTAATGAATTGCGAGATCCGGTGTTGTATTCACCATCTTTAATCATTTGTAATCTTAATTCATGTAAATTAAGAGGTTTACTGAGTAATTGTTGATGATGCTTACTTTGGTCATTAACAGTGCTTCTTCTTGATCTCGAGACAGTACCTCTTCTTGATCTAGAGATTGTGGAACGTCTAATAGATTTAAAAGTTTTGGCAAATGGATTATTGGCTTCGTGTTCTTCTGAATTTTCGTGAGTAGATTCACGGCCCGCCAAAGTATCGGATTCGATATTATTTTCAATCTTTTCTAATAATTCGGTATCACCTTGATTGAGACGGGTTAAAATTCTATGTCTTTCAATATCTTCTAAATTAGTTGGATCATAACCTTCAGGATAATCGATATATTCACCTCTGCGGGCTCTTTCTCTAATAATGTCAATATCCCTGGGTTTGAAGTTTCTCATTAAGAAATCATAGGTAAATCTTGGTAAGAGGTTAACTATTACCCCAATAAAGATACAACACCAACAACCTAAGGTACCTAAAACTTGAGCACCGGCTTTATAAAATTCACCAGCGTAAATTCTAGAACTCCAAACACCTGACCAGAAATAAACAACTAAAATAGATAAGGCATCAATTAATAAAGATAACCAATCCCATCTGTATTGTTGTAATAAAACATAAATATCACAAGCAGTAACACTAATACAAGCAGCAACAACACCAATCCAGAATCTGTGATCAACAGCTAAACCTTGAGGATTTTGGAAACTCATATAGAATAACAAATATGGAAAGAAAAATGAAATAACAGATTGATAAAGGCCGTCCAACATATACCATACGAATTTATATTGAGACCATTCTAATCCCAAAACCCCAGATCTATATAATTGAGGAACAACCAAGGAAATAGTATCGGAAACATCTTGATCCAAAACAGCCAACACAATAACAGGTAAAGAAGTAAATGCTAAATTATAAAACATCAAGTAGGTATATTCATAAAGATAAGAACCATCAAAATCATTATATATACCATACCAGAAACATGTTAAAGTGAAAACAACATTTTTATAGAAGAAACAAGGAACCATTTCAGCCAATCTTTTATAAGACCATCTTCCATGGACCAATAAAAGTCTAGTTAAGAATCTAAATTGACCAATTGCGTAATCAGATGACATGACAGCTTGTCTACCTTCCTCACCAGCAATACCAACACCAACATTGGCAGCTTGAATCATAGCGACATCGTTAGCCCCATCACCGATAGCCAAAGTCATAACTTTCAAACTATTTTTAACAATTTTAACAACTTCAGCTTTTTGAGCTGGTGAAACACGACAACAAAGAACAGAGTTACATTGTTTGCCTAGAATAAGGAATTTCTTTCTCAAATTTTGAATATGTTCATCATTTGAATCATTGAAAACCAAAGATAATGCTGCACCATCAATAATTAAAGCGGCATTTGAACTTGGGGTTGAATGATCTTTAACAGCAGCCTTAATCAAGCCATCGATATCCCGAGAAGAACTAGCCTCAATCTGGAAAGATTCTTTCAAGTACTTACTGATTAATTCATCAATATATTGAATATTTGAAGCATCTTTATCATCAGGTCTAACCACTAATAATTTCATGTCGTTACCCAATAAGTTACAAGAAAACCCTATATTAATAGCAGTTTCAATACGATCACCAGTTAAAACCCATAATTTAATACCGGCTTGAGCTAATAAAGCGATCGAATCTGGCACACCCTGTTGTAAACGATCTTCGATAGCAGTACCACCTAATAAAAGCAAGTCTGATTCAACGTCTTCACTTAATTTTTCAAGCATTATTTCAGCATCGTCTTCTATTGATGAAGCAGCTTCTTTATATCGTCTATGCCAGTCATCGAAAAATTTTGGATCTAATTCACGTTCTGCAATACATAAAGTTCTTAAACCTTCTTTAGCATAATCTTCTAAATGTAAAGCAGTTTTATGAATAAGATCATCATCAGTTCCACAAGATAATCTTTGGAAAATAACGTTATCAGCACCTTTTGTAATGACTTTAATAGTACCATCTGGGAATCTAAATATACAAGACATTCTTTTTCTAGCAGAAGTAAATGGGATGATTTCCAATAATTCAAATTCCTGGTCTTCACCATAAACACTTAAGATGACTGATTTTCTCAAACGATTTTTAAAGACAATACCAACATCACTTGCTACAGAAACCAAAGCTGCTTCATCTGGAGATTCTGCTTTAAAATCTCTCAATTCAGGATCTTCATCATTTTGTTCAGTAACCACGGTATGACAAAGAGCCAAAGCAAACATGAATTGTTCATTATGAATTTTTTGGTCTGATTTATTAATTAAAGTATCTTCAACATAAGCATTAGAAACAAAAGTTAAACGATCACTTCGAAGTTGATCATTATTTGAATATTGGATTAAATTATCAATCATTTCTGATTTATTTGAATCAATTCTTGTTTTCCAAACTTCTTGTTCTTTGATAACATCAACACCGTTACGTTTGTCCAAACCCTGCTTAGCTTCAGTGTAAGCCAAACCATAAGATTTACCATTGATGGTACATTTTTTGAATTCCATAACATTTTGAGTTAAAGTACCGGTTTTATCACTGAAAATATATTCAATTTGACCTAAATCATCACTAATATTCCAAGTTTTAGGAACACAGGGGAAATCCAATTTTTCATAATACATTTTAATATCTGAAAAAATGAAAAAGGCTTGTAAAGTTTTGATAATTTCCACCGAAATATAAAGAGAAATAGGAACCAAAGATTGATAAATGATTAAAGTAACGAAAAAGGAAATGACCCCATTAGCAGCAGGAGTTTTACCATACGGTTTATAGTCAAAATATAATCTTGAAACATGTTTTTTATCATAAAATAAACCATTAATTAATCCACTAACAAAACATAAAATGAATAAAAGGGCAAAATTAATAATGACTGATAAATTTAACTCTTTTGAAATTCTAGAAGATTTGGTTGGAGTGATACCAGAATTCAACATGATTTTAGTTTCTTCACCAGTGTAAACCACCAAACCAATAATCCATTTAGTATTTCTTAAAGTAGAACCACGCAACATGACATTATCATTATTAATTGCTTCTTTTTCATCAGGATTAATTAAATTACCAGAGTCATCGAAATTTTCATAATGAATAGTTCCTTTAAAAGTATATAAACTTGAATTTGGAGCATCACATTCGACCCAAAATTTGGTTGAACCCAAATCTTTTGAGTGTTTTAAATTTGAAGAACCACCACAATGTAAAGAAGTTTTATTTTTCAAATTAGTTTCCCCATCCAAGTTTTTAGTTTCAATATAACAATTACCTTCTACATCAGAAGAAGAAATAATAATGACATCAGCAGGAACTTCTTCATTGGCACGAACTCTAATCATATCACCAACACTAATATCTTTCCAACAACGATTTTTAAAAGAAGATTTTGAAATATCACCATTTTCTAATTGATTTTTTTGTAAAAGAGGGTTTAATAAAGAATTAGGAGAAGGTTTTGAAGGATTTTTATTATGAGAGCGACGAGATTGATGAGATTTCCTAGCAACAGGAACTGAACGAGCCTCTGAAAGGAAAGAAGGATTATACATTTCCGAATGATACGAATAATCCGAATGAATTGTTGAGACTCGATGTAAAGCATTTTCATTGCTTTGAGCTTCTTCCCTAATATATTCTTGTTTGGTTTCTTTTTTAGCAAACGTCATAATGCAACCTTTCTTGATACCTTTAAACATTTTACGATTTGCTCTAGTACAAGCTTTTTTAAATCTTCTCCAAGGACCCACATAATTAGTCACCACGTTTGGGTTATTTAAACCTTGTAATAGATGAATAGGAGAATTGTTTAATTCTAAATCGGAGCTACCTCTTTTATAATCTTCAAAAGCATCTTTAATGGCGGTGATACAAACAATGACAATAAGAGGAACGGCCGCCAAACCCGGAGATTCAACCCCAAAGATTTGGAAAGCTCCCAAGATAACCACCGCCAAAAAATAAGTGTTTGCAACGTTAGTGAATTGGAAAGTGATATTTTTAGGTAAAAACGAAAGAGGAGTGTATTTGGTTGTTCTAATTTTATTTCTAGGATACGGAACAATTGGGAAACCTGAATTTGGGTATTTCATATCACTTGGTAATTCTTGATTAAAATAAACATAACGAGGGATATTCGAATAGATTTCATTTAAATACGCTGGTCTTGATGCCAAATTATGATTATAGAAGAATCTTTGCACCGAATCTTTAAATGTTGGGGGTTTTGTATTGATTAAATCCGATACCTTATTATATTTCGATTGATTATTTTGATTTAGTGAAGATGAGGATGTCGACGAATATTGATTATTTTCCTTCTCCTGTTCAACATCCCCCTTAGCTGCAAGCTGATTGGTATCACTACTTTGATCATTATTGCTTCGACTATCATAATTCAGGGATGCGGTTTGTGCATCTCTAGTGGTATTACCCGCCGAAGTATCGGCGGCTTCTTCAATCCCACCACCCATACCAAAGTTGTATATCTCATCGTTACTGGGATACCGGGATGAGGATTGGGTATTGACACTAGTGGTCAGTTGATTAGGATTGGCCATTTTTCTCCCGCTTATACCCTACTAAAATTCAAAAAACAAAAATTAATAGCTTGAGATTAGCTTGAAATGAGCCTGAAAACAGCTTAACAACAGCTTGAAAGCAATAGCAACTCTTCTGCAATACCTGATAACACTACTATCAGAACCCGGAGCCACCTAGTGGGTATATATGATAACTAAAGGAAACAGAACAGAATAAAAAGTATTGAAAGATTAATAAGAAGGTGTAACAGCTATTGTTTTATTTTCTTTTAGCCTATTCTTTTCTTTTTTTTTTTTTTTTTTTTTTGTTTTATTCACTCGGGTTTTTTTGCTACTACCGAATTCCCTGGCTTGTTCCGGCCGACAAAACGGGCACATGTTTCTCCGGCACTGACAGCCTTGGTGCCCCCTTGAGATGGTTGATGTATGGGGTTAGATGTTGTGTTTAGATGTGAAGTTTAGATGTCGATGTTCACCTTACTGTCATGCTGAACCCTATAACGCAGGGCTGTCCGGAAGGGACGGTGGCAGCTTATGTAATGGGCAGTCTCAATAAGTTAGGCTGGGTGCACGGGGGGATGACTGCAAGCAGTTGTGCCATACTTGTATTAGCCATTCAACGATGAAAAGAAGTTGATAAAGATGCAGAGCTGACAAGAAGATGCAGAGCTGAAAAGACGGTGTTTAAGAGATTACTGTATGTTTTGCATGTCAATTTGTTTCTGTTTTTGAGTGATGAGTTTTTGCAACTCCACATGATCCTGTAGTGACTTCTTGCAACTCAGATAATCATGTAGTCAACTGACCTTCCTGCTCAGGCCCATGCTTATCCATCGACCCAATTCAGCACCACTTACCAGGATCAAGAGACTTCATTCATTCAAATAAGTGTTGCAAAACAATTTGCAGGTTGCCAAAGTGCAGGTTGCCAAAGTGCAAATTAGAAAAGTGCAGGTTACATTGGCGAGTTTTTCGTCGACGAGACTGAAAATTTTTATATTCCAAAAGGTACAACTAGTTACTCCCATTAAGTCAAAGAACAATTATCAAAGATGTCTACTGAACAAATCCCACAAGGTGCTAACGTTGAAATCATTTCCAAAAATGAAAAGAAAGCCAGAGAATTGGTTAAAAAATTAAACTTGAAACAAATCAAAGGTATCACCAGAGTTACTTTCAAACAAAGAGGTAACTTAATTTATGCCATTGATCAACCAGATGTTTATAGATCCGCCGCTGGTACTTACGTTGTTTTCGGTGAAGCCAAGGTTGACGATTTGAACAAGAGAATTGCTGAATCTCAAGCTGCTCAAGAACAAGCTGCTGCTGCCCAACAAGCTGCTTCTTCAAACAAAACTACTGAAGATAAATCACCAGAAGCAATCACTGCTGATTTAGAACAAGCTTCTTTACAACCAAAAGTTGAAGAAGCCGAAGAAGACGATGGTGAAGTTGATGAATCTGGTTTAGAAGCTAAAGATATCGATATCATTGTTGACCAAACCGGTACTTCTAGAGCCAAAGCCGTTAAAGCTTTAAGAAAACACGATGGTGACATGGTCAATGCCATTATGGAATTATCTTAATCTACATTTTAATAAATAAATATATATATATTTTATTTTTTCAATAAATCAACCGGGTTGTGACTTGGTTCGTGTTCATTGTCAATTCCGGTTTCTGTAATTGGTTCCTCGATTTCCTGGACGGGTCGAATGGTTTCTTCTCTCTTACTGGCGTCTCCATTGATTAGTCCACAGTAGGGACAAATGTAAACGATTTCTTGGGGATTACTACTTCCTGGGGGCGCCAACCCATTATGATGGTAGCATTTCGAGCAGATTAATGCAAATCGATTTTCAATACTTTCATTATTTTCCGATCCAATTATATAATCCAAGATCCGGTCTTGCAAGGTCCGTGATTGAGGAGCCGGCGATGAAACTGGTTTGACTGGGGCAGTCTCAGTATTTAGACCTTCAGAAGGATTTGGAGTATTTGGACCATCACGATTAGAACTACTTGGGGTATTTGGTGTTGGTGTATTCGAAGGATTTGTTGGGGAGGCCGGCACATTGATCAATGGATTTGTGGGAGGTGCTGGGCGAGCAGCCGGAGGAAGGGCCGGTTGCTTAATTGGAGGCTTGGCCAGTTCTTTAGGCTTTTCATCGCCATACTTGTCCAATAATTCATGGGTTCGAGTATAATTGGTGATTTTTTTCAATTCGTCAATCTTCTTGCCTCTTTTCTCTTTCAAAGTCTCCAACAAACTCTCTCTTTTACTTATAAGGTACTTAAGTAACAAATCAATCAAATATATAAACCCATAGCTTCCAATCGGAGTTGATACCAATATCATCATCGATTTACTCGATTGAAACCTTAAAAAATTGTACACCCTACTGCTACCCCCAATATAATCTCTTGGTACTTGCAGATACAAATATCCGAGAACTAATATATAGAAACTAGCCAAATATATTATCAATTGAGTTCTTATCAGGGTTCTTTTACTCTTCAATCTAACAATTTGTTGTTGAGTAGTCGATACTTTCTGACTCAACAAAGTCAATTCCTTCTCGAACACTTCAATGTTTTTGGACTCCGATCCAAACAATCCAAAGAGAGCCATTTGCACTGTATCAAGTAATTTTTATTTTCAATTCAGCAATTCTTCAGTCTAGTACAAATCCTTTAGTAGAATCCGTAATCAATCCTTTTATCTCAAATCTCATTTAAAGGCGAAGGAAAAGAAAAAGTGACAGAAGAAAAAAGAAAAAAAGACAGAGCAAAAAACCTCGTTGCCAAATCTCATCGTCTTTTTAAACGACTTTCAACAGCTTCGTTGCTCGAGGGGTAACAATAATATTCAAAGAGTGGCTTTATTGAGTTGGTAAGATGACGTATACTATAGGTGATCGAAAGATAAGTATCACTGATGGTATAGATGATGAAGATAAATCATTAATACTAGCCCATCTGAATTTATTTAAATTTTGTCTAAACCAAACTAGTTTTACCTTTTTAATAAATTTAAAAAATATCATTCATTTATATAGTGATATTATAACAATTTATAGTACATTATTAAGAAAAGTTCCAAATTATGATGATATTACCTTAATGACTAATCGAACAAAATTAAATTTATTAAAATTAGAAGATGATTTAAATAAATTTTTTGATTTTAATACTACAAATTTTATGAATTCTTCAACTTCGTTAAATGATGAAATTATTAAAAACTTCAATTGGCAAAGTAAATCATATGAATTCGATGTTAAAAAGATATCCTTACTAATATTATATGGTTGTAATGAAATTTTTGAACAAATCATTAAAAACTTAAATTGTATTGAAATTTTTTTTAATAATTTTAATAATTTGAAAAAATTATTAATTCCATTCTTGTTAAGACAAACAAAATCAATTCAAAAATCTCTAGTTAAATCAATCTACCTTTTCAAGTTAACTACCATCACCGATGAAATTTCTTCGATTAATGAACTATCCCCTCCAATTATCAAACAATTAAGAAAAATTGAAAAAATTACTAGTGGTATTGAAAGAGAATCAATGTTATTATACACCGCTTACATGACTTTTGATCCTTCTTTACAACAATATACAAGTATCTTATTAGGTAAAGCCATATTAAAACATGATATCGAAGATTCAGAATGCCAAATCATTAGAAGAAGAGATGTCTGTTTTAGAGCTGCTGAACATGTGGTTAGCATCCCATTAACTGAAGATCAATTATCTAGTGGTATAAGAGAACCTTGGATTCCAGTATTAAATTTTGGGGCCGTTGTTGCATTCATTTTTTTTGCAATCATTCTTTATCGAATGTGTAAATTGCTCTTCATCTTCTAATATGCATTTCTACCTTGACTTTCCCATTCAGACGAATTTCCTCTCCCATATTTAATTCTCTCCCTATATACTTATTGTAATTGTACGTTTATTTATACTATTCTTATCATAAATTTGCATCAAACCCTGGACGCCCGTACATTTTTTTTTTGTCTTCCTCTGCCTTTTTTTTTTTTTCAGCGAAAGGGAAAACGAAAAAAATTAAAAGCGAAAGCGTTTTTAAAGCCATCCTCCCTTTAACTAGGAGTAATATAGTTTCATCGAAAATATTGTCATACTTTAAGGGTTTTCCTGACTCATTTCAACGTTGAGTAACACTCCCACCCATAAGTATATCCCCCATCACTTAATTCGTTTTTTTTGTTTCTTGCAATCCAAGCGTGGTCCGTGTTGTTTTTCTTTTTCTTTCCGGCGTGTTTCTGGACGTGTTTTTGAACTTTTTCATTAGTTCTTTCATTAGAAATACCTTCTCCCAATACTCCCATATCATCAATTGATACCGACTGACATTCTTTAAATGTTTTGAAATTACTTGTGCCATTAGTTTTGTATTATTTTTTGTTGTTTTGTATTCTTGAAATTGGATTTGGTGTGATAACGGCCACTAAACCCAAAGATAAATTGTATCATATTTTGTATCATAAGAGTCTTATAATAATGGCAGCCTTAAGTATGGCAACAACAAATGGCCTGCAGATTTACCTGGCAACTTATTCAAATGTTCCAGTATTTGAATTTGTCACTTCTGAGGGCCCTATAATGAGAAGAAAGTCTGACGCATGGATAAACGCAACTCACATATTGAAGATTGCCAAATTTCCTAAAGCAAAGAGAACTAGGATTTTAGAACGAGATGTCCAGACTGGTATCCATGAAAAAGTTCAAGGTGGTTACGGTAAATATCAAGGTACTTATGTTCCATTAAACTTAGGTATGGAGATTGCAAAAACTTTTGGTGTTTATGAGATTTTGAAACCAATATTCGATTTTATTTATATAGAGGGTCAATCGGAAACTCCTCCTCCTGCTCCCAAACATAGTCATGCTTCTGCTTCGAATGTCGCCAAGAGACAAGCAAGCAATCTTGGTGCTTCTGATGAAAATAAACCAGTACCCGCCAAAAGATCTAAAAGTACTTCTGCCACTCCAGCAATGTCTGCAGCATCACCTCCAGTAAACCCTTCAACAAAAGCTTCTACTCCTTCTAACAAAGATGAACCCATGAAAAAAAGAGGTCGACCTAAAAGAGTTGCTTTGTCCAAGAGTGTTGTAAGACCTTCTCTTAAGCAAAATAATACTACACCTATAGGCGAAAGCGGACCTAGTTTTGGTACTTTTAATAATAATTCATTAACCACAAGTATCACCGGCTCACGTATAAATGAAGAATTGCCAATTCCATCGTTACAACGTCATGATACTGAACAAGATGCATTACAAGTAATGGCAAGTAATATGAATGTTAAAGATGAAGATTTAGAGTTGGCAGATAAAAGTAGTGAGGATGAACAAGATGATTTAAATCAAAATATTCATTCACACCATAATGCATCTCATGTATTGAATCATCAGAAACTAGGCCAGTTTACCCCTAGAAATTCAGGCTATTTCAAACACGAACAAGATGATGATGAGTTAATGAGTGTACGAGAGTTATTTGGTACTCCAAGAGATTCATTTGAAAGAATTGTTCATACGAATAATAATCATAACAACAACTCTTCTAGTCTTCATAATAAGAATATGGTTGGATTAGCTGCTAACCAACATTTGCAACTGTTACAAGCAAATCAACAATCGAGTCAATTTCCCATAAACCATGCAAGTTTCCCAAACCGCCTGCAATTACCTAGTATTAATGGTACACTAATTAATGGGACAACCGGACCGAATGGCTCACCTATTGGTATAATGCATGACCCATTTGGTTTACTGCAATATCACCATGATCAACAGAATCCAGAGGCAACTTATGTTAATTATTTCAAGAGTTTGTTAAATTATATATGCGAAGATGGTAATAATTCGAATCATTCTATAAATCAGAATAATGGACTTAAAGTTCGAATGAACTCAATGGATATACCAGAAAAACTTGCCCATCCACCACAACCATTACTGAAAATCAACATTAATCAACCAATTGATACCGATGGGAATACTATTTTCCATTGGGCATGCTCAATGGGGAATATAACAATAATACATTTTTTAATATCGATTTTTTCTAAATTTATAAATCTGGAAGTGAAAAATTCTAACGGAGAAACTCCATTAATGTTTTTAGTTAAATTTAATAATTCATTTAATTTGAAAAATTTTCCAAATTTATTAGATTTATTGGTTGATAGTATATTAATAGTTGATAATAGTGGTAAGACAATATTACATCATATAGCATTAGCAAGTTCAACCGATGCTAAAAAGGAAAAAGTTAGTAAGAATACTAAAAAGACTAAAGAAATATTTTCACAGTATTATATGGAATGCATATTCAATAAACTAATTGAATTCCAGGATTTCAAAATCGATGATAATAAAAAAGTCGATGAAGAAGAAAGGAAAAATCTTATAATAAAGTTCATCAACCATCAAGATTCTGATGGGAATACTGCATTTCATATTATCTCTTACTATTTAAATAAGAGATGTATTGGAATTTTTCTTCAATATATTGAATACATTGATTTATCCATAAGGAATATGGTTAATTTTACAGTTGAAGATTATATGGCATCTCATAATCATTTATTAAGAGCAGATCCAAATGAAATTAACGATGAAATTAATAAGAAACCAATTGTTATGATATCTAATGAATTAGATAATGATCAAAGGGATTCAATTAACACTCAGAGTTTTGATAGTCAATTATATTATAGCAAATTAGCCATTAATTTACATAGTTCTACAGCCAATCAAATAACTGAAAAATTAACTGAGTTATCATATTCAGTTGATAAAGAGTTGAAAGAAAAAGATGATTTAATATTGAAAAATATTAAGTATCTTAATTTAATAAGTCAAGAAAAATTAAAATCCCAAAAATCAATACTTAAATTATTTGATATGGACCATTTATTAGAGTTCACCAATATGAATGGGAAAATGACTCCTCAAACTGACGAAGATATCGAAAGTCCTATTAAGAATAATGATGAAAACACCATTGTTCAAGAAGATAATACCACTACCGGGATGTCGTTTATTGCCACCCAAAAAGATGATGATGACGATGAAACCATTACTAAACCAATCAGTCAACCACTTAGCCAACCAATCAGCCAACCAATCAATACTAATGATGAATTATTCATTAATGACGATAATCTTCGAGATTCCCTAGTCCAAGAAGAAATTGAAAGATTATCAAACGATTTAAGTTTCCTGTATTTATCCAAAAGAGAAGAATTCTTAGACAAAATCAATCAATATCAAAAATATAATGAAATCAAATTACGAAATAAATTAAATGATTTAATCAAACAGTACGATCAACCAAACGAACAACAAAAAGATGTCGAAGAACGAATCAAATATTCAATCAATTTACAACAAGAAATCTTGCGAAAGAAACAATTAGTCGACCAAACAACTAAACACCATATCGAAATTCCAATTAGTTATACTAATCAACTTGATTCTAGTGAAGAATTCAAAGAAAACCGTTTAGATGAAGATGAAGATTCAATAATCGATAAATTATCACCAAATGATAAATTATTCAAATACTGTAAATTGATTTCAATCTGTTGCAATATGAATTTTAAAGACGTGGGTAATTCAATCAACCTAATTGAACAATCCCTTGCTAAATCTTTCAATGGTCAACGTGGAGCTTAAAAGGCTTATACTTTTTACTTCTACCCTTAGTATTACTATTTTTAATTAACACTTAACAATATTTTTTTTTTGTAATCCTTATTATTCCAACAATAGAGCTATAATGTCAAAATACCTTGAGCTATTTTCTGTCAATTGGCGCAGTGAACTCTCTTTATTCTAAGTACTAAGATCAGCTACTAAGCTTTGCACACGAGCACTTCTAGTGGCTATAAAATTATGCTATAAAATCGTACTTTGCTAATACCCCAGGCAGTCTTGCCCCATCTACTAACAACACCTTGTTACTTTGCTTTAAGTCAGTGGTTGACATCTGAAAGCTGTCAAGCATTCATATAAATAGTCAGCCTTGTGAGTGCGTTACCTGCCAAACTGAAGGAGTCTTTTGTGCATCTGAGTTTTTTAGTCCTGTTCCTTTGTTATTTTTTTTTTTTTTTGTTTTGTTAGCGCCGATAAAGATATTTAGACGCCCGCAATCAAAAGTTTTTAACAACCACTTCTTCTTCTTTGGATCGAAGTGTTATTAGGCTGACTTGAAGTTACAATTGATCCAATCCAGGTTCTACAAGTGGTGAGTGCCAGAGACAATTTATCTGCGTAGCGTGCTTTGGCTTAGTGTTGGTTTGGCTGTCGCTTAGTTTCAACTGCTTGCTTTTGTTAATCGTAAATATTTGGCGTTTCACGCCTATGAACTGATCTTCGTGGTTGCTTTACGTCGTTGTTCTTGCTGTTCTTGCTGCCGTTGTGCCCAGACGCCGCTGCTTTTTGCTTTGGGCCAAGTTTGGGTTAAGTTTGGATTAAGTTTGGCGGTTTTTTGGCGGCCCTGGTTTACTGAGAGATACTTTTGATAACCAGAGATTTTCAGGTTTTTTGTGCCTTTTTTTTTTTTGTTTCACTCCCTTGTCTGAAATTCACGTCGTTTTATTTTATTTTCTTTTTCNTTTATTTTATTTTCTTTTTCTTTTTTTTTTTTTGGTTCAGATATCGCCAATAATCTTCATCGTTGTTTTTTCTTTCTTTTTTTTTTTTTTTTTTTCGTTCAATCCTTTATTAAGTCAGTAGTCACTCGACTAAAAAGACCAAGCTAGCATTCTTTTTGCTTTCTCTTCCACATTGAACCTTTTGTATCAACCGGTCTTTTTAGCATAACATAATGATGTACGGGAAACGGTATTTTCGTTTACTCGTGGCGGTTGCCATATTTTTCATTGTGGTGGTGATGATGATTAACTCATCGGAGTATCCCTTAACAGATTTATATCCACAGCAAGCTGGTTCGAATAAAAACATTGACTCTATGTTGGCCACTGCTTCAAAAGATAGTTCATCTTCAGGCTTTTTCAGTTTTTTCATACCGTCCTTTTTACGTGGAGGTTCATCTAAATTAAAGAATTCAAAATTAAAACATCAAAATTTTTATGATGTTGTTAATGCTTTCCCTCTCAATTCTTCCTTAATCGACGATAAGAAATATCACAAGTCTGAATTAACAATTTATACTGATCCTGCTAATTTAGTGAAGGAAAAATCTACTGATTTTGAATTTATTAAACAAGATATGTGCCGTGATTTAAAATTCACCGGCGACTTCAAAATTTCTGATCAAGCTTATTTAGAAGCTGATTTTAACAGTATAAAAAATGCATTAAAAGAAAATCCAGATTATGAAAAAATAATTGAAATTGCTAAAACTAGATTTAAACCAACAATTCCTGAAGAGAAACAATGGTTTAGATTTGGTGGTTCTTCAGTTTGGTTACCTCAATATAATTTACATTATATGGTTAGTCGTGTTTTGTATTCACCTTCTGGTATTCCTAATAAATCATTTGTTTCATTTTTATATATTCAATTATTTGATAAAGAGTGGAAAGAATTACCTCCCATGCAATTACAAATCCCTTATGTTAGCAATCTTGTTGAAAATAGATTAAATCTGGACGGGTCAGTTAATCAAAATATTTTAGATAAAACTGTTAGTTATCGTGAAGTGAAATATCCTTCATTTTTACCAATTCCAATTGAATATTTGACTCAAACTGAAAATGGTAAATATTATTATGGTCCTGAAGATCCAAGAATGTTAACTAGAACTAATCCTTTAGGTTTTGATGAACCTTTAATCGTTTTCAATATGAAATCAGTTAAATTAGTTAAGAGAGTTATGCATCGCTATTTACCATTTTCTCATGATTTGGCAGTTTTGAAAAAAAGAAATGAACCTTGGGCTAATATTGAAAAAAATTGGACTCCATTTATTAGTAGTACTAACTCTTCAGCTTCAGCTAAATCATTTGTTAATTTCATCTATTCAATTGATCCATTAGAAATTTTAACTTGTGAAATTGATACTGGTATCTGTGATTTCTTACAAAAACCAATTAAAGATGATTTGAATTATATTGGTCCTTTGAGAGGTGGTTCTCAATTAGTTAATATTCCATTTGATGAAGTTATTCCAAAACATATTTTAGATAAATTTGAGTTGCCAAAGAATCGTCAAGTTTATGTTGGTTGGGCTAGAGCTCATTTAAATAAATGTGGCTGTGGTGAATCGATGTATAGACCTAATTTAATTGTTTTGGTTGAAGATTATAATCCAGATACTCAAAAATTTTATTATAAATTAGGTGATGTTTCTGAATATTTCGACTTTGATAGTTATGTTCCTCCATGGACTACACCAAAATTGAATGATAAAGGTGAATTAATTGAAGAAAAAGAGCCCCCAAAACAATGTACTGGTAGAAATGTTTTAATACCTAATTCAATTGCTTATTGGAGTATTGAATCAATTGTTCAAGATCGTGTTTCTTATCCTCGTAAATATTTCCATAAAATTCCTACTTTTGAACAATTAGATGATAAAAAAGCCATGAAGGTTACAAAAGTTGAACCGGGTCATTTAAAGAAAAGAACAACTGATTATCCAATCTATTTTAATGATTATATGGGCGTTACATTATCAGCTGCAGATTCTGATGTTAGTATTGTTCACCTTAAAGGTTTTTTAAATTATATTTTAAATTTACCATCCTTGTATGATCCAAGTACTCAAGTTTTGGATGATTCATTATTTCAACCTCGTGGATACACCTTCAATAATGAATGTGCTATGGATGGTAGTCATGATTATTGTATAAGATACGCTGAAGCAAATGGGGGTGTCACAGAATATCCACCACCTGCTGAAACAGATAAAAACGGTAAGAATAATGACCAAAAGGACCAAAGTAAAGATCAGAAACAAAATTGATCAATAATTGATTCAAACATATTACATTTTCATTTCTTAACAATTATTTTCTTCATTAATTTTTCAAATGTATCATTTAGTAATAATAGAAACTTACTTATAAACCTGGAAACTGTAATATATATTTTATCCCGGTTATGGGTGGAACAGCCAATCCACTAGATGGACGTCCGCACAACATTAAAAGAAAATTTTTTTCTCCCTTATATTACCGATGTATGGATCTAATGCTACTAAAAGTTGCAAAATACCAGTATTTCTCGGTTAGAGAACGAGTGAAGAGGGTTTTCACAAAGACAAGCCTGACCTTGAATACACCCATTTTGGAGAGTTATAAAGCAACGTAGATTTCTTTGATACTTTGGCAGAGTAGTTGAAAAGCTGAAGCTATCTAATGAAAAAGTCATATACTGAAGAGAAGAGTGATATGGAGAGCGTAAACGATAAAGACTTATCGGCATCCTCCTCCAACCAAAGCGATGTTCCAATAGCTTATACTGGGAGGCCAAGAAACGATGATAGAGAAGAGGCACACAAGTCATTTGAGACGATTAGAAAGACCTTTCGGTTGTCTGGCGAAAGTAATGAGAATGATGATGGTTATAGCTGTAAAGAAATATACGGAGAATTGGATAATGATGAAATAAAGCTACAGAGAAACCAAACTAGAAATACGATTATAAGTGAATTGGCTAGTAGAAACAATCAACATGAAGATTCTCCGGACTCCAATGAAGAAATATGTAAATTAGATGATGGAGGGTTAGCCATTGATAATAACGGAGAAGAATTTGAAGCGATCGATCCGGAATTGATTACTTTTGAAGGTTTCGATGATAGGGAGGATCCCAGAAACTTTTCAAATGGTCGTAAAGTATATATTGTACTTTTTGCATCGATATATACTTTGGTTGCACCAATATCGTCATCGATAATATCACCTGCATTAACGGATATATCAAAAGAATTTGGAATTAAAAATCAAGTCATATTGGCGATGATAGTATCGATACAAATTTTAGCATGGGCCTGTGGACCTTTGGTGATTGCGCCTTTAAGTGAAGACGATACATTTGGAAGAAAAACCATTCTTGATGTATCATGTTGGGCTTCGTTTTTCTTCAATATAGGATGTGCATTTTCAAAGAATACACAACAGTTATTAATATTTAGGTTTTTAAGTGGATTGTTTTCATCAACTCCTTTGAACGTTGCCCCGGCCGTTGTTGGAGATTTATTTCCGCCAAAATCAAGAAATGTCAGTTTAGCAGGGTTATTTTTACTTCCCTTATTAGGACCGGTGATAGCACCATTGATTGGAGAATTCATTGTGATCAATTTGAACTGGAGGTGGACCCTATACATATTGTGTATAACGAACGGAGTGGCTGCAATACTTGGAACATTCTTATATCAGGAGACTTATGCCCCAACCATATTGAAGAAAAAAGCTAGGAAATTAAGAAAGCTGACTGGGAATCACAATTTGCATACAATATATGAAATATCCAACGGGGAATCAAGATTGACCAAGATGAAGATGACGGTGATCTTGCCATTGATTTTATTGTTCACTCATCCAATAGTGATTGGATTAGGTGGATTTATGGCTTTTATCTATGGCTTAATGTACTTGATGATTGTAACTTTCCCAACCATATACGGGCAGCATTATGGTTTTAGTGAAGGAGCAGTTGGGCTAATGTATTTACCAATGGGGATCGGGTTTATCATTGGAGTTATATTCTGGACCATTATATTACAAAAAATATATATATACTTGAGTAATAAGAATGGTGGCATTGGTAAACCCGAGTACCGAATCCCATGTTTATTGATAAATACTGGGTTATTAATACCAATATCATTATTATGGTACGGATGGCTGATTGAATATAAACTACACTGGATAATGCCATCGATTGGTACTGCCATTTTTGGATTTTCCTTTTGTTGTGTATTCCAGTCACTACAAGGAGTATTAATCGATAGTATTAAATTTTCAGCATCAGCATTAGCAGCATCTGCCGTTTTCAGAAGTATTTGCGGATTTACTTATCCATTATTTGCTAACATCATGTACTCCAAGATGGGTTACGGTATGGCCAACACCATGTTTGCCATTATAGCCATAGTAATTGGAGTACCTTTCCCCATAATCTTATTCAAGTATGGAGAATCGATTAGAGAAAGTGCTAATAAAAGATTGCAAAAATATCAAGATGAAAGAGATGCTAAAATTCTTGCCAAACTTTTAAGTAAATAATGTATGACCTCATATATAGGAATATAACGGATCTCTTATTCATTTGCCATTACCAAGTAATCGTATACCTTATAACACTAAAGGAATGTAAGTGCCCGTTTCTCCGTTGTCGGATTGCAGCCAATGGGTACGGAGTTTGCTGCGAGGGCAAAAACCGATCAAAGAAAAATAATAAAAAAAAAAAAAAGGGAAGGGAAACGGTCCCTAATGACAGATGACAGTGTAATAACAACAGATTAAGATGAGTGGGATACAGGTGATCGAGCCCTTGAGAACAGACAGGCTCCAGGCGCTTCCGCTCCCCAAGCAGTTGCAGCTTCTACCTCCGAACATGTTGGAGCAATTTGTCCAGCTGTACCAGTTAGTACTGGGGTACGTTAAGACGTTGAAAGGATATGAAACATGGAAGCAGGAGGTGGTTGGGGTTCTTAATGAGCAGATTGGCAAATTGAATCGAATCATCGAGATCCTAGAGGAGTATCAGGGATATGGAACTAAGATCGATGAGCAAATCCACCAAATTGAGCAGAAATTTCAGGAATTTGTTAATTTGGAAACATACCAGTACCAATTACTAAGTTCCAACTTCAACCAGGATTTCTTGAAACAAAAGTATCGTAAAATGATTGACAAAGACGGCCAAGAGGCCAACGATATAGTCAAAAGACATGGTTCGGGAGATGACGAGTTGAATGAACTAGTTCAAGAGTTCAGGGCCAGTCGCAAGCAATATCATAGAAGAAAGGAGGTCTTGAACCGATGGAGCCAGGAACGAGTAAGTGGATTTGTATAGATTACAACCCAATAAATAAATAAATGTATTGTTGCAAAAAAACAAAAAAAAAAAGCAAAATTAAAAAACCAATAGAACAAAACAAGTTCGGTGTAATGGCATACAAAGGTGGTTAATTCCCGTCTCAGCTGCTACTGGAGTTAAGCTACAAGGACCTAGCAAATCGGCATAACTTGTTCCGAAACAGCGAAGAGTTTTTGCAATCGTAATAGGAATAATTAGGTAGTAAGCACTAGATTACAAAACCATTCGTCCTATATGGGTTTAAACAGGTATCCGTTACACCTCTAGCCCCCCCGTAATTATGAAGGTATATGTAGTAATAATCTTAACTGGGTTAAAAGCAACGAAAAAGAAGCAAAATAAAAAAAAGCTCAGGACTTTATACAAGATAAAAGCAATTGAGTTCCTCCAAAGGGCCTTTTCCTCCTAATTATTTGCTTTCATATACTAAACCTTCTCCTCTTCCTTAATAGATCTGGTGTACGATTATTTATAGGCTAAACTCCAACCATCCAGAGACCAAGCTTAAATCCTTCCTTACAATCACAACTAGCCACTAACCGTGACACTTTAGCACTCAGCTTCTTGCAATCCGTCTCACGCTCCGTATTGCAATCCGGATAATCAGAACAAGTTCCAGCCTGCAAAACTCACTTCCAATAAGAAGATCCCAAAGCATAAAGGAATTTTTCACTGCGGAACCGAACAATCAGTGGAAAAGACCCAAATCTCCTCGCGCAACCACAAAATGATAAAGAGCATAAAAATTAATTGGGCCGATATAAAATTGTCTCGGTCGCCTGTGATGCCCAGCAGACATTTTTTCAGAAAATCTATTAGACTACTATCTTCTAATTCCAAACGAACCGGTATTGAAAGTTGTTTTAAAACAGGAAGCTGTCAATTGGAATCCAAGTTACTTAAACAAGAGTTTGGATATATATTGAAACCACCATCAGCAATTCCGTTAGTACCAAATACTGGTTTATTGAATCCTGGTGCAATGTTTCGTTTAACATCAAAAAGATTATTTTCAACTAGTCCAAGGGTTTGGCAATCTGCCAATGGTAAGATTCCAAAGAGTCCAGGATTACTTTCAAAATCATGGACCACGGTTAAAAGAGCCACTGGTTTAACTGTTTTTGGTTCAATGGCTTTTATTTCTTATAAAATTTGGAATGAATCTCATCCTAGTGAACAAGTTAAACAAGTTCCATTATTTGAAAATGGCCAAAAAAAGAAAACTTTGGTTATTTTAGGTTCTGGTTGGGGGTCTATTTCTTTATTGAAGAATTTAGATACTACCTTATATAATGTTGTTGTTGTTTCTCCCAGAAATTATTTCCTTTTCACTCCTTTATTACCTTCTTGTCCAACTGGTACTGTTGAATTAAGATCAATCATTGAACCAGTTAGATCAATCACTAGAAACAGTCCTGGTGAAGTTATTTATTTAGAAGCCGAAGCCACTGATATCGATCCAATTAATAATAAATTAACTTTAAAACAATCAACTACTGTTCATTCTGGTCATTCTGGTAAAGATACCGGTTCTGCTAAATCAACTGTCTCTGAGTACTCTGGCGTTGAAGAAATTACTACCTCTTTGAATTATGATTACTTGGTTGTTGGTGTTGGTGCTCAACCTTCAACTTTTGGTATTCCCGGTGTTGCCGAACATTCAACCTTCTTAAAAGAAGTTAGTGATTCTATCAAAATTAGAAAAAGATTAATGGATGTTATTGAAGCTGCTAATATCTTACCAAAAGGTGATCCTGAAAGAAAAAGATTATTATCAATTGTTGTTTGTGGTGGTGGTCCAACTGGTGTTGAAGTGGCTGGTGAAATTCAAGATTACATTGACCAAGATTTGAAAAAATGGATGCCAGAAGTTGCTAGTGAAATTAAAGTTACTTTAGTTGAAGCTTTACCAAATGTCTTAAATATGTTTAATAAAAAATTGGTTGACTATACTAAACAAGTTTTTGAAGATACTAATATCGATTTAAGAACTAATACTATGATTAAAAAAGTTGACGATAAAACTGTTAGTGCTCAAGTTAAATCTGCTAAAGATGGATCTACTTCAATGATTGATATTCCTTACGGTATGTTAATTTGGGCTACCGGTAACGCTCAAAGACCAGTTACTCAAAGTTTAACTTCAAAAATTGATGAACAAAAAAATGCTCGTAGAGGTTTATTGGTTAATGAACAAATGTTAGTTGATGGTTCTAAAAATATTTTTGCTTTAGGTGATTGTACTTTCACTAAATGTGCTCCAACTGCTCAAGTTGCTTTCCAAGAAGGTATTTTCTTGGGTAAACATTTTGCTAAATTACATGAAATTGATACTTTACAATATCAATTAGCTCACCCAACTCCAACTGATAATATCGAACGTTTAACAAAAAAATTGAGTAAATTACAAGAAAAATTACCTGGTTTTGTCTATAATCACCAAGGTTCTTTGGCTTATATTGGTTCTGAACGTGCTGTTGCTGATTTGGTCTGGGGTGATTGGTCCAACGTTACCACCGGTGGTACCTTAACTTTCTTATTCTGGAGATCTGCTTACATTTACATGTGTCTTTCTGTTAAAAATCAAATCTTGGTTTGTTTAGATTGGGTTAAAGTTTCCATGTTTGGTAGAGATATCTCTAAAGAATAATTTCTTTCGCTACAATTATTTAAATACTTAGATATATTCATCTTTATAAACTATTCAAAGCTAAATTATTTAAATTCAATAGAAAAAGAAAAACTATCAAAAACAAAAAAAAAAAAAAAAACTATACATAGAGTTTAGTGTATAATGTATATTTAATTATAAAACCAAACTGTAGGTAATCACCGAAGAAGAGTCGATGGCTTATTTTAAACGAGTCATCTGATGAAATTACACAATCGAGAGAAAATTTTTTTTGCAGTTAAATTTGAATCAATTAGGTATTTATTACGACTCCTTCAGTGAGACAATGTTACATTGTGTTACAGTCAGTTCGGCAATTACAGCCGTTGTTTGTGTGTCAATACAAAGATGTATGATTATAATAAAATAAATATCAAAAAAGAAAAAGTAATTAACAAGAATTGAAGGTGTTTTGTAACTAGGACAAATAAATAGGGTATAATTAAAAGTGGAATTCATCCAGCTCAGTATCTTTTGGATAAGTGCCATGTTTATAGGCAGGAGAAGGCTTTGTAAAATCCGGTTTGAAATCTTCAGCAGGATAAGGTAAATCTTTTGTTTTACCATTAGAAGCTTGGAAATCCAAATCATCATCAACTTCATCACTTTGTTTTGAAAAGGATTCAAAATCACTAGTAGAACGTAAAGTATTAGTATATTCTTCATCTTCATCTTCATCTTCAGAAGATGGATAATAAGTCTGTTCAGCAGTAACAATTGCTCTGACTTTACCAGGTAATACATCAGGTCTATAAAAACGAAGATCAACTCTGCCCACCAAGTAAAGAAGATTAATAATAACTTCGAATAGACCCCAACATATATACATAAAGACATTATTAGAAGCAGGACCTTCATCCCTAGCATACCGATGTTGGAAAGTAACCACACAACGACCAATAGCCCCGATAAAGATTAAAAGGGTAGTAACACAAACCATCCCCAAAGAGGTATTATGTTTCAAAGTACCTCTTTCATTTGATAAACCTTCCACCATCTTATAATGATGGTGAGTAGCAGCAATGACTCTAATGGCATGACGATGGTTATGATTACGCTTCATAAAAGTTTCTTCAGCATCTTTTGCGGCATTCCTCTTGACAAAATAAGTTGGATTGAAACTTTCAATCCACCAAGGTTGATAAGTATACAAATTTTCATCTTTTCTAGTTGGTTTGAAAAAATAAGATAACCCTAATAATGCAATTGCAGTTAAAGAATAAAGGATAATTAAAACAGCACTAAACATAACAATGATTTTATAAGCTCGGTAACTATAATTACTCAAATATTTCAAATAAGGAACAAAAGAAGCAAAAACAGTAATAATGATAATGATAACAACTAACCCGTATAAAGCAAGCATAATACCCCAAAATAATTTACGGGAACCACCAACAGGATGTCTCCAAGTAAACAATCTTTGAGCCAAGATTAAATTAGTTGAAACCAATAGAATGGAAGGAATAATTAGAAAAAATTCGTCAGTAAGTCCAAGCTGTACTAGGGTTAGATCATCACACCAAACAGCCCGGAGGATCCAGCCAACAACTCTCATTAGACAATTCAAAAACCAAACCAATGACATGATGAAATAGTGTCCTCTTGTACAATTTATGATGAACAACATTAAATGAAGTATTGCTAAAACCCCAAATACGGCAGCAAAGATGGCACTAGGCGCCTTATCTTTAGTAGTAGGATAGCTACCAAATAAATCATTTTGGTTTTCAATTTCATAATTAACAAGAAACTGGGGGAGGTCATATCCAATCAAGTTTCTTGCAAACGTAACTAGCTTATAAATCCCAGTCCCATCAGCAGCCCCATTATTTAATGACTCTATTAAATGTATTAACCCATCAAGAGCAGTATAATGATCGCCAAGTGGCGAAGAATATTGCGGTGAAGGAAATTTAACCGTAGTCGTATTCATGATTTCACTTCAGCATAAGCAGCTTCAAAGAAATACTTTAATTTTTCATTCTTCAGGAAATTATTCCATATAAAGGGTTCTCCCAGAATCAATGAAAATTGTCTTGATAGCCAAAAACTGTCAAAAATTAAATCCGTCATACTCTCAAAAGGGTAATTAAATGAAGCACTCAAAGAGTAATAAAAGAGAGCAAAAAAACAAAAAAACACAGACAATAATCCCAGTATCCATGGTCGTTAGCACATGCTGCTAATTTCAAGCGAATAAACCTCCATCGAAACAGAGCTAATCGAGAACACTAGGTGCAAGTGGGGTTCAAGGCTAGCGAATCTGTGAAGAGTGCAAATAAGGCATCCGTACACCCACCAATTTCAACCAAGACCGGAACAAAGAAAAAGAGCTGCGAAAACTAAACAGGGTGAGGTACGGATGGTTTTTGGAGAAAATTACCCGATTGGGCAAAGAACATATACAACTCCACTTAAAAGAAGAATTCATCTTCATCATCTAGTTTAGTTTGGTTCATTTTCTTTTCATGTGCATATTCGTTTGTAGGATAAGGTGGAGACAAAGGCTGAGGATTAGGTTTCGCTAAATTGTTGTAAGAATTGTATTGTTTTTGTTGTTTTTCCAAGTCTTCAGTGGTTGATGTAGTGCTAATGGTGCTTGATTCATCGGACATTTCATCATCGGATGGATAGAAAGATTGTTCAGCGGTGATGATCGACCTAACTTTCAAAGGTAAGATGTCTGGTCTGTAGAATCTCAAGTCAACTCTACCAAGCAAGTAAAGTAAATGAATGATAACTTCCAAGACCCCCCAAAAAATGTAAGCAACCACTGGTTTACATAGAGGATTTTCATGTTCATTGTATTTTGGTTGGAAAACCACAATTGCCCTACCGATTGAGCCAACAAAGATGAAGATGGTACTGAGGAAAATAATCAATAAAGATGTATTGTGTTTTAAAGCACCTCTTTCATTGGATAAGCCTTTAACCATTTTATAATGATGGTGAGTAGCGGCAATAACTCTAATGGCATGACGATGGTTATGATTACGCTTCATAAAAGTTTCTTCAGCGTCTCTTGCAGCATTTTTTTTAACATAGTAGAAAGGATGGAAACTTTCAATCCACCAAGGTTGATAAGTATATAAGTTTTCATCTTTTGTAGTTGGTTTGAAGAAGTAGGATAATGCAATCAAAGCAGCCGAAGTTAAAGAATAAAGAATAATTAAAACAGCAGTAGCCATAACAACTTGATTCCATTTATCATGAGCCGATCTACTAAGATAATCTAGATAAGGAACAAAAGATCCTAAAACTGTAATAGCAACAACCACAACCACAACTGAATATAAAACAATCATGACATTCCAAAATAACCAACGTGAACCACCAACAGGATGTCTCCAAGTAAATAATCTTTGAGCCAATATTAAATTAAAAGAAACCAATATATAAGTAGAAACAATTAAAAGAATCTCACTAGTTAAACCAACCGATATCTTAGTAATATCTTGTGCCCAAACCCATCTCGTTATCCAACCAATAGCTTTAATAATGCAATGAAGAATCCAAACTGGAGTTAACCAAAAATAATGACCTCTAGATAAATTTATACTCAATATTATTATATGGCCAAACATCAATAGAAGAAAAGCAAAAGTGAAAACTATACTTGGGGCTACATCTGCTTCAGTAGGATATGAACCAAATAAATTATTTTGAACACCAACGTTATAATCAATTAAAACTTGAGGAAGATCATGGCCTAGCAAGTTTCTGGCCCAAAGAATCAAAGGGTAAACCCCTGTTCCAGGAGCAGCACCATTATGAAGAGAGTTCACCAACAGCATAAGGCCTTCTACCGCTGTGTAAGTCATTTTTACTTAGGGTGCTAACAAGGTGTTCTAAATTGGGTGTAAAATACAATCATATATAAATATCTTCTGTCAAATTTATCTACGCCAAAGTTTTTGGGGTAACTGAAATGATTTCAGTCTCCACCCTTCTACGTAATCGTTCCCCAAAAAGATGAGTTTTGACATGAGAGATTTGCTAATTACACTTGCATCATTATTTTTATATTCAGATGATTAGATTATTAAAGCCCCTTGTTAAGATGTTAAAAAATAGTCGACCGGTTTTTACTTCTTTAGTTAAAAAGTTAATATTGTTACCTATCTTGAAGATAGTAAATATCTTTTGCCCGCTTATCATACTGACAATAATATTTTTTTCAAAGTGCCCTGTTCGCCGTTGTATTATGATAGTGTTAGGTGGAGAAACAAGCCAGAAAAGGCTGCGAAGCTCTTCTTCCAAAAAGAGGAAGACTTGCATAAGATTCTCATCTCCAGATTAGTGCTTAGGTAAGCGGAGTCAATTTCATTGTACATGGTTTATTGTATATGGGTTTGTTTTAACGTTAAACATTAGATGTATTATATATAAAAGTACACTATTTACTGGCCATTGACCTTTGTTATCCATCACGGGTATTCAATCCTGTGAAATTGAACTCCTCAATGAGAAAAGGGTATATATTATTAGGTATCAATTTGCAGCTTTTAAAAATAAAACACAGTTTTTTTTTTCATTCGAATGATTGATATAGGATTAAAAATGGAACTCTTCAGAATCAGATTCATCTTCTTCTTTGGCTTCCAGTATGAATTTATCTCTATTTGGATCTCTCCTAGGTTCTGAGTCCCTGTTGTTATAAGTATTTCTTGGTTGGTAGAATCCAAAATCATCATCTTCCAGATCATATTCTCCTTCAGTTTCAGTTTCAGTAGTATAGTATTCATATTCTTCATCAGAGTGTTCCAAAGATTGTTCAGCAGTGATGATTGACCTAACTTTCTTAGGTAGTCTATCAGGTCTATAAAATCTTAAATCAACTCTACCAATTATATAAAGTAAGTTAATTACGGTTTCGAACAAACCCCAACAAATATACATGGCAACTGGTGCACATAATTTAGAACTATTCTTTTGATATCTGCCTTGGAAAACAGTGATACAACGACAAATAGAACCGACAAAAATCAATAAGGTAGTAATACAAATGATCCACAAGGAAGTATTATGAGTTAAATCACCTCTTTCATTGGTAAGACCTTCCACGGTATTATAATGATGATGAGTGGCAGCAATCACTCTAATGGCATGACGATGATTATGATTACGTTTCATAAAAGTTTCTTCAGCTTCTCTAACTGCATTTTTCTTAACAAAATAAAAAGTTTTGAAACTTTCAATCCACCAAGGTTGATAAGTATATAAATTTTCATCTTTTCTAGTTGGTTTGAAAAAATAAGCTAAAGCCAATAAGGAAATAGCAGTTAATGAATATAATACAATTAAAACTGCTGAAGCTTGAACTGCTTTTTGATAACGAAGGTAATTTTTTTGTGATAAAAAATGAACATATGGAGAAGCTGCACACGCAATAGTTAATGCAATAACTCCCAATACCACAACGTATAAAGTAATCATGAAATTCCAAAACAATCTACGAGAACCACCAACTGGATGTCTCCAAGTGAAAATACGTTGTGCTAAAATTAAATTTAATGAAGTTAATAAAATCGATGGTAAAATAAGGAAAACTTCATCAGTTATACCAATTTTTGTTTTTGACAAATCTTTGCCCCATATGATACGAAGGATAAAACCAATAACTCTCATAAGACAATAGAAAACCCATCCTAATGAAAGCCAAAATCGATGTTTTCTTGATATATTAATCATGAATATTAATAAATGTAGAAACATTAAAATTGCAAATATAGCAGCAAAGATTGCTGACGGTACATCATCTTGCGAGTCCGGATAATCTCCAAAAAGATTAATTTGATATGCTGATTGATATTGTAATAATGCATCTGGAACAACTGGTCCCAAAAGATTATGGGATTGTTCTACCAAAAGCAAAACTCCAGTTCCTAGCGCTGGATAGTTGTTTTGATATCTTAACAACTGAGAAAACCCATGAGCAGCAGTATAATCAGTAGCTGACATCCTGGACTTTATTCAAATCAATTTTTTCTTTACCAAGTACTTAGTTTTCAATCGGGTATTCAATGGGGGATTTACTTGGTCTTTTTGGATATTAATGGTAAGTGAATGCTGATGCAAAGACGAAAATGTCTTATAAACGAAGGAAGAATCAATAACTATTTCAAAAAAGATCTCTATGATTTGCCCTGTGAATTTTGAAGAAATTGATCTTACTCTAAGTTATATATTAAATTTCGCAATGAATCCCAAATTTCCCTTTTAGGAAAGTTTATGATGTTCAAGACAAATCACTAATTTTCTCTACAATAGTTCCTCTAGGATCAAAACCTAATTAGTCCTTATTTTTTCTCTCCAAGATAGTGCAGCCCAAAGCCTCTTGCATCTGGCTATCCCGTATAGGCAATGAACTGGGAATAAACTTTTGATTGTTACAACCCTTCCCGAGCTCTACAACATTTCTATTGACTTTTGCTCCTTATTAGACTTCTCCTCGAATGATACTTTCCCTCTCTCTGTCCCCAGAAGAGTCCTATTAACAATGCTACTGTTGCATCATTCTGCCATTAAGCTTCATGTCGATTGTGTCGAAGACATGTAGAAACTTCCTAGTTTGGTAAATGAGAAAATGCAGCATTTACTTTTTTTGTCTTTGAGTCTCATCTCGTCAAAAACCCAAACAAGAAGTGATAGTTTTTTGGTGTATGGGCGTGTGTGTTCATTGATTCGTACACCACAATTGATATGGTACGGACACTCCCGGTGTTTTCTTTTTTGGTATGTACGGGTGTATTGTTTGATTCATCAGAATGAAAGACGCGTTGGAGTAAAGCATCTATAAATCATGTTAAATGGACAATGCCTTCGACTAGAGTAGACTATTCTGCGGTTCATGAGGCTCTCAAGCTGGAGAAGAGCGAACCGTCGTCTTTTGATGAGATAATATCGACGCCATACGGACTTTCCATTCTAGAAATACAAGGAGAGTTAAATCTCCCCACGTCATTGAGTCAAGAGCAGATTGATAAAAACCCGGAAGGAGATTACGTTTCCAATTTCGCTAAAGTTGATGATATTTACTATGCAGTCAAGTTTGGGAAACTTGATTTTGATCCTAAAGATTCTACCAAAGTCACTTTATTTATTGGGAAATCACAACGTTTAATTGGTAGCATGGTTAATCTAAATCCGCCGCTTGGAGTGATGAGAATACCTCATAATGAAGATAACGATGAAGAAAACAGTGAAGATATAAAGATTGTTGATATAATTAAGAAGAAAATTATCTTCAAACACCGTCCATTACCAATTATGTAATCTTACTTCTACTTCGTGTAATATAAGACTTGTATATTAAACTCTAAATAATACATATTTTTTCCAAATTAAAATTTGGCCAAATGACTTTGATGGGTAATATGAGAACTGTTTTTGAAAGTTAACTCATCAGATACTATTAAACGATTATATATGACTTTAATATCGTCTTCTGAAAATCCAAGTTGATTTTTCAAATATTCAATGATATTACCGTATTTTTCATTAAACAATTCAATAGTAGCCAACATTGCTTCATATCTTGAACTAATCAAATTTTGGAATCCATCATTTTCAACCGTCCAATCTTGTCTTCCTTGTTTAATCATATCTTCTATATCAGAAGCATTGGCACCAAATTTCTCCTTCATATGATTAACGTTTTCGATAAAATCCTTCTTCAATATAGGATGATCGCTTTTCAATCCAATAGTAGTTAATTCATATTCCTTAGCAATAGTATTCTTATCAACTCCTAATAATAATAGTATCAACATTCCAATAATCCCGGTACGATCTTTACCAGCCGTACAATGGAATAAAAATGGCCTACCGTCATCTCTAATATATTTAAATACAGTCTTGAAGGATTCAATTCCCAACTCTAACATATCTTCATAAACGTGAACATAAGTACTCCAACTCGTCATCAAATTCGTATAACGAAGGGCAATCAGTTGAGGTGAGTAATCGTCTTTTGAAAAAACTGGGGCATGAACTCTTTTTACTCCATATTTCTCTAAATTCTGTGGTACTCCAGCTTTAGCACATTCACCATCTGATCTTAAATCAAACATAACTTTAATGTCAAGCTCTTGTAAAGTTTTCTTTCCCTTTTCAGTTATGTAAGCTGTGTTTGCACATCGGTAAATATACCCTGGTTTCACATAAAGATTCGGCTTGATTGAAGAGTCAATTGAAAAGGTCGGTTTGGTTATTTTCCATCCTCCAGAATCTCTGAAATTAGAAACCCCTTCAACTTGTTTCCATCTTGATACATATCCAATAGTAGATGCACTTTGATAGAATCTGTTTAGTTCATTTTCTGGTTGTAACCATTTTATAATATACGATGTAACCAACTGACTGTAATTCACCAATTTTTTACTAGTCAATGGAAGATTATTTGGATTGTAATCTTGTTCATCTCCAGGGGTCTCAATTGGATGAATACCATAAAAATTATGGTCTGCACCAGGAATTAGCTCAAGACGGTGAGAATATGGGCCTCGGTTTAAAGCATTGGCAAAATGTGCTGAGTCAACAATTGGAACAATGGTATCCTCTAAACCATATATACTCAATACTGAAGTATCCATTGATAATCCAGGTAATTTCGAAAGATCGGCATGGTATAAACTTAGAAGTTCTTCTCTTGGAACTGAGACAACTTGAGTCTTACCGTATCTATAACATAATTGGGGTAAATCTTGAAACTCTTCATCGAATATTGGATATCTATCCAAAACTGTATGCAGTTGGTACCTTGATGAACAATTCACAATATTAGGAACAATAAATGCTTTAGAAGGATCAGATTTTAGTATTTCATTTTGTTCAATGCTCCATAAAAATGTAGCTAAACTTCCTCTGGAATGACCGATTATTGAAGATAAGACGAAACTGATCCCCAATGGATTCTTCAGTTTGTCAGTAATAAACTCAGCACACGTTTGAATGTCTTCGATATCTTGTTTCAATATGCGGCCTTTTTTAGAATCAATGTTTTCAGCAGAATCTCCGCTTCCTCTAAAGTCGATTCTCAATGAGTAGATACCCAATTCTAACGCCAATGCATGCGCTACATGTCTTTGATAGCAGTAGTTCCTATGGCCCCCTTGGCCGTGTAAGATAAGTGCCATCTTATGTGTTGATGGAGCAAGACCTTCGGCAAATGCATTTTCACTATCCACCGAATGTGGAACTGCAATAGTCCCCTTGATCCCTTTGTCAAGAGTTACCTCAATCTCTCTTGGTGGGTTAACTTTCACTGTCATAACAAGGTATAATATAAGCTGAAGTCAGTAATCTTCTCGAATGAAAGCACTCAACCTTGGTTTTATACTTCAGTTTTGATTCAGTCGATGAGAAAAAAAAACATTATCCCCACGGATGTTGCACTCATTCCTTGTGATTTTCTCTCGTTTAGCTTATTTTCTACCCAAAAAACTTTCACTGTATAATCATCATATGATACATTAAAGAGAAATACTTCTGGTATGAGTGTCCGAAAAGAGCATGATAGAGACGCTTACACTCAGCTAGGAAAATATCTCAGTGAGAGACATTCTGATCAATTATCAACACAATTATCTGTATTTCAATCTGCTCTTATCAATTTTGCTAGTGAACATGGTGAAGAGATCACTCGGAATCCAGAATTTCGGGCAAAGTTCACCCAAATGTGTCAGCTGGTTGGGGTGGACCCTCTTGAGCTATTGATTTACTCCAACGCCAGTAACAAGTGGACTAATGTGGAAAAGAATGATAATTTTTATGTTGGTCTTTCAGTTAGAATTGTCGAAGTGTGTCAACAGACTCGTGATGTCAACGGTGGATTGATATCCATGAAAGAACTAGTATCTCGGGTTCTGGAGAATGTTAATTTGAAGACCTCAATCACAGAGAATGATATACTGAAAGCATTGGGTTTACTTGATACCTTGGGTAATGGCTATGAAATCATACGGGTAAATGATCATAGTTGGCTTAAGTACGCTTCGGCATCTTCTGGCGGTAATAATGGTAATATCTCTAATGATCAAAGAAAAGTTCATGATTTATGTGGTTTCATGGGTGGTTATGTAACTTACAGATTATTACGTGATAATTATGGTTGGGACAAGTTACGTTGTAAATCGGTAATTGATGACATGATTATGAATGGGTTTCTATGGGTTGATGCTCAGGGTCCTAAGGGGAGCTTCCAATATTGGGAACCATCTTGGATTTCTAATTAAGAAAGATAAAATAACGTTCAAATCATTAACACTATTCACTACACTATAGTCTATTTACTTTCAGCATCCTCTTCAAGCTTACGTTTCTTCTTTTGTCTATGACGTTCATTGACTTCTTCAAATGTTGCACCAAACTGTCTTTCTAAGACAGGTACATAGTTTTTGAAAGCTCTCCCAACTCCGTCACCTGCATTTATACTACCAACACCTTCTATAGGTTCCAATTTTTGCTTGATGAAAAACCCTTCCATCATCTCAACCATGTGAGCTTTTACTTGGTAGTCTAAGGCAAGTCCATTCATCTTAGCATACTCCCGAGTTAACTTCTTGGTATTACTTTCAACAATCCATTCCATTTCTGGGAAAATACAATCATATAAAACTAACGGAAGATCATGAGCCATCATATAATTAGGTCTAGATGGATATTTTTCAACATTCATTAAATCATCTACTAAAGTAGGTTTTTCTAACTTTTGACCCACTAAGAATAATACTGCTATCATACATCTGACTTGATGCCATAAAAAGGCAGATCCTTTAAGATCAAACACATAATAATCATCTTTCAAATGTATAATATTAGCACTGTAAACTTCACGAAAATAATTAGTAATTTGTTTAGATCCATCAATTTTGCAGAAATTACGGAAGTCGTGGACACCTTCATATTTATTAGCGGCTTCTTGCATCAATTTTAAGTCCAAATCGTCGTTCTTAAATAGGTATTTGTAATGTCTGTATTTGCAGCTAAACCTAGCATCAAAACCGGTTGGTGGGCGCAAACAAATTGCAGTGATTCTAATATCCGTAGGGAGTAAAGAATTCAAAATCGTGACATAAGGTATTTCCTTGTTATCATTTTCAATGGATGATTGATCCTCCGCTGATAAATTTGATCTTACATCAAGAGATATGACTTGATTCATTGCACTCACACCTTTATCGGTACGACCACAGCGACTAAAGTTACAGGCAGCAGGGTCCGCTTCCAGGACTAATTTTGCGATGGCCATGGCTTTGAGTATTTCTTCTTCCACCGTAGGTAAAGGAGTCGGTTCATTTTGAAAATTAAGGCCATTATAGTTCCACCCCAAGTAAGCAAACTTCAATGCAATGAATCTTTTAGGATGCTTGGAGAAATCAAACTGCTTCGGCTTCTTCTTTTTCTGAGTAACATCCTGCTCTTTTGTCTTTTGAGTTTCGTTATTCTGGGTTGTTTGCAAAGTAGATGGGCTATCTTCGGATCTTTCAAGCTCTTTTATTTTGTCAATTAATTGTTGTTTAGACCATTTTTCATATTCATGCTCCATGGTTCGAGAAGCAGATCCTCTTTCTGTCTTCCAAATATAGCTGATTGCCCTCTTCAACATAACTAGATTGAAAGGAGTGACACTCTTGGAATGAATTTGGTCTACCTTCGTGTTTCGATTATCTCATCGCATTTTTTTTTTTTAATTTTTTTTTTTGCAGTGTTTTCTCTATACCTTTATAATTTTTCACAAATCAGTATAAGCTACCGTTCTTAAAAGCATATCCAAAAGCATTATGGAGAAAAGAAGTGGATCACTTTCGTGGGATAATCTCAAGTGTGAACTTCACCCATGGATTAAAGAGGCTATTAAGTCGTTGGGTTATCCGACGATGACCCCAGTTCAAGCATCAACGATTCCTCTTTTCAGTGGTAATAAAGACGTTGTTGTTGAGTCCGTCACTGGATCAGGTAAAACCCTTGCGTTTGTTATACCTGTATTACAGAAAATCTCCAATAGGCTTCATGGCTCATTAGACCAGATCAAGGAAGAGGAAAGCGATATTGAACCTGTGAAGAAAGGACATATGCTTGGGATAATTATTTCACCTACTAGAGAATTGGCAAACCAGATCCAGCTGGTCTTCGATAAAGTTCTTGAATATCTCCCAGAGGATAAGAAGCAAATTAAAACTCAGTTACTCGTTGGGTCTTTATCTTCGGTAAGAGAAGATTTGGATCATTTCCGTAAGCATGGATCACATATCCTTATAGCAACACCAGGAAGAATTCTTGATTTTTTAAGTTCTCAATATGTGAAGACTAATTCTGTTGAGATTGCTGTATTAGATGAAGCTGATAAGTTGTTGGATATGTCTTTTGAAAAGGACGTTATGAATATATTGAAAAGATTACCCAAGCAACGTCGTACGGGGTTATTTTCAGCTACATTATCTGCTGCTGGTGACTCTATTTTCAGAACTGGTATGTCAAACCCTGTCAAGGTGGCCGTTAAGTCTAAAGCCACCCATTTAAACTCGGCACCTGCCTCATTGAATATTAGCTACATGTTGGTCAGCCCTGAAAGAAAAATCACAACCTTGCTCAAGTTGTTGCAAGACTATAAATATCAAAAATGTATTGTCTACTTTCCTACTTGTGCTTCCGTTAAATATTTTTACTCCGTTTTCCAAAGACTTGTCAACGACTCTGGATTAGAATTTTTTTCATTGCATGGACAATTGTCTACTCAACCCAGATTGAAGACTTTGCAGAAGTTCACTGAAGGGGATATAAACATTGGAAAATATGTCTTAATGACAACAGATGTTGCTGCAAGAGGTATTGATGTCCCAGATGTGGATTTAGTTATACAATTAGATCCTCCTACTGACCCGGATGTGTTCTTGCATAGATGTGGTAGAACAGGGAGAGCTAACAAAGTAGGACAAGCAATTTTTATGTTGAATGAAAACTCCCGTGAAGAAGACTACATTGACTTTTTGGAAGTGAAAGGTGTTGTAGTAAAAGACATGAAAGCTCCCGAAGTAAATACCAGTCATGACAAATTTCAAGAAAATTTCAGAAAGCATGTTCTCGAAGATAGGGCAAGGCATGAAATCGCTGTGAAAGCATATGTTGGGTTTGTCCGTTACTATTCTAAGCATGTTGCATCTTCAATATTCAGATTACAGAGTCTTGACTATTTAGGTATTGCCAAAATGTATGGTTTAATAAGACTTCCTAAAATGCCTGAAACAAAATATATACCGAATGAGCTTATGCCAGAGGATGGGTGGCTTATAGATCCACCAATAGATATGGACACCTACTCTTATGCTGACAAGGCTAAAGAGGAAAGTAGATTGACCAACTTGCAACTGGAAAAAGAGAAAAAGGCCAAAGATGCTAAAACTCGTAAACTATTAAAAGTTAAAAATGAAGCGTGGTCTTCTAAAACCGAGAAGAAAGAGACTAAACAACAAAGAAGAGAAAAGTCAAAACGTAAAAGAGAAGCAATTGAAAAACAAATCATGGAAGAATCTTCAGATGATGAAGGCACTGAAACTGATTGGAAAGAGCTTGTGCAAATGAACAAAAAGAGCAAAACTAATAATAATGTTCAAGGGTCTTTCGATGATTTATGATTACTATATATTATATATAAAATGCATTAAATATAATCTTTTAAAATTTTGTATTGATTATACTTTCCATTTTTCGCTGACCGACCTTATTCCATCAAATACAAATAGATTGTCAAGGGGGATATATTGACCAGTTACAATTTTCAATATTTCCTGTGATGCAATTCCACCCATGAAACTACTCATATTATGATAGGATGTAGAATTATGAGCCAAAACTTCTCTGAAAGTTAAGACCACTGAATTAGGTAGATTTCCAACTAGTATAGATGGAGAAAAGTTGTCTACAAACAAGCCTGTGAATCCATCGAAATCATCAGTAGTCGGTATTCTTCCATGGGTTTGTATGAATAAGTTAAAAGTCAAAATTGCAAAGTGGATACTTAATATATTGTATTGGTCAGTATCAAATTCACTTCCTTTACCTTCTAAAACTTTTTTGATTAAATAATTGTTACAAAGATCTTTGGATCCTTCAGCAACATGCAATAATGCAGTATTTTTACAAAACGTTGCAATCAGGGCTTTATTAATTCCTTCTTCTGATCTCCCAGCATTTTCCAAAATTTTTAAAACCTCGACGGTGAATTCATTCATGTCTTTCAAAGCTTTTTCACGATAAATGGATTGTATTTTGATATAGTTTGTTGTATCAGATGCCATATCAGGTATATTACCAGGAAGAGGAAGAACATCATTCTTTATTACGAAATTTTTGAGAGCTTTGACATAAATCCAAAACATTGGTGTGTGGTAATTCAAATTCCCATCTTTAATCTTCGAATGCTCGAACAAGTTAAGAATTGGTTGAGGTACCCTGGTAGATTGTAAAGCACGATGAACAGATTGAGAAGCTTCGATAAAGTTCGTTTCAGATTTTATATCTCGTGATAAGGCCTCAACGTAATCATATCTAAAAGATTTCTTTTCTGGATAAGTTCTTGGAGGTAGGTTATTATGATCCTGTTTCCAAGCAGTTAGAGCTTTCAAAAAAATAACAATATACGGAATATGAGCATGGTCGGTATCATCCAATTCATTTAGGTGAATCGAGTCCGCATAATGTTTCAACTCTTCCCATGGGTTGTCTATTCTTAAATCAAATAATCTAGAAGGATCATGAGTTTCGACAACCGTTGTTTCTGGCATTATTAATTTCAACGATCCATAAAAGGCAAGGGTATTGAGCACAAATAAAGGAATCTTTATATTCCAGGTGATGTCTTGTAGCTTATCTAAATCATCAGACGAAATGAAATCACATACAACCACTGCACTGAATTGATTCCAAAACTCAGGTGATTCATTTTTGAGTATGTTATTCAAATTATCATTCATAGCGTTTCCTTGTACATCAGTATTCAATTCAACTAATTTTTCTGTCATTGCCGTAGCCAACGGTTTGCCTATATCTTCATCGTCTAAGAAAAAGTTACCAGATAGAGAATTGGGAGTAACTGGTAAGTCTGAAATTATAGTAAACTGGCCGATTCCAGGTAATACTAAATTTTTCAACAATTCTGAGCCAGTTGCTGTTGCATTGATCAAGCATATACTTGAATCCTCCAATTTCTGCTGGCCAGTTGATTCCCATAGTCTCAATTGACGATCATACTTAGTTGATTTATCTATACTCATTATAGAATGGGAATTTGCTGATTAGAAGCAATTGCTTAGTTATTGTTAACAGAAAAAACCGAGCTCTCAGGTCGATTTGAGAATCTACAAGAAAAAGCAAAAAACAAAAAAAAATTGCAACATCTTTTTTACAGTACCAACTTATTATACAAGAGATTACATGATTATACACTTTTCTTTACCCACGACTTCATCATACCTTTCTTTATCCCTTTCTTTCAATTTTTCTTTGACTTCAAGTGGGAAGTAAGTTTTCATTAGGGCCATTGACTTTAGGTCTAGATTGGTGGAATCAGCTTTTACAACTGCATTTTCATGTCTGCAAATTGGGCAGTTTGACTTGTCTTGTTGTTTCAATTTGACCAAACATCTCACGCAAAACACATGACCACAACTCAATTTTATTGGTTTGAAGGCAACCGAGGTACAGATTGGACAAGTATAATCATCCAATTGGGGTATCAAGGTTAATACCGACGTTTGCATGATATAACAAATTGATTGAGCCAAAGATGCACCACTGAAAAAGACATGGTCATCATTGATTAATTTAGGGAATCTATTTTTCACGTTAAGGGAAGTTTGCTTATCGAACTTTTTCAAAATTTTTCTAAAAGCTTCAGTATTTATTGATTGGAATTGTAAAACCTTAAGTAAGTGGTAATTCATTGATATGAATTGATTAAAGACTGCTAATGATTTTTTCTTCTTGAACTGGTCTGTTATACCTGACTTGGTCACCCTATTCACAAACTCTTGTAAGTTTTTTTTAATTTGTTCAGCGTTTCTTTCTGATGCACTTGAATTGGTTTGGTTGTATTTGAAATAGACTTCAGAATCTAAATATATTTTGAATAATTCTCTCCATTTATACAAGTCTGTTTTTTTCAACGATACGTTTGGACTGGATAAACTTTTCACCGAGTGACTTATCGAGTCTACTTGAGATATTAAATTTGATTCTTCCTTTGATTTCAAGTCATCCAAAGATTCTAATTCTTTATTCAACATTTGGAAAAACTTAGTATCTGAATTCAACATGATTACAATTTCGTTGGTTTTGCTTTGTTTTGGAACTGGTTCCTTGGTTTCAGTAATAGTTTTATCTAACGATTTCGAATTATTCAATTCAAAGGGCTCTGGGGATCCCAGCCTACTCGGTATGCTATGAGTTGTTTGGGGCGATAGTATAAGTTTGTCCCCTTCTTCTTTAATCTCAATAACTTGTTGTTCAGTATTTGGTTCTTCATGATCATCATCAGCAAAATCATCATTATTCAATAACATTTCAATCTTATGCTTAAGTTGTAATCCAACTTCATGAATATGATCATCCGTATACTCATCATCATCATAATTCAATGTTATCTTGAGGTACGGCAATATCGGCTTGGATTTATCATTTGACTTAGTCAAAGTGTATTCTGCAATTATCGGATTATTTGGTAAAGTCTCATGTTGATCAACTTCAATGATCTTTTTAGTCCCATCTTCACTATTTGGATCCTCTAGTAAAAACTTAAGTGTATTCTGCTCTAGCCCTAAAAACTTTAACTCCCGAACAACTTTGGTGATACACTTCTTCAATGACTTATATTTAATGGCTGCCTCTACCCATTCTTCTGGTATATCTTCTTCAACAAGCGTTTGTTGTAAAACCTTAGCAAATTTCATATTAATTGGATAACTAATTAACTTTAAGCTTCAATCTGACATAATCTAAACTGGCCGACGTCCTATCAAACTTAATAACCAATGTGCTAGCCAACCTTATAACTAAAGAGATTCGAATCTTGTAGTAAATTGAAGAGATGCTCTTTTCAATATAAAACAATAGCCTCGCCTGCTAAACAAGAGACCGAAATAGAAAAAAAAAAAAAAATGCACTGACAGCAAAACCGCACAATCATCTAAAAGCTCCCGTAAAAAAATGTCACCTCAGACCGCCTTTTGAAATGGCTTTGGGGCTACTCTTTACATGTGTATCGGGACCAACGTGGGTACCCTTTAAATAGGTAGGTTTAACCTATGCGTTTTGGTGTTTTTATGAGAAGGCAGTTTCAAGAGAGGGCGACGCAAAAAAAATCAGAAAAAGTAAATTCCGATACCGGGAGTCGAACCCGGGTTTGCTCGGTGAAAGCGAACCGTGCTAGCCGTTACACTATATCGGACAATTTATACAAAAAATTATCTGAGTGCTTTTAAACTATACATTCTTATGTTCTTTTTAAAAGACTTCTTTTAAAAAAAATCCCGATAATTATCTGCCTTTTGAATGTTTAAACAATAGTTTCGTGCTTATATGTGCTTATATTCATATTAGGTTTGGTATCCAAAAGTTTTTAATGGATTGGCAGAGAAAATATTGCTGCAGAGTGCTATTCTTGTAAGACCAGGTACCGTAGTCACTGCCGCTCGATTCTTTTCTGGTACTTCTAACTGATTCGTATGTTTGATTTGAACTACAACAGCCTTGTTCTTCAATGTACCCGTGGCTCGACTGGCTTACTAGAATTTTGCAATACACTTTCACAAAAAAATTGCAAGCTTTTGCTACGGTTAGTCAAGAAATTCCCGTGAATACATTGAAACCTGTGAGACAGGCTCTCGCCTGTCTGTAGATATTTAGTCAGCATCTATTCAAATACTGTCAAGACCCCACAAAATACTCTTGTAATGAATAGATATATGTTTATTCAAAGAGATTCGTCAAACAATACGGCTGGTGGCCGGAAACGAGAACTACGTCACATGGCAAGACCTTACTCTTGATAATTACAATCCCTTTGCATTCAAATTTGTGAAGGCTCACTAATCCCCTTATCAATACACAATTTTTCTCAGATTATTCCAAAAATTTGAAAAACCCATGGCATCGTTATATGATCCAAACCATATCCACGATTAAAACAAGTGAAGCGGATGCAATGGCTGCATTGGGCATTCTTTGCCATGGTCGACTTTTTTGCAATCATTATCCCTAACAAATTCTCGAATCTTCTTTGAACAAGGGCTTAACGATAAAGGCGCACCGAAAAAGTATCAAAGAACCAAAAAAAAAAAAAAAAAATCGAAAGCATGTTTAGAACGAAGGTGTCTTCTTTTACTCAATAAGATAACCAAAGCTACGCCAGAATGGATTTAGAATTAGAGCCAAGCTTAGAGTCAATAATCACCCAGGATTCTTTAAAGTGGATTTTTGTTGGTGGTAAAGGTGGTGTTGGTAAAACCACTACGTCATCATCAGTAGCAGTTCAATTAGCTTTAGCACATCCAAATGATCAATTTTTACTTATTTCAACTGATCCAGCACATAACTTATCAGATGCATTCTGTCAAAAGTTTGGTAAAGATGCAAGACCGGTTGAAGGATTATCAAATTTGTCATGTATGGAAATTGATCCCGAAGCAGCAATGAGTGATTTACAACAACAAGCTCAACAATATAATAACGATCCGAATGATCCTTTGAAAAGCATGATGAGCGATATGACTGGATCTATTCCAGGTATCGATGAAGCATTATCATTTATGGAAGTTTTGAAACATATTAAAAATCAAAAAGCTAGTACTAATGATTCAAATGAAAAAAATGAAGCAATTTCTTATAAAACAATTATATTTGATACTGCACCAACTGGTCATACTTTACGTTTCTTACAATTACCAGCCACATTAGAAAAATTATTATCTAAATTCAAAGATTTAAGTGGGAAACTTGGTCCAATGTTGAATATGTTAGGTGGTGGTCAACAACAGGATATGTTTGGTAAATTGAATGAAATTCAAGTTCAAGTTGCGGAAGTTAACGAGCAATTCACCAATCCTGACTTAACCACATTCATTTGTGTTTGTATTTCGGAATTCTTATCATTATATGAAACTGAAAGAATGATTCAAGAATTAATGTCTTATAATATGGATGTTAACTCAATTGTGGTTAATCAATTATTATTTGCTGAAGGTGACGAATCCTCTTGTAAAAGATGTGAATCAAGATGGAAAATGCAAAAAAAATACTTGGATCAAATGGGTGAATTATATGAAGATTACCATTTAGTTAAAATGCCTTTATTAGGTTGCGAAATTAGAGGGATTGAAAATTTGAAAAAATTCTCTAAATTCTTAATCAAACCTTACGATCCAAAAACTGACGGTGGTCTTGTCTTTGAATTGGAACAAAAATAACTCACTCAAGTGTAGATCTATGTATATATTTCTAATAAATATATGGTGCAAAAAATCACCTGTAAACCGGTGTCTCAGAAATTTCCACACCAAAAACAAACAAAAAAACGAAAAAAAAAAATCGGAAAATGAAAAATCTGCCGTATTTAAGTCTCGATATTTCTCAGTCAAATCATTTTTTTAAGTTACTTGCACCTATTGATTCGGGAATTTTCATCATCATGGCTAGAGGCAACCAAAGAGACCTTGCAAGAGCTAAGAACTTGAAGAAACAACAAGAAAACCAAAAAAATCAGAAAAAATCAGGAGATCCTTCTAAAAGAATGGAAAGTGATGCTGATAAAATGAGAAGAAAACAAGCAGAAGGTATGTTTAGATAAATGTAGCATTTGATATACCTTTACTAACCTCCATGTAGCCGATGCCAGAAAAGCAGCTGATGCTGCTAATGGTAGAAAGAAATAATCATATTGGTAAATTTATGATCTATAGTTATTCGACTTGTTGATTGTTTGACTTTTTTCTCTTTTATGATTGATTTTGAATACTGACGAAATAAACGAAATTGTTACTGGCTTTTAAAAGTAAATTGTAATCGTTAAATCTACGGCTTATATTAGTCGTATTCGATAAAGAGACCAGTGGCACGGGTTGAATTAAACCAAAACCAACAAAACAAAAAAAAAAACGACAAGCTTCTTCAGAAAGACTTATCCTTTGAAGCATCTTATCAATTGACTTCAACATGCTTATCAAGGAATCATATCACGATGTGAAAACCTCCTATGGTACCACCATGAGGATTTTTGTGTATCATCCTACTATTCCTAACTACCCCAATGTCAAGTTTCCCGGGGTAGTTGTTCACAGTGAGATCTACCAAGTGACTGGTCCAGTTTCGAGATTTGCAAAAGATATTGCTGGCCAGGGGTTCATAGTTGCATGTCCATCTATTTTCCACAATTTCGAATCACATGAACCTTTGGCATACGATGTCGAAGGTACTGATAAAGGTAATAAATATAAAATTACCAAGGAGTTAAAGTCGTTTGATGAAGATAATAAACTTACCATCGATTACTTATGCTCATTACCTACTTGTAATGGATCCATTGGAAGTCTGGGAATGTGTCTTGGTGGACATGTCGCTTTAAGAACAAGTTTTGATAAACGTGTTAAAGCTGCAGTTTGTTTTTTTGCAACTGATATTCATAATCATGCGTTGGGATTAGGCCAAAATGACGATACTTTACAAAGAATCAAAGAAATTAAGGGTGAAATCATTATGATCTTCGGTTGTAAAGATAATCATGTCCCACCAGAAGGTAGAGACCTAATTAGAGGTACTTTTAGAGAAAATAATATCGATATGACTTTTATTGAAATTAATGATGCTCAACACGCTTTTATTAGAGATGAATTGAGTAAAGGTAGATACGATCCTGCCACCACGAAAAACTGTATGGAGTTTTTATTTGAATTATTCAACAGAAAGTTGAAATTGGAATATGGTGACCACGACGGTCAAAAAGAAGTTATTGAAAATGTTTGTTAATCTTTGTAGTTAGATATATATAAATGCACGGGTGTCACGTGACGTGGCTTACATAATTCTTTTTTTTTTTCTTTTATGTGTAGCATCGTTCAACAAAAAAGAAGTGAAAAAAAAAAGTGAAAAAATCAAAGTCAAGATAGATTTACCAATCATTCCCTAAACCAAAGAAGAAAACGGATCAAGACATAATGAGACCAATCAAATTAATGGGGCATGAGCGTTCCTTGACTCAAGTTAAGTTCAACAAGGAAGGGGATTTAATTTTCTCCGTTGCCAAAGATAGTTCTGCATCCATTTGGTATTCATCAAATGGTGAAAGATTAGGAACTTTAGAAGGACATATGGGTACTATTTGGTCGATTGACGTTGATTCCAATTCCACCTTAGCTGCCACTGGTAGTGCCGATATGACTATAAAATTATGGCAAGTATCAAATGGTGAATGTGTATACACTTTTGATATGCCAACACCAGTTAGAAGAATTGCATTTTCTCCAGATAATAAAAAATTATTAGCGGTTACTGATCAAGTTATGGGTCAAATCGGTACCATTACTGTTCTTAATATAAATAACGAAGAATTATCCAACCAATCATCAGAACCAGCTTTAATCATTAAAACCAGAGAAGATGCTAAAAAAGTTACCATTGCCGGTTGGTCAGACAATGGTGAATACATTATTGCTGGTCATGAAGATGGTTATATTTCCAAATACAATGGTAAAACCGGTGAATTCATTCAAACCGTTCAAGCCCACGGTATTCATAATGAAGAAAAAGTTCTTGCAGTTACTGATATACAATTTGCCCCTGAAGATAAATCATACTTTATTACTGCTTCTAAAGATAAATGTTCTACTTTAATTGACGTTGAATCTTTCGAAATATTAAAAGTCTATAAAGCCGATGCTCCAATGAATACTGCTGCCATAACCTCTGTTAAAGATTTTGTTATATTAGGTGGTGGTCAAGAAGCAAGAAATGTTACTACTACTGCTGAATCTCAAGGTAAATTCGAAGCAAGATTCTATCATAAAATTTTCATCGATGAAATCGGTCGTGTTAAAGGTCACTTCGGTCCTTTAAATACTATTGCAGTTCATCCAGAAGGTACTGGTTATGCTAGTGGTGGGGAAGATGGTTTTATTAGATTGCATTTCTTTGATAAATCTTACTTTGATTTCGAATTTGACGCCGAAAGAACTGAAAGAGCTATTGCTGCAGGTGCTACTTAGTTTAACGTCATATTAATGTGATTAATCCAACTACTTAACGTCATAATTTAGAAAATAAAAAATGAAAAACCATATAAAAAAAATTTTTTTTTATTAAGAAGAACTCTGTCTTCCAATTATAAACTTTTCTGATTTACTCTAGTGAATCTTGTATAATAATCTTTCAATATTATGTATATCTTTTCGATCTATTTGTAAGCAGTGGTGGCAAGAGTGGTTTCACTTACCTAATGACTGTTAAAAGTAATTAGAAAACATAAGGTGTACGGGTGAGTAGTTCTCGGTGATTCTTTCTTATTCTGGAAGCTTCTAGACAGTTCCTGATAGAGGCTGCAAATTAAGCTTAGAAGAAAAGTCTATAAAACCAAGCTAATCTGTCTTTACTATTGAGCTTTACAAGATTTCAAACACTATTAACAAACATGCTTGACTTATTTACTCAACCAGTATTCGCTATTGACAATTCGCATCCATTTGGCTGCACCAATAACTTATGGAGTAACGTATTTGATCAGATCGAGTATCAAAGACGACTAGATGGCCAACGTCAACGCCGCTTCGAGTTAGAGAAATATTACCATCAGCTTGCGCAGCAAGAGCAAGCTGAAAGGCAGAGACGGCTCGATGCTGAAAGAAAACGCAACCAGGGAAAAGTTTTCGTTAAGCAGGTTGAAACAAATAATGTACATCAAATTCAACTATATAAAAATGCTGGTGATTTTGGCTCATATGAAATAAGACTAATTCAAAATAAGAATAGCGGATATGTCTTGAAAATCATCTCCGAAGCTGAAGAATTCTTGAAAGCGTTTGAATTAGAGCCAAAACGCATTGATGTTGAACATATCGATTGGAAATACCACCCTGAATTGAATGTGCTTACGATAAATCTTCCTATCAAAAACCAAACAGCTGAACATAAGAAGAAACAAAGTAAAGCTAAATCTATAGAAAAAGCCTACAAGAAGAATAGAAAACATGAAAAAACAAAGTTGAAAGCTTTAAAGAAGAAAGAGAAGAAGTTGAGAAAATTAGAAGATCGTAAGGAACAAGAGAAAGAACAAGTACCAGATTCTAAAACTCAAACTCCTATAAGTAAATTATTCACTTCCGTCTCAGACTCTTCGGAAACTTCAGAGTACGAAACCCCTAGTGAAAGCGACAGTGATAATGATAATGCTCCTAAAGTGAAACACTCACCAACTATGGAGGAGGTTGAAGATGAAGAATTTGTCTTACTCCGTAAAAGATTCCAATAGGATGTTTTACATTATGATTTTATATGACTTTATATGATTTTATATGATTTTAGATAGTTTTATGATACGATTTAATATGAATCAAGCGATGGATTTGTAGATTTCGCAATTGACGTCAAGAAAATGCAGGTGTGAGTTGCTTCTCTTTATTGCGATAAGATGAAAAAAAAGAAAAAGAGAAAAAGTAAAGTCCGATTTTTCAACTACCTTTATAATCCAGTAACCACACTATTATCAAGGATTAGCGCATTCAAAAACATGTCAGTCGATGAAGAAATGAATGGAGAATTATCAAATGATCAAGAAGCAGGTGGTTTCATAATAAATGACTCAGATTACGCGTCAAACAAGCGTACTCGTAGACCCAGATCAAAGAAACAGTCTTATAAAGAAGAATCAGATGAAGAGCCAAATGGTGAAGATTTTGTGGAAATGAATGGCTCAACCAAAAGGAAGCCGAAGAGGGGTCCACCCAAAAAATCTGCCAAAAGAAAGAAGAAAGATGACGAAGACGACGATCAAGATAATGATTTCACTCTAGATAACGATGGCGAAGATGAAGACGAAGACCTTGAAGTTGTATCGATAAATAGAAACACGCGTAATGGTTCATCTGCTGATATGGCTATCAGCTTATCTGACGAAGAAGACGATATTCCTTTGTCGGAGAAAAAGGCTCCCAAAAAACCAACTAGGAAACGTGCAACCAAAAAGAAAAAGGAACCCAAAGTTAAAGTTCCCTATTTCACTAGAATGACCAATAAATTATATGAACACCATCCGCACTTGAAGGATGTTTTCCCATATCTTCAGTCTCTTGATAAGGTAAAAGTCGAACGTGCTTCCCAACCGCCAGGGATGAAACTTAAACTTTTGCCATTTCAACTTGAAGGATTAAATTGGTTAATGAAACAGGAAGATGGCGAGTTTGAGTCTGGGGTTTTGGCCGATGAAATGGGTATGGGCAAAACTATTCAGGTAATTGCATTACTCATGTCAGATTTAACCAAAAGACCAAACTTGGTTGTTGGACCAACGGTTGCATTAATGCAATGGAAGCATGAAATTGAAAATCATACTGAACCAGGAAGTTTGAAAGTATTATTATTCCATGGTGCTAACAGATCAAGTGACGTTGAAGAACTCAGTAAGTATGACGTTATATTAACTTCTTATTCTGTGATGGAATCGGTTTATAGAAAAGAACATTACGGATTTAAAAGAAAAGCAGGTCTTATCAAAGAAAAGTCTGCATTACATCATATTAAATTTTACCGTGTTATTTTAGATGAAGCTCATAATATTAAGGACCGTACTTCGGGTACTGCTAAAGCAGCAAATAACCTTCAATGTGAAAAGAGATTATGCTTAACTGGTACTCCCTTACAAAATAGAATTGGTGAAATGTACTCGTTAATTCGTTTTTTGAAGTTAGATCCCTTTTATAAATATTTTTGTACTAAATGTGATTGCAGTAATCACGAATGGGCATTTTCAGATTGGAGGCATTGTGATATTTGTAATCATGCTCCAATGGTTCATACAAATTTTTTCAATCACTTTATGTTGAAAAACATTCAAAAACATGGTATTGAAGGTGATGGTTTGACAAGTTTTCAACATATCAGATTATTATTGAAACATGTAATGTTAAGAAGAACTAAAATAGAAAGAGCAGATGACTTAGGATTACCTCCAAGAGTGGTTGAAATCAGAAGAGACGTTTTCAATGAAGAAGAAAGAGATCTATACACCTCCCTATATAGTGACTCTAAAAGAAAGTTTAATGATTACGTTGCTGAAGGGGTCGTTTTGAATAACTATGCTAACATTTTCACTTTAATCACTAGAATGAGACAGTTGGCTGACCACCCGGACTTGGTTTTGAAAAGAGTTGGTAGTAATGCCTTATCAAATGAGGTTGAAGGTGTTATAATATGTCAATTATGCGACGATGAAGCGGAAGAACCTATCGAATCGAAATGTCACCATAAGTTTTGTCGTATGTGCATTCAAGAATATACTGAGAGTTTTATGGGTGAAGAGAAAAACTTGAGTTGTCCTGTTTGTCACATTGGATTATCGATTGACTTACAGCAACCAGCTTTGGAAGTAGACGAAGAGCTTTTCACCAAGGCCTCTATTGTTAACAGAATTAAACTGGGGACTCATGGTAATCAATGGAGATCGTCTACAAAAATTGAAGCATTGGTTGAAGAGCTTTACAAACTCAGATCCGATCGCCATACCATAAAATCTATTGTGTTTTCCCAGTTCACTTCAATGTTAGATCTAATCGAGTGGAGACTCAAAAGAGCAGGATTTCAAACCGTCAAATTATCAGGTTCCATGTCCCCGCAGCAACGTGATAATACCATCAAGTATTTCATGGAAAACACTCAGGTGGAAATCTTCTTGGTTTCCTTGAAAGCCGGTGGTGTTGCTTTAAATTTATGTGAAGCATCTCAAGTTTTCCTCATGGACCCTTGGTGGAATCCTAGTGTTGAATGGCAATCAATGGATAGAGTTCATCGTATCGGCCAAAAACGTCCAATTAAAATCACCAGATTCTGTATCGAGGATAGTATCGAACTGAAGATCATTGAGTTGCAAGAGAAAAAGGCTAATATGATTAATGCTACCATCAATCACGATGATGCTGCCGTTAATAGATTGACCCCTGACGATTTACAATTTTTATTTATGAACTAGTTCTGCTACCACAACAAAATAATTTTTGTTTTCTTTTATTCGCTTTCTGACCCATAGACCTGTATATATATAGTAGTATAAATGATTATGACTTTCAATGATTGCAAAATTTGTATAATGTCTACTTTTTTTTTTTTCGCAGTGACTCATTTTAACTACGGCAAAAGAATTAGATAAAGTCCTACAGTGACTCTTAATTATGGAGAAATCAAGATATAGTGAGGAAAAAAAAAAGTGAAAAATTCCACCTTTATAAAAAGCTTCTTTTCTTTCTCTTTCCCATACAAATAGTCAATTACCCAATCCATTCACACGAGCAACCATGTCAAGTCAAGAGTACTGGTTGAACTATTTGGATAATCCAACGTTATCGGTTTTACCTCATGACTTCTTGAAACCTGCAAATAACCAATCTGTTGAATCAAGCCATAGCTTTCAATTACCAAATAAATCTAGTTTTACATTTGGATTGGCAGTTTTTGCAGCCTTGATTTTCAGATTGACTGGAGATGAAGATATTGTTATTGCCACTGACTCTAAATCAAGTACGACTCCATTCATAATCAGAATAGCTGTTAGCCCCAGCTTGACTTTTAGTGAACTTTTAACTAGAGTTGAAGAAGAATACTCCAACAATGCTGAAAAAATTACCTATGAATCATTGGATGAAATTTCTGAAGCAATTAAAGCTTCTAAAAAATTGGATACTCATCCGGGTTTATTCAAAATTTCATATCAACATTCAAGAGAAGCACAACAATTGGAAACCTCAGTCAAAGGATCAGTTCGTGATTTAGCTATTTTTGCTTCTCCAGATGAAGGTAAATTTCAAATTTATTACAATGCTCTATTATACAAAAGTGAAAGAATAAATATATTTTCTGAACAATTCACTAAATTCATAAATTCTGCAGTTCAAGCCCCAAATACTGCCATAACAAAAGGCAACTTGATAACTACATCTCAGCTCAGCCAATTACCTGATCCAACTGTGAATTTAGATTGGTCTGGATATCGTGGTGCTATCCAAGATATTTTCATGCAAAATGCTGAAAATCACCCTGATAGAACATGTGTTGTGGAAACTAAATCATTTTTAGATCCAAAGTCAAAAACTCGTACTTTCAATTATAAACAAATCAATCAAGCTTCCAACTTGGTTGGTAACTATTTGAAAGAAACCGGTATCAAAAAAGGTGATATTGTTATGATCTACGCTTATCGTGGTGTTGACTTAATGGTTGCAGTAATGGGTGTTTTGAAAGCTGGTGCCACATTCTCAGTCATTGACCCTGCTTACCCTCCTGCCAGACAAAACATTTATCTTTCTGTTGCTAAACCAAGAGGTTTAATTGGACTTGCTAAAGCAGGTGTCTTGGATTCTTTGGTTACCGATTATATCAGAGACGAATTAGACGTCATTAGTTTCATCCCCCAATTGGAAATCGATGAAGATGGTTCGTTAGCTGGTGGTGTTTTAGAAAACCAAAGCCAAGATGTATTCAGCGATTACCAGCAATTCAAAGATCAACCTACTGGTGTTATCGTTGGTCCCGACTCTAATCCTACTTTGTCATTCACTTCCGGTTCTGAAGGTATTCCAAAAGGTGTTTTAGGTCGTCATTATTCTCTTGCTTACTATTTCCCTTGGATGGCTCAAAAATTTGGTTTATCTTCTAATGACAAATTCACTATGTTGTCAGGTATTGCTCATGATCCTATCCAAAGAGATATGTTCACCCCATTATTTTTGGGTGCTCAATTATTAGTCCCAACTGCCGATGACATTGGTACCCCAGGTAAATTAGCTGACTGGATGGCTGAATATGGCGCCACTGTCACCCATTTAACTCCTGCTATGGGTCAATTGTTAAGCGCTCAAGCTTCTACCCCTATCCCAACTTTACATCATGCTTTCTTTGTGGGTGATATCTTGACTAAAAGAGATTGTCTCAGATTACAAACTTTGGCTGAAAATGTTTACATTGTTAATATGTATGGTACTACTGAAACTCAAAGATCCGTTTCCTATTTCGAAATCCAAAGTCGTAAAGCTGATCCAACTTACTTAAAAAATTTGAAAGATGTTATGCCTGCTGGTACTGGTATGCATAATGTTCAATTATTGGTTGTTAACAGAAATGATACTTCTCAAACTTGTGGTGTTGGTGAAGTTGGTGAAATCTACGTTAGAGCTGCTGGTTTAGCCGAAGGTTATAGGGGTTTACCAGATTTGAATAAGGCCAAGTTTATTACCAATTGGTATGTTGATCCATCCAAATGGGCTGAAGAAGATGAAGCCAATAAGAAACCAAGCGAAACTTGGAGAGAACAAGGATGGTTAGGACCCAGAGATCGTATGTACAGAACTGGTGATTTGGGTCGTTACTTGCCAGATGGTAATGTTGAATGTTGTGGTAGAGCTGATGATCAAGTTAAGATTAGAGGTTTCAGAATCGAATTAGGTGAAATTGACACCCATTTATCCCAGCACAAATTAGTTAGAGAAAATGTTACATTAGTAAGAAGAGATAAAAATGAAGAACCAACTTTAATCTCTTATATTGTGCCAAATGACTCACCTGAATTGGCTAACTTCAAATCCGAAGTTGTTGTTCCTGAAGGCGAAGAAGAAATCGACGATCCAATTATCACTGGGTTGGTTGCTTATAGTGAATTGATCAAAGATATTAAAGGATACTTGAAAAAGAAATTAGCTTCATATGCCATTCCTACCATCATTGTTCCATTAGTCAAGATTCCTTTGAATCCAAATGGTAAATTTGATAAACCTAAATTACCATTCCCAGATACTGCTCAATTAACAGCTGTCTCCAAGTTATCTGCTGCAAATAAAAACCTGAGTTTAGAAGAAGAACACTTCAGTGAGTTGGAAACTACTATCAGAGACTTATGGATCGATGTTTTACCAAATCGTCCGGCTTCCATCTCAAAAGATGATTCTTTCTTCGACTTGGGTGGACATTCTATTTTAGGTACTAGAATGATTTTTGAATTAAGAAAAAAATTAGCTGTCGAAATTCCATTGGGTGTTATTTTCAAGAATCCTACTATTGAGGCATTTGCTAGAGAAGTTCAAAAAGTAATTGCTGGTAATGATTTTGAGTTAGCAGATGGTTCCAATACCCAAGAAAAAGAAACTTCTGCAAATGTCAGCTATTCTGATGATGCAGTTGAATTAACCAAAACTGCCTTATTACCAAGTTATAAATCCCGTGAGACTTTGAACGAATCAGAAACCTTGAATGTCTTTGTTACTGGTACCACTGGGTTTTTGGGATCATTTATCATTCGTGATTTATTAGTTTCTCGTCCAAATCATAACTTCAAGATTTTTGCTCATGTGAGAGCAAAATCAAAAGAAGCCGGTTTAGAAAGATTGCGTAATACTGGTATAACTTACGGTATTTGGGATGAAAAATGGGCTAATCAAATAGAAGTTGTTCTTGGTGATTTAGCTAAACCTCAATTTGGTTTGGATGATAAAGAATGGAACAACCTAGCTGAAACAATTGACGTTATAATTCATAATGGTGCTTTAGTTCATTGGGTTTATCCATACTCTCAATTAAGAGATGCTAATGTTATTGGTACCGTTAATGTTTTGAACTTAGCAGGATCAGGTAAAGCTAAGAACTTCTCATTTGTTTCATCTACTTCAGCGTTAGATACTGATCATTTTGTACACTTGTCAGATGAATTAGTTGCTAAAGGGAAAGCAGGTATTCCAGAATCTGATGACTTACAAGGGTCAGCTCACGGATTAGGTACTGGATACGGTCAATCTAAGTGGTCAGCCGAGTACATTATTAGAAAGGCAGGTGAAAGAGGTTTGAAAGGTTGTATTACAAGACCTGGTTATGTTACTGGTTTTTCAAAAACTGGATCTTCAAATACCGACGATTTCTTATTGAGAATGTTAAAAGGATGTGCTGAATTGGGATTATACCCTAACATAACCAACAATGTCAATATGGTTCCAGTTGATCATGTTGCAAGAGTTGTTGTTGCAACCGCTCTTCACCCACCTCAATCCAATGAATTAAGTGTCGCCCAAGTAACTGGTCATCCTAGAATACAATTTGATGAATTTTTAAGTGCTTTAGAGACATACGGATATGATGTTAAACAAACCGATTACCCAACTTGGAAAACTAGCTTGGAAAAATTTGTTGTTGAAGATTCAAAAGACTCTGCTTTATTCCCATTATTACATTTTGTCTTGGATAATTTACCACAAAATACCAAAGCACCAGAATTAGATGATTCTAATGCAAGCAAATCGCTTATTTCTGACTCTAAATGGACTAACGTTGATGTTAGTAAAGGTAAAGGGGTTACAATTGATCAAACTAGTATCTATATAAGCTATTTGATCAAGGTTGGATTCTTACCAAGTCCTACTGGTAAAGGTAAACAATTACCAGAAGTTGAATTAAGTGAAGAAACTTTGAAACTTATTTCATCCGGTGCTGGTGGACGTGGATCAGCCGCCAAATAATCTTGTTACATAGCTTAAATAGATCTTATAATGAAAAAAAAAAATATAGTTATAAAGTAAATACGCGTAGAACGGAAAAAAGTTAAAAAAATGATTGAGGATCTTAGAACATCTGGGGAACAAGGTATCAACCTTATTTGATTTTCTTATTCAGGGTCCAATTACAACCAGAGGAAAATGGAGTCTCCTCGACAAGCTGAAATAGGACCTGGTTCACCGACGGCAAGCAATACCCCGAGGAGTCATAGTCAGAGCAAGATATTTACATTGAATTCGACCCAACCTCAATTGCAAACCCAGTATCAAATGTCAACGTCATCTAATTCCCCAACCAAAGTAGCTAGGAATAGTCAAATACTAACAGGAAATGGCGGGAGTCCAAACTTTGAGAAAAGGCGTAGTGTTAGTAGTGGTAACGGAGCACAAGAGATTTTCTTGCAATCACCAGCTACAACGCACGTTTGGAATCGTCAAGAGGACACTTTGGAGAAAGAGCATGACCAAGGTATAGAAGAGGATGGTTTCTTCAAAAAACAGGATGGAGGGAGTCAGATTGTAGATAAGGATATGTTTCAAAAGAGGAGGAATTCTGGAGTGAAAATTTCGAAGACATCATCCGGTACTAATTTGATGAATAATGTTAACCATCAAAGAAGACCGAGTTTGATTGGAAGATCATCATCGTCGAATTCAATAACGAAATTGAATCATGCATCTCCAAAGACCCCAAAATTTGGATTTAATAATTCGAGATTTCAAGAAGTATCATCTAAAAACTCACTGAGTGGGAATTTGAATCAAAATAGTGGAATGTCTAAAGATCGAAACCGACTTGTTGAGCAATTCTATAACAACTCCATGAATAAGAATCCAATTTTTGATCTCGCCAATGGGAGTGGATATTATGACGATACATCTAATCCTGGAACTCCCAATAATGAAAAATGGAATGATGATAAAGAGGATGCCGATAACGTAATGGGGTATCCGAATAAGTCAACGAGTCAATCACCGAATAATGAAAGGAACAATCAGTACGACGAACGATATTTTGAGAACATGGTAACCAAGGGAGGGTTTAATTACGATTATATGGATAAACATATTAAGAATGATGTTGAATTAACTGACTATCTCTTGAATATCGATGTGATTATTGAGCAGAAACAGCATCAGCATCCACAACAACATTCAAGGGAAGAGCAAGAACTCGGTCCTTTGGTTGATATCTTGGACAAGGTTGTTCAAGATATGAACGATCAATTAAACGGACAATTATACCAGAGCAGAGAGCCCCCTTTACAAATACGAGATTTAAATTTACTAAAAGAGTATTTAAATAAGATGAAAGCGGGCATTAATGAATTATTCGAATACTTACAGGCCAATAAAGAAGCCATCAAACAAAAATATCAAGCCAGCATTAAGGAAAATGTACATAAGCTAGATGAATTAACGGCATCGTTAGAAAGCTTAGAAAATCGATTAAATAAAGCCAAAGACTCAATCAATTTTAATAAGTCCACTATTTCCAATGAATTATTAGAAAAATTTAATATACTTGAATATATTAATGATAGATTTGACGAACACGCAAAGTTAACCAGAAATCGCCGATTCAAACAATTAAATATCAGTTTGGCCATCATGGTTTTATTAATTGGAGTCTATATTGGAATATTTAGATAGATAGGAGACATTAAGCATTTTTTTTGACGACTTTTCAATCTGGTTGAATTCACAATGGTTCATTTCCAATTCCCACCGGTGAATCTGTAAAGTGAAAATGTAAGTACAAATAACGGCTCATTAAACATTATTGAGTGGAATTGGGTTGCCAGGTTGGCTTTTACTACACAATCTTTTGTTTATAGGCGATCATCAAATGATTCAGTACTTCTACTTATTGTCTTTGTTACGGGCTTTTTGCAACTCATTTCATTTATTGTTTTACCTCCGAGCCTGTATCCAGCCATGGCTGTATAGCCATTCCATTGATGAGCACCCTTAACTACCCAATCTTACCAGGATCTTCTTTCAAGATTAATGTCTGGCATAAGACGGTACTAAGATCTGGAGACCAGAACTGCAAGCCAACCTGCAAAACAGCGAAGCAAGCCCAACTGCGAAAACCCCAACCCCAATCTGCAAAAGCACCAACATGCAAAAAGCTCAGGTGCAACCTGCAAATGACAAACAAAAAAGAAAAAAGAGACAGAAGTTTCTTTTGTTGCTTAGAGCAGTTTCTTTAACAATAATAATGAGATTAAACGCTGACACCTTTTTATACTCTTTTTCTTTTCACATAGAAAGACTTCTTCTTAGTTTTTATACCTTGTATTCAAGTTGGTTGATTAGATTGACTTTCGATTCAAGCATCAAGTAGGAAGAAGGGAACCGGAGCCACAGGAAACTCAGAAAAGAGGGAAAGAAGCAGATCATCATAAGATCAATAACTCTTTCTTCCCTTTTCTTTTGATCTTTTTTTTTTTTGTTTGATCTTTTCGATTTTAAAGTGTTATAAATTTAGTTTGGGGGAATTCTTGTTTATAGGTTATTGACATTATGGCAGAGGTTCTATGTTTAAGTTATTCATTAAGCACGCCTAGTACAATACTTGGACCAATTCTTAATATTCATAATGAACCACCATGTTCTTATCAACAAAAATTTTGGGATAAAACTCAAATAAACAATCCAAATTATCATCCAAATTATTTCACTCGTTTCAAGCAATTGATATCCCATCTCTTCATTAAAGGTAATCAAGAACAAGATACCAATCATCCAACAATTATTGCTATTGATACTCTGAAAGTTGGAGTTTCATTATCATCAAAATTAGATTTATTAAAATTTGAAGATAAATCCCTACTATTAAAATATTTTTTCAATCATTTAAATGTTATTGTGGTTGATTTGAAAAGTTTAGAATCAATGGAAATATGTAATCAATTGAATAATTGTATTATTAAAATTAATAAATTAATTAAAAATCGAATTAATAGAGTACAAACTTGGACTGGAGTTGGAAATGAAAATGTTAATGATCAATTTATAAAAGATGAAGAAGATTTAAGATTTCAAATTGATGGAATTATATCAACAATGTCATTTGTATTAAATCATAATTTAAATACAAGTTTGAAATTGAAAAATCAATTAATTAAATTAAATTCATTAATTATGTCAGAAGTTGATTTTAAATCATTATTATCAAAAAATTCTGATTATCATTTATCCAAATTATGTCATTTAGTTGGACATTGGAGTTTCCCAGCTCATGAATTAACAAATGATGATTTAATTTATTGTGTATTTATAATGATCAAATATTCTTTGGATCAATTACAAAATGATTATCCAAAAGATTTATATTTACCAAATGAAAATGAATTATTAGGATTTGTATTTATGGTTAGAGATACTTATAAAAATGGGAATCCATTTCATAATTTCCGTCATGCAGTTGATGTTTTACAAGCATGTTTCCATTATTTAGTTCGTCTTAATTGTTTAGCTCCTTTTAAACAATTAGAAAATGATCCAAAATCAAATGAATTATTATATCTTAATGATGAAACACCCATTTTAAAATCAACCATACTTTTACCTATAAATGAAGCTTCTGAAGAAGATTCTGAAGAAGGAGAAAGTAATCATTCAATTTCAAGAAAATCAAGTGCTTCATTTCATTCAACAACTACTTCCAAAATTTTAACCACCACCACTACTTTAAATAATGATACCGGTAAACCATTATCAATTCATGCATCCCAATCAATTTCATTTGATTCATCAGAAGCACATTTAACTCCATTACAAACTTTTGGATTATTGATTGCCGCATTAGGACACGATGTTGGACATCCAGGTGTAACAAATGCTTTTATGATTGAATATGATTCACCAACTTCATTATTATATAATGAAAGATCCGTTTTAGAAAGTTTCCACTCGTCAATTTTCATTAATAAAATATTATCAATTAACTGGCCAGGATTATTAGAAGTAGAAACCGATCCAGAATTTAAATTAAGTTTTAAACAATTGATTATTAGTTGTATTTTAGCAACCGATATGGCAGAACATTTTGAATATATTGATAAATTAACTACTTTTAAATTAGATCTGGATCGTGCCAATAGTAATAAAGTTAAATTAATTTCAAGTTTATTAATCAAATGTGCTGATATTTCAAATGTTACTAGACCTTTGAGAGTCAGTTCTCAATGGGCGGCTGTTTTATCCAGAGAATTTAATGAAGTTACCATCCTACAAAATAAAATTAATAATGATGATACCGATTCTGATGACATTCATTATTCTCACGTTCCAAGTGATTTGGACTCAATCTTGAGTGAAAATCCAAATTTACATAAAGGTCAAATTTTCTTCATTGACACTTTTGCTGAAAATTTATTCCACAATATCGTGGAGTTATTACCCGAGTTGAAATACACTTGCGATATAATCCTTGAAAATAAAGATTATTGGTATAATCGTTCCCAGAATTCATAACCTCCTTCCTTCCTTCCTTGCATTGTTTTTGTTTGTCTTGTTTATTTTGCTTTTTTTGTCGTTGTATTTTCATGTGTTATAGTCCTGTTTCACTGTCTCTCTTTATAGAAAACATTCCCTTTTATGTATCACGTATGTAAATGTATATATATATATATATATTTTATCTGTATGTACTTTTCTCTACTGTATTTGCAACAACGGAAACCCTTTTTTTTCTCCTTCGCTGGTGCACGGGGGTAACTTCACTTTTGCCGACGTAAAACGTTTTTCCATTCAAATTTTTCACTTCAACCACAAAAACAAAAATAAAACAAAGCAAAAAAAAAAAAAAGAAGAATAAAAGGACGTGCGCCGACGAAAACGGTTTTGTCTTTTTTTCTTCTTCTTCTTCTTTGTGACCGGAAGTCAGGGAATTCCGAGCAAAGAAAGGAGCACCTGGCCGGATCTCGGCTCTAAAAATGTCGCATTGCAATGTCACTTTAGCAGCCATATTTGCATTTGTATTCCTCCTAGTGTTGTATTTACTACACTGTGTTTATATCTCTAGTGAATCAAAGTGTATTGGTATATTATGCTATCCTTATCATGTAACACTTTGTTTTAATCCGCAGTTGTAAGTTCTTTCAATAACAAGGATACCTACCAAGACTAATCCTTTGTATCCAGTAATTGCGTGTGTGATGGCTTCCTGTACTCTTGTGTCATGATAGTGGGGGGTCTGCCCAGATGATGAAATGCTTATTGCCTGGTTCTTATACTTATGGTAACACTGTTCGCTTAGGTATAACTTTCCCAGGCCCGGTCGGAATTGGGCCAGTTCCGAGCCAATACAACACCCAGACACCCACCCAGACATTACTCTCATCGCATCTCACAAAAAAAAAAAAGAAAAAGTAGTTAGCGTAGAGAGTTTTGTATTCTTTTCAGTTCGTTGTTGAATGAAATAAAGAAAGGCATTTGGCACTCTTTTCAATACAACTGCTTTCTTCTTCTTTTTTCATTATACATTGGTATACTTCTTCCCAACTAATACGAAGTTATTGGGTTTTCTACAAAGTGTATACGGTTGTCATTCTTTGAAAAAAAGTATTCAAGCGATTGATTTCTAATTGTTCGAATTTCAAACTCATCAAAAAACCCTTGTAACAACCCCTACTGGTATTTCTGTGTGTGTTTATATCTATAGATACTCCAATCAGACATACAACGATATTAACTAGAAGAAAAAGTCAAGTTAGTAAAAGAACAAAGAGCAAAAAATCTTCTTGAAAAGATATTTTTCACTAATTGGTACTCTCAATAGCAGGTCATTATAGCAAACAAGTTTATTAAAGATGGACCCACGTACTTTAGCTTCCTCGAATGGTCAAAGACCAATCATCTTATCTCCACCTCCTTTAGAACAACATCTCAATCCTTTTAATCAATCTAGTAATCAACAAGGTACCAATTCATTATCAATGTCTACTCCTTCACTAGCAAATCCTGCTCAATCAATTCCAGGGTCTCAACAACAAAAATCTTTCCCTTATCATTCGGAAAGGCAACAAAGTGTTGGTTACAACTTACAACAGGAATTTGAAACTTTAACTGCTGATTTAGATTTAGATTTAAGACAGAATCTTGCTAATCATTCAAATGATTCTACTAATATTGAAAATTCAAATATGGATAATACAACTCCTACTTCTTCAACCAATAATAGTATTAATGTTAATAATACTGCTAATACAATCACTTCTCCAAATTATGAATCTCCAACTCATCATCAACAAATTAATCAATTAAATCATAATCCAACATTATTAGCTCCTTCTGCTTCGAAATATGGGTTTCTTGACTTAAATTCAACAATGTCTCCAAATTCATCTCATTTATTACATGATCAATCAATATCCCCTGCTCCTTCCAATTTATTATCCAATAATAATAATAATAGTAATAATTCAAATAATAATAATTCAAATAATAGTAATAATTCAAATAATAATAACATTAATAGTAATAACTCAAACACAGCTGGCTCTGCAAACTTCTTACCTCCTTTGGGCTCTTTACCAAATAGACCTCAATCTGTTAATGATTTTCTGAATTTTTTTGGACGTCAACAACAACATCAATTAGCTTTAGATCTGCAACCTGATACTAATTCTAATTTTTATCTGGATTTATTGTTTTTCACTAATTGGATTGAAAATTTAACTCCTCAAAATACAATCACCATGATTGATTACTTATCAAATAATTTGCCCCTTGATATCTTATTAACTTTCAAAACTAAATTAGAAAATCATTTAACCCATCATCACAATCAACATCAAAATCAAACTTTCCTGAAAATTAATAGTCCTTTCCAGCCTCAACTGTTGAATGATTACATTCCTGACATGGATTCTTTAGGTTTAGAACCAAACTTAAATGATATATTACATCAGCAACAACAACAACAGCAGCAACAACAGCAACAACAGCAACAACAACAACAACAGCAGCAGCAGCAGCAGCAGCAGCAGCAGCAACAACAGCGTCAACAATACAATGGATTATACCAACCTAAACCAAAACAAAATACATTCAGAAATCATTTATTTGCTGATACAAAAAATCCAAGACCAAAATCGGCTGACCCAAGTCTTCATACTAGATATGTCCAATCTCAACCCCAACAACAGCAAACCCAATTGGAAAGAGCAAGGTCTCCGACTTCTCATTTATACGAAAAGACCAATTTTCTCCAATTAGCTGCAGCAAACTCTCCTTCTACTGGCCAACACCAACATCACCACCTTCAACAACATCAACAGCAGCAGCAGCAACAGCAGCAGCAACAGCAACAGCAGCAACAGCAGCAACAACAACAACAACAACAACAACAACAACAACAACAACAACAACAACAACAACAACAGCAGCAACAACAACAGCAACAACAACAGCAACAACAACAGCAGCAGCAGCAGCAACAACAACATCAACAACAGTACCAATATAACCTAGGATCAGGAAGTCCCACATCCAATCCAAGCCAAGGCCCCCATAGCATCAACGTCACTCCCCAACAATCTAACTCGGATGAATCGTTAGACTTACCAGCACATGCAGCATTAAAACTAGGAGCCTTGACAACCATAAACTCAAGAGTTGCATTGGATTCAAGTAGAAAAAATAACGGAGTAGCCTTTTACTCGAATCAACAATCACTGCAATCTCAACTGCATCAACCAAACGCTCAACATGGATCATACAATCCAAATGGATTATCACATCGTCAATTGTTTGAAGAATCATTGAATCGTAATGTCAATTCTTCTTCGGTTCCAGTTAATACGCATAGATATCAACCTTCTTCGCCTTCAACCAATTTCCATATTAATAATAACCACGGTAAACAGAAGGATCTTTCCAGACTGCCTCAAGGACAAAATTCTCCAAATTCACTGATGCCAATAGAGATTAGCAACATTGATTTATTGAATAATATTCCTGCGTGGTTAAAATTATTACGTTTACATAAGTACACCGAATGTTTAAAAGATATTTACTGGAAAAACCTAATCGAATTGAATGACGAACAATTAGAAGAAAAAGGTGTGAAAGCATTGGGAGCAAGAAGAAAGCTATTGAAAGCTTTTGATGCAGTTAAGAGTAATCACAGTCAATAATGCATAGCGCAGGCGTAGAAACATTTTTTTTTTTTTTTCATAAAAAGGAACCTTCTATATATGTTTACAACAGTTACCTAATATAAAAGCAATTTATTTAAACGAGTTATTGAACTGAAAATATATAGTAATAGAACTTCACTCACATAATTATACAACAAGAATTAGTCTTCTTGGCTTGTTTATAAAACATTCTTGAAGAACTAGATAAAGCTTCGGATTTGTCAACCAAAGAATCTAATTTTTCACCTCTTTGTAAAACACTTTCAATTGTTTTATGTAAAACAATCTTTGTTTCATCCAATTCCTGTTGAACCTTCATGATAGAATCGGCTTGACCTGGATCTTGATATTTCTTTATATAAGCTTCCAAAGCGTCGTAATTGAATTGTGGTGAAGTGGCAGTGGCACTCTTCCATTCCTTCAGAGGATGTAATGATAAGTATTCTTCTAAAAACTTATTGATCAAAGTATATGCTGGTCTAACCGGATACTCTTTATCGGTAATAACAACCCCTGCTAATCCTTCCAGTCTGGCATAAGTATGACCCACATAATTACCTTCTTCAATACTTTGTCTTTGTCCGGATTCTGTTCTTGCTGAAACGGTTTCTGCGAAAAAAGTCATAAATTGTGAAACCCCTGTTCTTTCAAAAAATGAAAATTGAGTCAAATCTCTAGCTGAGGTTAATTCCAAAGCCTTTTCTCCTCCGGTCTTCAAAATCCCAATATAGTAAATCTTCATCGTGTTATGCTATTTGTCTTGGAAAATAGTTCTCTTGAATTCAATAAACGTGCAAGCTCGGCGCTGACTATCCCTTGTATATACTTACTGCTATGTATACCACGTAAATCCCCTCCAAACTGGTTAAAATTGATCAAATGGCAACCTTTTGAAGGAGTTTCATTGACTTTTTCTGTTTTTCTCCCAGAGGTTTTTGGGTGTTTTCAATTGAGAGTGCGGCAACAATCAAATCTGCTAACAAAACAAAAAAAAACCTGCCAAAAAAAAAAAAAAAACAAAGACATCATTGAAAAAAAAAAAAAACACCGGTAGACGCCATGACGATATCGGAGAATGTCAATGATCTAGGGGATTTGGTTGCTTAAAGATCATATAGAGGTGTTTGCTGAAGAGCTAGTGGTATTTTCCAGGAAGTGCGTTTTCTACATACAGCGTTTGAGAGGAATTGTACTTAAAACAGGTAAGTTTTGTTATCAGCTAGTGAAGGAAAGCCAGGTAAGGATTATCCAAGGAGATAGTGTGTCTGGATTGAGCATTGATATTTTGCACAATAACAATTGAAGGTCTCAAATAAGGATTCACAAAATCTATTTGGTTGATATCACGATTATATCATAATTTTTCAAAATATTTTGAAAGTATTTGATTTATATGAAGAATTGTGAGAATTGGATGATTCTACTTCTTTAGAATATAGATTAAGGAATGCTAAATACTCCAACTCATACACGAAACCAGTCGGCATCGACTCCAACGTTAAAAGTTGTGTTACTAGGCGATCTGGGGGTTGGTAAAACATGTCTCCGTTCGCAGTTTGTTCATCATATATTCACTAATGCTTATAAAACAACTATTGGTGGAGACTATCTCACCACCAGTGTATATCTACCTACTGATGGGGCTGAATCAACCCCTACTTCCACCATCGTGACCCAACCAGGTATTGATAATGAAAATTATTTGGATTTGGATGAATCAAGCACAATGAATCCAAGAAATAGATACTCAAATCAACATTCAAATAATAATAATGATAATTTAACAGAAAAAGTGAATCTTCAAATATGGGATACTGCGGGCCAAGAAAGATTCAATTCGATATCTCAAGCATTTTACCGGGGGACCGATGTTGTGGTTCTAGTATATGATATAACAAACTATGAATCGGTTCTTAGTTTAAGTGATTGGTTTAGAAGATTTTTAGATCATTGTCATGTTGATAATCCTGGGGTCATGATCATTGGTAATAAACAAGATAAAGCTAATGAACGATGTATTGAATTAGATGAAATTCAAGAAATTTTGAATAAAAATTCCCATTCAAAATTTAACGATTTTGTCGAAGACTGGGATATAGATTTAAGAGAAGTCACTTCTAAAAGACTAGATCTTGTTGATGACTTATTTCTTCGTGTGGCTAGACTTGGTCTTGACCGTTTAAACAATGATTCTAATAATTCAAAACTTAAAGGCCGCAAAAGAAGCATGTTAAGATTTGACAATATTGATCTAACCGATATCAATCATTCTTCTTCCAGATGTGCATGTTAATTGTTATTCACCATTTTTATACTTCCTTCAGTTCTTTTCTTCAATTCCTTTTGTGCTTACTTAAATAGAATCTACATTTATTAATATCTTCTAATAAAAGACTAACTTTTCAAGTATTTGACGTATGTACATGATATGATTGTTTTTATATAAATAAGTAAAGCGGTTTCAAACCCCTTAATTTGAAACTTCCTTTTTAACTTCATCACCAACAGCTTCAGCGCCTTCGACTAATTTTTGTTTTTCTTCCGAAGAAGTAGATGATGATTCAATGGCTTGTTCTTCAGCATCATCATCTTCATATAATTCTTCTTTGTAATGTTCAGGGTGTTGTTTGAAACAAGTTCTCATATTTTGAAACTTTTGAACACAATCAATACCCTTTGGTTCACTTTCAGAGTAAACAAAACATGAAAAAGCTTCTTTGAATTCCTCTCCACATGGACCGTGGGCCATACCTCCTAAACATGGACAGTCCCAGTTGATTTCACCGGTTTCTGGGTTGAACGCAGCACTTTGATGCCCTTCACCTTCACCTTGGCCTTCTCCAGTTTGTTCACCTTCTTCAACTTCATTCTTAGTAACTGGAGTAGTTTCTTCAGCTGGAATTTTATCAGCAACCTTGGCTTGACCAATAGATTCTTTTTTCTTTTGAGAAAGCTCTTCTGGATTAGCTTCTTTTAAAGCCTTTTCCTTGCCTTCATCGACTTTCTTTTGGTCGACTTCATTATGAATCAAGGAAGTACTGGTGTTATAAAATAAGGCAAATGCTGATAATCCAACAATTGTATACTTGATTTGATTATTATAACCTTGACTAAGTCTTGGTCTGCTGGACATAAAACGTTGCCCAACTCTGGAGCGAATAGCACTTGATCTAAGGACAGTTCTATACATGACTTGATGCTGTGAATAGTTATTATCTATGGAATCTTCTGAGTAAGATTAGATTGAATTATATATACTTTTTTCTCAGTTCGCTCCATTTGTCAGAGAGATGACTAAGCTGCTAATGAGTGTCAGAACCAAATTACCATTTGAAAGCTACATTCTTATTGCTGATAAGGTATACTACTCATATTATATATTTACAAGAGATGATAGAGCAAAAGAGAATATTGCAATTGTTAGGGTGATAGTTGATGGTAAGGTAATACCTAATGATTTGGTTGAAAAATAGACAAAAAGAGAGAAATAGAATAATCTGATCACTGAAAAGACGAAATTGTCAAATGGACCATGAAACAAGTACAGACAGCGCTAGCTAGTTGGTAGACTCTGAACGGATATCCTTGGATAAATCAAGTTCTTCTTCTTTTTCTTCTATTTTCGGTTTTTCGTTTAAAGCAGCGTATCCAAGCAGACATAACACCACTACTATAGAACCAACACCAATTTTTCGAAGAATCGATATGGTCTTTTTGGATGCTTGTGACTCTTCATCTCCAACTTCATCGATCTTGCCTTTGATGCCTTTAATTGTTTGTTGGATCACATAATTTCGTTTCTTTATGATGCTACCTCTGCAGAGGATTGCAGATCTGTTAAACACTGTTGGACGCAACATATTCTGAAAGGAGCTTGGATAACTGAAGGGAGCTTACTGTTTGCTTGCAACTCAAAGCTTGTCGCTATTGCTTGGGTACTAGTAATTCAAACTCCGTCATTGAAACTGCTTAATTGGTCCATTCTCAGGTTTTCTTTTGTGAAAAATTTAGGTACGGAGGTTTTTTTACTGCCAAATAATACGTTACTCATTAAACTATAAAGATCCTGATAGATCTCCTAGGTTATGTAGATTAATGGGTCCAAAGTTACCGTTGGGAGCGGTACTTACCCAAAGAACATCTTCTTCGATGTATGCTTTGGCTTTTTTTCCGGAATCGAACTCTAATTTGTACAAGGGTAAGCCAAGAGAGGGATGGTATGTACCAGAGGATGTGAACAATATTTGATTTTTCATACAATATTTGATGACGACATCCTTGAAAGTAGTCATGAGCTGGTACGATGGGATTCCTTCGGCTTGACCCTGAGATTTGTCACCTGGTTCTTCCGCAAACCGGGCACTTCTAATAAACTGAATTATGCTGTCAATCGAAGGCAGATGGTCGTTTTTGATAATAGGCAATTTCGGTGGTTTGACCTGCCCACCAGCAAGTTTTTCTTTCACAAGATTGATTGATAAGTCCACGTACCAGTCTATTAGATCGGTAGCTTCATGTGTCAAGGATCTGGCCACCTGTTGTAGCATCAGTATCCATGACTGAAGCCACAGCTTAAAGTATAATGTATTTAAATCGATCGAGTTTAGGAAATCAAGACATAGATCAATCCATGGATTGAAGATGGAGAATTGAAGGAAGACAACAAGCTGTTCGCTGCTGAAATACTGACCCTTATCACTCAAATTTACCAAACAGCCAAGTAATTGGGAAATCATTTCTAAAGCCTTTCTCGAATATTTGGAAGCACTGACTTCTTGAGTTAGAAATTTAAAGCATGATTTTTGGAATACTTGAACCGTACCACCTTGAAGTTTCTCCTCGTCCGGCTTGGGTAATAGTGATCTGAAGAGTACGCACCAGATATCCTGAAACTCGATAAGAGGGTCGATAAACTTGCTGGAGGTAATTTTTCCGTCGACATAGTCCCATATTGAGTTCTCGCTTTCTAAATCGAAGTATTCCTGGAATTTTGTATTAGAATTAGCCAATAATTGGTAATAGGTATTGCTATCCAATTTCCAAAAAAGTACATCACTATATTCAACCATATACTGAGATGGACCGAATTCTTGTGGATCATTCACGTTCCAAGCTTTCAATTGATCTGAAAGAAACGGGATTATTTGTGCTTTTGTTAACAGTCCAACTGTGACTAAGCTGTTAATCAATATTGGCGAGTCGGCCCAGAAGTCGAGATAGTCAATTATTCTATAATGCTTTGATTGAGAGTAGTCGTCGCCGAGAAGATATTCTTCCAATTGCAGAGAAAGAGTGGAGGCAATAAGCGAGTCCCAAAGCGTAAGTGACAGCATTGAGCTCGCCGGATCAATAGTTTTATACTTAGCACACCAATTGAGTAAAGTAGAGATAATCAATCCATTGGTATTAGAACTAGGATCATTGATATTCAAACTAGTCAAAAGACTTTTGACTGTCTCTGATAACAATCCGATTGCACATTCAGGTAATTTATTGTACGATAATAATGGAGGCAGAAGCAATTTTTCAAAATATTCTGCAGTTAACAGTACTAGTTCTTCTGGAGATGACATTGACTCAATAATCGATTGAAATTCGTTTATTATCGACAAAACAGATTCTTCATTCTCAAGTTGCAATCTTTGTGACTGAAGTGATCTGCTTAAATCATCTCTTTGATATGAGAGATATCTTTCTTGTTTGATATAAGAATCCCACTTATCATTGACTAATTTCAATTTTTCAAAACTTTCTCGTAGAACTTCAAGATGTTGGTGTGAACTTGAATCGGAAATTTCTTTATACTTCAATGGTACATCGACTCCTTTGAGCTCTAAGTCTTCAATCAAAGAGAACAAATCAAATGCTTGATGATTTTCTTTCATCTTTGAAATTTTCTTAACATCATCCTCGTCATCACTACTCATATCGTAATCATTTTCGTGCGTTTTCTCTTTCATCCCTCCTATACCCAAACCTTGGGGCCTTAACTTTGTTTCTATAGGGTTAACTATACCTTCTTGATTTACACCGAGACCTTTGCCTTTCTGATAACCCATTTTCATCATGAGTTGGGCACCAATCCCATACTTGCCTATATCTGGTATCGTGCTAGAATCGGGCTTCGAAGACTCATTAAGCCATGCAGGTGTGGCCATTGATCGATGCTTAGGAGTTTCATCACCCCCATTCTCCTCTTCGTCCAGCTCTTGATCGGAGTATTCATTATTCATTGAATTTGCCAACTGATTCATGCTCATCAGCTGCGTTTTATTTGACGCATCATTTTTGGGCTGAGAAAAGGTAACCGGGGAAGATCTGTTGAATTGAACTCCCTTGTACAGACTCATTGATACTTATGAACAGCTGCCGTTCTCTCGATTGGTTACTGGAGGTTGTCAATATTTTGTATGATTAATCAATGAAGCATTTTTGTTTATCGATGCGAAAGCCAAATTTCCTAATGAGATTATGCTTACAACTATATACTACTACAAAACGAGAAGAAAGCTAGTATATTCATTTATTAGAGCTTATTAACTTCAAAAGCATCATTTCCTCGTCATCCTCTTGCGAGACATCTTTCTGCTCAATATCATCTAATCCATCGGTGACGACCTGCACAACCATGGGTTGATTGTATTCCCCGGGCAATTTAAATTCTTTAGGAATGAAGTCACCATACTTTGTGAGCCACTTCTTTCTTCTGTCTCTTTCTTCTTCCTGGAACTGATATAAACCGTCATCTAAGAAATCAGCTAGTTTCTTGATGAACTTTCTGGGATAAACATATTTCTCGTAGTGTAACTCATGAAGATAATTTGACTTGTATACTTCTAGGAATTGACCATAATGGTAACTCAACTGGTTTATTGTCTCTGAGTATATATCGATCGGGTCCTTTTCAGGCTCTCCTTCAATTGAGCAATCTGAAAATCTTTCTTTCGCCTTCATCGACAAAACTAAAAATTTTGCAATATGTTTATTTCTAAACTCTTTGTAAGATTCGAATAAATGTTTAGACAGTTCAATTATATTATCCGCATGGGGAATTGCAGCCTCAAGGTACAGCTTTGCCCGCGACTCGTTTTTCAAGATCACATTATACACCGTATTGAGTTCCTTCATTACTTCTGGTAATTCAAGGGCGTCATTTTGCAATACTTCAAGATCGACTGGAGTATAGTTTGCATTTCCTTCCATAAGAGATAGTCCGCGAACACATTGATCGTAATGGTTGGTCAACATTGCCAATATTGCGGCCAATTCTTGTTCCAAGGACTGATTTTCTTTAAGAAGAGTATTGATGGTATTATTGGATTCTACCACTGGACCAGCAGAAGTTACTTTCATGCCAAATTGCATGGGTAATTTTTCATCGTACTGCTTAATGACCTTGCTATACTGTTTTGTTATCGTGCTTTGGAATGGGTTTATCAAAATGTCATTTAGATTTGATCTGAGCATTTGATGAAGTTTTTGTGAATTGGTTTTATAGATTTCAATATTAGTCTTAAGCAAGGCCAATGCATCCACCGATATAAAATCACCGAGAGATATATAACTCTTCGAGCTCTTGTTCTGTACTTCCAGCTGAAAGCTTTCTTCAACAATAAATGAGGGTATTTTGGTGTATTGTAATTGTAATACAATATTATTTAGGTGCTCTAAAGCTGGAACTAATACTTCATTAATTTTGTCCGAAAATCTCGTAAGCTCCAGCTCTGTTTCTTTTCTAATAGACTCTACCGTTCTACTTAACACTTTTTGTTGGTTCGTCAATTTATCATTCATGAATTTGCAGAATCGTAGTCTTTCTGGTAAATAGGTCTCTATTTGATAACTAGTAGATAAGAGCAGTGATTGTGCTTCAGTGCACATCTCACGTGCCCGTTCAAGCATCTTGGAAGAGTGGTCAAGCCAGGCCTTCACCTGGCTTTTGTCAATGGCCAGAGACATGCTATTCTCAAACAAAGTTCACCACTTAAAAGAAGTGAATCATCCTTTAAAGATACCCTGAATGCGTTTTATTTAATGTGGACGGTGATATGCAGTACGCTTTTGATGCAGTACTTTGAGAAAATTTTCGATCAAACTGAGCTTTGATACTGAAAAAAAAAACAGAAAGTATATCGAAGAACCGGTGAAGGCTACGGAAGATTGACCTATCACAGCCAAATCAATCCTTTTGCGGCGCATAATTTCCCAGATCAATATCAGATATGAGTGCTGTGTCTCCGTTACGTGCATTACGTGCCACAACCACCAAGAATGGACCAATTCTCTTTTCGAAAGTTGATGGTGACAGTAAGCAACAAGTTGAATCGATAAAAGATGCTACACACGTTAAATTTGGTGAATATTCGGACGATTTTGATCTCAACGAACTCACAAATTTTCACAACGAAGGGAATCAGCAGCCATTAAGGGCTGTAGTATTTTGTTGGCTACATGAAAAATCTTCGATTGTTGATTATAAAAATGAATGTTTGGAGCTTGGTATTCCGGATTTCAAGTTTTTGGTTAAAGCTGAATTAACCACTTGGTTGAATGGTAGCTCGGAAACATGTACTTTTATCCAGGGTGAGGATTCGGCTGCTGATGGAAAAGTAGCCAAAGATTCTTCTAAGATAACTTCAAATGCTGCTTCTGCCACTGCAACCTCGGCTTCCAGCTCAACACTGGCTGCTGAAGCAAGCAAGAAACGTAAGCTAGAAGACCCGCAATTAGACAGACTTGCCCAATATGAAAGAGAATCAATTAATCATAGTATGGCCTTGAGAGGTTCTAAAAATATAGATTTTGGATACTTGATTTCAGACGCTAAAAGATTTATTTCACAAATGAAAGGTTCCAAACCATCAAGTAGGTCCAGTGCAAAGGCTAATGGTCACAGTACTCCCAAAAAACAACCGATTATTATTGTTTCGCCTGCTACTACTTCGTTGATTTCTCTTACAAATATTAAAGAATTTCTTGAAAATGGGAAATTTGTGGAACCTGGATCAGCATCAAACCCTAAACCTTCTAATGGTATTGTAACAATACAGCACAATTCGGAAAGATTGGTTTCCGCAGGGCAACGTTTTATGGTTGTTGATAACGTTGACGTATTCACTAAACCAGAATATTGGGACAGAGTCGTTGCCATATTCACCACTGGTCAAACATGGCAATTTGCAAAATATAAATATTCAAAACCTGAAGAATTGTTTCAAAGATATGCTGGTTATTACTTGTGTTACCAAGGTGATGTTGTACCAAAACAAATTAAAGACTGGAATGTAACTGAAATAAAAGTTGATAGAGGTGATAAACGTTTTAGAGATAAATTACTTGTGAGAGATTTCTGGACTGACATTGAAAAAATCTTAATCTCTAAAGGTTATGGTAAACAATAATGAATTTCAGTTCTTTGGATCTCCAAATGTATTAATCACTTCAGTTCTTCTAGGGTGATCCCTTTTTTCTCCTTTCTTTTTTGCATAACCAGCTAAATGTACTATACTTTTCAAATATACGCTTATACATACTTATAAATATAAAAAATTTTTTTTTCTATTATACAACAACGCTATTTACAATGATTAGATTTATATATACAAATTGATTAGAGATAGTTACGTTCTAAATCAATGAATTTTTGGTAAATTTCTTCTGCACTCATGCTGGTGATTTTTCTGTCATCTCTTGATCTTATGGCAACAGTTTGAGATGATATGTCCTTATCACCAATGGTTAAAATATATGAGTAACCTTTTGAAATAGCGTCTCTCGTTCTACTCCCAATGGATTCCCATCTATCATCAACATCCACGTAAAAATTGTATCCGGTCATTGGAGAAACTTCATTCTGTTCACTCATTATATCACCCTGTAATTGTTTTTGAAGGGCTTTAGCTGCTTCTTGATGTGATTCATTAACAGGAATGATGACGGCCTGTCTTGGATTCAACCAGAATGGCCACTTACCTTGATAATGATCTAATAATATAGCGAAAAACCTTTCTAAGGATCCAAAGACAGCCCTATGGACCATAATTGGACGTTTATCATTGTTACCACTTTGAGACTTATAAGAAAGATCAAATCTTTGAGGCAATTGGAAATCTAATTGGATTGTACCAACTTGATGTTTCTTATTGAAAGCATCTTTCAACAAAATATCAATTTTTGGACCGTAAAATGCACCATCACCTTCTCTTATTGACCACTTATCATTCCCTGCAGTTTTATCAAGAACTGCAGTTAATTCTGATTCTGCGTGATCCCAGTCTTTTACATCACCTATAAACTTATCTTCTGGTCTTGTAGAAAGGAAAAATTCAATGTCATTCTCACCTATTCCAAACACTTTATAGGTATCCTTAATCAAGTTTAAAGTATTGGTGATCTCTTCATTAATTTGATGGGCTTCACAAAAAATGTGACCGTCATCTTGATGGAACCTACGTACTCTTGTCAAGCCAGAAAGCGCACCACTAGCCTCGTTACGATGCAAAGAAGAAAAGTCAGAAAACCTAACTGGTAATTCTTTATAAGATCTATCAAATTTGGAAAAAATTAAACAATGGCCAGGACAATTCATAGGCTTTAAAGCATAATCATGTAAACCTTCGCTATTATCATTATGCTCGTGACTATGTTCATGGATTTCTTCTTCTTTACTTAAATCATGACCAACAACTTTGAACATATCATCTTTATAATTCTCCCAATGACCAGACATTTCCCATAACTTAGTCTTATATATAAGAGGGGTTATAACTTCTTGGAAACCATACTTCTGTTGTTGGTTTTTCATAAAGTGTATAAGCTTATTAAAAATACGAGTTCCATGCGGTAAAAAGAATATTGAACCTGGAGTTAAAGGATCCGTGGTGTATAATAACTGCTTGTTCGATATAGTTTGATTAGCTTGAGTAGAAGATACTTTACTCGATGACCACCTTTGCCCGCCAAAAACAAAACATCTTGTTGAATAAGGTAACGGAAATTTATTGCCAGGTAGAATTGGTCTCATGTCTCCCGTATTAAAGTATTATTCACAAGTTAATGTCCTTTCTTCAGTTATGAAAAATATGAAAAATTCAATAAAAAAAAAAATCGATACCGCACTTCGAGCAAAATTCTATTTCAGTAGTACAACTGTGATTATATAGACACCATGATTTACATACTCTTTTATTATCATTGACGTTATATTACAAATAATTCCTTTAATATACAAATGAGGATCAATTATCTTTTAATGCGTAATCGAATTCATAATCGTTTCTAAGTCGAAAGTAGGAAAGGACGTAATTCATCTACTTTCTTAGTTTACAGGAGTAGCGGCCCCAGAAGAGGATTCCTTGATAAGGTCATCTTTTATAGTTTCGTTTTTTATAGCTTTATCTTTGATTGCCTTGGCCAGTTTCTCAGGCTTGGATCTCGAAGTAGGCATGGTTCTGTAAGCGGAATAAGTAACCTTGAATCCACTAAAAGTCTTGAATTGTCTTGGGCCCTTTTTCCACTTTCTAACACCAGTCCCCGACTTATCGAGGGCGTAGCTTGAACTATTGGCACTATTCATGGTTAAACCAGCCGTTGACATTTCCTTAACACCAGAGTTGATTTTAGCATTATTTTGATTAGCAAGGGCTAAAGCAGGATTGGTCTTGTGGGATTTAACAGGACTACTTTCCAAATCATTCCCATCATGCTCGTCCACTATAGACTCATTCATACTGGGAGTTGGAGAGCCTGCTTTTGATGCACCTGCACTGCTACCATTGGACTGTGATGCTGCCGCTAAGGCTCTACGCTCTTCAGCGGCTAGTTTCTTCAAACGGGACTTCGATATTGGAGGGGGGAATTCTGGTAACGTTTTCAAAAACTCAGAGGGCACTTTCAACTTGGCCCAATATCTTTTGGGTGGAGCCATGGTAATAGGTTCAAATGGATTTAAGACAGAGGAGAAAATAGGTGATAATACTGCTGTTTAAAATTTTGAAGAGGGCAGTTAAATACCACACCTTGATTTAGGGCTCTTTTTATATGGGTTTAAGAGAAGCAACAATTGGTGCTTTAATATTTGTGAAGTAGTAGTTTTTTCTGAATTGATGTTGATGTTCGATTGGCAAAAAAACTCGTGAAAATCTCAAAATCCCAAACTGAGGATTGTTTTAATAGAGAACCTCTACAATTGGTTCATATATTTTAAAAAGTGCACTAAAAGTTATGGAAGAAGCAAGACCAAGTATGGAGAGGGACAGATTACCATCGAGATTAGATATCCTTAGCAGTGGATTAAAATTGGACGTAAGAGCACATCAAAGAACTTACGAAGGAGCATTTACTAGATCAGCTATTTCTTCACTATCTTTTGCAATTCTTATTATTAAATTGTTTTCCAAGGAGTTTCTACCGGTAGGTACTGTTTATACAGCTTATGGATGCTTATTGTATTTTATAGGGGTTGTTAAGGCCGCATCTGTTGATATTTATTATAACCCTAAGAAGGACATGGAAATGTTTAAAACTAGTGGTGACACTGTCTTGCTTTTATCGATAATAAGTCTTGCTAGTTATATTGCATTATTTATATTAGTTTTAAGAATGTGATGCTATGGGTTAGTGGTTATTTATTCATTGATATATACAAGTATTATATAATATTGGCTGGACCAAAAATATAATGTTGGTGTATTCCTTTTGTAAGATAAATATAATTTAAATGTACAATATTCATAATTCGTAAAACTCAGACTAAGTTAATGCACCTAATCCAAAAACTATTAATTGGAATAATAGTTGGATTGACCAGAAACCTACTTTTTTCATTCTTATTAGTCTTGCTTCTTCATCGGCAACATAATCGACGAAACTATCATAGACCTCTTCAGAAATATCATCCATTAAAAGAGAGTCATAAATTGTCCAAGAGCCGCTGAAATCTTCAATATTTTTAACAATACGACTCTTAACCTCAATGAAGGTGTTTTTTGAGTTAATATAAGCGACAATAGGTCTAATCAAAGCATAATTAATATATGTTAATTCCGGAGCTTTAAAAGGTAATGTTGCTCGAACATTGTTTAGTTTAATAGTTAGATCAAGCACGAAGTATTTCAGAATATCATCTTCTATACTTGTATTTGAAGCTAGTCTTGAATGGTGATTTGGTTTTTTTGAAACTACTTCGGGATTTTTATATCTTGTAGCTTCTTTTTTAATAGAGTCTGCAATGATCTTAACTAATTCTGATACATTTAAGTCTTTATTATCTTGAGGTACCATAACGTCACCAATCATATCAACTTTACCATCGGTGATCCAGCCGAACGGTCCTTCCAAACCAGTATTTAAATGATCGATGTTCAAAGAGTCAACTCTCAATCTAGTGATTCGTTTCCAAGTGTCAGATATTGAATTTGAAGTTGAAGATTTATTCATTAAAGGAGCATTATAGTCATTAAATCTTTGTTTTTTATGAATTGTAAATAACGAATTATCATAAGAACCACTCATTATATTAGCATTTAAGAAATCGTAAAATAACCAATGTTTTCTTAATATAGATAATTCGCAATTATAAATTGCAACATTAAAATGCCTAAAATTATTCGGTTGCCATAATTCGAATAAAACATCTTCCATTTTAAAGTCTTCAAATTCAAAATCACCCGGCTCATAAATATTTTTATAATTTGTTGCATCATCATCTGGATCCCAGTGAACATGAGTTCTATCAATTACACCTCTCATACCTTTGATCCCCATTGTTTCCACGATTCCAGTACCATTGACCCATTTATTGAAAGAAAGTGATACATTAATTTCTTCAATAGTCAAATCAAATTGAGTATAGTTACCATCATCATATTCCTCATCAGCTGCGTTATCGTCTTCGAGTTCTTGAGATTGACTTGCAGCATAAGCCTCAGCTTGAGAACCTTTAACGAATTTCTTAAAATTTTTAGGACGTCTACTAACAAAACACTTTCTAAAACTTATTTTCCCATCTGACCAACCAGGAACAATGGCATGTTCGAAAGTAACGGTTAATTTTGAGTTTTTAGTTATGAATTCACCAACTTTTCTTGCAACAAACTCTTGAGCGAAAACAGTATTTATCGTGAAAATAATTAAGGAAAAAAATGTTGTTGTAGCAAGGAAGAATAGAAGAGCATTCCCCATAACTAACCAACTAAATAATGCTGAATAATCATCAGTATTAAAAGGTCTATTTGATTTTTTCAATAGCCATTTCAATCTAATTTGAAACCTTGAAAAAAAATTGGTTGCACTTGCCAATAGTTGTTCTTTGGTTACAACTGGTTTCTTGGGGAGAAGGTTATTCTTACCGGTCTTGTCATCGTCTGGTGACTTATTTGTACTATATAGTTTCTGAATCTGGAATGGTCGAACGGGGATTGACTTCTTTTGATGTATATGATGCAATTGATAATTTTTCAATAGGGACAAAGAACACAATGGTCTATAAAAGGTTTTGCCTCTTAGTAGATGTCTTGAGAGTAGCGAAGTTGGCCTCGAATTATACTTTGATATCAGTGAAAACATCTTTGAATCATCAACTAACTTTCGGAGTTGTGATTGAACGATATAATCTTGGAGAGATCAAGAAGACTTGTACTGAAAACTTTGGCTATCTCAACAATTTGAAAGTAGCGAGCTCTTCTATTCTTTTAAATCACTATTTGGTTCAAACTTTTAATTTAGCAACTCATTTAGTTTGGAAGACCGGGTTTTGGTTCGGAGGTGCCATCACTTCGTACAATACACTTTTTTTTTTTACGATTTTGGATGTACGGGTGTGATAATCATCCCCCACGGGTAGATGATTAAACTACTTCAAGTAACGAATCCTTCAAAGTACAATTTTACTCTATTTGTTGTTAAAAAGAGCTCAACGGTTAAGCCGATGTTAAGATTTGGATATTATCTGTGTGGATAAGGGCAAACAGGGGAGATAGGCTCATCTTGATAATGGACAAGGCTAAGATAATAGAATGTTGCAAGAAATTTCTTCAAAAAGAATATGTAAAAGATAAGGTTTAGACGTAAGTGGGAGAATAGGCTTTCGATGCTTATCGAAGAGGACAATGGGTCAGAAGCATCTGACTCGGTACTACTAAACTAGTACTGCTGACTCAGTACTGCTGACTCAGCACTGCTGACTCATAGTATAGCTTTATCTACGAGCGGAATTTTGCAGTCGCAAGTATAAAAAGGATGCTATATAGGGATGGATTTGAATAATTAGCCAGATACAAACAGACAATATGAGTCCACTTGTTCCCTTTGGTAAGAAATTTCGGGAAAAATATTTCCCGAATCTTGATAAGGAAGCATACCCATTAAACCATGGAAGTTATGGGTTAACACCGAAGCCAGTCCATGAGGAGTATGTTCGAACCCTTTCCAAAGAAGCTGAGTATCCAGATAGATATATTAGATATGATCTTCCAGACAAGTATGTTAGGGCCTTAAAGAGTGTTGGCGAGTTTGTGAATTGTGATTATCGAGATTTAGCACTTGTTGATAATGCCACCACTGGTATTAATACTGTATTAAGATCCTTCCCTTTTGAGAAAGGTGATAAGGTGTTGATGATGAGTACAGTTTATGGATCATGTGGGAACACCGTCAAGTTCTTGAAAGAATACAAAGGGATTGAGTATCAAGTTGTTGAAATCAATTACCCGGTCCAGGATGACGAGATTGTTGGTAAAATAGAAGAGATTTTTAAAACCCAGCTGGTTAAAATGTGTATGTTTGATACTATAACTTCGATGCCGGGGATTCGATTCCCATTTGAAAAAATGGTCAAGTTGTGTAAGAAGTATCAAGTGCTTTCATTAGTAGACGGTGCCCATTGTATTGGGTTGATACCATTTGATCTTGGTGACTTCAAGCCTGATTTTTTCATTTCCAATTTACATAAATGGTTATTTGTGCCTCGAGGATGTGCAATGTTATACGTTGATACAAAGCATCATGACAAAGTACAAACGCTTCCAATAAGTCATAGTTACACCAGTGATAATCTTGTCGATAAGTTTACATTTATTGGGTCGAAGAACTACGCATCAATCGCATGCATTGAAAGCGCCATCGAGTTCAGAAAAGGAGTCTGTGGAGGAGAACGGGCAATCTATGAGTACTGTTTAGGGTTAAGTGAACAAGCAGCCAAGCGAGTCAAGGAAATATGGGGGGACGTTGAGGTTTTAGGGATTTCGGGTGCATTAGTCACCGTTGAAGTTCCAATGGCCAATCCCCGATTATTTGACGATGCGACGATGGTTAAACAGTGTGAAGAGTATGTATACGGGGCAATGATCAGGCAGTATAATACGTATGTGCCAATGGTTTATCACAACGGTAAAATATTTGCCCGATTTTCCTGTCAAATATATAACGAATTGCATGAATACGAGTATGCAAGTAGGGTTATATTAGAGATATTTGATAATTTTTTTAAAAGCTTAAATAAGTAATTTTAATTTACAACTTAAAGAAGTAATAATTAACTTGAAAGAATAATTAAAATTAAACATCTATGTAAATTTTGATAAACGAAAAAATGAAGGACCGAATTAAAGAAAATTTTTTTTTTTGAAAAAAAAAAAAAAAAAAAAAAATTAATAGTTACATTGATTTGGATAAGTACGATCAGTGACTGGGCTAGGGAAGATTCCTGCTTTGGTCAATCTTTGGAAATCCCATTCGACGGCATCTTCAGTTTTCCAAGTCCAATAAATCCAACCAGCGGCTTGTTCGTATGCATCTAATTGAGCTTCAATGTATTTACGTACATCAGTACGGTAAGAATCAGGCCAGCTGCCATAACTTAAGTAAGGTTGACAAGAGCCAATTTTAGAAACGCCATCTAAATCCCCGGACCATCTAGCACCTTTACCAACCCCATTTAACCATCTGGCACAATCGGTTAAGGCAGCAGACCATTCACCAACAAGATTCCAATGAGATTCTGATTTTGCAGCAGACCCCCAGTTACAAGCAACACTGATATGATCATCGATTGATCTTTCCAATTCTTCTCCACTGAAAACTTGATAATGATGATGGTCAACAACAACGTTATAATAATCAGGAAGATTGAAAAAATCGTCCCAGTAACCCATATCTTGGAAGGCATCGTGGATAACAACAGCTTGGTCACTACCAGGATAACCCCCGTCGTTCCCGTCATCATTACCGTGTCTAACGAATTGATAGCCTTTATCGTAATAATCGTATTTTAATTTATTCATATCAAGAATGGTACCAAGAGGTTCATTTAAAAGTTCAATTCCAGCAACAACATCATCATAATCATCAACGCCATATTTACTGGAGATTTTATCCAAAACTTGTAAAGTGACTTGGGTATTATTACCGTCTTGAAATTTATAAGAGTCTCTCAACCCGGAATTGTCGAAACCATTTTGAGATCCGGGGGCCCCATGCAAATCAATCCAAGCATAAAGACCTTCATCACGACACCAATCAAGAACTTTATCCAAGTATTCTTCTTGACCTTGAACATAAGGATCGTCATCTAATAATTGGAAAGCCCAGTAGCCAATTGGAATACGAACAAAGTTTAATCCCAATTGTTTGATTTTGGAAATATCATCTTGGGTGATCCAGGTTTTCCAGTGAGTTTCCAATCGTTGTTTAGCAACTTCTTTACCCAATTTTTGAGTATAGTGGTATTCATCGACGGGAACTTGAGAATCGTCATTTGGCTTAGACCACACGTCGAAAAGACTTGGGGTGATAAATGGTTCAATGACAAACCATCCCCCCAAGTTGACCCCACGGACTTTATCATTTTGGTAATCCCATTTCAAGTTTTTTTTATATAACTGAACACCACTAGAGCTTTTACCTAATGGAACCGTGGGTAATGCATTGGTTAATGTGACAAATATCAATAATTCAATTAATGATATTAACTTCATGTTGGTTTAATGGAAAAAAAATAATGGAAAAAATACCAACCAGTTTGCCAAATCTATATATATAGGTTATATGTGTTTATATATATATGTATCTCTATATATATAAATACTTTATTGTACTGATTGATGCGAAACTAGAATTTCAATTGCAAGAGCAAAAAGGGTGCACTGGGTAAAGGGCGTAACCAATGTTTTGGTGTATTTGTGTAATTTTTTTTCTTCTGTTTCTCAACAAAGTAAAAAAGAAGGGATGATTTATTTGTGTCCGGCTTGAACTTCTACATGTTCATATATATATATATATATATATATATATGTGTGTGTGTGTATATATGACAATACGTACTGTAGCAGACATGTGTTTATAATTGGGGTGGGATCCAGCACTCTATTATTCGCAAAAGAATGGGAGTTACCAAGTAGTTCGATACAAGATTGAAACAGGAATAACATCTCTGAAATTGGTAACTAGGAATTGAGCCTTTGAACAATCAAAGCACCCTAGTGGGGAGGGCAATTCTTAGTACACTTTCTTTTTCTTCGATGAGTCCATTTAAAGAAGGTACAGTATTGATGATTATAAACATTGATAAGAAATTCTATTATTCTGAATGTCACCAGGCATTCTTGTTGGTCAAGGATCCATCGCTTGGTGCGAGACCAAGTAGGGTTGGCTATTCCCCACACTGGTGTGCCCTCAGACAAGCCAGGGTGAGTTTTGTATCACTCATGATTGAGGTCACCGCTATTGTTAGTGTGGTTAGGATGAGGATTAGGGAGTGCTTAGGGAATGCTTAGGGGAATTCCGAATACGGCACGCACGCGCTCGCAACAGCCCCGTACCTCCCTCCCCTCCTTTATAAATATCTCCAGAGGATACAAGTAAACAAATTTCATCTGTGGACTGGTCGGAGACGTAGTAGACGGAGACGGGAATATGGAATGAGCGACGACTGTAATGAATGAAACGACAGAAATACCGTGACAACGCAAGCCCAAGCACGGTGACCGTCATGAACAATTCACAACCTCTTTTTGAGCTGCAAACGAGATGCATTGGAGCAAGACTGCCATATTATTGCGCAGGTGTCTCCTTGGTTATTTTTTGTTTGATTTTGCAGCATCGGTGCCTTACTCCCGATCCATATAGGTGAAAAAAAATATAAATACCGACTTTTCAGCTGCTGTTTGTCGCAAGAGGTGTTCTGGCTCGCCTTTGCAGCTTTGCGGCTCTATACTGCAGGTTGGCCGGGACGGAATTTGGGTTGCAGGTTTGGTTGACACTTTTGCAGCTTTGCCCCATTTGGAAGTTCGACACTTGATAACGTTGTTGCTTATCTTGATCTTGCTTTAATAACTGGAAATGAGTATATATACGCTCGAACATAGATGTAATTAGAAAGTGTAGGATGTATGGTATGTAGACGTGATGAAGTTGGAAAAAACTCTATCGAATGATTCATTCATTCCAGGTACTATCAATATCTATTCAACCGAAGCAAAGGATTCGTATTCGGATAACGAAAATGATCCAAATTCAAATCAGATTACTGCTTCTGGGTTGAAAACTCACGACAATATTATTCTTGTTCCTCAGCCAACGGATTCTCCAAACGATCCACTAAATTGGTCTTTTGGTAAAAAAATTTGGAATTTAATCATCTTGTTGGTGATTACTGGATTCACTGCTGGGGTTTCAAACGATGCTGGTTCCACGGAGGATTCTCTTAATGAATTATATGGTATCAGTTATGCTTCAATGAATACTGGTGCTGGAGTGCTTTTCATTGCCATTGGGACAGGTACCTTTTTAATGGCTCCATTCGCAAATCTATACGGTCATAAAATAAGTTATATAATCTGTATTTTTGTTGGCTTGATGGGATCACTTTATTTTGCTTTACAGAAGAATACCGCCGATGCAATCATCAATCAATTTTTTGTCGGTTGGAGTGAAGCTTGTGCTGAAGCTCATGTTCAACAAAGTATAAGTGCTCTATTTTTCCAACATCAATTAGGTTCTACTTTAACCCTTTATATGTTGGCCACCTCGGTGGGGACTTATTTAGGTCCCTTGATTGCTGGGTTTATTGTAGAATCCATGGGGTTCAGATGGGTGGGTTGGCTTGGGGTCTTCATCGCTACTGGGCTCCTCATTACAATCATCTTTGGTTTACATGAAACTAGATTCGATAGACATAAATTCTCGGGGGTTATCAATTCAGTAAGAAGCCATGATCATCTTGATGATGCTGATGAAAAAAAATTCATTAAAAAATTACTTGGTAATAAAAATGAAAAAATTGATCAGGTTATTAACGTGCAACACTCTTCTTTAAATTCAGATACTGGTTATAATGAACTGAAAAAATCTTATTTACAACAAATTAAACCAATCACCAAAAATCCAAACCTTAAAGGAACTGGTTTCAAGCAATACTTAACCCAATTAAAATTAATGACTAAAGTTTTCCTTTTCATCCCAGTAATTTATGGTGGGTTACTTTGGGGTATGCAAGACTCCCTTCTTACCTTTTATTTAACGGTGGAAGATGATCAATATTATAATGCTCCTTTCAATTATAGCACTAATAGAGTGGCAATGATGAACATGCCTTGCGTCATTGGTGCTATCATTGGTTGTATGTATGCTGGGCCTTTAAGTGATTGGTTTACAGTTTGGATGGCAAAAAGAAATAATGGGGTTATGGAAGCAGAGTTTAGACTATACTTTTTATTCGTTCCAGGTATTTTGGCTCCGCTTGGCTTCATTCTTTTCGCAGTTTCAACCGATAAATTATGGAATTGGAGAGTTACTTATTTTGCTCTTGGTTTGATTGGTTATGGTTTTGCTTGCCTGGGGGATGTAGGACTTGCCTATCTAATGGATGCTTACCCTGAAATGATTATTGAAATGATGTGTGGGGTTTCAATCATTAATAATTACATGAGTTGTGTTTTTACCTTCACTTGTAGTTTATGGTTAGATAAAATGTCTAATACAAATATTTTTATCATTTTAGGTATACTTGAGTTTCTTCTTATGATGTGTGCTTTACCTTTGATTATTCATGGTAAGAGAATCAGGAAATATACCAAGACTTGGTACGTTGATTATATAAATGTTCGAGATGGGTTTTAAACAACCTGGTGTATAGTTAATTTAATTTTTACTCACTTTTTCGGCTGCAAAAAAATTGCCCACTCCTAGTTTCGTCGCTTGCCTGGGTATACCCATAAACATCAAATAATCATCTATTTTGCTAAAGTTATACTCCATCAAATGTAGGAATTGTATTAGATGATTATTTATGTTGGTGTTGATTTCTAGATATTTTTGTTCTGGATTCTACAAATTCTGAGCAAACATGTGAACAGCATCACCCTTACCAACGGATTCTGATTAGAACACTCACAACTATACTCTATCAAACCATCATCTTACAAAAACCCTCAACTAAAGTCTTAATCGAAACGTTGTTCAGAGTCTACCTGAAGGAGTCTCGTACGAAGTGTTGATCTGAGTGTTTATGAAAGTGCTTGAGTAATAATCAAAGTCTCGACAGTCTTAGTCACTCCCTTGGTAGTGGTGCTCGTTTCGTGAACACTCATAAGCTGCAATGCCCTTCAGCAGGTCCTCGGCCATCTTACACTGTTCCATCACTATATACGGAGACGAAAATGGTATTTGCAACCATTTTGAGTATCCACGTGACTAGGGCACCAGACCTAGCGTTTAGTGCGACGCACCCGTACCCCATGATTTTTGAAAAAAAAAAAAAAAAAAGAGAAATACCCATTGCAAACTCAGACTCAGTCAAGGAAGAAAAAAAAACTTTTGAAAATTCAAGAGTTGATTACTTCAGTTTTACTCTACACTAAGTCAAAACTAAGAAATAGTCTGCAATTTAGTAAAAAGCTTAAATTGATTATCTCTAGTTCCTACCCAAGTATATTGAAAGATGTCTATTGAAACCTCCTTATCCTACGCTGCCTTAATCTTGGCTGATTCTGATATTGAAATCAGTGCTGAAAAATTAGCTCAATTAACTTCTAAAGCTAATGTTGAAGTTGAATCTATCTGGACTGATATCTATGCTAAAGCTTTAGAAGGTAAAGATTTGAAAGAATTATTCTTCAACATCACTGCTGCTCCAGCTGCTGGTGCTGGTGCTGCCGCTGGTGGTGCTGCTGCCGCTGAAGGTGAAGCTGCTGCTGCTGAAGAAAAGAAAGAAGAAGAAGCTAAAGAAGAATCCGATGATGATATGGGTTTCGGTTTATTTGATTAGATTTAATATTCTAATATATATTTAATAACTAATTAGGAGAATTTTAATGAGATCATTTTCTTTTATTTGTATACTTTAGTTTATATAATCAATTAAATAAAAAGCAAAACATTATTATAATTGTAAAGGTTACTACATTATTTTGATTGTAAAGGTTACTACCTTATTGTAATTGTAAAAAATTACTACATTGTTGTAAGGTAATAGTTACTACATTAATTAATACATGTACAAATTGATTAGACCTAGATAGATACAATATATAACAGATGAGAAACACTTTTCAATTCAAATTTTACAATGAATGACTAAATAATTAAAAATGTATTATAAATTTTTGATTTTATGTTTATTAAAAGTGGAGTTGATATAATGAAACTAACTAGATTATTTCTTCTTCTTGTCAGCTTCAGCTTCAGCCTTTTCTTTAGCACGTTTTTCTCTGATACCTTTGTATTTTTTATCAGATTTAGCTAATCTTAAAGTTCTGAAAGCAGTTTGTTCTGGAACTTCAACGGCTCTTGGAGCAGATTCTGGTTGAGCTTGAACAACTGGGAAAACAGCTGGAGTAGAAACTTGTTCGAAAGCAGCAGCTTCAGAAGCCTTGGTCTTTCTGTCAAAGACAACTAATTTAGATTTGTATTCTTGTAATCTAGCAACATTAGCATCAAAAGTTTCTTGAGCTTTGTTTTGTCTTCTGTGATCAACAGCAATACCAATGGTTCTAGCGTATTTAGCAGAGTATCCAACAGCTTTTAATTCAGCTAAAGTGAAACCTCTACCAGCTCTAACTTTTCTGTTATATTTGATAGTTGGAGCTCTAACAACTGGTCTTAAAGCATCTAATGGTCTTGGGGCAATAGAAGCAGCTTTAGATGCTCTATGTTGTCTTCTTGAAGCTTTTTTACCAGCTTGGTCTAAGTGGACCTTAACACGTTCTTGCCAGTGTTTTCTGAAGTGATTCTTCAATAATGGTAAGTTCTTAGAGATAGCCATTGTTACTAAATTAAAGGATGAACTTTAAGAAGATGTAATAAAAGGTTCAAATAAAAGAGAATTATATCCAAGGTTAAGTTTTTTTTTTTTCCCTTCCCACTCAGGCATCAACCCTCATTCACTCACTTTTTTCACCATACAAATGGGAAAAAGAAAAATTTTTCAGTTTGAAAAGCGCGGGTACTGTACATAAAAACCGTAGTCACACGGCACGTGACGCGGGCCCTTCGCAGTGCTGCACATCGGGGCACGCGCGCGTACATCACCGCACTAACAAACAAAAGACCGGGGCGTGCGCGGCTCGCGGGAAACTCAGTGCTGGCAACGGCATCGCGGGCGGCGGTGTGTGCAGTGCGGGTTTGGCCTGTGTTCACGTGACTGGCAGGACACTTTCCTGAGTAGTTTTCTCACTCTTTTTTTTTCTCCTTCACAAGTGTAGTATTGAAAAAAAAAAATTTTTGAAAAAAGTTAGCTACTTTTAATCTTTTTACTATAGTCAACCAAACAACATGTCCACTCCATCTGTCCAAGTATGTTATAATTACTGATTCGTGAATACTGATTCGTGAGTACCGAGTCGTGAATACTGAATCGTGCTTTGGTGTCTGCTTGAAATAAGTCGTTTGAAGATGGGTACTGTTTATGCCGAAGATTTGTTTGAATAGTTTGAATGTGTTTTGAATATGAAGTATATTGAGTAGATGAACATTGAAGAAGATGGAATAGGGGGATTAGAATGATTAGCTGGGGGAAGCAGGGCGATAAGAAGCAAGACTATTGAATGCCGATTCGGATCACTTTTATAGATCAAATACTAACCATTTAATATAGACTTTTGGTAAAAAGAAGACTGCCACTGCCGTTGCCCACGTCAAGGCCGGTAAAGGTTTAATTAAAGTTAACGGTTCTCCAATCACCTTGGTTGAACCAGAAATTTTACGTTTCAAAGTTTACGAACCATTAACTTTAGTTGGTTTAGATAAATTCCAAAACATTGACATTAGAGTTAAAGTTACCGGTGGTGGTCACGTTTCCCAAGTTTACGCCATTAGACAAGCCATCGCTAAAGGTTTAATTGCTTACCACCAAAAATTCGTTGACGAAGCTTCTAAAAACGAATTAAAGAAAGTTTTTGCTGCTTACGACAAGACCTTATTAGTTGCTGATTCAAGAAGAATGGAACCAAAGAAATTCGGTGGTCGTGGTGCCAGAGCCAGATTCCAAAAATCTTACCGTTAAGAAAGTTATTTTTCTTTTCATTTCAATCGTATATTAATTCATCCTTTTATAGGTTTTCTTTAAAGGTTTAATTATATATTTCCCATATCAACCTCTTTTTATCTAATGTATAAATAAATCACGTTTATCAAGTGTTTGTAATTGTATTTTGGTGTTTTCGTTTGTATTTTGGGGGAGCGCTTATATTTTTGGGGAGCGCTAACTTTTTTTCGGTCGGCGGTTTAAAGACAACTGGTTATTGATAGATATTGATCTTTGTCATTATGGTTTGGGTAGAGTCAGCCCCGGTGAGTGAAGCTCCAACACCGTTGAACGATGAAGAACCGGTCATCAAACTAATTCATGCTCCGCATACTCCCTTGGTGATTGCCTTGACAAAGACTTCTGTTTTGATCTACCATCAATCTACTTTATTACCTTTAACTTGTCATAACCGACTGGAAACTTCTTTAAACAATCAGGGGTATAACCTTGATATCAAGGTGAAACATGTCTCGGTGGATACCGCTCAATTGGTGAAAGTCCTGACCATTAATCTTTTCATTCAAACCGATCTGAATTACTTGATCATTTATCAAGTCTTTATCAATTACAATAAATCCTTATTTGAAGTTTATAATAAATCAAATGGTGAATTGTTACAAAATTCCTTACCCTTGTCTGATACCAGCTCGCTGTTTAGCTTGACCAATCTAATCAAGTCTGCTACGAAAACAATTATGCTGGGGAATGAAAATCACGTCAATTTGGAAAATATCGAACATTTTAATAATGGGCCAATAGAAGATAAACCCGGTGATAACCTCCCTTATGTAAAACTTTCAATCTTTAAAGTTTTGAAAATTAGCATCGGTATAGATAAATTTTGGGTAAGATCAAATTCTCATAACTTAATCATACTAAATAACTTTGAATTTCAAATTATAAACTTGAATACCTTTCATAATCAGGTCTGGAACTTGAAAGAATTGGAATGGTTTGGCCAAGACTGGCAAATTAAATCGTTTAACTACAACGTGTTTCATAATTATTTTATTTTAATTAATCAATGGAATGAAGTTTGGTTTGGGAATATTGAATCAAACCTTGATTCAAAACCTCTGATCTTAGGTGAACACTTATTTACTTTGACGAATGACTTCGATTATTGTAATGTCATTTTCAACCCTCAGTTACCTTTAATTCTAATTCAATTCAATTCATCTTGTCAATTATTTAAATTAGAAACCTTAAACAAAATTCGTCATTTCAAATTTCAAAAAATTATTCATGATTCGAAAAATTGCTGGCATTTAGATATTAAATGGTCTCCCTGTGGAGAATATCTTATTTTCATTAATACCTTAAATGGGTTTTGGAACATTTACTCAAAATTCGGTAACTCATCCTTCGATTCTTTCAACATCTTGAATGAATTGACTGATCATGAAAATGATGCCCTTGATTTCCTAAAAGCTTCAAAAATATTAATATCTCCTAATTCTTTACAATTGTATATACTTAATAGGGATCAAACTTCTTTATACCTTATCAATTTACTTAAGTCTAATGGATTTGGAAATCAAAATGTCTTACTATATAATAAAGACTATATAAGTCAACCAAGTCTAGATGATAATATGAACCGATTCCCAATCTCCTCTAGTCTTAAAAAAATATTAACAAACATTGAGTTTTTGAATGGATCCAAAAATGATGATCAATTGAAAAATTTAAATGGTAACTTCAAAATATCTTATAATAAATTTAATCAAATAGGTATGAGTTTTGGAAATCATGTTTCGATTTCAACTCCTACAAATGATGGGTTTAAATTGAATCATGTTCTATGGTTTAATTTCCATGATTATTATATGGAAACTTTAAATATCATCGATCATTTCTGGTATGATGATTATTTGATATTAATCAACAGATTTGTCAAAGACGAAGAAATACTAATCGATGAATTAATTGTCCTTGATACTACCTTATCAAAATATGGTCACGGAGGTTCAAAAAATTTTATTTTTGATAGTGATTTAATTATTTGGAGACATAACTTTAATAATCAGATCTTAAGTCATGAACTAAGTGAAACGACAAATCATCAAGTTAAAAACTTGACAATCATTGGGAATGATATGAAGATTATCATCGTTGAGTTATCAAAGGATAAAATCAATCCAAAGACAAATAAACAGTATCGAATTTTCATTGGTGTCAATAAGCGTATTCATTTGTCAAGTATTCAACATAAAATAGAATTAAATCTAATTCAACAAGTATCTATGATTGAAGGTAAACACTTCTTACTACTATTACGAAATGGTGATTTTTATTTATTAAGAAATCAAACTCAAGTCGAAGATACTTCCGAAAGCAAGACTAATAATAAGAATCCAATAGATTTATTAAGACCAAACAATAATATGTATGATTTGATCAAAATACAAGAGTCAGTTGAATACTTTCAAATTAAGAGTTTAGAAAATTTCGCAACTGTTATCTCATTATTCAATGGAGATTCATTATTAATTTATAATTTATTCGATATGATCGAATCAGCATTTGATAATTCTAACTATAATGATGATGGATTAGACGATTCAGATCAAATTGGAATTAATGCACAGAAGAACGTGATTGATCCAATTGATATTAAAACATTCAATAATAATTATCCATTGTCTATGAATAATCTGACCCATGATAAAATATCAGAATCTATTGAATTGCTTGGACTTGAAGTTTCTCCCATTTTGAAAAGCAACGTCTTTTATCTCAAACATAATATAAATCATCAATTAATTCTTAATAATTTTATCGAATATGATTTATATAATGCCCAATTATCTAATGAAAAAATAATTACAAAGTATGAGAAATTCCAAAATTTTAAATACTGTTTGGAATTGATTTTATTCAATCAATTGACTAGTACTGATGAGAAACTCGACCAAATGAGTGACAATTCAACCATCGATGAAGACTTGAAGAAAATTATGAACTTAATTGAAGATGTTAAATCGGATTCAATCTATATAAACTGCTTGAGAAAAGTTGAAGTAGGATATTGGCACCAATTCTTCGAGACATTGAACTTATCTCCAGTCGAGTACATGAACAGGTTGATTGAGTCTCAAGATGTTGAGTTATGTTACAATTTCTTAATTGTCTACTTAAACTTTAAAAAAGAATTCGATGACGACTTTGAACTTGATTCTAATAACGATCTAGACAACGACGATGAGAAAATCATTCTAACTATCATTCAAATGTTGGACGACTCAGCCAAATGGGACTCCTGCTTCGAGCTCTGTCGTTTTATCAAACTATTAGACCCTAGCAATAAGCTTTTAAAATCAATTAAGAACACCTTAAATAAATAACGTTTTTTTTTTTTTGCAATAATTAAAATATATTCGCACCACGCACGACCTTTTTGTAGCCAACCAAATTGAACCTTTTCAAAATTACGTTTGGCACTAGCGAAAAAAAAACATCTTGATAAAACCACCGTTAGTAGTTTAATCAATTTACACCCAGGAAAGATGACCTTAGCTACAGAATTTGCCGAAACTACTCGTCGTTCAGCCACTAGTGCTGACATGAGAAAAAGAGTCTTACACTTATACCGTAAATATATCAGAAGTTCAAGAGAATTTTGTGATCTTTATGAATTAGATATGCCAGTTTCAAATGTTAAGACTAAGATTAGACAAGAATTTGAAAGACAAAGATTTGTTAAAGATTTAGAAGTCAGCAATGTTTTATATATGAAGGGACAAATGGAATATCAAGAACTAATGAATTTCTGGAAACAACAATGTCATGTTTTAAGATATTTTGAAGATCAAGACCAATACGGAGCTGTTGATAAAAATGATTTTGTTAAGAACTTCTTAAGAGGTAATTAAATTACTTTTAAAATAATTGCATTTACTTGAGTGAGGTATAACCTCAACCCTAGATTATTTATTCCTTTTCTTCTTTTCTTCTTTCATGATAAATTAAAAAAAAAAAAAAATTGTTCTATAGTTTCATCAAATATATTCTTTAATTCGCATTTATATCAAGTTATCATGTAAGCTACCTTTGAAATAAGTGAAAAGTATTATATCTATGTAAAGGGTATAACCAGGGATTGTTGCAAAAACTCAGGGTTAAAATTAGATATACATATATATATTGTTATATACATATATATATATATTGTTATTATTAGGTATTTTTTTGGTAAAAAAAAAAAAAAATAGAGTAAGATGGTATTCAAGTTATAAAAGAAGGAATAGTAGATACATATATATCAACATCAAGAATTAAAAAAAGGATTGCAAGAGCCATAGCTAAAGAGAGATAATTAAAGAGAGAGAGAGAAAAAAAAATCAAAAACAAAATAAGCAAACGGAAGAAAGAAAACAAATCATCCCATTAAGATAATTATTCCATGTTATCAGGTAATGGAGCTTCATCAACACCGTAATCCAATTCTTCTTCATCTTCAACAGCAGCTTCTTGATATTGTTGATATTCACTAACTAAATCATTCATATTTGATTCAGCTTCGGTGAATTCCATTTCATCCATACCTTCAGAAGTATACCAATGCAAGAAAGCTTTTCTTCTAAACATTGCGCTAAATTGATCACCGACTCTTTTGAATAATTCTTGAATAGAAGTAGAATTACCGATAAAAGTAGCAGACATATCTAAATCTTTTGGAGGAACAGAACAAACGGCGGTTTGAACATTATTTGGAATCCATTCAACGAAATAATCAGCGTTTCTAGTTTGAACTTTATGCATTTCATCATCAACTTCTTTAACTGAAACCTTACCTCTAAAGAAAGCAGCAACAGTTAAATAACGACCATTTCTTGGATCAGAAGCAGCCATCATATTTTTAGAATCAAACATCTGTTGAGTTAATTCGGGAACGGTTAAAGATCTAAAAGAAGTAGAACCAAGAGCAGTTAAAGGAGCATAACCAACCATGAAGAAATGTAATCTTGGGAAAGGAACTAAATTAACTGCCAATTTTCTTAAATCAGAATTTAATTGACCAGGATAACGTAAAGAAGTAGTAACCCCAGACATAACACTTGAAACCAAACTATTCAATTGAGCATAATTTGGAGTTGGTAATTTCAAAGTTTTTTGACAGATATTATATAAAGCTTCATTATCAATACAGAAAGTTTCATCGGAATTTTCAACTAATTGATGAACAGATAAAGTAGCATTATAAGGTTCAATAACAGTATCACTAACTTTTGGAGAAGGAACAACTGAAAAAGTAGCCATCATTCTATCTGGGAATTCTTCTCTAATTTTAGAAATAAGTAAAGTCCCCATACCAGAACCAGTACCCCCACCTAAAGAATGGGTAATTTGGAAACCTTGTAAAGAATCACAACCTTCAGCTTCTCTTCTAACTACATCCAAAACAGAATCAACCAATTCAGCCCCCTCAGTATAATGACCTTTTGCCCAAACATTACCGGCAGAGGATTGTCCAAAAATAAAATTGTCTGGTCTAAATAAATTACCAATATGGGACGATTTAACACTATCAATGGTACCTGGTTCCAAATCAACCAAAACGGCTCTTGGAACGTACTTACCAGAAGATGCTTCATTATAATAAACATTCAATTTGGATTTTTGAAGTTCGTCAGTACCGTGATAATTCCCATCATTATCTAATCCATGTTCACCGTTAATGGTTTCCCAAAAAGCTGCACCAATTTGATTACCACATTGACCGGTAGACAAATGAATCTATATCTCGTTAGTATATACTAATAGCTTTACCGCCCGGATCAAATCAGATCAACCCCCATTCATCATCTCCCACTCCCTGATCCCAATCGGCGCGTATCAATTCAATTCCAGCCGGCGCCCCTTCCAACTGGCCTCTTCCAATACATACAATTTCTCTCATTCTAATTACTAGTTACTATAAGTTCTAAAAGCGGAGTGTATGCTGAACCAAGAAGAAAGAAAAGGTTTATCCTAAAAATTTTCTCTTTCTCATTAGACGCTGACAAGTTGTTGTTGTTGTTTTTTTTTTTTGGTTTTTTTGTGTGTGTGAGGATTTGTTTACCTTTTCATTTTTCTATCAGTTTTTTTCGTTTTGTTAGTGCGATTTAGACGAGGGCTCTGTGCAGGGCGACGGGTCCTTCCTCAGTGCTGGAGCATTCGCTGGCCGCTGGCCAGTGCCCGGTGTGGGTGGCCTGTGTGGTTAGCATGGTCTATCTGAGACCACTGACCTGGCGGTCCGTTGTCTGTCCACTGGCAGCTGACTGGCCGTAGTTATGTCAATTGGTAGGGCATGGAACTAATTCGCGTAACACTTTTCTCTTTTTGTTTTGCGATAACACGTTGGTGCACGGGTGCAGTCGCGCTATTGGTGTACGGGTGTGCGGTACGGAGGTTCAATTTTGAATTGACCATCAAAATTCTTTGCTGTTATCAACTACTTGAAAGCACCATCTGGTCGAACATCCCCAGTCTTGCATCATGTCAACGCTTCAGAACAGAACGTTTGAGTTCCAGCAATGTGTGACGTCCTTCGACAAGATAAACAAGAAGCCGGCCCACCAGGCTCACCCGCGGAAACAGAAATCTAAATTCGGCCAGCAGGCCAGTGTGATTGCCAGAGATATTGCCCATACTACAGAGTTATTGACTAAGTTGGCGTTGTTAGCCAAAAGGAAACCGTTGTTTGATGATAAGCCGGTTGAAATCGGGGAATTGACCTACGTTATCAAACAAGATATATTTAAAATTGAACAAAATATTCAATTATTACAGAAATTTATAAAGGGAGAGAACTCGATTCAAATCGATAGTCAGATTAACCAGTACTCTAAAAATGTGTTGACTTTGTTGAATTCTAAAATGAAAAATATCAGTGGAGAATTTAAAAACGTTTTAGAGTTAAGACAACAAAATGAATTATTGAATAAATCAAGAACGGAAAACTTTCTTTCTTCCACCACAAACCATCGTCAAAGTAATTCAACTTCTCCGTTATTAGATAATAAGCAAAATACTAACTTGAACTTAGGTGAAAATCCTTACTTGTTATCTGCTTTAAATTCCCAATCTCCCCAACCTTATAATCCCGATTTAGACCCTGACACTTCAGTGCCTAATTCAAATGGGGAATTTTTATCAATCCCCGATCAAACTAGACAATTACTATTAATGGAAGAACAATCAAACTCTTATTTACAACAACGTAATAGTGCAGTGGAAACTATAGAATCAACCATTAACGAAGTGGGTAACTTATTCCAGCAATTGGCCACCATGGTTAGTGAACAAGGTGAAACAATTCAAAGAATCGACCAAAACGTCGATGACATTTCTCTTAATATAAATGGGGCTCAAAGAGAATTATTAAAATACTATACCCATATTTCAAATAATCGTTGGCTTTTCCTCAAAATTTTCGGGGTTTTAATCGCTTTCTTCCTATTATGGGTCCTCGTAAGCTAACCCTTTCCTTATCTCTCTGTATACTACTGTCATTATATATATATATATAACTGCTATTCCTAATAGTATAAGGGGCAATTATCGTAGTCGTGTGCGCACCGATATGTTTGGCCAGTTCTCTCTTTATTTCTCTCTCTTTTTTTAGGTGGTGATAAATGATTAATCTAGGAGTGACCCAATTCAACTATTATTCCACTTGATAAGTGATCTAATATATCCTACTAGGCACTTCTAACTACCCGGATTGCTATACTGCCGTCTTTAATTGTATGTTGCATTGGTGAATTGTTCATTAAACGATTCAATTTTTCTAGTATTCCCAATACTAACTTATCTAAAGATTCATTACTTATCTTTTGGATTTTTATTTTAATCAACTATCAACCAATAACTCATCATGTGGAATTATTTATTTGGAGGTAATAAACAACAGAAGAAAGAATTGCCCAAGAAGGCAATCATCGAATTACGTGAACATATTCAAATGTTGAATAAGAAACGCTCTCATTTAGAACAACAAATTAGTGACCAAGACGCTTTAGCAAGAAAACATATAACAACCAATAAAAATTTAGCTAAAAATGCATTGAAAAGAAAGAAGGGCTATGAAAATAATTTAATCAAAATCGAAAATCAAATTGATACATTAGAAAATGAATTAACCGCAATTGAAGGTGCCAATTTGAATTTAGAAACTATGAAAGCTATGAAACAAGGTGCTCAAGCAATGAAACAAATTCATGGAGAATACGATGTTGATAAAGTCGAAACCACCATGGATGATATCAGAGAACAAGTTGAATTGGCTGATGAAATCTCGGATGCTATATCAAGACCAGTTGGTACCGAATACGTAGATGAAGACGAATTAGATGAAGAATTGGCTGCTTTACAACAGGAAGAAAAAGAATCCCATCAACAACAAGCTGCTCCTGCTCAAAAACAATCCCAAGAAAATGCTCAACAACTACCAGACTTCCCATCGGTTAGTAAAAATAAACCTCAAGCTAAACCTCAAACTGAAGATGATGAAGATGAAGAAGCATTGAAAGCATTACAAGCTGAAATGGGATTATAGCTTGCCAATGTATCTTATTGGGTATGGTGTTTTGTTTTAATTTTCTTTTGATACTTTTCTTTTCTATTCTATTCTATTTTATTTTATTTTATTTTATTTCATTCTATTTAATGTTGTCATTTTAGTTTGCTTTCCTTTTCTTCCTTTCCTCTATTCACGACAGCCTTATAATGTTACTTACGCAATTGGTTCTTTTATATATACCTACACATCCTCATAGATTACTTCTTAGTCACTGTTGTAGTTAAACTTGGTTTCAGCCAATTACCATAAATTAGTGCTTTTTTCTATCTTGTGCCTCTGGCTATTTTTTCTTTTTTTCTTCTTTTTTTTTTTTTTTTTTTTTTGTTTTGTTAGTGAGATGCAGTAAATTTTTTTTTTTTTTTTTTTCCTTTCGTTTCTTTCTTAAAGTCAGTTCATCTTATACTAAAGAATACCGATTTTTCACTTAATAACTTGATACTTTGATCTCTTCCTTAGGTGGTTGTACTACGAAAACGAGTATGTTTAGACAAGTTTCGAAAAACGGGAAAATAAGGGAGTTGACTAGGAAATATGTTTGTCAATCTGCTTCATCAATAAGGTCCCAAGTGAGATATTCTACATCAGTGACTCCAAACGAAGACAAGAATGGGTTTTCATCTGTTTATGATGGGTTTCTAGAACGTTTGAAATCGAACAAAGATCAAGGTCCCCTGGAAAAAGAACCCAAGACTTATTTAAGAGCCTTCAATGATATAAATGCAGACTCATTAGATCAATTTAAAAGTCAAGCTACTGATACTGCTTGGACTTCAGATTACGATCCTGTCTCAAGGGCTAGATTTGCAAAAGACATCTACCATTTGCAGTCTTTACTCGATGCCTTAATAGCCAGTGGGAATTTTGACCGTGCAGATAGTATATTAAGAGCTATCTATCCATTATCAAACTCCATAGACCACTTCATCTTTTCATTAAATAAGTACTTAGAGGCCTGGGGTGAACATGAAAATATTTCATTTCTGGAGATGAAACAGTATGTTAAACAGTTAGAATCTAGATATGGTGAAAATTTTACCAACGATCGTACATACGCTATATTTTTAGCAAAATCGTTGAAAAGCCAACAGCATGAAGATTACGAAAAACTTTTACACTCAATAAAGAAAGACGTCTATCTTACAAGAAAAACTTTGAATCATATAGATGTTTTGGGTGCTGATGCATTAACTACTATCTTTCAAGATAATATTTTATCCGAAGTTCACGTACCTCGAGATTTGATTCAAATGTTTAAACAAACTAGACAAAGCCTTGAATCCAATAAAGACAATGCAAATTTCAGTGCTGATCTGTTAAACGAATTACCAGATTATTTCACCGATGAAGGAGGTGAAGTTCCTATTTTAGAGAAGGATGCAGAAACGTTGAAATCAGTAGATGCTTTCGGGTTGAGAGTTATCAGACATACCTTATTAGGTTTACAATCGAATGAGCAAAGCCAAGAGTTAGACAATTTCATTAAAAATTTTTATGCCGAAGCTGATACTAATGTTATCAAACCTTCAAATACAAGAACTGATTTCTTTGAAATAAACAAATCAATCAAAGATGAGCAAATACGCTCGAGATTCAATGAAGCTTTGGATAGTTTTAATGAAATAAGAGAACGTGCATTAGAAGCAAAGGGACTCGATGCTGCTAGAGGTAGATGGCAACATGAATTCGAAGAATTACAGAAAAGAGGCGGTAGTGTTCCTTTAGATAAAAGTTTAAATTCTCAATTATATGTTTGGTATAAAGAATTGTTACCATTAGTTCAAGAAGAATATCAAAAGTGTCAAAGCATCATCAATGAAAACTCTTTTGAAGGACTGGAAAAACGTAAAAGTGCATTAAATACAACTGAAGATAGATCATTTTATGCCCCCTTTTTTGTCCTTGTTCCTCCAGAGAAAATGACCGTTATAACCATTTTGGAGTTGTTAAAATTGAACTCAACCGGTGGTATTATTGATGGTATGAGGATTGGTAGAGCTGTGGTGTCTGTTGGTAAAGCTATCGAATTGGAATATAGATCCCAAAGTTTGGTTCAACAAGAAGGTAAGTCTTTTTCCAAAAAGAAAAGAAATGCCAACGAATGGAAAAAGTTAATAAGACAGAGAGATTATCTGTCAAGAGATCCAGGTGCTTCTAGGGAGTGGGATGCTCCTATCCATGTTAAGGTTGGTGGTGTATTGACTTCTTTATTAGTTCACATTGCCAAAATTCCCGTCACCGGTACTGATCCAACTACTGGTAAAACTGTGAAAGCATTACAACCAGCATTCCATCATACTTACCAATTCATCATGGGACAAAAATTAGGTGTATTAAAACTTCATAAAAGCTTAATTCGTCAATTAGGCAGTAGATCTGTTGAAAACTCTGTGCAACCACAGTTACTTCCAATGTTGGTTAGTCCTCGTCCTTGGTGTGGTCACAATAACGGTGGTTATTTATATTCTCAAACTGGCTTAATTAGAACGAAAGATTCTTCTGAAACCTTAGCGTATTTAAAAGCATCTTCTAATCGTATCAGTGGGGTTTATGATGGTTTGAATGTTTTAGGTGAAACTCCATGGACTATCAATCGTAAAGTTTTTGAAGTTATTACTCATTACTGGAATACCGGGAAACAATTTTTGGATATACCCCCAGTAAGTGAAGAGATTAATTACCCGGAACCGGTTGCTTTCAATGCTGAACCCGAAGCTAAAAAAGAATACCAAAAGAGACTCAAGCAAGCAGTATTAGAAGCCTCTGCTATGAATTCTCAAAGATGTGATACCAATTACAAGTTAGAAATCGCTAGAGGATTTTTAGGTGAGAAGCTCTTTTTCCCTCATAACATTGATTTTAGAGGTAGAGCTTATCCACTTTCTCCTCATTTAAATCATTTAGGGAATGACTTAACTCGTTCTCTTTTCTTATTCTGGAATGGGAAAGAAGTTGGAGAAAAAGGATTGGATTGGTTAAAGATACATTTATCGAACGTTTACGGTTATGATAAAGTTCCATTAAAAGATAGAATTGAGTTCGCTAATAAAAACATAGAAAATATCAAAGCAGTTGCCAAAGATCCTTATCAAAACCAATGGTGGGTCAAAGGTGATAAACCCTGGCAAATTTTAGGTATTTGTTATGAACTTGCTGAAGCTTATACTTTAGAAGATCCAACTAAATTTGTATCTCACTTCCCAGTACATCAAGATGGTACCTGTAATGGCCTTCAACATTATGCAGCTTTAGGTGGTGATGTTGAAGGTGCACGTCAAGTGAATTTGAAACCAGCTGATAGACCTCAAGATGTTTATACTTATGTTGCTGGATTAGTCATCAAAAGAGTTAAAGCTGATGCTGAAGCAGGAAATGAAATGGCAATTTTCTTCGAAGACAAGATTACGAGAAAAGTAGTTAAACAAACTGTTATGACCAATGTTTATGGTGTCACCTTTGTTGGTGCTCTTGCTCAAATCAAAAAACAAGTTATTCATCATTTTGGTAAAGATGAAGATGAAAAGGCCAAAAAATTCACCAAATATTTGACATCTCTAGTTTTTGACTCTGTGAGGGAATTATTCGAAGGTGCCCATTTAATTCAAGATTGGTTGGCTGAAGCTGCTAAACGAATTAGTAAATCAGTTCGTCTTGACACCTTTTCAAATCAAGATAACGAAGCAAACAAACCAAATCATTCATCTTCGGTCATTTGGACGACACCATTAGGTTTACCATGTGTGCAACCATATAGAGTTTTGAAGACTCAACTTATCAGAACAAATTTACAAGACATTTCAATTCATGACCCATTTAGTGGTAGTCAAGTTGATGCAAGAAGACAACAAACAGCATTTCCTCCCAACTTCGTCCACTCTTTAGATGCAACCCATATGTTAATGACCTCTAAAGCTTGTGGTGATGATAATTTAAATTTTGCTTCAGTCCATGATTCTTATTGGACACATGCGTCAGACGTGGATACGATGAACTATCATATAAGAAATCAATTTGTCAAATTGCATCAAGATAATTTAGTTACTAAATTGAAGGACGAATTTGAGCACCGATATAAAGGATTTTTACAAGTTGCATATATCAAGAATGATAGCGACCTTGCTAAAGAAATCAGAAGTGTTAGAAGAAGTATTGTCAAAACTTTAGGTAGGGGGCTTACATTTTCAGATGAAATGTATTTAGAAAATAAGAGACGCCAATTACTTTCATCATCGGATCCAAAAGAGGTTGAAATGGGTAAGGAGATGGTTACTACAATTAGTGTTTGTGAAGGCAAAAATATAGAAGATTTAATATGTAAATCATCTAATAAGTCTATTCAAGTTTTGGTACCATTGAATTTCCCAGAAATACCACCAAAAGGAGAATTTGATGTTGCTGAAGTTAAGAACTCACAATACTTCTTTTCTTAGATGGAAATGACTTATGACTGATATCCACATAAAATAAATTGCATTTTTTTCTTTTCTTTTGTATATATAGATATATTTACTTGTTAATAGGTTTGATTTACGATAATAAAACGACATTGTACATAAAAAATGGTTTTTTGTAAGGTTAAATAATTATTGATTTAAGTGTAAATGATTTTAAAATCCGTAAACTATAACTTGAAATGTTATTATATAATTTTCCCTTGGGCTTCAAGATTTTCAATGAGAGGTAATAAAGGTTCTAATTCCGATCTATCAAGTAGATTATATTCTTTAATCAAACTAATGAAATGCGCAAAAAACGAGTTCCAATGGGCTTCCAAAGATAAATGGACAAATTTATCAAAATGATTATGATAAATATGAGCAAAAATTCGAAACATTTGTCTTGATATGTTTTTACAGTCTTTTAAGAAATTTGGTGGGAAAGCACCACCACTTTTAGTTGGGAAAACCGATTGATCATTAACTTTATTGGAAATCCAAGTTAAAACATAATCAATATATTGACATGCAGGTAAATTGACTGCTTGACCATTACCATCAACCCAAAGATAATTAGTTCTTGGTCCAGCATTCATAGTTGGATATTCTTCAGGGGTAACATATTCTGCTATAACTCCATAACATTGATTTAGGTTATTAAACAACTCAAAGATATTCAAGGCAATCCACTCACCATAGTCCACGTATTTTGGTAATTGAACAATTGTTTTAAAAGAACCTTTAACTAATGCAGTTTTAACAAATGGTTCACATAAGAAAAGGGGTAAAGGTTCATCCAATCCATCATTTTGAATGGTTTGAGTGGATTGTTGCAGCTGCTGAAGCTGATTACCTTGAGAAGATTGGGTTCGGTTGGTCTGGATAGATTGTTGTGATTGCAGTGATGGTTGTTGTAATTGATTGGAACGAGAGAAAGCGTTACCTTGTTGACGTTGGGGTGAGCGGTTTGGACTTTGATTTATATGACTTCTTCTTGTAGGTGATCTCGACTGTGGTTGGCTAAGTTGGTTATTTGAAAATGGTTGTTGGTTACCGATTCTTTGTTGTTTTGTTGGTGAAAGTTTGGTAGGTGATTGTGTTCTTCTTAATGGTGAGCCAGGGGCACTATAGCCATTAGAACTGGAAGGCTCGTCTTTCTTGGACTTCTTAGCACTTCTACCCAAACCTCTAATGGTATTTAAAAATGACATTGCACGTCGACGATGAATATGAAAAGTAAAAGAGAAGAATCGAAAAAAAAAAAAAAAAATATGAAAGATATGAAAAATGACTAGACCAGCTAATAGAAAACGGAACAGGAACTGTTATGATCTGTAAATGGTAGCGAGTAGTACAATTAGATGGGAAACTTTGATGATCACCAATCAAGGAGTACTGGAATTCAACATAAACCGTAAAACAGATTCAGAACCAGAGAATGAGGAACAAAATCAAAACAAAAACACTAGTTTAAAACGAAACAGACGACAAATCTTTTTTCAATACTTAGGGTTCGGTGTGGAAAATATAAAGGAACGTGGGATACCCTTTGTGTTGATATAATTTGTTTCAAAGACTTCAAAGTAAAAGAAGAACAGCGACTCATAAAAAAAAAAAGAGAAAAAAGTACTCGAAATCAAAGATTTTCAGGATCAAAACTGTGTTGATGTTTTCTCTCTTTTTTTTTTTTTTTTTTTTGTCAGTTCGTTTTGCTTCTTTGTTCTCTATACAAAATTCTCTAAGACAAAGCGAACAAAGACTACTGTGAAATTTCTGATTCAGGTCCACACGAAAAGAAGCACGTTATGGTGGTGTTGTTTATTGAACAGTTCAAATACGATAAAGGGGAAAAGGTGTTGACGTAGAGTCTCGAACACGAAGAGGTATAAGGTACAAAGACTGTAAAATCAAGTACTTAACTACACGAATCAGGAAAAAACTTAGTTCAATTACAAAATACAAAATATGGGGTCAGAAGGTAGTAAAAGTAATTGTATAGATCTAAGTAGAGTAGAGTTAAGAAATCAAGTCAAAGAGCAAATCAACACCAAATATTGTTGAAGAAATGAAGATTTTATGCTAGTTTTCCAAAATATGAGCCAAAGTAATAGGTGAAAAAGAAAAATTATAATTAAGTTGAATTAAAATAATCTAGTATACAAGTTTTTATCGTTTTTTCTATAATTTTTTTTTTTTTTTTGTAGTTTCTTATGTTAAAAAAGATTTCACCCTTTGACCTGATTTGCTTATTCAAAGTGACCTAAAGATTCACCCATTTTGATTTTTTGACCAAGTTCTAAATCAAATTTGAAGTTATCTGGAGCTTCGAAGGCCAAAACAACCGTAGACCCAAGTTTGAATCCTCCAACCTCAGAGCCTTTTGTTAATGGATACCCTCCTAAAAGTCTACTAGCATTAGTATAAGTAGCTTCATAAACAGTATTTTTCTTATACTTCTTGGGTTGTTTCGGTTTAACCATTCCTTCAGACTCTATATCAAAACTATTGGTGGTACCAGCAGCGCTGTCGCTACCTTTTAACAATGGAGTATTTTCATCAAGATCTTCCCGGCTACTATTACTTCTCAGATAACTCTCATGTTCATAAACATCGTTTGTTTTCAAATCTTTATCAAAGTTGACAACAATACTACCAACGTTAGTAGCTCCAACTGGAATCATTGAAAAAAAACCATGCTTCCAGTAACCCAATAAAGCAACTCTTTCATTTAAAACGAATAACCCTTGTAAAGTCTTTTGGAAAAATGGCGCAACTGAAAATAATTCACCAATAAAATGACGTCTTAAAGTGGTAACCCAATTAGTTGGTGAGTGATATCTATGATAATCACCGGGTGCCAAATAAATAACCGCAAAATATAATTGTTTATGACCACTTAAATGAAGTCTTTCTAAAGGAGTTGGAGCCAAGTTTTGGGCTACACTTAATTCTTTTGCTAAACTAGTTTTAGAATCAGGAGCTGTCTTGTCACCTTTATCAGTATATTCCATATCATTCATATGATAAGTTGATTGGTTTTCACCTCCAATAATATCATCAACCGAATAAGAAATACCATTAATTTTAGCAAATTCTTGATCTCTTTGTAAAACAGATAAATCGTTAGCCTGGTGATCAAATTCAAGAGAGTGACGGGGTGCCGCCAATCTTTTAGTGCTTAAACCTAATAAAGCATCAACAGAATAAGTCATACCTTTAACCTGTTCTATTTCACCATTATCAATAACACCAAATTTCAATACCTTACCATCAGATGGTGAAACCAAATCACTATTTGCAATTGGCCTAACCCCAGGTCTCAATTTACGGTAAAAAAATTCTGATAAATTTGAGTAAGTATGTAATTCACGTTCTTCCATTTCGTTCAAATTAACTCCAAAGATGGCAGAGTATAATTTAAAAGATGGACTTCTTAGCCAAACTGGTAAAGTAATCGAATTAAACTGGCCCCATAACCTTGAGATGGATTTCAATGGTAAGGTGGAATATGCATATAGATGCCATGATTGAGGTTTGATTGAGTACTGATTCAAAGGGAAAATATCTTCATCTTCGTCATCAATATTATCATACCCACGATCATATCCAATTTTGGCAGCTACACCTCCTAAAACAACGGTTAAAGTAGTTAAAGTCCACCATTTAACAAATTTTCTACGTTCCTGTCTTCTCTTACGAGCTTCAGCTGAGAAAAATCTTTTATGGATATTCCTAGTTTTAGTTTTAATTTTTTGATTTGCAGTTGAAAACAGTCGTTTAGATAATTTGATCTGAGGTAACCTCAAATTTCTGTTACCTTCACCGATTATTCCACTTGAGCCTTTGGACCAAGTAGAATAATATAAGGCACTTCTTTTAGGTCTGGGAATCTTGGGAAATTTATAGTAATATGAGCTGAAATACCTGGCTTGTTGCTGAGGTTGGGAAATATTAGCATTAGACTGTTGATATTGTCTTTGAAGACTAATTTCAGCTACAGATGTAGCCCTTGACAATGGTTGGCTAATATTCATAATTTGAGGTCCAAATTTGAGATTGGTTGAGTTATACCTTACCTTATGTCTCATATGGGCCGATGCGTTGAAAGGAGAGGGTTTGAACGCCATTTTGGGCAATATATTTTTATTCTAAACTCTATTGGCTCTCTGGTCTATTTTCCGAATTTCTTAAGATTCTAAAAGACGTCGTTTATGACTTTTTAAAACCTAACCACCTTTGAGATACTAAAAACAAAAAAACAAAAAGGAAAACAAAAGAACAAAATAACTCCAACAAAGAAACCTACCAACAACGCAATGCTATATGGTCAACTCTAAGCACTGAATGCAATCAATTCACTTTACACAGAGCAGAGAACGCAATGCTTGACTGTGTTTGTATCGGTTGTAAGTTCAGCTATACAGTGGTAACTCCAAGTAACTGAGGTGAAAAAAAAAAAAAAAAAAAAAAAAAAAAATCTCACTAAGTATACGCGGTGAAAATCAAAAAAATTTTTGCACAGAAGTACGAGGGAAATAAACAATATACTGTGGACGATCGTGTGCCAATGCCAATGAACTACGGTCTAACGCTATTGTGATATGAAAAATGCTAAGCATGTGATAGACATTCAAGTTCAATCAAGTGACTATTGTTCATACCTCTCCTATTGCTTACACTTTAGAGACCTGGCAGTACTGGGACCATAAAGGAAATGCAACTTCTATTAGAGTGGTTATATATACAGTTTGGGATGAATGTAGTTTAGACCGATTAATTATTAGCTAGATCCCAGACTTGTTGCTTGAGTTGTTCGATAAAATCTAGACTAACGTAATGTAGTTGATCATTTAATAATCGATCACTGAAAGCGAATAATAGCTTTATGTTCCAAAGATCTTGTATGGTTTTCGGTTTTGTAGCCATTCTTTCGAGTTCAATTTTGTTATCAATGATGTTAAAGATTGACAACCCTGAGGAATTGACTTGGGGATCAGATTCGGAATGATCACTTATACTTTCATAAAGGAAAACTTGTTTTTCAAAATCATTTGAATTTTTCATCAAATTCAAGTTAAGAAACTTGAAAACATCTGAATTAACTCGAATTTCTCCATTTTGTATTTGAAGTAATTTGTTTTCATTATTCAAAAGTTCATTCACTGACGATTTGAGCAATTGGTAATTGCGTCTTTTATACACGAATATAGTTAAGGATTTTTTGAAGATTTCAAGATATTCGGAATTAAGTTCAAAATCAACTTTGACATTAAAGTGATCTGGCGATTTTGTGCTAATGCTAATGATTTCATCTAAATGGGGTAATAAGCACGGTGATAGTGTTTCAATCATTTCGCCATTTTTCAAATGCATTATAACGGGAATCTTTGATGCTTTCCTGGTATTAACATCTCTAATGACTAGACATCTTGGTTCCGCTGATAATGCCCAAAAATGTCTTAAAGCTTGTAAATGTATTTCGTAATCAGTATTTTCGTTTGGATACACCGGGTATAATGAAATTAATAGACATGCAATTGCAAAATTCGAATTAGCAAAAGCATATTGTCCCCCACCAAGAAATAAGAAACCTAATGCCATATTTATAGCTTGGTAATTACCGTATCCCATTTCTTTATGCGTTTCCGAGTGCAAAATTCTTAATCTTCTGAAAGTTTCCAAGTCTCCACTACCTGCCATAACTAATGAAAGACATAATGCCAATAAGTTTTGTATATTGCTAGCACTGTTATAAGCAGTTTTTTGATCGTAATTATTGGCCGGTGACATTGAAATAACCATCATTACGTCTAAGAAATGTAATAGAGTATCTCTTGCTTTTATGTTATGACTCGACGCATACTTAACAGCCATTGATAAACAGGCACCTCCTAATATATTAAAGTATGGTAACTGATCACTATCCAAGACTTCAATTACTCCTAGTGAATATTTCTTAAGTAAGGATTCTGGTATTTCGCTTTCAACCCACTCGATTGTTTCACCTATAGACTCCCACATTATAAGATTTTTAGCAACACATCTTAATAATAACAAATCAGATCTAACATAATCTAACAATTGCTCAGAAGCTGGAACTTTTAGCTTATTAGCAATTATTTTATTTTCGGTCTTCATGTAGATAAAACCTAAAGCTAAAAGAGCCCCTGAGCTTGATTTGTCCAATTCTTGTACTGGTTGATAATCCTTCATCGAGGTCCCTAAGGAAAGTAACTTATCGATTACGTGTGTATCATTCAACCCCCTTAAGTCATCACCCTTTCCTAAATTTACGAATCCAAGCGCTAGACCAGCAGATAATCTATAACCTTCATGAATTTCTTCATTATCATTTTGAAACACGGATCCATGAAGTTGTGAAAGTAAAATTTCACTCATGCGTCGATGCTGAGTTTCTAAGTACAATAACCCTATACCAATTAATCCAGCAGTTTGAACCATTATCGGGACGTTCAAATCATTAGCTCCTTGAGGCAAAAGAGCAACAGCATGGACAGATAACACTTTTGTTAATTTATTGTCCATGGATCCTTTTAAACTTGCAGCCATACCTATTAATAATCCCACACTCGTTAATGGATGTTTCGGTCCTAGATAATTATAAATATGCCATTCTTCTAGTTTCTTCAAATGCCCATTGAGTCCTAAACCCAACAAGAAACCAGCATGTTGAGAATTAAGCTCGGGAGGCTTGTTGAATATAATCCAGCTACCAGAAATACCTTTGGACTCCTTACTGATACTCAATCCTGAGGAAACACCATTGTGAAAGTAACCCCATTCATTGATACCTTCATTAATAGTTCCTTCAGACAAAATGATATTCGTCATCGTGGGAGCGATTAACGTGTTGAGATTGAACTTGGGAATGGGGAATTTCTCAGTTAAAAGTGGCATTCTTCCTGCGAAAAATAATGCAGCCCTACCCATTGGAATTGATAAAGTCCTGAGAGCTACCAAAGCAGCTAGTTCTCTTTGTAGCAAGACAATGTCATATTCACCAATGTTTTCTTCAGTAACCAAAGTTGCAGTTTGAGTCCTTGTTTGATGCAAGAGAGTTGTGATCTCGTAGTATCTTCTGTCTTGATCAAATATAAGCTTAGTGATGTTGATTCTATCAGCTTCGGACTGACCGTCCCAAGCAACGACGTAATCATTTTTATCCAAGATGTTTGCCACGATATTATTAACGTCTCTTCGTGTGGCATAATTTGCAGCATTGGAAAAGTTATTATATAAAGGTACTGGCTGAGACTTTGAATTCAAAAGCATACTTAAATCTTTTCGGCCCACAAGTTCTAAAGTCTTACTATTCCATTCAAATGCAGGGTTTTCCTGGCAAATCAGTATACACTCCTTAAGGGGCACGTATATACCAGCCGGATAGGTTTCAAGATCACTCATGGTTATTCCAAACTCACACATTAAATCCACCACATCGCTCGGGCCAAAGTCAGGGGACACTATAAGTTCAAATAACTTAAGAATTTTATGAGTTCTTGGGGTGATTAATTCATCCACGGAGTCACTCTCTTCAACTAGTTGGGAAAATGTAAGATACCTGATAATTTTATGAGTGAAAAGGCTAGTTAAGGATTCTAATAAGTTGGGAGGAAATTCAAGAACGAGAACCAGTAGAAATCTAACTTCTTTATCCATAACTTGATGGTCGATCATATAATATTTTGTCCATTTATCATGCCATCCCATCCAAATGATATATTGTGTGAGTAAAACCCCCACCTGATTCATGCTTTTTTCTGCCAAGGCATCTAACTTCATTTCTTCATATATTAAGTGCAAAGAAAGAACAATGTAAGGAATTAGGTCAGTAAATGAATAGTTTAAATTAAAAGCTTCGCTCAACTTTTTGGCTTGAGGTAACAATTCAGTGACTTCGTTTCGAACGCAATGTGTTCCCTTTTGAAAATCATACGTTATTGCAAGAAGAGTAGATGTAAATGCTTTCCAATCATTTTTATTCCCATCTAACATAAGGGATGAGCGCCACATTGCCCATACAGTTTGGTCAAGTTTAGATCCAGAAAGATACTTGAAGACTTGCATACATCTTTGAACTAATGCAGAGGATGGTTCAAGAACCAAGGTCACGATGTAAGTCTTGCCACTATTAGTTAATATAGCCAACTCATCGTCATATGAGCTTAATAATGTAGTGATCCCAGGATAGTTACCTGAAAGATCAATACTAGGAGAGTGAATATCCAAAAATGGATGTACCATGCACAACATATGATCATTTTTCAAGACAAGCAACCAACCGGGATGGTTAATGTTATTAAGAGGGATGGCATGATTACATCTAAAAGTATAACATGATTGGTAGCGAGGGATCAGGGATGTTGAAGAATGGCTGAATATATATACATAGGTTTCTTTAACTGATCTATTAGAAACAATAATGGCTTCTTGGTCCTCATATGAAATTCCATATACTGTAAGTTGAGATTTTCTAGCCTTGGGATGTAATGTATCAACCCTAGTCAAAATCATATCTTTTCTGAATGCACTAAACTCTAAAGCGTTAAAGGATGATTTACTCTTAGTAGGCTCTGTGAAACCGGGTTCGGACCCCATTCTTGCCATTGATGAAACACCTGATAATAGTGTACTAGTTCTTTTTTTATCCATGTTGAGAGAAAGAGCTGGCTGACTTCCACTTGTGATATGAGTGGCATCAATGGCTCCATTGTCATCTTCTAATATACGGGAAGGATTAGGTGTTGTTATGAGAGATTTTTGATGCTTCTGATACTTGGTGCTAGTTGATTTTTTAGCACTCCTAGAATTTCTAATATGGTATAGTATAATTGATTTGTCGTGTGGATTATATGTTGCACATATTGAAGTCATTTTGGCTTTTGGAAACCACATCATTTCTTCAAGAGGAGATATTATCGAGGTGGATGAAGTAGTCACAATCTTGAAGTCATCTATTGGATCAACTAAAGTTAAAAATTTAGCAGCATTAAATTGGGGAGAGTCCACATGTCCAAAGTTATTCACATTGGGTTGAGATTGATCTTTCTCAAGGATCAATCCTGATTCAAATGGAAATGCCTTCTTTAGAACAAATGGAAAACTCACCACATATGAAGTGCCATCGTGAAAATATAAATATGCTGATTTTTTTAAGCAGACAACCAATGCATCAGAGTCAGAGTTGCTGAAGGTTGTGTAGGTCGACGTTACAACATCCTCGTCATATGTAAGTTTCTTTGAAACTGTTGAACCCTTGATTAAGATCACTTCTCTTTTACTAACCAACAACTGTCGATTGTTTGAATATATGGATGTCTTATATCCTAGGGCCCCAGAGTATGGATGGGTTATATCATTCCGCAAATCAAAGGCTGGCAGAGTGATCATGTTTGACAATTGAAACCCGGAAACCTTCGATGGAGCTTAATAGGAAGTAGATTTCAAATAATAGTTTAGATCAAAACACAGCAGAAATTAGAAGTTTCACAATTACAGCGCGTAAAATGAGTTTTCCAAAAAAAAAAAAAAAAAAACTATTTTAAAATGATGATTTATTATCGATATTCGATTATATACTTACATTTGAAACATTTGAAAGCTATATACAGATAGGAGAATAAGAATTTACGTTGAATTAAACGGCAACATAAATCGCTTATTCAATAATTCTGGTGACTAAACCGGTACCGACAGTTCTACCACCTTCTCTAATGTTGAAACGTTGGTTAACTTCAATTGGAGTTTTTCTAATGAAGTCAATAATCATTTCGACGTTGTCACCTGGCATGACTTGTTGAGAGTGATCAACACCTTCACCTGGTGGGAAACTTAAAGAACCGGTAACATCGGTAGTTCTAACGAATAATTGAGGTTTGTAGTGTTCACTGAATGGAGAGTGACGGCCACCTTCTTCTTTAGATAAGATATATAATGAAGCCAAGATTTTAGTGTGGGAAGTAATGGTGTTTGGTTTGGCAAGAACCATACCACGGTGAAGTTGGTCTCTTCTAACACCTCTTAATAAGATACCACAGTTATCACCAGCCATAGCAGAATCTAAATCTTTTTTGAACATTTCAATACCGGTAACAGTAGTTTTGAATGGTTTGTCGAAACCACCAACGATTTCAACTTCTTCACCCTTCTTTAAACTACCTCTTTCAACTCTACCAGTGACGACAGTACCTCTACCGGAAATGGAGAAAACATCTTCAATTGGTAAAACAAAAGATTGTTCTAAATCACGTTGAGGGGTTGGAATGTGTTCATCGACAGCGTCTAATAATTTTTCAATGGATTGGATACCAATTTCTGGTTGTTTGTTTTCCAAAGCACATAAAGCAGAACCCATGATAACTGGAGTGTTATCACCATCGAAACCGTATTGAGTCAATAATTCTCTCATTTCCATTTCGACTAATTCCAACATTTCTGGATCATCAACAGCATCAACCTTGTTAACGAAAACAACTAAGTTTTGAACACCAACTTGTCTAGCTAATAATAAATGTTCTCTAGTTTGAGGCATCTGACCATCAGAAGCAGCAACAACAATAATAGCACCATCCATTTGAGCAGCACCAGTAATCATATTTTTAATATAATCAGCGTGACCTGGACAGTTACCAATGATAACAGATTCAGAAACAGATTCACCAAGAACTCTTTGAGCAACAATTAAACCTGATGGAACACGAACACACCAAACACGGCCTTGGTAATCGTTAACAGCTTTGATTTCTTGGGAAGCAGAGAGAACAGTGGATGATTGAGCACCGGATTCAGCAACTTTGATCATATTAACTGGTTTAGATTCGTTGACTAAAGCTTTAGCTTTAACTTTATCGTGAGGAGCTTCACCGGTTTGAACAAACATATCATGACCTTCGGTAACAAGCAAAGAAACACCATCTTGGTTAGTGAATTCAACCATTTTATGGTTAGCAGCTTCTTTTAAGATAAATTCTTCACCAGCAACATATTCAATTTCTTTAGTATCACGATTGTATTGAGCAATTTTGAGATCAACAAAGTCTTTTTGAACTTGATCAAGGTATAAGTAACCTTTGTCAGTTAAAATTCTCATATCTTCACTGAGACAATCAACGTGAGCATAATGTCTTTTATCAGTTTCATATTCAACGTGAGCAGAAGAAATAGTAATACCTCTGGCTCTTTCTTCTGGAGCTTTATCGATGGAGCCGTAATCCAAGAAATCGGCACCACCTTTTTCTGCTAAAACTTTAGTAATAGCGGCAGTTAAAGTGGTTTTACCGTGATCAACATGACCAATGGTACCAACATTAACATGAGGTTTGGAACGGTCAAAGGCAGCATAAGATCTTGCCAAAGTTGGACGAGCCTTAGCGATAGTACGTCCACCAAGACGTAAAGCACCAGAGAAGCTTTTAAACATTTTGTGGTTCGATTAACTGGATTGATTGAATTTTTCAAGAAAACAATTTAGAAAAGAATTCTCTTGAAAAGTTTTGAAAATTTGACAATTTGTTGGTAATGCGCGGTAATTTGATTCGTTACTAGGAACCGATTATGTAAGCAATTATGTAAGTACCAGATTACCAAAAGATGAGTGGTTCGTGCACGTACATGCCACCTTCTACGGTTAGAACACGAGCATCTTTGGCACTACGAATAGGTTGCAAACATCTGAGACAAACATTGTATTGGACAAACTATACTTGAACTTAGAGTAGGATTACGCTTTCTCGTTTTAGCAGCAACATCTGTTCAGCTTTTTGAAATATAAGGTACGTTATGATGTTTTGAGAGACCGTAAAGTCATTGCTACCTTTGATATCATACATCGACTTTTCAATTCGTGGAGGTTACTTTAGTGATTAAAGTGTTTCGAAAATCAAGCATAAGATTAATCAAGACTGTAGCTAAAAGCTCAAATCAACATTTTTTGAGTATTATCTACAACTCAAGTCCTTAGTGCAAGTCTACACAACTCAAGTCCTTAGTGCAAGTCTACACAACTCAAGTCCTTAGTGCAAGTCTACACAACTCAAGTCCTTAGTGCAAGTCTACACAACTTTTCGGAAATATCCTGAAGAAGCGATACACTATCGCAGATATGCGTACATTGCCGTAGATTCGAGGTGTCAATTGTATTCAACATCATTTCGGTTTTTGAAGAGTAGAACGCCTGTTCGTTTGCAAGGTAGTCTATAAGTTTTGTGAGGACCATAATGAAAGAAAAAACAGGTTACAAAGTATTTGAGTTATTTACGATCTAAGTCAAATAGACTCTCTGCGTGCACTTTTCCTACAAACCAACCTGATAGTGCAATAGACATTGGCTTCTTCTAATGGTTTCACAATCAAAAGCTAATGAAGTGACCTTTCACAGCAAGGCATTTACACACATTTCAAATCCGAGAGAGAATGGTGGGGTTGGCCACAATGGTAAGAGTGGGTGTAGGTAAACTGTGGAACGCTAGTGGCTTATATTAACATGGGAATAGTGCCTTTTTTCAGTTTCGTATTCAACGGGAGCAGAACAAATGGCTTTACCCCTGGTTCTTTCTTTTGGAGCTTTATCGATAGAGCCATAATCCAAGGAGTCGGCACCACCTTTTTCTGCTAAAACTTTGGTGATAGCGGCAGTTAAAGTGCTTTTGCCTTGATCATCATGACCAATAGTACCAATATAAACATGAGGTTTAGAACGGTCAAAATCAGCATAAGTTCTGACGAAACTTGGACGAGCCTTTGCGATAGAATTACGAGATAAACGTAAAGCACCGGAGAGATTTTTAAACATCTTGAGCTTGATTCTATGGATTCAATGAAAGAAGAGATGTTTCTGGCCTGGTGAAAAGTTTGAAAACTAATGAGAATTGTGATTTGGAAACTCGTTGATTGCCACACTACATTGGGGTATGGAGGTTTACTTCACTTAGTAAAAGTATGGTCTTTTTGCATCTTACTGCAAACACTGTATCCCTTATGTTAGAGATAGAGTTTGGAACTTGAGTAGTCGATAATCCTGGAGCGAACTTTATGATATAGCTATCTAAATAAAGAATGACGAGAAGAAACTTGTAATATACTTTGAGGTTTTGGTCACATACAAATGTATTTTAACTAGCCTGAATAGCATCTTCACAGTGCTAAAAAGAGAACTGAGCTGTTCTATAGGCGGTCTTGGATATATGAAGTCTTCTTTTGAGTAAATTCATGTTCTTGTATTGAGATTATGTAACAAAATGGAGAATTTATGTGAGCCCATCGATTTTTTCAGCTATTTTCCTTTGTACAAACTTCACTTCTTATACATATAATCATGGAAAACTTGACGGTCATATGCAAGAGTAGTTGGGGGTCATCAATGCGTTTGGAAAATGTTTCTCGAAGTCTATCTATTTCCGAACTTCAAAAAACCCTTTTAACTCAGTATTCCAGTGTTTGCAGTATGAAGTTTCGAGACTGCTCATCGAATAAACCGCTTCAACTGTATCAAACATTGTCGGAAATCACCCATAATGGATTATGCGTGGTCCAAGCATTATTACCACTAAACGGAGGTAAAGGTGGGTTTGGAAACAACCTCAGATCTAATAAGGGTAATAAGCAAAAGAAAAAGCCCACTGAAGATTCTAAAGCCTTCTCGAAGGATTTGAAGACGGGGGTCAGGATAAAGGATTTGAATAGACTACAGAAGGCTAGTGAGGTGCTTCAAAAACAGCAGGAACATAGTCAAGAAGCCAAAGAAAAACTTGATAAGAAACAAGCAAAATTGAAAAAAGCTATTGAATATTATGAAGGTATACTCAACGGGAAAAGTAATGAGAAGTTTAAAGATACAGATTTTCTAGATGAGGCTGATAACGTTATGCAAAACTTACGTGATAAGATGGAAGTGGTGTTCGAACTGCTGGGCAGTGAAGAATGGGAAAGCGATTGGGAATCTGATGAAGAAAAATCAGAAAAGCTGAATGATGATAAGCCAGTAGAAGAAAAAACCAAACCAAAATTTGCAACTTTTTTCGACGATAGTGACTAATTTTAAACTACAGCTTATAAATAAGTATAAAATCTTTTATTTAAGTTAATAATGGAGTATTTTCACGAGATGCATCACGTTCAAGATCATTGGATCTTTCAGTTTCAATGTTTTCATCCACAATTCTCCCGATTTCACGTTGTTCATTCAAGCTTGCATTAATACCTTCGTTTCTGAAATACTCGTAATATATACATAAGGACAATAACGTTCCTTGTAACAATGCAGCAAAGAGATAAGAGATCCAGGAGCTCCAATGTGAACCTTTGGTGAAGAACAAGGTAGCTGTGAAAATAAATCCACCGGGTGTCTGAATACACATCATTCCTATGGAGAGTGTTCCAGGGTGTTTCAATTTATAAGTTGTGAATATTTGTGGAACATATTTGATAACGGTTAATAAAGTTGAAAGCAACCCGTTTACGTTTGCAATGGATATTAAAACTTTATGATTTGTTGAAAGAGCAATGATAATTTGGATTACTGAAGCCAACCCGTGGATTAAAACAAAGTGTCCGACTTTGATGATTTCAGCATACTCTGTTTTGTCTTGTTTAATCGAATTCTTGGTTAATACTAAAACAAATATAAGAATGAAAATGGCACAAGTACATTGAACTCCAATTTGTAGTAAATTCAATTGAGAGTTAATACAATTAAACGTATTAATTGCCCTAGTACGGCAACAGTCCCTAGCTCTACCACTAACTAAGATGATATTTGTTAAAGTAAAGATAGATGAACATGATCCCAAAAGCAAGAAATTTACCGATAGACCCTCAGAAGTTTTTTTGGAGTAAATACGGTGATATTGAGGCAAATAACTTATGAAGATCCCCAAGGTTATAAGCAACAGGAAAACCAAATTGACCGTGCTGGCGCCTTCAAAGACGGAGCATTGATTGATATCTTCATCTCTGGTAGACAAGAAGATGGAGAAGTCCCTCATTGAATTCATTTTGGATAGAGAATGGGCTCAACTAGAGTAAGAAGTATTATTACGCGTGGGGCTCACATTTTTAAATGACATCCTTAGATTTTGAGATAATCTATCTAGTCCTGCACATTGCCAGGAGCGATTGAAATTTTGCATCATTTACAGAGGATTAAACATACAAACGTAAGTCATTAGGATTCTATACAATTAGAGTAGAGGCTATAATTTACGAATGGTGACAGGGACTTTAACGAACATGGAATCGTGATTGTGGAGTTTAATTTGGATTTTCAAGTAGTAGTATCTCCCAATAATGCAACTTTGGAAATTAGGAACCAAAGCATAGGAGTCAGAACTTAAATCTTCACTGGAACCCGAACTATCTCTGAGTAGTAAGTTTTCAATGTCAACTGATACAATCATTGACTTGTGGTACATTGTTTCTTGATTTTTTGTTTCATTCATAACAGTAGTTGGTTGACCCCAATTTGCCAAACCTTGTTTACATTGAGATTTGACATGGTCAAATTTTAAATTATTGTATTTCACAGAAAGATTTGCCAAAGCTTTGATATCCATGATGAACTGACTATCAATATTGAGAACTTCTGAACCCAAAAAACTAGTAACGCGGGAAATTTCGTCAACATATTTTTTGAAAGGATTAATAACGTAAGTTTCCAAATTATCATTTTCATTGGCGATATTTCTGAATTTCAAATCGTTCATGATTTCAATTGGAATAGGGAATTTTTTCGATCTGTACGTTGCCACAACTAATTCTGCAGAAACGGATTTTATTTCTGGTGGTCTATGACTTTTGGAATGCACATCACCACTATATTTGAAGCTAATTTCAATTGGAACGTCGATTTTGGTTGGTAGTTGTTTATTATCTTTACCATTGAAAGGTTTCATATTGTACGGAGGAGTGTACTTTATGATATAATCAACTTTTGGGGTTTTAGCCCCTAATATACCGATAATCTTGGGAGAAGAACCAATTGTTTTCTTTTTAAAGGGAAGAAACATTTCATATTCGGAAGAATCAAAATAACGTTGATGAGTTTCAGAGAAATGATAAGATCTGAAAGCCTCTGGTTCATATAATTGTCTTCTCTTGACGGTGGAAGGAGTTCTTGCAAGATGAGTATTTGGTGAAGGAGTGGGTGACGGAGATTTAGACGCTATTGGCGCTATATTGTAGCCACTTGCATTTAATAACTCATTACCTAATTCAATTTTATCTTTAATTCTAGTAATAAGATTTTTATAAATCAATTCAGAATCACGTTTTAAAGCAACTGGATCAAGAGCCATACTAATTCTTTCATGAGGTATAACTCTTACAAAAGAACTAGCTTCATTAACAATGATAAATTCTTCCTTTTCTTTGGCTGAGGGGAAATATTTTTCATAGTCGGTTGTTTTACTGATAATTCTAGCTTCAACACTATAACTAAGAGCAGTATCTGGGAAGGATAAATCCTTAATACGCTTATTAAAAATCCCATTAAGGCCCTGTTTTCTTCTATGAGGAGATGGTTGTGGAGTACTAGGAGCAATTTGAAAATCAACTTTACTTGAATTTGCACTATTCTGAGCAGTTCCTTTTTTACTATTACTTTCTCTTATTTTACGTAATTTTTTCAAGAATTCATCACGTTCTAAACCAATGGTAGGTTGAGCCTCACAATGACTTGATAAATTATGAAATTCACAAGCACAATCTAATAATCTTTCTGGGATTGTAAAATTGAAGAATTTCTTATAAACAACTTTTGGCTGAATCACTTTTTCGACGTTGAACCGAAGATGAGAGTTATCAATTGGGTCAATAGCATCTATACCCGAGACAATTGAATCATCAAAATCAACCGGGGTCCAAGATGCAGAATAATCAAACATGTTTAAGAATTTGAAAAAAACAATTGGGCGTCTCAGATCGGCGGATTCTCCCATGACGGAAACTTTCCCTTCAAAGACAACCGAAAGCATATCAAAGGGTAATGGTTCATCAGACGTGTTAACCACGGTGATAAACCCGTGAACGGAATCCCCCTGTTGATATTCATACTGTTGAGTGTCTATTATAGTTGGCTTGACCCCTCTTTGACAAGGTTTATCCGTATTTTGAATATCAATTTTCAACTTATTTGAAATACTACTATGAACATCAACTAATTTTTTCATGCGGTGAGTATTTGCCAAAATACTATTTTCCCAACGGGTTGGATTATCATCTTCACTAATGTGGGGAGGAGGAGGAGGAGGATATGTCAAACCATCAAAGGGATGCGATTGTAAATGCTCTTGAAGACTTGTATCCTGAGGAGTGAGTTGTTCGCTAGAAGCTTCTGATGATTCGCCTGAGCTTTCAATCGAAGGAAAGTAAGACCCGGCACCGGCCCCGGGGGGGCCTGCGGCATAATTGGGGGATTCTAAAGGAGAAGAAGTTTCATAAGTGGGAGGCTTGGTTCTCCTATCTTCATCTGAAGGTCGAATGTTTTTAGAAAAAGTAGATTGATACAATTGATATGAGGGAAGGATATTCCACATGGGGACATCTTCATAGGCTGGTGATACCAACGGCTGAAGCGTCATATCATCACTTATGGTATTTCTAATGTCTCTGGGTTTTTCATTTTGATCATTCAAAGATAGATTATGGATGTTTGTATCTTCACGGTTTGCTGTCGAATTAACATTCGATGAAGCACTAGATGACAGCAGGGGAGTAGATGATCTGACGGGTTTCTTTTGATTATTCGCAAGCCCAAAAAATTTCATTATATGTAATCACTGAATCTGGCTTGATAATAAATTCTTATTGTATCTGCTGGGTTTTCCTGTTTTCTAGCCCTTTTTTTATAAAAACTTATAAACGAGTAATTCTAATCACGAGTAATTATAATGACAACTATAAAAGGCGTTAAAATAGCAAGATGAACTATTTCCCAAATCGAATTGTCAACCCAAGGTATTAATATTACTATATTTTCTATCCAATTTATGGCGTAAAATCAACGTTAATCTCTGGGGGGATGTTTTTATTTTTTATCTTGATCGTTCAACCAATAAAGGGGGCAACGTGACCAAAGTTAGACGGATCTCAACCTAATCGAAGTCAATCACAGAACTAGTATCCCAGGCTCTACTACTTTCAGAATTCAATAATTCCTAAGCTCTACTAAGTCTGGTCTGGTAAGTCTGGTGGTTGACTTTTTAAAAAATTCCCTATGATTAATGTTGAAGTATGAGATCTTATATTTCCGTCATTGTTTTTTTTTCTTTTTTATTGGGCTTTTGACGTTTTTTTTTGTTTTTTTTTGTTTTTTTTGTTTTTTTTTGTTTTTTTTGTTTTTTTTGTTTTTTTTTCCTCTTTTTCTTTTTTTCGCCTTAGTGTGGTTGGGAGCATCTTAGTAATTTTCCCGAAAATGTTTCTGATAATGTTCGATTGGCAGAGCCCGGTGGAGGCCCACGCCAGAGTGGGTTGGGAGGGTGCGAAAGCTGCTGCGACGGGTGGGCCGATTGTTGGGCAGAGCGAACAAGGCTGAAGCTGGTCGAGGGGGGGCAGTTTCGGTCGAGTGGTTGCAAAGACGTAGCACCAGTTTACCAGTGCTCCCCGTGGAACGTTTCATCTCCCCCGATTGTCTAGTCAACTGTAGGAGGGAATGGACTGGATTGCGCTTCCAGTGTCGCCTATGGGGCGGGAGTAGCTGCAAAACTCTGGTTTTGTCGACGTTCCCGGGGTGCTTGCGGTACTACTTCGGGTATGCTGGTGTTTGGAGGTTTGTTTGCTGGTGCACGGGTGCACCAGGGGTTACGGCGCGTAGAGCGTGTAAGCGGTGTATTTTGATTTTGTTGATAGTTACAAGATCAAGTCTTCTTGTAAAGGTTGTTTATAGATTCTGAATCATCATGTCGTGGGCCATTAATGCAGCCAGGTCCAGGCAGAAGGACGTGGCGCCCGGCACGTCGGGGTTTTTCCAGAATGAATTGAGAATATCAACCATGGCGTCGCTAGATAATTCAAAAAGTATCTATGAATCGGTTTCTTCGCATATAGACCATTTGAATCTACTACGAGAAAAGATACTGGACGGTTCGTCAAGGGAGTCGGTCTGGGGCCATTTGCTTGACTTGAAAGAAGTCGAATTGAACCAACTAGCCGCTGATGATGAGGCTTCACATCATCTACTGTCGATAAACAACCAATCAGACCCTTTGGGGGAATGGAAAAGTCGACCTCCTTCTTCTAATCAGTCTTCTGAGGAGAAGCAAGTCAAGGAGAAACCGGAAACGCTCAAATATAATCACCATAGTAGTCCCCCTACTGAAGCAAGACTAATCCAACGCCGAAATCAAAGAATACAATCCTCTTTACGAAATCCAAGCAGTCCAGCTTCTAAAACTGATCATGAAAACGTTAACGAGTCCTCAGAATACCCAGTACCCCCTGCAACACTACCACTTTCCTCGTCTTCTCCAGCAAAAGAATCCCGCAACAATAACTTACCCACTACATCTCCTAACGTTGATTTATCTTTTATCCCTATAGCCAGCACCATAAATCCAAATAAAGCAATTACAAAATCTTCTGCATCTCCTTCGTCATCCGTGATTCTCTCCAAGCATAATCCTAAACCTGCATCAACTAGTTTACTACAGAGATTATCCTCAGTAAGTCAAAACGATTCTACAAAAATTGAAATGAAAAAACCTACCATACTTAGTTCCGATTCAAAACATAATCCTAATGGCAATGATGATGATTACAGTGATGACTTGGATAACTCTTTTCAAGCCATCAGTTCTGCAATAAGGAAAAGCTTTGCCGGGAAAGTATCTCTTGGAAATATCTCCAAACCACTATCCTCGGACTCGAAAAATAATATAGACTCCAATGGCTCGGGAATCCCTTCTTCTCGTTATGATGATAAACACAGCGGTTCAATTGGTAATATTCCCACTTCTTCTTTCAATAATAAAAGATCACATGAAGCTCGTCAAACAATATCAAATATGCATAGAACCCCAAAACGTTCTTCTGGGTATGTTTCCTTACCATCTCGAGAACCGCTCTCAGGGTTTTCTGCTTCAATTGTACATAGGTCTAATGGTAAGAGCCTCAATTCTTCGGTTAAGCTTTTTGAAAACCTTGAGGATTCCAAAAGTGATAAACTTATATCAGAAGACAATCCTAATCCAGATTCTCATAAGAAAAATTCTATTCACCCCTCTATAATAGATTCGAACTATATTCGTCATAGCATGAAAGGACGTGCTTCTATGAAAAACTTGATTTTTGAACCAAAACCTGACGACAATAAACTTATACCTAAACAACAAAAATCTGAGGTCTCTACCGCTGATAAAGAAGATAAAAATACTAATCTCCATGATAAAAACTATCAAACGGCCTCTATCTTAAGACAAAGCCTATTTACTCCGAGAGAATCACTGATCCTTCCTCAAAATAAAAATGCTTCGTCTTCTGTAAATGACTTCCTTAGGCGCTCAAGAAATGTGTTCATGAATAATGAACTGAGATTCTCTCAAGGTGGTTTGCAGTCCTACAAAAATGACAAAAATGATCAAGCATATTCAAGTTTAGAACATGAAACAACTGACAAAGCATCTGACTCGAAAGTATCACACGTCGAAAAACCGTTTCAATCTTCACAGAAAACAGATTCAAAAACTCGTTCATCCTCAGCTTATGGACTCAGGTCGCCTACTCGTGACTACTCTCAGTCTAAACCACTGTATCTGAGGAAGCCTACCCTTGATTCAAAGAAGGAACCTTCTCCTAGGAAATTGTCACCGGTAAAAGCAACTTCCGTCAGAGCCAGTTCTCCAACTAGGGCAAAATCAAGTATGAAAACTAATTTTTCAATATCAAAATCAAAGTCTCCTAGAAGGACAAGATCTCCTATAAGAAGAATTTCAACTGCTTCTACGTCAAAGTCAGAATCCCGATCACCCACCAGGTATAGCACCCGAGCTGAAACCAGTGAGCAAATTAGGGGTTCTCCAACTGATTATAGTACTGGATTACGATTGAGCAAACTGAAAAGACTAAGTGAAAATAGGGAAGCCGAAGTTGTTAGCAGGCTTTTAACGCCAACTACCTCTAGCGCTGCAAAAATTGTTAAGAGTCCCTTGAAAAATCTGAAAGTAGATGCTGAACGTAATTTAGGTTCAGCGTTGGATAATCCTGTTCTAGATCATTCAGGTAATGAAAAGCTCACAAGTCACATTGATTCGACAAATGGAACTCCTGTATCTTTAGATTCAACCAATAAGAAACATAACACCCTACCAAATAACGATGAAACTACAAACACCAGAGCTCCCAAGACCAGACTTAATCATAAAAAATCATTAATGGCAGAAAGGAATGAGGCAGCGGCACATCGGACCAAACAGAAGTTGATTCTTTCTAGCAGTCATAAATCTGATCTCAAACAGACTAACTTAGTACCTCACAAGTTGCAATCTCCTAGCACAGTAAGATTAGCAGATAAGAAAAGACCTGCGAAAGCCCCAACAAAGGGTCTTTCGTTAACTTCCTCGACTACTTTGAATGTGAACCGCCAACAAGATAAGAATGGTGAAATTCCTCAGTCGACCCAGAAGAACAAACTGGAGCCAGCAGCAAAACTCAGCTTGAAAGAAGTTAACCTAAAACCAACGAATAAGCCCAATGAAATGTTAGCTTCTGCAGAATCACATTCTACAAGAAGAGGGAATGCTGTTCCATTACCAGATGCGGCTCGTGGAGGAAAGTTTACCAGGGATCGGAAGCCCATATCATCTTCGACTATTGCTAATCCGCGTCGTAAAATTAAGAATACTGATAACATTCTTCCGAACCCAAAAAAACCCCGTCATGTCGTACCTTCAGCAAATCCAGTGTCTACTGAGTCTATTTTAGATGAACTTCCTCTAACACCTACGAAGGACGAGCCCTATACTGCGGATAATTTACCAGATATTCCCTCTGATGATGACACTAATCAACGTGGTAGAAAATATTTCAAAAATTGGGCAGCGACACCTGAATTACAAAGGATATTGGATGAAAAACGGAATGTTGATCCAATTTCGATTTTTGGTGAAGTTCCACCTTTGAATATGGATGAGATTTTTGAGTCTCAAGCATCCAGATTTCGTGGCAGAGCTTCGCCAAACCAAACTCCTTAATATTTTGTGTGGTAAATTTCATTTTAATCTCTGTATATTATCATTGTATTATAAATATATTATTTTCATTACTTATAAATTACGTTTCTTCAAAGCAGCCTCTTTGTTCCAGGTTTTCAACCAACCTTCAACGTCATCTTTTGGAACAACGTATAATCTCAATGCATTATCAAAAAGAGGGGCCTTGGCTTTGTCAGACATCAAAGCATTGTTTATTGGAGCATTCTTACCAATCTTCACCAATCCACCTGCTTCTGTTTCCATAAAGCATTGAAGTTTTTTGACAAGAGCAAAACTCTTATGTTTTGGATTTTCAAACCATTCTTTAGGTCTATTCATTATTAATTCTAAAATCTCTTGAGGAGTAGATAATTCACTGATTTCTGCAACAAAATCAAACTCATCAATAGTAGGATATAATATCATGGCTGGGAATATTAATTGGGATTCATGGTCAAGGGGATCTTCCAATCGTATTTCAGCTTCTTCGAGTAGTTCAGCAGGTCTAGAGGCTTTTAAAACACGCATGTGTCTCAATTTAACAGCATTGACCAAAATCGTCTTCTTCATCTCGGCTTCTTTAGTCTCACGCTCTTTACGTTCTATGGCATCATTAATTTGCTTTTGTTTCTTGATTGTTTGGTCCAAAGTATCTTTCATTGGTTTGTTTTCTGGATCAATTGCCAAACCATATTCTAAAATGGCTTTTGCTTCTTCAAATCTTGAAACTGCTAAGAAGGCTTTACCGGATCTATAGCAAGCTTTCACATTCTTATCATCTAATAATAAAACTTGTTTGCAATCTTCTATACATCTTCTGAAATTTTTCAATTCCAAATTACAAGCAGCTCTATTTACAAGCAATGCAACTTTTAAGGTAGTAACGTTGTGTTCCACTTCAATACCTTGAGTGTAGTATGTGATAGCATTCTTATATTGTTTAGCTTTGAAACAGTCATTACCTTGATTTTTGAAGTTTGTGGCGATTTCATCGGGCTCTCCATCGTATGCTAAACTTTTCAAAGCTTCCAAATTTGTATTTTCACCACCATCTCCGTCTGTTTCATCAAGTTCTGTCATGAAAAATGGTAAACGATTTAACTCCTTCATGATATCTTCAGAAGATTTTTCAGCCATATCAGATAATTGTGGAGGCAAATCTGGTTCACCAGGTTTAGGTATGTATCTCCTTCTATCCCATTCTGATATTAATTCATCCATCTTTATAGTATCAACTTTTAAAAGTCCTTATAAACTTTCTTTCATAGATCTCTGGTGACCAATCGTTCCTACATCTTTCAAAAAACTCTGCGATGCCATGAACTTTCCTAATTGGGTCGTGTTTCGATCAGAGAAAATAATTGCAAAAAAATTAAGGAAATACTACTACAAAAAACGTCAAGATAGTAATAAATAAGCGATAAATGGTTTATCAATGAAAAGATCTATATAGTGTCATTATTTCGTAAAAAAAAAAAGAAGAAAACAAGTAAACAAAGGGAAATAAAAAAAAAAGCATTGACGAATAGAAAACAAGGAAGATCACTCACTCTTCGCTTAGCTGTCTTTGACGTTGCAAAACAAGTGGAATCTTAATAGTCACTTTATCTCCATTAGGGCATTTGAGATCAACTTTCAAGTAATACAATCTGGACATCAAGCAATATTGGAAATCTGGAACAAGGCAGAAATCATGAGGCGTAGGGCCATTCAAAACAGCGTCTTTGATATCGACATGAAGATCGAATTTTTTACTGAATTTCAACTGCTCCTCAATAGCTCCATTATGACCGGTGGTTTTGATTGATTCGGTTTCCCAATCCAACTGATTCAAATGAGATACGCAATCATGAGAGTGAGGCTTCGAAACAGAGCAATTAGGAATTTTGAGATGATCATACTTAGAGGCAAGATTAGCCAAAGATTTAATATCAAGGAAAATATCCCTATCTAATTCGAGAGACTCAGGTCCTACTTCCTTCATAAGCTTTGAGAGTTCACCAGCGTATTTTTGAAATTTTTTAATTGTGACCATGTCAAAATTATCGATTCCTCTACTTTTATTTTCAAACAACATATCTGGATGGAATACAACTGGAATAGGTATACTTCTAGATTTGATAGTAAGTGCAACCAACTCTACTGAGATTTTACGGAAATCAGGAACGGTGTGATGATGACCATCTGTATAAAGGAAAGTCAAATCAAAAGGAATGGTGACTTTTGTATTTGGTAATGGACCCTCAGGGTTTCGAAACTGGGGTAATGGGAAATAATTTATCATATATTCTGTCTTAGGAGTAGATAATGCAGCGAGACCAATCACTTTTGAAGATCCGATAATAGTTTTCTTTTTATAAGGTAAAAAAACTTCATAAACATTTTCTCGGTGGTCTGCATGAGTTTCTCTATCCAAATTTCTTATCTTAGTGTAATAAGACTGTTGCATTTTTGATAATTCAGCACCGCTCAGTGTTGGATGGAGTGATGAAAATGAAGATGAACTGTGAAGAGAATTGCTTTCAGAACTGTAAGGTGTCCTTTCATCGCTAGGACGAGATGATAATTCTCTACCCAAAGCAATTTTATTATTAATCTTGTTTACCATATTAGCATAAATTAACCTGGCTTCTTCATTAATCATAGATCTATTGAGTTCGAATGAAGAATGAGTAGTGAAAATAGCTCGAAGATATGCATTATCTTCATTTGCAACAACGTATTCGTCATGTTCAGGGTTAAGATGAGGATGAGAGTTTTTCATAAATAAGCTTTCATATTCCGAAGCTTTCCCAATGACTCTGGCTCCAATACAGTAAGATATAGAGGCATCAGGGAAAGCAAAATCCTGGGTTATTGAAGAGTATTTTTGCTTTTGTTTATAAGATTCATGCTTCATAAGTTCATCAACTTTACTAGGAAGTGCTGATAAGTGATCAGATGAGTTGTTAGTGGAAGGCAATGTTGAATGACTAGGTGATTGATAAGGAGATAAAGCTGGAGATGTCACAGCGGAATTAGTATGAGAATTCGTACGTGAATGAGTTTGAGAAAGAGAGTTCGAATGTAAATGTGAATGTGAGTATGAATGCGAATCATAATTACCATCTTTCCACTTCTGACGTAAATTGCTTATAATTTCATTTTTAGAGGTTCCCAATGTTTGAGGTATTTGAAGATGTTTAACAAACCCATGTTCACAAGAACTATCAAGTAATTTTTCAGGAAGTCTAAAAGTAAAAAATTTTTTGTATGTTTTATAAGGTTCGAAAATTTTACGATGATCTAACTGAGTGTAGGTGCCATCGATTGGATCTATAATATTTCCATAAATGAAATGAGGGTTGTTATGATCTGTAGTCAAACGATCCAAACATCCATCATTCCAAGATGCATTAAAATCAAACATGTTGAGAAATTTTCTCATTTGAGGCTGTTGATTCATTGTGGAGAGGTGATTGTCACCAAATGTTATGGATCCTTCTAAAACAACACTAAACATATCAAAGGGAATGGGGTTTTCAGTATTATTTGTTACAGTAACAAATCCATAAATGCAATCGCCTTGTTTAAACTCCACTGATAAAGGGTCTAGTATATTAGGAGGAATACCAATTTTACCGATATGTTCAGTAAGATGAATCTTAACGGTAATTAATCTTGAAACCTCTTTATTAATAGAAGGGAGCCTTTTCAATTTGTGGGAGTTGGCCAAAATTGTATCTTCCCAACGAGTGAAATCATCCACTGTATCATCATGAGGAGATGTTTCGAATGGACGTCTAGAAGAAGGAAGATCGGGGGAGCTTGGGAAAGATGTACCAGATCCACTACTGGCAAAATATTCACCACTAGAACCGCCCGTTGAAACTTGAGAAGCTTGTGGAGTTAATTCATAGCGTGGAGGTTCTGTTCTTAAGTCTTCAGTAGATGGGGTGATATTTTTTGAGATCGTAGACTGATACATTTGATAAGAAGGTAATATATTGATGATTTCTTCTTCATCTTTCTTTTTTTGATCATTTTTAGACAGTGGGCTTGTGAAATTATCGATCGTTTCATAAGCAGGAACTGGATTATCCAGGTTTCTGTCATCAAGTGAAAGATGTGATAGCTTCAAGTTGAACCTATTTGAGCCACGGTTATTCATTTGTGTAATTCTAGGATTTAGGTCTTAGGTACCTGACCCAATTATGCAAAAATAAATTTGACTTGGGGAAAAGGAGAAATAATTGAGACTAATAACTGCAATCTGTAAGCTTCTTGATATAGTGACGGTCTGTCCTTTCCCAATATAGTTTTTTTTTTTTCTTTTGTTGATTTGTTCGTTTTGGTGTATTTTTTTTTTTTTTGCTATGGTATTGTGTTTTCCACAAATAACAACCCTGGACCTTGAAAATAAGGGAATTTGACGGGATCAAAAAGCCACACCTGCTCGAATTGAAGTTTATCGAAAACGAGTCTCAAAGAAGTCCCTATGGGAGCAAGAAGTATTCCAACGACAGAAGCAAAAAAAAAAAGAAAAAATGAAGATTCTTTGAAATACTTGAAAAAGAGTATTGACAGCCTTTAGTCCATGTGTTCTAATGAGGATTGATTCACCAAAAATATGATGGTTTCTGTGTCGAAATAAGGAATAACAGAGTACAACTGGTTGCGTAAATAAAGGAATGCTTTTGAAAGTGTACTCGGCGTCAAATAAGCTGGGGAAGTCGACAACGAATTTCCTCACTCAATGAGTTGTTGAGACGGGTTTCGGATCTGTAAGGATAGGAGGGAACTTGGGCCTATACTTAGCTTCGAGTCTGAGAGTTAATAAAGGACAGGTTGGTTTAAGTGAATGATTATTCTGTTAGGCATCGAAAAGACGGTGTAACGGCATTTCGCAGAATGACCTACTGATGAATCTCATGATACCCTTTATTTTTTTCAAAGCAAAAATGTACGGAGGTATATTTTATCTGTTCTACAATAATGGCTGCTAAAAAATTATAAATATATACAAAACAGAATACAAGACAAGAATTGAAGGTATAATTAGAGGCCGTGGGGTATGAGTAGAATTAGTTTTCGATATTCAAAGGGACATTCAAGGTGAGAACGGCACCATTAATCATTTTGACATTAACTTTGACGTAGTAGAATCTAGCCATGAGACAATTTTGGAAGCTAGGAACAAGCGTAAAGTTATCGAAGCAAGATTTGCCATTTTTAAGGGGTTCTGTCCCCTTCGGATGGCATTTTGATAAGTCGATTGCAATATCGAATTTCTTTTGATAAATTGAATAGTTTACGTTAGTTTCTGATTTACTATGATTCCAAGGAATATTTGAAAAATTTGAATAAACACCACGATTTGATTGAGTTTGGGAATAAAATTTGACATCGGAAATTGGTAGATTGATATATTTTGATTGTAAAAAGGCTAAAGCTTTCAAATCTTTGAATAATTGACTTTCGACTCTGAAAGTTGGGTCTTCGCCAAATTTTTTGATCAAGTCAGAAATCTGTTTATAATAATCTTGCATTGGTTTAATGACAATCTGATCAAAGTTATTTGTATCAGGATCTTTTTTATTATGATTGGATGCAAAATTCAGGAGGATGTTAGTTGAGTGACCATCGTTATCACTACTTATTATAACTTTATCCTTGAAACACATTTCATGGTTAAATTCAACTGGAATAGCGTGTTTTTTAGACCTTAAGGTAAGTACCACTAATTCGCAATCAATATTTTTAATTTCTGGAGGGCTATTTTTACCTTTAACATTACCATGTTCATAGAAAAATGCAACTTCTAAAGGTATTGATAAATTGGTATCATATTTTTGATTAGCATTTCTAAATTTTATGGGCGGTACATAGAGGGTAGTATATTCTTGTTTTGGGGTAGTTAAAGAAAGCACTCCCATAACTTTAGTTGAACCAGTTAATGATTTTTTTTTGTAAGGAGTTAAGTATTGATACACGTTATCATCGTAATCATTATCATTTAGCCCACTAGAGTTGTTAGTTTTATTTTCAGAGCGTTGAAGATGCAATTTTTTAAATTGTTTTTTAAAATTTTCTTTATTAGTATGGTCAGCCACCACGTATAATTGTTTTAATCTAGTATTTGATGATGAATGAGGGGTTAATGATGAAAAACTAGTGTTTAAGTCATCCATGGTGGTATTTGGAGTTGAATTGCTATTATTTGAAGAATCCCAAGGTGAAATAACTTGTCTATTTGAATCAATATTAGCTAAAGATTCCATACCATAAGAAATTTTATTTTTAATACTATCGACAAAAGCACGATAGAACAAACTAACTTGTTCATTTTTAGAACCAATTTGATCGATTGTACGATAAGCATTTGGAATAACTCTTATTGGACATTGAAGTTCTTTGGCAATAACGTATTGATCTCTAAATTTTGAAGGCCTTTTCGGCTTATATTTATATTCTGAAGCTTTACCAATTATTCTAGCATCAACACTATAATTGATATAAGTATCAATAAAGGAAAAATCTTTCAATTTACGATCATTCTTATCGGCAGTATTTGATAAATACATTAAAGGAATTGAAGATAAATTTCTCAGAACACCAATACTTGGAGGGATTTCGGTATGTTTTGTAAAATTATGAACTTCACAAGAGTCATCTAATAATTTTTCGGGAATTCTAAAAGAAAAAAATCTTTTATAAGTTATATTTGGTTGGAAAAACCGTTTAACATCAATTGATAAAGCGGTATTATCATAAGGATCGATTTCATCTAAACACCAATCATGAGGATCTCCATTATCAGTAACCAAACGATCGATATTAGCATAAGACCAGGAGGCGAAAAGATCAAGCATATTCAAAAATTTATAAACAGTTAAAGGATGCTGACTATCAATTAGCCCCATATTATTATCTAAAACAACAAGAGCACCTTCAAATACCACATAAACCATATCAAAGGGTATTGGTTCAGAAGAAGTATTTTGAATAGTTACATAGCCATGAATGTAATCCCCCTGTTTATACTCGTATTGTTGAGGATCAATTATAGTTGGTGCTTCTCCCTTTTGACAAACGGATTCAGTAACTTTAATATCAAGTTTTAGATTTTTTGAAAAATCATTATCAGAGTCAGAGAGATTGGGTAGTTTATGGGCATTGGCCAAAACGGTATTTTCCCAAATTTCTGCCAGTTCTTCATTAAAAGTTGAAAGAACTGAATTAGTAGTTGAATTCTGTGGTTGTAGATCAGAGCCTTGCACATTAATAGAAGAAGGGTTTGACTGAAGGTTTGGAAAAGGGTAGCCATCCGATAAGGGCGTATCGGACCGTATTCCACCAAGGTTGTTCGGTGGCATTTGGGGACCATCATTGGCTGAATGCATTGGCGATAATGGAGAAGGAGTATTTACGTTAGAAGAGACTGGAGTCACTTCATAAACTGGAGGATCGACCCGGTAGTTTTCATCAGAAGGGGTCATACTTTTCAGAATAGTAGACTCAAACATATGGTAAGATGGTAAGATATTATTAATAAGTTGATTATCACGATTTCTTTGATGATTTTCCAAAGGCTTCAAGTCTTTCAAGAGACGTTGTTTCTCTTCCTTGGATATCAAAGGCATTATATAGACTTCTACCTCTTTTGTACCAGCTCTTATAAATTCGAATTGACGGATAAGATAAAGAAAGATAAAGACCAATAAAGACGAATAAGAAGAATTAGACAAGCAGAAAAGAGAAAGAAAAGAAAAAAAAAAAAAAAATGAAAAAAAAAAAAAAAAAAAAAGGAAATGAAATGAAGTATCAAATCAGATTCACTAATCAAAGGGAAAAATCAATACCACAAGCGGTTAACGGCATGCACTCAATTTAAGAGGTGTGCTGAACAAGACCGGTTACATAAAAAGATATTAGGCTTTCCAAAGACATAACAAAAGGACAATGAAGAGAAAAGAAAGAAGGAAAGAAGGATAAACGGTAAGTTGGTGTTGCATTATCAAGCATAATACACAATAGTCCTCGTTTACTCCATTGCAATATTGTAATACAAACTCGCAATCCTGTAATACAAACTCGCAATCCTGTAGGACACCGTAATACCAACTGCACTCCAAACTCCACTGCAGTAAAGTACCAGCACCGTGGAAAGGTTAGATGGTCTAGCGATGAGATGAGATTACAAACGGTTGGGCCTAGTCCACACGCACACCCACGGTCTAAACTGGGATGTGCTTTGATTATCTTAAACAATCAACAGCTACGCGGCAAGCCTTTGTTCTGACAAATGTATGGCATCCACTGTAGTGGTTCAATCATAAGGCATTTTTTGACATTCTTTCTTTTTTTTCACAACTATTTTCCCATTCTTTTCAGTTTTTGTGGGTTTTTGGGGCAATACGACAAATTTTCGCAGTAAATTGCCGTAAAAACTCGTCTCAAAGACCAGTACATTTTTTTCTGTTTTTGGTGTCTGGGTGTTTGGCTCAATACGCCCGTACATTTTTGGTGTTGGTCACGTGACCGGTTTATCTTATCAGAATGTTTCACAGTACAACCGAGCCGTGGAGTCGCCTATTGCTAATCCACACTGCTGATAACCATTTCATCAATAGTTAGCAACACCTATATATATAAGGAATGCTATTTGGTAAATGGTGGTTAGTCGATTGCAAGATGGGAACCAAAATGGACTATTCTAAGCTTGAAGAAGATTCAATCGATGATTACTCGATCTTGGATATGTACTCTAAATTGGATGGAGAGATGTACTCTAAACTGGATGGAGAGATGTACTCTAAATTGGATGGAGAGATGTACTCTAAATTGGATGGGAATTTCCACCGAGATGAATACGCCATACCAAAACCACCGCCGGCACAGCATTTACCCAATAGGTTTGTTAGAAGGACCATGGTGATACTAGGATACGGTATATTTTTATTGGCGATTGCATTTACAATCTATCCATTTTTCTTGAACATCGATTATAAATTTAGTTTTAATTATCAAAATTTTGAATCGGGATTCAATTTTCTGATTAATGATTATACCGATCCAGTGGGTGACAAAATAGGTAGACCGAGCTTGGCTCCCGATAAGAACCATTCTCGGTATGGTGCGAATGCCATGGTTTCTAGTGATGTCCCCATCTGTTCTTCAATGGGTAAAGAAATTTTGATCAAAGGAGGGAACTCTGCTGATGCTGCTATAACAGTGGCCTTATGTATAGGTAGTGTTAATCTGCATCTGTCTGGAATTGGAGGAGGGGGGTATATTGTGAGTCTGCAAAAAAACGATACCATCAGTATCGATGCCAGAGAAATGGCTCCATCGAAAGCGTATAAGAACATGTTTGATCATTATCCTTTGTTGGCCCAGTTTGGTGGATTGGCCAATGCAGTTCCTGGAGAATTAAAAGGACTAAATGATTTATATAACCTTCATGGAAGTGGAATCTTGAGCTGGAAACAATTGATTGATCCAGTAATTGAATTGAATGTGAAAGGTTGGGAAGCAAGTGAAATTTGGATTAGAAGTTTGAATAAAATGACTTCTCTTGTATTTCCAATTGCATCGGTATTAGAAGAAAATTGGGATTTCATCTATAATGATCCAATCAAGCATCGGGACTTGGTAGAAACTGGCGATATTATCAAAAGACCCAATTTAGCTTCAACTTTGAGACTAATTGCTGAGAATGGGTCAAGTGATATTTTCTATGATCCAAACGGTCCAATTGTTAAATCGCTAGTTGAAACTTCTCAAAAATTAGGTGGTATTCTTACTAAAGATGATTTTGCAGCATATAAAACTAATATTACATCTGCTTTAAAGTACAACTTTGAATTATCAAATCAAAACTTGACCATATATACAAGCCTGGGGACTAGCTCGGGGTTATCATTGATTAGTGGAATCAATTATTATTCGAATTTACAAAAAAAATTTCCAATTGATCAAGTTAAATCATTACCTAAAAAAATTACCAAAGAAATCCTTGAGGTCCATCGCATAATCGAATCAATGAAATGGATTTCATCAACTCGAACTTACTTGGGTGATTTGAACAGCACCTACTTTAATAAATTAGTTGAAAAATTCAGTGGAGAAGAATGGTCAACTAATTTACTAGAAAATAATAAATATAGTGATTTTCAAACATTTCCTTGGAAACATTATGAACCAGAGTTTGAACTGAATAAACCCCATGGCACCTCACATTTTTCTATTGTCGATTCGGAAGGTGGTGCAGTATCCATGACCACTACTGTTAATTTATTATTTGGTAGTATGGTTTATGATAATAACACGGGAATCATCTTAAATGATGAAATGGACGACTTCTCATTACCTTTCACTAGAAATGCATTCAATTTAACCCCTTCCATCCATAACTACATCCATCCTTACAAAAGACCATTATCCTCCATGACTCCCCTGATCATTAAGGACTCTCAAAATCAAATCAAATTGATCATTGGAGCCGCAGGAGGATCAAGGATTTCGACCGCAGTATTCCAGGGTATTATCCGTTTTTTCTACAATAACGAGTCCTTGCTAAACACTATAAGCTATCCTCGCTTGCACCACCAGCTCATTCCTGAATACGCCATGGTGGAAGACTTTGACATTTTCGAAGACTCTATTCCTCACCAAAACGCTTCAGTAATCGATACCATGACTAAAGCGTTGGGTCACGGGTTTGCCCAACTGGGTGCATTAACGGTAATGAATGCAATTAGCAAGAGTAGTGAGAGCTTTGGCTGGAATGGAGTTAGCGATTACTGGCGCAAACGAGGTGCTGCTGATGGCTATTAAACGGCTACTTGACTCTTGACTCTATCACTATGACTCCCTCTCGGTGACTCTTATCTGATGCACCATTAATCCGAAAATATCGTTTCTACATACTAATAAATACTTGTAAATCCAATAGCCGGATAAGCAGTGTAATTGATCCTTTGGACCTGATTTCATTGGTTAACGTTATCGGAGTACGGAGTAGCGGGACGAAAGGGAGCTGGAGTTAAGTGCTGATTCTAATGATAATCCACCGCTGCCTCGCCTTTCCCGTTTCCCTTGCGCCTTTGGCCATGCCTTCCAGCTGGTCGACCGTTCCATGGCCACTCCCACCACGTCTGCTCCGTATCCCCATCCTAGGGGCATGTTCTACCCAAGACTCGGTGAACGTCTGAGATTATCTCATAGATTTCGGAGTTTTATGCTACTTTGATTGTTTTTTGTGGGGGTGGATTGTTAAGTCGGTTGCGTGCAGGACGATTTGGTCATAAATCAACTAACAAAACGAAAAAAAAAAAAAAAAGGGATAGTGATACAATAAACAATTTCCCCAGATTTCAAGAAATTTAATGTAACTTCGGAGTTCTTGATGGGGAGGAGCTTCACAAGTCCGAATTGTATATAAGTCAGGTCATTTCCTTGCGGGAGCCTGAGTTGAATTTTCCAAAAGTTTACGTTTTGTTATAGTTTCCTTATTTATTCTATTTAATTAACTTATTAACTTATTAACTTATTAACTTATTTAACTTATTCTTAATTAATTTATTCTTATTAACTTAATTAACTTATTAACTTATTTAACTTATTCTTAATTAATTTATTCTTATTAACTTATTCCTATCAACCTTTCATTATATTATGTCCACGTTTGAATACCAGGATAAGTTACAAAAACTTCCTATACCTGATTTTGTTCAAACCTGTCAGCAATACTTGAATGTATTGAAGCCGCTTCAAACTGAAAAGGAACATGCTAAGACTATCGAAGCAGTTGAGAAATTCATAAAAGATGGTACGGGCAAGTATCTTGATTCTGAATTGAGAAGCTATGCCGAATCAAGAAATAGTTTTATTGAACAGTTTTGGTATGATTCGTATCTTAATCATGATTCTCCGGTTGTTTTAAACTTGAATCCCTTTTTTCTTTTAGAAGATGATCCTTTCAATAATGAAACCATGTGTGTGAATCCCCAAGTTAAAAGAGCTGCTACTTTAACCTTATCTTCGCTCAAGTTTATCAAAGCTTTGAAAAATGAAACGTTACCGGTGGATAAATTGAAAAATGGTCAACCTTTATGTATGTACCAATACTCAAAGTTATTTGGTGCTGCCAGAATCCCAACCGATGATGGATGTATCATGCAATCGGATGCTAGTTCAAATCATATCGTGGTTATGAGTAAGTCGCAATTCTATTGGTTTGACGTATTGGATTCAAATAATGAATTGATTATGCTGGAACAAGATTTAATCGTTAATTTCACTTCAATCATTCATGACTCTCTTAGCACTCCAATTAGTGAAATTGCTAAGTCTTCCTTTGGGGTTTTAACCACTGAAAATAGAAGAATTTGGTCAAAAATTAGACATTCTCCCACAATTGTCAATAATGCAAATAATAATGAGATTTTATCATTGATTGATTCGGCTTTATTTGTTATTTGCTTGGATGATATTAAATTAAATGACTTATCTGATTTATCAAAAAATATGTTGTGTGGTTTATCCATTTTAGACAAAGGGGTTCAGGTTGGGACTTGTACTAATAGATGGTATGATAAATTACAAATCATCATTACCCAAAATGGTAAAGCTGGTATTAATTTCGAACATACTGGTGTTGATGGTCATACGGTTTTAAGATTTATAAGTGATATCTATACCGATTCAATTCTATCTTTTGCTCAATCAATTAATAGTCATACTCCTTCTCTATGGAATAATTCTTCCAATTCAAAATCTTCTAACCAAGAATCTTTAGTGACTATCCCAAGAAAATTGGAATGGGATTTAACTCCTGATTTATCTTTGGCTTTGAGATTTGGTGAAACTAGATTATCCGATTTAATTAATCAAAATGAATTTAAACATTTGGAATTTAAAAATTACGGCTCTTCTACTATAAAAAAGATGAAATTTAGTCCAGATGCTTTTGTTCAAATGGCTTTCCAAGCTACTTATTATGCATTATACGGGAAAGTTGAATGTACTTATGAACCAGCCATGACAAAACATTTTTTCCATGGTCGTACAGAAGCTATTCGTACTGTTAGCCAAGAATCAAATTTATTTGTTCGTAAATTCTTTGATTCTTCAGTTTCAAATGTTGATAAATTAAAATATTTATCTGATGCTTGTACTCAACATTCAAGTCAAACTAAACAATGCTCTGCTGGTCAAGGTATTGATAGACATATGTATGCTTTGTTTTGTATTTGGAAAAGATATGTTGGTGCTTTTGATGATAATGATGGAATTGTTAATATTGAAAAACCAAATTCCAATGAGCACTCCTCTTCCGAAATGGAAAAAAGTGATACTATCATTATCGATCATCGTAATAGCATCACTAGACTTCCTGATGATTTTGCCCCTGAAGAGGAAAATTCAGATCAACAGCGTGCTTCAGTACTGACCTTGATTGATGATGACGTTAGCCATTCTTCAGATAATACCATTGGTAATGACATAGAACATGCGGCCATAACCAAACCTCGTTCAAGTAGTATTGGTATTCGTGATCATTTAAAACAAATTCCAGAAATTTTTGCTGATGCTGGTTGGGACAAATTGAATAATACCGTACTTTCAACTTCAAACTGTGGTAACCCTGCTTTGCGTCTTTTTGGTTTCGGTCCTGTCTCTGCTAACGGTTTTGGTTTAGGTTATATTATCAAAGATGACTCAATTTCCATCTGTGCAGCTTCGAAACACAGACAAACTGAAAGATTCTTGGTTACTTTGGAATCTTATTTAGATGAAATATATAGAATATTCAAACTAGTTCATCAAAATAATGATTCGGCCGCTGCTACAGCTCCAATTGATACTAAGCTCAGAACATCTTCTGGTGCTAAGGCTGAAGCTTTGTTGCCTAAAAATCCATTACCTGTCAGACCTTCAGCTAAAGCAAATGCTAACAATTCGTCTTCTTTAAGCACTTTATTGGGTGGATATGGCTACTTTGATATGGGTGAAGAGGACATCAAATCAAGAGGCCCAAGTCCTGAACCTCCATTCTTGAATAGAAATAATAGTGGATTTTCCATCAGAGAAATAGGTAAAAAACTAAGATTATCTGAATATTGAAGGACAAAAACGGAAAAAGATAAGACATCTTTAACCACACTAAGTCTTGCATGATGAATGAGCGTTTATATGACTTCACTTCTCTTAACTATCTATTTATTGAATAAATGTGTTTTTATAAAACATGCGTAATCTTCGACTACTCTTTAGTTGAAGTTTTACTGCAAAAAAGTAAAAATTCTCGCAAAAATATAAAAAAGAGAAATATCGATTTTTTTTTTAAGTCCTTACTTTCTATTCTACTAAAAAACATTAAAAAGTATATAATATGAAAGTTTATTAATAAATAATATCAAAAAAGGTTGATCATTAAAGCGTAAATTCTACAAAGACAAAGAAGTACATATTAAATACCAAAACCACCTTGATTCAATGCAGCTCTCAAATTTGCTTTATTAGGTTTGGCATTTTTACCATGCTTCGCTGAAATTGACGGCATGTTCATCATGGCTAAATCACTAGTGGTTGGTTGGGGTCTGGCTCTTGGTGGCATACCCCCAGCCATTGGTGGCATTCCCCCAGCCATTGGTGGCATTCCCCCAGCCATTGGTGGCATGCCGCCTCCCATTGGGGCAATAGGTTGAAATCCCATTGGTGCCATTGGTTGTTGTCCCATATAAGGGTTTCCTATTGGCGCTTGATTTTGCGGCATTGATTGTCCATAGGGAGCCGGTTTGCCATATTGTTGAGGAGCATAACCAGGTTGATTTGAATATTGCATTTGCCCTGGAAGATGCTGTGGGTGTTGATACTGCGGTTGCTGTTGATATTGTGGATATCCATAATACTGTTGATTAGGATGAAATAATTCCTGCAGTTGAGCCGGTGGTGACATGAATGGTTGAGGAGAATATCCTTGAGCTGATGCTTTAACTGGAGCTGATTGTCTTAAATTAGCTGATGGAGTCTGAGCAGTTGGTTGATTTGAATATTCTAGCCCATGATAAGAAGCTGAACCATTTGGTGAATGTACCACGTTAGGATAGGAGTTCACAGGAGCAGAGGTTGGGCCCTGATCATAATGTGTGTTTTGGGTTTGAATTGGATGAGGCGAAGGACCTCTTGACAGAGTATGTACAGGGGCAGGAGCAGGTGGTAATGTGTTATGATAGACAGGCTCATTATAACCATAATCATTAGCATAAGACTGGCTCTGAGCTGTTGGGGGCGAGACAGGGGTTTCATGGATTGGTGAAGTCTCATGGGCTGGATCAGTAACAGTAAGTGCTGGAACGTGAGATTGTTGCTCGTGATACGATAAATCGTGTTCAGCCATCTCCGAGGGAATAGGGGGAAGAGTATCTTTATGTTGGTGAGGAGATGTAGCTGTATTTGCAAACGGTTTTTCTGGAGAAGATTCAGTAGAGTAGCCGTCCTTCTTCTTCTTTTTTTTGTCTTTCTTTCTATTAGGATCCTTTAACTTTTTAGGGGAGGTTGACTCTTCACCAGGCATATTCATTCCTCCATAATCACCCATCCCCATTTGTGAAGGCATTCCCGTTGGAAGGAACCCAGCTGGTGGAAGACCCATATTATCAAAAGACCCATTTGGATCCATCATTGGTGGATATCCAGGTGGAGGTCCTTGAGGAAAATAACCAAACTGGTTATACGGGTACATAGCAGCCTGTTCAGCTTCTTCTCTTCTCTTTCTTTCCTTCTTTTCTTTCCTTTTTCTTCTTCTTTCTTCTTTCTCTTCATCTTTCATTGGTGATGAAGCGTTGGTTTCAGGGGAAGTTGCAGAAAGGTTGGCACCATCTTGAATATCTCGTTGTGGGGAAAGTGTTTCATTCGCTACAGGAGGTAAATATTGTTCGCCAGTAGTACCCGGTTGATATTCTTCGTGAGATGGAAGAGGATTAGATGGTTGCTGTTTATGGTCATTTTTTGTAGCTATACCAGGAATATAGTAATTATCGAAAGGTTCTTCTGAAACTTGCAGTTGTTTAAGCCTAGCAGCTTTTTCGGCATCTGTTTCATAATCTTCGTAAGGTTCTTTGAACGCATCTCCTCCTGAAGAGGTAGAATAGAGAGGTGTTTTCTCTGGGACAGGAGGTTCGGGATGATAATCGTTAGAGGGAACTGGAGGTTGAGGAGGTTCCTGAAGGTCCATAGGAGGAGGGGGACGTCTATGACGCGAACTCGTAGATTTAGTATGGGTTAAAGAAGCTTTCTGATTAAAAGCATTGGCCAAGCTTTCATCTTGCTGTTCATTTAAACCTTGTAAATATTTGGTGTAATCATCAGATGCTTCCCCATTTACTTGACTTGGATAAACATAGTAATCTTCTTCGTCTTCTTCAGCTCCATTGTTGGCAGCTGCCATTTCACCAACGTCGATTCTATGATCTGTTTCATCGAATTCGTAATTTGGTAATAAACTATTATCATCTTTTGAAGGTAATGGAGGTGGAGGTAAAGGCATATCCTTGTAAGATCCATTAGATACTGCTCTATCTTTTTCAGGAACGCTTGGTCTAAATTCACGATTACTTGGATGATAGTTAGGATGATCATTTTCGATAGTTTTAAAATGGCGAATATATTCATCTGGAGACATTTGTTCTTCAGTTACAATCAACCATTTTTGGAAGCCTCTCAAACCGGCCTCAACTACCAAAGACCTACCAAATAATCTTTTGATATGACTAGTTTGATCTGATCCTAAAGAAGAAAGCCAAGTCCAAATATAGTAATCTTGTAATGATACATCATGAATTGAGATTTGTGAGTAAAGAGGAATATTTTCTGAATCATCATCAACCTCATCCTTAGCTGGAGGTTTAGCCCAACCTGGATATAAGCCATATTCAGAATCGATTGGGTCGGCGGTAATTCTATTCAAAATTCTTCTTGATTCCTCTGTTAAAGTGTCAACAATCTCATCAGTAGAGTCTTTTCTGAAAATATTTTTCAAGATTGTATAATTTTCAATTGAAAGGAACGAGTCTTTTTTATCGAATGATAAAGTTTTTTTAACTTTTGATAAAAGATCATAAGCATTTTTGGATCTTTTAGTTGATTTGACACAAACACAAGGAATGGTAATGATTGATTTAATCGAATCTGAATTTTGTGCTGGAGGATAAGAATTTGTAATTAATAAAGATTGTAAAGTTTTCGGTAATTTTAAAGTATCAGCTTCATTATCAGGTAACATTGCTCTTAAAAAGGAAAGTAATAAATGAAATAGAGCATCACTTGAAGATTTCCAAGATTCCAAACCTTCAATGAAATTAAATTCTTTATCCAAAGTAGCATCGAAAAAGGCTGATTTGAAATGTTTTGAATAACCATTGAAAGCCCATAAACTCGACATTTTAGCTATTTTACGACCACTTAAGTAATTATATTGAGAATTTGAAGCGATACTGATCAATATATCTAAGAAATCATAAACAATTGATGCATGAGCAGGAGATGATAAACATTTTGGCATTATACTTAAAAATGCATTCCTAGGGTAACCTGCTTCTTTTTCTCTTCTTTTATATTCTAAGTAAACATCCCAACCAATGATTTCATTATTTGGCAATCTACTCCATAAATATTTCAAACTACAAATCAAAGTGAATTCATCGAAACTTTTCAATTTTTTTTTAACATTATGCTCATCATCTTTATTATTAATGGGGATTAAATCACCATTTGGAAATATTCTTCTTAGAAAAATTTCTAATTTAGTATCATCAATTCTAGATCTAAATGGTAAGAAAATATGAGGAGTTTTAGTACCACGATGTTTCAATTCAGCAGTAATCAAATGCAATATAAGTTTTAACTTCTTTCTAGTTAAATGATGAGGATTAATTATGGATTCAGAAGACGATGTTGATTTGGTGGATGAATTTGGTAAACTAGGAAGTTGTAAATCAACCGAATCACCTGAACGATTATGAGACACCATTATTCAAGTAATCCCTTATTCTAGTGTCCAATTATGATGGGTGAAAAAAATAATCAATGTGACTCTGTTATAAAAGGGTATACTTCATCAACCGGCTGGGGAAGACAAATTGACGAGAGAGAGAGGGAAACAAAGCACCAAATAACTTCTCTCAAGTGATTGGAGTTAAACAAAAGCAGACAATAAGGGTTATACTAGATCACTTTTGTTTTTTTCCTTTTAAAAAACTAAGTTTGAACAACAATTTCAACTGAATTACTCTTTCAACTGCTATTTTTTCAACCTTTCTTCAAACTAACTCAATATTTATTAGCCTAGCTTTCCACCAAAGTGATTTTTGAGCGTGTAAAGAAAAAAATCCTTATTAAAATTCCAACTATGTGTTATTTTTGACAAACGAACAAAACCAAAGCAGGAAAAAAAAACAAATAATTGAAGAACAGACAGACAAAATACAACGGTCCAGGCTTTTCCAACGACAGCTAGGAGACCAGAGGATCGAGTTTTGGTAAGATGTTATCACAAAGTATTTATTAGAAGTAATACCTGCATTCACTAATGAAGTAATAGATATTGGGACAAATTACCTCGAGATCGAGATCAAAAACAGTATTTTTTTTGTTTTGAGAGCGTGACATTTCGAAAACAAACAAATCGAAAAGGGCGCGGTTGTTTAAAGACTTAAACTACAAGAGATGGCTGATGCCATTAGTGAGTAAGTACACTGATCGAGGTATAGCTAGATTGGCTGCTTCGAAGGCAAAAAGAGAAAAGGCATTGCTGGAAGGGGTGCAGGGAGCCTTTGAAGCGTTGGCCAATCAGAATTATGAGCCTCCAGGTCAGCTTCTGGGCCTACATTGTAACGTAAGAGTAGATAGAAGCGCAGCATCGAGCCTGAACGGAAAATGATCAATGAGCGTAGAAAAGATTGATGTAAGTAAGCATGTAAGCAGCATGTTTCAAGAATCGAATCGTGACAGCTTACCTGGTTTTTCGGTTGCAAAAGTAGTATAATTGCTAGTTCAAAGCAAATATTGCTAATACATCATACTTGAACACAGGGTTTGAAATATCTAGAATACATATAAAAGGCCCAAATTTTGAACTGATATATACAAAAGGAGTAATAAGAAAAAAGGAATAAAGATAAAAGAAGTGAAAATGAAGTCGCTGGAATATATTGAAAAGAATACATTCGAAAATGCAATCAAAGATAATAAACTAGAATTCAATGATGAGGAAATAACTGATTCAAAGAAAGAGGAGAAACCTGATCTTTCGCCGACTGCAGTTGAAGACGGAGGAAGCAGACCATCTATTGAAGCAGTGCTCAAAAAACCTAATAAATCCGACAATCAACCTCAAATCAATCAACATGATAACAGTTCAAATCTACAGGAGGATGACGAGAAATCAAAAACACCGTTTAATGATAAATCAGCTTAATCCAAATTGATTTGATAACGCCTGGGGTAAATTAGTATTTGCATCATTATTACCAGAATTATGATGGTGTTGTAAATCAATCATGCTGTTAACTGCTCGAAGATTGAAATTGGATGAACTAGCATTTTCAGGGAGGTTACTTAATTGTCTCCTGTGATCAAAATTTTGATGATGAGGTGGTTGATTGACCGAATTCATGGCTGCAATGTTTGACATACTATGGATTGCTCTCAATTGGTTTGGATTATCAATTGATATTCTATTAGGATGAGGTCCAGTAGTCGCATTATTATTATTACCATTATTATTATTATTTGCAGCAGCAGCCGCAGCTGGTAAATCCAGTAAACTATGATGACTGACTAAAGATGTTTGTGGCATTGCTTGTTGTGATGCTGGGTTTGGTAAATGCGAATGAGGTGGATTCGGTTGATGGAAGTTCATAGACCCATTAGTTGGAATGTTTTCGGAAGATGGGGCAGTGTTATCTCTAGCAAATGTCATTTGAGTAGGTACTGAATGATTCGAATAGTTTTCAGGATTTGAATTATTGGATGTATCTGGACTAACTCCATTATTCAAAGTCGTTGGAATAGTGCTTGGAATCGATGTTATACTATTTTGACTACCTGAAGTCATATGTGCAACGTAATCGGTTTGTCTAATAATATTATTTAATTGATCAAATCCTCCAACTGCTGATATTAAGACTGAACAGTCCTTATGACCAACTAAAACTCCTCTAACATTTAATAATTGCTCACGAAGTTGAGTAACATGAGCTGATAATTCTCTATAACCAGTTGAATAAAAAGTTAATTCGTCTTCCATTTTTTGTAATAATTGTTTTTTACGTTGTCTACATTTAGATGCAGCCACACGATTTCTTTCCAAAAAATTTTTCCTTTTCTCTTCAGCATTTCCCTTTGGTTTTCTACCACCACTTGATAAGGATTTTGTTGTTGAAATATCTTGGTTATCTGGTCTAGTTTCCTTCTTGGTACCGCTAGTTTTACGAGAATTTATAACAGCAGTGGTTGGAGTAACATCCATGTTTGGGGGACTGGCAGACGACGAAGATACTGAGCTAGCAATATGGGTATCAATAGTATTAGTACTACTTTGGGCATGTAGAGGAATTGAAGGTTCAGCCGCTGAATCTTCCTTTTTAATTTGTATCTTTGCTTTTTTCGATTTTTCCTGAGTGGTACTACTTTTTCTTCTTTTACCATTGATGGCATTGGTATCGGGTGTAGATTTTGCTGATGGTTTTGTTGTTTTAGATTTAGTCGGTATGGTATCGGAAGATGTTGTAGATGTAGTGGAATTACTGTTAGCAAGACTTGGGGCATCCACTTGTTTCTGATTATCAGTGGCAGAAGCAGGGGGAGCAGGAGCGGCTTTTATCAAGGCAGGAGCCAGGTCATTAGACACTGGGGCAGCAGTGGGAGCGGCAATAGCACCAGAGGCAGTACTGGAAGCAGGAACAGGAGCCGGAACAGGAGCCGGAGCAGTGGTGGCTGCACTTGGAGCAGCATTAGTAGCGGTATTTGAAGCAGTAGGTGGAGCGGGAGCTTGAGCAGCAGGTGGAGCGGGAGGTTGTGAAGCGGTAGAAGCAGCATGCAAAGAATGATGAACGGCTTGAGAGTTTGGGGGAGCTGGGGGAGGTAAGTTTGTGTTTGATGACGATACACCAGGAGGAGGTAAAGGGTAATTGAATATATCAGGTTGACCGGGGGTTTGATTATGATTTGTAGAATTATGATTATGGTTATGGTTATTACCCATTCCTAACAAACTCGATAAGCCAGGAGTCATTGGACTGTTAAGCAAAGCGCTTGGAGTGGTTAAACCGGGGACTTGGTTTCCAAAGGGGAATCCAGAAGGGTGGTTAAGTCCACCAGGAGTCAATCCCGAACGGAGGTTTGATTCGTTTGGGGTCAAACCGCTTTTCTTACCGGTGCTGTGATTGAAGGACGGAATCAAATTCGAAGGGGCGTGATGGTGAGACGGATGGTGAGACGGATGGTGAGATTGGGAATGGCCGTTATTAGTATCATGACTATTGGTAACGTTTAATAAACTATTCCACAAACCGGGTGTTCCTGGATTCGATAATGGTCCACTTGGAGATAACCCAAGCGTAGGCAATCTTCTTCCACCCGGAGTGAATAAAGGAGGAGTTATACCAGGTAGTCTAGTAGAATTTTGGTTTAAGTTTGAAATATTAGGTATATGTAGATTATGTTTATTTGTCGAGGAGGATCTACTACCATTACTAATGGTACTCACTTCATCATTACGGGCTGCTGGTGCCACCGGCTGGCTTATTCCATCCTTTGTAGCGAACGACCTTTCAAAAGGATTCGGTTCTAAATCAAATGAAGTTTTCAGCTAAAAAATGGTGTTAGTATTAAAGTCATCCAATAAGTGACGTAATCCTCAGCCCTCGAGTAGAAAAAAAAAAACCCATCTATGATTCATTGAAAAATACACCGATGAACATCATCAACACTATCCAGGCCATTGTATTCCGTATGGGGGTGGGTGTGAGCGGTTGGGCAAGCGATGAAGGTGGTGATGCTTATCGAAAGTGGATCTATTACTAATCTTACCACCGATTAGCTCACAAAAGAAAGCAAGCCATTATCAGCACAGGCATTGAAAGGGATTCTGTCTGGAAAGGAAAGTTTGGTACGTACATCACTCGACATGGTGAATGATCTTTGAATGATTCGAAGTTAAGGATAAATAACTGAAGTACTTATACACTTAAACGGAGATTTAGAAGTAGTCAAAATTTAATATACTTTTGATTATTTTTCTCCTGTTTTTTTTTTTTTTTTTTTTTTTTTTTTTTTTTTTTTTTTTTTTTTTTTTTTTTTTTTTTTTTTTTTTTTTNACGGAGATTTAGAAGTAGTCAAAATTTAATATACATTTGATTATTTTTCTCCTTTTTTTTTTTTTTTTTTTCTTGTTGAGTTTTTTTTTTTTTTTTGCTTTGTTTTCAGATTTTGAATTTTTTTTTTCCGTTTTGTCTTTTTCCCTGCTAATCTATGAAGTCTTTTACAAGTCTTTTGCCCTGCTGATCTAGACGTAGTCTTACTGGATCGAAATTCAGAGCTAATTGAGCTATGCTAGGTGAATGGAAGCAGTGGGCATTTGTAGATTGTTTATCCTCACGGGATGTATACGGAGTGCATTTTTAGTCAAAGTTTGTTTTGGGCCAAAATGGCTAAAAATGGATATAAAAATGAGTTTCCATCGCTACCAATAATTGAGTAAAGAATTAGTACTACAGACGGGATAATTCTTGAGGAACCAGGGAGTGAAACACAACGGGGGGTGAGGGTAAGATCTCCCTTATGCACTCATGCTTTTTTCTATTTTCGATCTGATCTTTGATTCATTAGTGACGTAAAATTTACATTAAAGACACAGTCGTGTGGCCCCGGCCCAAGGTCAACTACAGACAGTTTTGACACTGACATGATTTGAAAGATAATCGAGTAGACGATATAAACAACAGAGTAGAAGGCAGTATACACTAAGGATTAATGTTTTCTAAAATTTTTTCGAATTTTTCTTTATTTTCCTTTTTATCGTCATTTAAAATACCGGGATTTTTTTCAGCTTCTTCTTTAGCTTCATCTTCGACTGATTTACCAACCGGAGCAGCTTGTGGAGGATTATGTTTATCAATTTTCAATTTTTTATTCAATTCTTCTTCATCAGTAGATGCTTCCATTGTATATTCTTTAACCGCACCTTTATAATGAATTTTAGATCTTTCATCGTTTTCACTTCTTTCCCAACCAGTTTTGAATAAAGGAGCCATATCAAATCTTGGGAAAGGATGAGCTTCAGTATTGAAAACGTATTGATCTAATGGAATTTTGTTATCTTCATCAAATAATAAATATAAGTATTTCAACGTTTCAGCTAACCAAAAGCTCTCCATATTATCTCTTTTCCTAGGTGGGATAGAAGTAACATCATCCAATGAGGTGTAACTAACTTTACCGTCTTCATTTATGATTTTAGTATATTTAACGAAATTTTGAAATATTTCATAACCCCACTCACGATATTTTTCATCTTTAGTTAATCTATAAAGATAAAATAATGATTCAACGGTTTCCGGTCTTTGTAAATTATGTCTGTCTAATTTCTTAATGAAAAAATCATGATCTTTATTTGGATTTTCATTGAAAACGGCAATTTCTGGTGATAATCCGGTTGGTACTTCATGATACATTTTATAACAAGTATGAGTTAATTCTTCACCTAATTTGAAATCACTTTCTTTATCAGAATCCCAATTTGGAGATTTACGAGCTTCTTCTAAAGTGAAACCATTTGTTGCACCAACAGCCAATAATCCACCATAAAAACAAACCAAATGATCCATTTTAGGAGATAATTCTCTTCCAATACCGTGATCCAACTCTCCAATGAAAGTCAATTGACCAGGGTTTGTTTTACCAACCAAATGTTTTTTAACTCCATCAACTGATTCTCTATACATATTCCAATAAATAGATTCTTCGTTATTAGTTTGTAAATATTGTTTCAATAAATATTCATAATAAGAATCACCTCTTGAGCCTAAACGAATTAGTCTCCCTTGATACTTCCCAGTATCTGGATGAACATATATTGGTACTAAACCATCTTTTGGTTTATTATCATCTAAAATTTTCATAATTTTTTCAACTTGTTCCCAGTAAAGGGATTCACCGGTTAATTTTGATAAGTATTTGAATTCTAATTGTAGTGTTGAGACTTCAGCAGTTGATGATGCACCATTATCAACGTGATTTTTAATTCCTTCACCAGACTGTAAGTTAACTGACAGATACGGTAATCCACTTGGACTTTTAAAACCTCCCATCAAGGCGTTACCTAAATCAGTGGCCTTATCTAAAAACATATCATCATTTGTTAAATGGAATGCTGAAAGTAAACCACCCAACATTCTAATGGTTGTTTCGAATACATTAACATTATAATCAAATCCATAATCTAAATCTTCTTTAACCCATTTTTTAGCTCGTTCGAATTCATCATCACATCCCATAAGTAACAATGTATCTAAGGAATCAACAATCATCCATCCTAAAGGTTTTGGTCCCATATTTTCTCCAGTCCCCAGAATTGGATGAAAGACATCTTTACCCCACGCATATTCTTCATAACTATTCCAACTCTCTAAAAAAACTTGTCTAACTTCTTCTTGTCTAACTCTCCAATCAACTTGGCCACTCTTGGTCCCCCCATCGGAAACAAAGTAATATAATGCATAAAGCAAAAGTGATCCAATGAAGCCTTTAAATAACATTTGTAATTTTTCACTCCTAGTTTTAAAACGAAATGGTCTTTCAGTTCCCGTGGGCTTATCTTTATAAAAAAGTGGTAAACCAGACGACTTTTTCGATTTGGCTTTCCAAGGATTCTTATTACTAAACGTCAATTTCTCCGTATTGAATGTAGAATCGCTCATTGACCATTGGCTTCTGCTTCTTCCCACTAGTCGTCTCCCAATTGGCAAACACCTAATACGCGGCGGGACTAAATCATCAATTTTTTTGGTGGTGCATGGGTCTTTCAATAATGATATGTACGGGTCTGTGGTAGAGGGCCGATCGGCTATTCAGATAATACTTCAAAGGATTAGCACCCAAAGCAGACAAGAACTCAACACCACAATCTAGACTGCCAAAGCCTTGTAAGAAACAGAGCAAGCCCGTATCTCCAGCCGCAAATGGCTAAGGTGAGCGAATAGACAAAATGCCCTACAGCAAACTATCTCTACCCTCTACTCACCACCGCCAGCGATGGTTGCTAAATTAGTGCTATCCAAGGTCTCTTTTCATGAGCTTATCATGCCAAACCATTCCTCGGGCAGCCTTTCTAACCCACCATTTCTGGCACCAACATTTTATTTGATCACCTTGCTTCTGGCTTGCCCAATCGGTAACTATTTTAGTGATCGCAGCACAATTTAGTATATTTACGAGTTGCCATTTTATTTGACAGCCAAAGTTTGATCGCAAATTTCCGAGTATATAAAAGCAGACGCTTGCATATACTTGACTCCCTGGTCTTTTGGAACGAAGCACCGTTGGACCTTCTGAGAGTAAGCCATCTTGTGTGGGCATTAAAGATTATTTGTTGCAACGGCTTCCCATTTGATAGCGGAAATTAGAAAACAACAGTCAAAAGTCAAAAGAGAAAAAAAAAAAAAAAAAAAAAAAAAAAAAAAAAACTTCTTTATGCCCTCCATCTTTTTCTGCCTGACTGCAAGTTTCCAGTGTTTGAACAAGAATAGTTTAAGTCAAGAAGTATAGTTGGCTATCCTTGAAACGTTGTCTCTGGAGGATATAGTGTGTTATTTTTCTTACTGTTTGCCGCCTGTGGTTGTGTTCTGAAGATCTAATACTGGGACTAATCACGGCTGTAACCATAAAAGCCGAAGTTTGGGAATTCTAATTTTTTTTTTTTTTTGAAGCTTTGTATGAACAATGTCTGGCTTGTCTCAAGATGAAGGGGGAGATATCTCCCAGACCACCTCGCCACAGCCATCTGAGAAGGACTATAGGTTGTTTCTGGAGAATGGTGAGAAAAAGAAGGCTACGAGGAGATCGGTAGCCTGTAAGAGTTGCCACGGATTAAAAGTCAAGTGCACTCCAGCAAATCCAGATGATCCAGCGGGTCCGTGTATTAGGTGTATAAACTCCAGAAGGAAATGTGAAATCAACTTGAATCAGCCTAGAAAGAGAAGAAAGAGATCAGAGAAATTGATGGCTAGTGCAGAAAATGAAGATGGGAATCAAAATCTTGAGGTTAAGGCTAATAAGATCATGAAGAAGGATGAAATCATTTCGGATTTGCAGGCTCAAATCAAAATGTTAAAGGATGAACTAACTCAAAAGAAAGAATTTTCTCCACCAAATAATCTTAATGGATCGTCTCATCCTAAAAATAGTCCTCTGTCTGAGTTACCACCATTGCATAGTGTCCCGCTTCATGCAAGAACCGAGTCGATGCATCCCTCTGAATTGGGTTCTCCGGTGTTTGTATCCAAGATTGATTTGGAAAAAGAAATCATCATGTTGTGTGAAAGTAGTTCCTCGAGTTTAAGTGAATTAACTAATTCTTTAAAACATACTGCTGACAAAAGAAATAGTTTATTAAAAGAGCGGGAAAAGATTGATTTGGTTTCTCGTGGTATTATCACTGAAGAAGAAGCTGAATATCGTTTAAACCTTTATCAGGAATGTATCTATAAAACTCACCCCTTGGTTGAAATTAATGAAGATGTTCATCATTTAAGAAGTAACCAACCTTTTCTTTTCAATGCAATCATGTCTATCACTAATTCGGTTATCAAAAATACCGATGATTTTGATCATTCTTTAATAATCGATAATGAAGCCATGAAATGTATTGCAATTGAAGTCTTGGTGGCAGGATCAAAATCGGTTGAATTAATAAAATGTATTCTATTATTATGTTTATGGTATAACACTCCAGAATTATTTAGACACCGTCGTTATCATCTACTTAATACGTTGTCGGTAACTTTATTACACGATGTTGGTATAGTGGCAAGACCTTCCTATAGTTATAAACAATCTGATGGTTCGGTTCAACTTAATGAACCAAATAAAAGTGCCAGTATTGAATATTCAGGTTTATTAATGACGTTATATTTTACCACGGTCAGTATTTGCTTAATACTAAGAAGAGCAATTTATGTTAAATGGACTCCCTACGTTGAAGAATGTTGTGTAAGACTTCAAGAAAGTGGTATCCCAAAAATGAAAAGTCTTGCATTATTCCTGAGATTAAGCCATGAGTTAGAAAGAATTCATCATATTGTTCATTCCCCCGATTCAAATGATAAAGCTGGTCAATCTTCTAGATACATCATTTCTGAATTACAGAAAAATTTGAATACCATAAAAGCCCAAATAGACCCTCAAAAACATTCCTTCCTAGCTTATTACTACTCGGTCGAGGCCTATCTACACGAACCGACTTTAAGTGAATCAGTTACCAAAGCACTCAATTCAGAAACAGACCAAGATTCTTTCAAATTAAATACAAACACTATAATGTCAATTGCCCAATGTACTACATCCTGCTTAAAAGCCTTAGATAGCTTCACTCTTATGAGTCCCTCTGAAATATCGGCTCTCCCAATAATCTACGCTGCAAGAATCATTTATACCGCCGGTATGCTTTTGAGATTAAGGTATTTAATTATATCTTTGCCTTCTCACATAGAAAAGGATTTGGTCCCAAGACATGCAGTTTTTGTAATTCAAAAACTTACCAGATCTCTCGATCAAGCAGGTATCATCCATCCGGCTAATCATTTTTTGAAAAAATTACATTTGGTGTTACAGCTTTTTGTTCAAACTTATGCAACCCAAGTTCAAGACTTATTACAGAAGAACGGTGAAACTCCAGAAAATTTAGTTCCAACCAATGTCTATAGAGTACCCAAACGCGATTTAGAGAAGTTATCAGACCTCTATAATAGATCACACGTTGGAGGACTATTAACTACAGAATCTGGTAAACAATATGCATCTCAGATTTCCCTTGACTTGTTATCTTATGCAGCTTCTGTCAGACGAGATGGAAAGTCGGAACCCCCTTCCCACCTCCCAAAGCAAGTTGGCTCACCACTAAGAATTGCAAATGACATACAACCACAAGATTCTAATGAACGCAGTACCAATAAACAATATCATGTTACTAATAACAGCAGCTCTGGCGATCAAAGAACTTTGGATGATACAACTTATTTCCCAAACCCTAAGTTAAAAAATCGCAATACTAAGATTCAGGGTCTATATACCAGTGGGTCGAATTTAGACCCTTCTTTAAGTACTTTAAGGTACTCCACCCCTCCTAGTGGATTAACTACCAATCAAAATGTCGATCTTATTAATACCAATTCCCCAACAGCTTTCAATAACTCCAATCAACTCAATGCAAACCCTCCTTCTTTCCAACATCGTGGTGATGTAAACGGTGCTTCATCTTTTAATCCTGTCAATTCATTCAATATGCCAAATCCAAATCCAAATCTTCAGTTCAATGGTGACATTCCTATCCAAGATTCTAGCAATCCATTGGCAAAACATATCGCCAACCCAGACCAACTAGAAAACTCTTATTTGGCATTGAACGACGAATTTTGGTCGGACTTATTAAATGCAGACTCAAATAAATTGAATTTTAACAATAAAAGTGCTGGAGATAACATGAACAGTGAAGAGTTTTTTTTCATGCAATGATATAACGACTTCTACCTATTTAATTTTTTTTTTTTCCTTTCTCCTATATATTTGTATTAATTCTCTATAAGTTTCTCTACAATTAGCTAATTGACTTCCACGATATATTCGTATTGACACTAATTTAATTCTATTTTTAAGTTATAGTTTAATGATCATAACAAAAAAATACGTGGGTAGTAGTAATCGCACAGGTGATGATCTGATCTAAACACGCGGATGTTAACTGAAAACTGCTTAACCCCATCTCTTTTCTTTAATACTTCTACCAAAGCTGTCAGTACCCAGAAATTATATTGGAAATGACTGAAAAGCATAAACTGAAAGATAGCCTGTTTGGAATTATAGATATTGTGAGGGTTATTGGGGGGCTTATTTTTTTGAATGCATTCTTATCGTGGTGGTTTACTTCCAGTTCGACATGGGGTTATAAAGGTAAATGGGTTGACCATAGATATTTAGCATTAAGATTAACTAATAGCTATGTAAACTTAACCACCGAAGAATTAGCATTATATAATGGAACTGATCAAAATTTGCCCATTTATCTTGCGATCAATGGTAAAGTCTACGATGTTACTAATGGTAGAGCCTTTTATGGACCTCCAGCAACCTATTCATCTTTCAGTGGAAAAGATTCTGCCAGAGCATTTGTGACTGGATGTATCAAGTCACCTGAACAATATACGCATGATTTACGAGGCATAGAGCCAACGAAGGCAGCTAAACATATTGCTGATTGGCAAAAATACTATGATGACAGTGATAAATATTGGTATGTCGGAACCGTTCACCATAAAGAACTTACAGGAGAGCCACCAGCTCCATGCAAAGGTGCTCCATATCCAGGAATGACATCAGATTTTTGATTTAGATAAATTTGCTTTTGCAACTAATGTAAATATACGAAGTTTCTAATATGTGTATCTAATATATGTATCTAATATAAGAGACTACTATCTATGTACTTAATTTTGAGCGGCTGCAATATCCAAGGCACTATTAATAGTTGCAAGCAATTCGTCTTTCTCTTCCAATCCAATACTTATTCTAACGATATTTTGATCAACCCCCCATTTTTCTACTTCTTCTAGTTCTTGATAATGAGCTAAGACAGCATAAGGACAAGCTAATGTGAAATTAGTTCCTAAAGAAGGACCCTTGTGTAATAAAACATGATTGAAAAAACTTTTGGCATGCTCCGGTTTATGAAAGACGAATGATATTAAACCACCATAACCACCTTGAGGAGTTTTAAGCTCGTCGTAGTATTTTTTAGATTCTAAGAGACTTGGATAGAATACTTGAGATATTAAAGGATGGTTGACTAATAAATCAACAACATCTAAAGAGGTTTGATTGATTTTATGAGATCTTACTTCAAAATCACGAGAATTTCTTTCCAAATATAATGCATCTTCAGCCCAAAAAAGATCTTCGTATTCATCATCCAAATATGTCTTCATTTCGTTATAATGTTGCGATAAAGGATTCAAAATTAATGATCCACCCATGACGTTGGAATCCCCAGAGAATACTTTGGTCAATGAAGAAACAACAATATCAGAATAAGGTAAAACACCGATATTTAAATAATTTCCAACAGTTTCGTCAACAACAACGAGGAAGTTGAATTCATCAGCCAAAGCTCTGATCTTTTTCAAATTTGGAGTTTTCAATAAAGGATTTGACGGACATTCACAAAATAATGCCATTATATCTTTTTCTCCGCTTCTCAAATCCTTCTCCAATTGATCTAATGATTGATCATCTCCGAATCCCAAGAAATGAACACCCGGTCCAAATTTCTTTAAAATGTTTAATGTATCAACATAAGGAAATCCAAAACAAACAGATTTTTTAGGAGTATCTGAGATTCCAAGACAGATTTGATGGGCATTGAAGATCGAAGCCATACCTGTTGGGTACAAGAATACATCGTTCTCACTTAAGTTTTTACCTCTTTTAGCCTTTTCCATTTCCTCTTCTTGGTTTTTTGATTTATCTACTTTCCCACAAATTCTTCTCTTCAAAGCACGTTTGGCTTCTTTTGCAAATTTCAAATCCAAAACTCTTCCATATTTTTGCTCGATAAAGGTATTGAATTCTTTTTCAACTTCTTCATTTTGAGAAAGACTAGATGATCTAAAAGATGCTGAAATCGAGGGCGATTTCTTCTGAATTCTTTCTGCTTGCAACTCTTGTTTAGTTCTACTTCTAAATCTATCCTTGTCTTTCTTTTCATTCTCGAACAATTCACGCAATACATACTCGGCCATTCGTGAACTTATACCTTCACCCGAATGTTGCCAATATTGTTTGGCTATTGGGAAATCTTCTTCAGAGAAAAATACAACACCGATGGTCGATTGTATAACAGACGATTTTTCAAAATCATTTGATGGAGGAGGAGTGCTTAATTGCAAGATTCTAACTGGCTTTTTTGATCTTAACTTTATAAATTCACGACATCTTTTGGCTACTTTATATGATGGAAAGATAATGGATTTTTCACCATCTCTACCATATTTGGATTCCACATTTTTCGAAAGTTCACCAATTTTACTATGAATGAAGAATCTTGGATAACCAGAATTCATTTTACTTGTAACCCAAGACTCACCTTCTTCATAACCAACAGTGGCTTCCCAAGTAGGTAAAGTGACAGAGACAGCATGAGAAACATTTTGAGGAATAGGAGTACCAATTTCTTGTGATGGGATATCAGCTGTCATTTTGCCGAATATATCTTCTTATAATTTGAATCAAGTAGAAGTAATAATTTGCAATGACTCAAAAAAAAAAAATTGATTTAATGAAAGCTGGACGATCAAAAAAAGAAGAAATCCGCACTTGATAGTTTGTGCGATTCTTTGGCTACAAGCTTCTAAAGAAACCATTAAAGTAGTACAAGTATCAACTTAACCTATGAAAATCTATTAATGCAGAAGTAAAATTACAAAGAAAACAGGAGTTTTAGCTAAAATTAAAGGAATGAAATTAAAAAGAAAATATTGGAAAAATAGACATAATGATGAAAATCAAGCTTCGACAAGGAATTCATACCAATGATAATGATGAATGGAATAGGTTTTGTTACAAAAAGCAAAAAAGCAAATATGATTGTTTAGTGAATTAGTTTTCGTTTATTGTTAAGTTAAAAAGCTCATGAGTCAAGGGAACTCAGGAGCGAATGCAATTAACAGAACCTTCCTTAAGGCGATTTATGTCATCTGAATTAAGTTGAGGAGTGACTGACCCATTTTTAATAACAGCGGAGCCATTAGAGGTACCATTGACAGCAGGAGCGGATGCACCGTTGGCAGATCCATTAGGAGCAGGTGAAGCATTTGGTGCTTTACTACGGTTATGGGTCATATGAGATTGAACCAAGTGGCCAGCTGCTAAAGCGGAACCAAGTGAAAGTTCCGCAGCCAAAACAATTGATGCAACAATACGGGCTAACTGTCTAGCATTGTCACCAGGGTTGGTAGGATGAGGTCCACGAACGCCTAACATTTCTAACATAGCACCTTGTGGTTCCAAGATTGTACCACCACCAATTGTACCAACTTCAATGGAAGGCATAGAAACAGAAATTTGCAAGTCACCATCGACATTATCCATCAAGGTCATACAATTAGATGATTCAACATTTTGAGCAGGATCTTGACCACAAGCTAAAAATACAGCAGTAACCAAATTAGCAGCTTGAGCGTTAAAACCACCTATTGAACCGGCCATAGCTGACCCAACCAAGTTCTTACTAACATTTAATTTAACCAAAGCATCAACGTCTGATTTAAGAACCTTCTTAACAACTTCAGCAGGAATTCTAGCTTCAGCGACAATTGATTTACCTCTACCTTCTATCCAATTAATAGCAGCCGGTTTTTTATCGATACAATAATTACCAGAAACGGAAATAACATCCATGTCACTGAAACCACATTCTTCAGTCATATATTTAAGAGCAAATTCAACACCTTTAGAAATCATATTCATACCCATAGCATCACCAGTGGTAGTTCTAAAACGGATAAATAATAAGGTCCCAGCCAAGGCAGTCTTAACGTGTTGCAAACGGGCAAATCTAGAAGTAGAATTGAAAGCCTTTTGAATAGTTTTTTGACCTTCATCAGAATCCAACCAAATTTTTGCGGCACCGGCTCTACTTAAAGTTGGGAAAGAAACACAAGGACCTCTAGTCATACCATCTTGAGTCAAAACGGTTTCGACACCACCACCAGCGTTAATGGCTTTACAACCACGCATAGCAGAAGCAACTAAACAACCTTCGGTAGTAGCCATTGGAATGTAGTATGGTTTTTTATCGATAATCAATGGACCAGCAACACCGACAGGTAATGGCAAATAACCAATGACATTTTCGCAACAAGCACCAAAGACACGATCGTAATCATAATGTTCAAATGGTAAGCTATCGGTCTCTAAGATAGGGGCCTTGGCAATTTTAGCCATGGCTATACGACGAACAGCAACAGCACGGGTATTATCAGCTAATTGTTTTTCTAAAGCATACAAGGGTAATTTACCAGCGACAACTAAGGAAGAGACTTCATTATCGTTCAATTGTTTGACATTACCTTCTTTCAAAAATTTGGCACATTCTTCTAATGGTAAGAGTTTATTTGGAGCTCTAATCTGTAATTCTTCGACGGTAGAACTAGAGTCATCACTATCACTTTCAACATCTTTAGAAGGAGTTTTAGTAGATGAAGACTTAGGTGGGGCTGCAGAAACACTTCTTCTTGATTCGGATGATTTAGGTCTAGAAATTTCTTTTTCGATTAACTTATTGGTAGCAGAAACTTGATATCTCGAAGCATTTAAGAAATAAGCATTAGTTGAAATAGAAATAGCGAAAGCAAATAATAAGCATTTAGAAATCAAAGAATCTCTGATACCAGAACTGATTATTTCCAAGACACTTAAAATCACATCTTCTAATGTAACCAAGAAGCCTAATGGCATATAAACTTTTGGAGTAACCAAGGTGGCGATAGTACCAGCTTTACCAATAGCAATATGTTTTGCGGTAGTTTTAGATAATTGAGGAGAGGTAGTGAAAAAAGAAATAGATTCACCACCAGTGACATTATATAACCAAGAGCTACCGACCCAAAAGAAATGGAAACAGAAAAACCCAACAATCATGGCAACTTTGAAAGAGACCATTGAAGCACTGCTAGAAATAGATGAAGTTACATAATGATATTGATGATGAGAAGCATCGGTAGCAACGTTAGCAGCAACTAAAGAAGAAATACCATCTTCTTCTAAAGCATCTTTTAAATCTTCAGTACGACGAGCACGATTGATTTCAATTTTTAAAGCTAAGATGGCAGAGAAAAAAGTATAAACAAGTACCAAGTCAAAAGCAAGAATTAAAGCACTTAATATACAAAAATTGAACATACCTTCCAAATGATGAGCATAACCAGCAACTGATAATAATGCACCAATAACGACAAAATGATCTCTTAATAAACTAACAGTGTGAGCAGAAATGGCATCGGAAACAATTGTTTTAACATCAGCGTTTGAAGAAGAAGAAGCCTGCAGAACATAAGTAGCAATGGAGACTTTATGTTTGAATCCAATTATGGCAACAAGGAAAGGAATACCTTCAGTAATACTTAATAAAGGTACTTTAGTATCCAAGACTTTAGTAGTAACTAATAAAGCAAAAAGAAATCCAAAAGTTGAAGATGTAATAGTTGAAAAAGCCAACCAAAAATTTGAGCCAACTTTTTGCATATCAATGAAAACTTTAATTAAAGTGTACCACATTGCGATATAAGCAACTGTGATTAAACCGATATCAAAATTTTCTGCACCTTGAATAGAAGATTTAATTTTCAATAAACCTGCTCTTAAATATTCGTAGTACTTAGTAATTCTATTATTATGTCTTGCTTTCCAAGTTATACCATTATAAGAGATTTTATCGATTGAATTAAGGCTTTCTTCTAAATCTTCTGGTCTAGTAATCAAAATACGTTCATTTGAATTTAATCCATGGAAAGTACCTTCAAGTTCTGGAATATCATCAGTTTGTACCCGTTTAAACCTAAGCGGAGCGACCACGTACTGGTCAGCGTCAGAGTACGCTGAAACATCGTCAATCTTGGTCCAGTCAGTGTACAGAGACGAGCCTGGAGGATGATAAAACTTTATCGAATAATCAGACAGGAATTGATCAGGAAGATACTCATCAACAACTGACAAGTAAGCCATGGAAGCAAATAAGGCTATCACAATGATGAAATGAATCGGGCGGTTGGCTGAGGTTCTTGCCAACGCACTAGTTGATTTGGATATAAAGTCAAGCATCTTTTGGCTTATATCTTAATGAATGAATGTAATGGTACGTGTAATATTAACAAGCACTCTTGTGTGAGCGGCTAAAGAAATGACTTATAAGTGATCAACACAACTTCCTACGAATAGATATTCTGGAGAATAAATTATTGGAATATTCAATTCTACCACTGTTGACCAGTGATACTATTCGAAATGATGTTTGTTCCAACCTTGAAGTATTACCAATCTTCAACCTATAACTGAAAAAAAATTTTTTTTTTTTTTTTTCTTCGTACCTGTGTTTTTCAATCCAACAAACTTAGCTGATTATACGACAACAGAGTAACAAAATAGAGAGCGTCTCACAAAATAATACTAGGATCAATGGAATTAGGCCAGAGCTGAGCGGTAAGTTGTCTCAAGGGTTGAGAGGCCAATCAGTAATAGGATGATGGTGTTTGGCTATTGAGTTTTGCTGCTTTTCAGAGCAATACAATTGAAACTGTTGAAATTGGTATTGTTGAAACGCTAACAAAACGGCAAAAGAAAACAGCAAAAAAGACAAAAGGAAAGACAAGTCCGGTTGGAGTCGTGCCAGTAGTTTCGCAGTTAGTCTTTATCAAGGGTTATGGTGGTTGCAAAAGGGGATCGTATGGTTTACACTCTTCAATGGGTGCTATCGTGCCTCGTCTTTGTTGTGTGCTACACCTTTGGGCTGTAAACGGTAAGTTATTTAACGCTTACGGAAGCATTGTTGGGAGGAGGAGATGGCGGTGTACGGAGGTTTAGTATTGGCAGCCATTATATACTCTACAAGTGAAGGTACTATTAATATACAATTAAACAGAGAACCAGAGTCGATGAAATACTTATTTAAGAGAAACTAATTTGATGTCGAAGGTCAATTCCGAGTTTGCTGGTAAACCAGGCAAAGCTTGACTACCGTAACCCATTTTTGGTGGGATAACAACTCTTCTTTCACCACCAACAGCCATACCAGTAACACCTAAATCAAAACCTTTAATACATTCACCTTTACCTAAACCGAAAACAAAAGGTTTACCGCTGGTGTTTTTATCGAAAACTTTACCATTTTTCAATTTACCAATGTATCTGATACCAACTTTGTTACCAGATTTAGCAGTTTGACCTTTACCGATTTTTCTATCTTCAGTGATAACACCACCTAATAAAGTTTTAGTTGGGAATTTTTTGGCTTCAGGCTTTTTATCATCTTTTTCAGCTTTATCAGCAGCAGCAGCTTCTTCAGCTTCCTTTTTCTGTTGTTGTTGTCTTTCCTTTTTCAATTGTTTTTTAGATTTAGGTTGTTCTTTTGCTTCTTCTTTATCAGCAACTAAAGTTGAGCCGGTTGGACCTTGTTCTAATTCTTTAGTGAATTGAACTTGTTTTTTTTCATCCTTTTTATTATTAGCCTTTTTAGCCTTTTTAGAATCAGATTCTTCGCTTGATGGACTTGATCTTTTCTTTCCATTTTGTTCGTCTTCAACTAATTCTTCAATTTTATTTTCAACGTCAGATTCATCTTCTAAATCATCTAAATCATATTGAGGAGCTCCATAAACTTCATCTTCATCTGGAGTTAAATCATAGTCATCTTCATCATCGTAATCATAATCATCTTCATCTTCATCTTCAGAATCTTCATCAGCTGGATGTTCAATATAGTTACCAACCAAGTGAATTGGATAAGAACCAGTAACAACAAAGTAAACTTGTTCATCTGGACAAATAGTTAAATCAATGGTTTGTTGAAACTGGATTTTTGGAGTTAAAGTACAAACAACAAATTCACTAACATCATCATCTGGATCTTCATCAGATTCAGCATCATCGGAGTTTTCAATATCAACAGTTTCTTCTTCTTTTTGTTCCTTTTTAGATTTTTTATTAGATTTTTTTGGTTCTGGTTTAGCTTCTTCTTCTTCGGATTCGGATTCTAAATCTAATTCATCTTCTTCTGAATCTTCTTCTGAATCGTCGTCACCAAAGAAAGGATTGTTTCTTTTCAATAATCTTAAAGTAGATGGTTCTTCTTTATCATCAACAGCTTCTGGGTCAACGGCAGCTAAAGTTAATCTAACAGTAACTGGGTAGTCTTCAGTGTGAACAGCTGCTGGCTTGAAAGGAGCCAAGGCCAAGTTATAAGTGGAAATTGGAATCAAGTTAGACATTATTCCTCTATGCTAATATGAAATGCTAAATAAGAAGTATACTTGAGTTTTTCAATTTTCAATTTTCAATTTTCATTTTTTTTTTTTTTTTCTTTGGCCTGATGAGATGAGTTGGTCGGAGAAAGAGATCCTGCATACTCGTGGGCTAGTTATACATTAACTACAATAGATAGAATAAACCGTTAATAATTGTATTAAATATACAAAGAGAATAGAGAACACACCGTATGAAATAATAAAGAGATACTGAATGCTTCAAAGAAGTAATAAATACATGATCGTCCTACAATAAAAAACATGATAAACACGGAAAAACATAAAAATTGACTCTTATATTAATATAATTATAGGACAGGGGATAAATTTCAACAATATCAATAAAGATAGAAGAAATTTGTAGTTATTAATAATCTTCTTTCAAAAAACATTCATTTCTTTCGAAAAAAAAACCATTAAATTTAGAATTTTAATAAGTGTGGTTTATCACCGCTCTTTAAGGAGAAAGAAGCAGATAAGTATTGTTTTAATAATGGGGTTTTCTTGATTGAAGATAATAAAGCAGCGTCAACAGTTTTTTGGTCAGCAACTCTTTCAGCTTTAATTTCTTTCTTTGGTTGAGCTTCGTTAAAGAAGTCAGCTTCAGATTTTTTAGATCTTGGAACTTTTTCTCTGGCAAAGTATTCAACGTTGAATTTAGAAGCATCAACAGAAGAAACATCAACTTTGGTAGAGGTAGCAATGACGTAACGAGCATTGACTCTTCTTAATGGAACACCATTAACTTTGAATGGACCAGAAACTAATAAAGTGTTGTCTTCCAAGTTCTTCAAGTAAACAACTCTTTTACCTCTGAATCTACCAGCCAACAAGATTAAAACGGTACCTGGAACTAAGGAGGCACGTAATTTTTGTGGACGGATAGTCTTTCTGGTTTGTTTTGGGACTCTAGCGTCTTCAGTCTTGTACCACTTTGGAGCCTATAAGAAAGCGTTAGTATTAGTATTCAAATATAAAATAAAGGTCTCTGGTTCATATGATATACACTGTATAACTTCCTCACAATTAGTTGTTGTCTATTTTCCAAGTATTGAAAAGTTTTCCAGTTTTTCTTCATTTTCCTCCACTGAAAAATTATCAACGACAACCCAACTTCGATTTCATAACCTCGTATGAACCAGTAGATCCTCTATCTCAAGCACCCCTCATGGTGTCTAGATATGAACATACAGTTTGGCTCATTTTGATCTGTTTATTTGGTGATGGTATATAAAAGTCAAAAAGGTATTAAAAAAATAGCTTATAATTTTTAACTAGCTAATTTTTTTTTTCCCTGTTCCCACTAAAAATTTTTGGTGTAGAAGAGAAAGAAAAAAAAATTGAGAGAACCTGAGCGAAGAGAAGATTACACAAGCTTGAAAGGTTAGTGTGTGACTAACTCTTTTTTTTTTTCAGTTTGTGAGGGAAAAGTGTACACCAAAGGTTTTTTCGCTGGCATTTTATTATGGGTTCCGGGTGTGTGCAGGATCATTTAGGGTATGAAACGGGTAGTGTGCGGGAAAAGCAGTCACACATGTCACGTGCGTTTTTTTTTGCTTTCCCAGTTTGTCTGCCTCGACGGGGGGTTTTGGCTGCACGCTCAAAGGGGGATGTTTGCAGCATTCGAATTACAGTGAAGGGGATAACGAAATAACAAAACTAAGATTAAATAATAAAGACAGGGTAGAATAAAAGAATGAAAAGTGAAAAGTAATATAAATTTCAACTAAAACTTCAACTAACATATACTTATGCTTCAGCACTAAAGTATCTTAATAAAACGTCGATTTGACCGTCACCGGCTGGCAAGGAGATTTCTTGTTCACTATCCACATAGTTTTCTAACGGCAAAGAGGCAGTGGCAACTTCGACATTTTTACCTAATCTATGGACTTCTCTAATGGAGAAGAGTAATTCACCATCAGAAGTAGATTTGAAAGGAACGGTTTCATTCCATTTAACCAAGTTATCTTTATCTAATTTACTGCCTCTAGTTTTATGAATGGCCTTTTCCTTAGTACTGGTCTTTACCATAACCTTGACCTCCAATGAGGAGCTAGAATAGCCGGACGCGGAGATAACAGTAATTCTACCTGGTATCGCGTCGGGCCCCGCGTGAATACTGCTCCCAGTAACACTAGTGGAATCGGAAGATTGGCTAACAATACGATGATGGCCAACGTTTGGTCTTTGTGGAGGTGGTAATCCTTCAGAAGTAAGATTAGGAACTGCGGCCACACTTGGTGGTTTACCCGATCTTAATGATTGTAAATCATTGGTGTATGGCGATTTATTAGTAGCATTATCATTTTTAGATGGTGATTGTGATCCAGTAAATTGACTGGAAACTTCACTGACTTCGTCTCTAGATTCATCTGCATCGGCGCCTTCTTCTTCTTCTCCTTCCTTAGCTTCTTCCATTGCTGAAGGGGCTGGAGGGGCTTGTGGTTCACTATCATCTGACTTCTTCTTTTTAGATCTACCAAACCCTTTAACAAATCCAGCACCTTTACTAACACCATCACCGGCAAATCCAACACCAGAACCAACTGCAGTACCAGCCATTCCAGCGGCTCCACCAACTAATTTAACTGGGGCTCCAGAAATAGTGCTGAAATCAAGTGGTAATCCAGTCTTACTTCCTAATTTAGGTCTAACATAATCTGGTTTAAATGTAGTTCTCAAATTAATAGTACCTTCGGTATCTAATTTAACTGAAAATTGAGTAGATTGTAATGGTTCAAGAGTTGATAAATCTAAATTAACTGATCCTAATAATCTATCATCATGAGTTAAGTCCCAATCGTAAATTTGTAATAGAATAATTTGTCTAGATCTCGACATAACTGGGAATTCAACCGATTCATTCCAAACTGGGTCAAGGGTCTTTCTCTTTTTATCGGTTCTATAAATTTCCACTCCATCTAATTTAATAGATAAGAATGCATCTGATTTACCATTTTTATCAGCTGCTGGTATACCTTTAGCATTCAAAATATCAAAATAGAAATGTCCAACATCCAAAATAGTATCTAATGGAGCCAATTTAACTGCAGAAGGAATAAATTCTAATTGAACCTTAATGGCATTCTTTTCATTAAGCTTAATTTCAATTGGTCTAGCATTAGCTCTTTGTAAAATATCAATGGTTTCAAAGATTTTTTCAACGGCAATATCTTTTTCATTATTAACTTCAGCCTTTTTAGCCAATCTGAAAATTAATTTGGAATTTGGTAAATCCCTAACAAATCCTTCCGATGATGATGAAATGTTCAAGAGTTTACCATCAGCCACTGGGGAAACACCAGATGGATAAGCATGATCATCGAATAAGGTATGAACACGATAATCGGACTTATCAAATTTACCACTCAAAACATGAACTGCAACATTACCAGTTCTATACTTAATTGCTTTTTCTAATGGTAATTCAATCTTTTCTGGATCTGGAATAGTGTCTTCATTAATCTCAATCCATTCGTACTCATTAGGATGTTCATTATATAATTTTTCTTCTCTGAGTCTCTTTGCTTCTTCATCACGTTCTTTTTGTTTCAAAGTAGCCAAATATTCTTCTTTATTTTCAAGTTGAGAAATAGTATAAACTGGGATAGTTGGAATGAAACTGACAGAATATCTTAAATAACCATGGGTTTTACCATTAAACAATACTGGTTGTTCAATGGTTTCATTAGATCCGTCGTAACCAAGGAAGTAACCTTCTTTGTTTTTCTTCAAGAAATCATTTACATTGATGGCGGCAGAACCTAAGGATCTATCTTTACCTTCAGCTTCTTCATCCATCAATTCTAATAATAAATGTTGATGCTCATTAGCAATTGGGAAGAAATAAACGGCATTGAAATTTGGATCCAAAGTTTCTGCAATGGTATTAGTTTTAGCTTTCAATTTACCATTAAGTAAAACTCTAACATAAGGATCAACTTTACCAACAGCTTCCAAATTAACCAAATCAGAAGCAGAACGCAAATGCAATCTTAAACCACCAATAGAGTTGGTATATTGACTCTTCACAACAGCATCATCAGTCATACCCAAAGCTTTCCAGGAAGTAGTGATTCTAAATTTAGTGTGAGGCCCACCTTCACTTACAGGAGGAGTTTTAATCCATTCTTGACCACGAGAAGATTCAAAAATCAAATCTTGTAAGTTAGCATCTAATTTACCAATAACGTTATCTTCAACAGCATCTTTAACAAGGACTTGAACTTGAGTTTCTGATTGTTGAGTAATTAAAGATTCGAAAGCCTTTTCCCATTGAGGTTCATTCTTTTGTCTCAATTTACGAGTAGTTTTAACCAATTCATGATTAATGTAAATTTCAGCATAAGGATTTAATAAACCAACAACCGATTGACGAATATCCAAGTCTTTGGCTTCATGTAAGTTAACCTTCAAAATACCAATTTCAGATTCAGTGTTATCATCTTTAGAACCATCTTCTAAGATTTGAGGTTCCAAAGCTGGGAACCATCTAAGATCAAATTCAATTTTACCAACAACTTTACCACCTTCAACAATATTTTTAACAATACCGGTTTGAATTTCTTTTTGTAATAAAGAACCTAAAGGATAATCAATGGTACCAATGACAAAATCATCAGCTTGATCAGTTTTCAAATCATTAACAGTAAGAGTCAAATTATTACCATCTAAAGCATTAAGTAACAAGTATTTGGTTTCCAAGAAAACAGGATCATTAGTTTCCTTTTTAACTTTGGTTTTTTCTTCGATATCAGCATTATTTGAAACTTTAATTTGAACATAAGGATTAATTGAATTTTCTTTAGTTTCAATACCAGTTTTCAATCCAGTTAAACGTTTAATAGTTAAAGCAGCAACACCAATTGAATCATTTGATTGTTGAGCCATAATTTCTTCAACGTCAATATCTAAAGAATTTGGAGCATATAACATTGGTCTTAAATTAGTATGAATCAACCCATTAACAAAAGAAGATAAACCTGGAATAAAAGACATGATATCAATACCCAAGGTATCACCACCAACTGGTTTTAAAGCATAATCAATGGTAGGAGCTTCTAAGAATTGAACTGAAACCATTTTAACATGAGGGAAATTCTGGGATAACTTCAATTTAATATTCATGCGACCTTTAAAAGACATATCTTCAACCAAAATTGGTAAAGATTTTGAGATAAAAGCTTTACCAATGGTAACACCAAGAGCAACTTTAGGATTAATTTTTCTTTTCAATTCTTGTTTAGTCATACCATCAGTATCATTTGGAGTGAAAGCAAAAGCCCAGTCCATTTCGATATGATCAGCACCTTTTCTAGTATAAGATTTAATACTATCAACACGAGGAGCTTTTGAACCCAACGTAAATTCATCTAAAGATAAAGCTTCAATCCCAAACCCTGGAGCAGAATCTTTCAAAACTTCATTAGCTTGAAACATAACTTGTTCAGATAAAGCAGGCATATAAATGACCCAAAATTTATCCAAGAAAGAATTTAACCATTCCATAGTTTCCAATTCATTTTCCAAACGATTGTTAGCAGAAAGTCTTTGCATATCATCACGAATATCACGATTAAATCTTCGATGTTCCAATCTATAAACCGAATTGGTAAATAACAAAATGAAAAGTAATGATAAAATCCCACCACCCAAACGAGCAATTAACCAACAGAAGAAACAAGTTCCAATAATAATTGAAGTATTCCAATACCAATCACCGAAAAAATGATCAGTTATATAAGATTCAATATTATTAATAACTTTCAAAGCTTTTAATTTATCCGAAGTAGTTTCACTATCCCAAGTACCAACATTTTCCCAAGAAAAAGTAGATTTATCTCTAATACTAGCTTTTTTAGGTGGTTGATGTTTAATACCTACATTATCAGACCCATCAACTGGGGGTTTTTGTTTATTCACATTAGCCTTTTGTTTTTCATTATATTCATCAACATCAGGAATTTCGTGCTGTTTTGGAGGTGCCGAGTTAGCAACCCCATTCTTTTCCTATATCAAGTTAGTATTCAATCAATCTTAGTCAATTGAGCCATCAATTGGCAGTTGGAAACATTCAATTGGACTCGAGCGTGCCAACATACTTTTGAACTCATTGCAGAAAACGAGTATCAATCGATAATTTATTAGCGTATAAGCAATTGACAGAAAAACTGCTAGTTGAAATTTATTCCTCTAGAAAAATAAAGCATCATCATTAATTTCACTTACTGCTACATCTGTATGAGTTGTTGTCTCTGGCTGTGCACAGTTTTGGGGTTGCGTGCCAATATGCACTCCTCCCCGTACAACTAACTGAAGGGCTTCTCTTTCTACTACAATTCCCAGAGAATCGGTGCCTACTGACAATCAGAACACTCAGACACTCGCAATAGCAATGTACTCCTGGGTACCCTGACTCAATTGGTTGTTTGGGATCATCCTAAAGGCTGTTCCTTCGAACATTTGACCAAAGTGAAATTTCAGGTTTTTCGCATTTTTATTGTATTTTAATTTGTAACTTTGCTTTATGAAATTAGTTTAAGGTTGCGCTGTTTCGAGGAATTGCAGTATCTAATCGTCAATTAGACGTTATTGATGGAGGCTCCGACTGCTAGTTGGCTATTCAGCTCGAAACGCTACCTTATATGTCGGTGTATGGGTGTGTGTTACATTTTTACATTTTTACGCCAAAGATAACGAAAAAGTGCAGTATTTACTAACAACAGAGCGATCACCATCTGGATATCAGCAGACCCCCAGAAGCACTAGAATACCAGATACAACAGAACACCAAGCACACCAGACACACTACAACACCAGAAGAGCGCAAGCAGGATGTAATCTACGTGTATGGCCGGTTGAGACTAGTAATTAGACTTAACTGGTTGATGGACAAAGTTGCAAAAAAAATCTCGCGTATGACAGCAGGCTAATTGTCCCACCTGTCTCGCGTGCTTGTAAATATTAACTTCTTGTAAGTCTTACCTCAGTGAGACTTACCCTTGGAAGTCTTATTTCCATAAACGGTAGCAGTTAATGATGATAACTAGCAGCCGTTTGCAACTCCCCCGATACCCGGGAGGTACGGGTGTCGCCTTCGAAAATCATTGACATTTTGTTAGCTCATCTGGAAAACGGGCTTCTGATAGTTGCCCTTATCTATTTATACTGTTATATATGTATAATTAGAAGGAGGTAATACCTTTATTGATTTATTTGCTATTCAATTCTCAATTAGACATTCGACAAACAGGGAAAAGATGGTTTTATCCGATCAAGATTTGCAATCAGAATATCCTCCATTATACTACAGATTAGGAGCTAACCAATACGAGAAAAGTATCGAGTTTTATAATGCAGATAAGCAATTGAGTCAAAACGATCGTGGACAGATCTTTAGAGATATCCAGTACGTTTACGGGAAGTCTGAGTTCATATCATTCACCACGTTCATATTGGCAATGAGTACCCCTACTCTCTACGGCTTGATTAAAAAAAGATATTACCCCCAAAAGGAAGAGTTGCAATCACCAATAATAAAAGAAACCAAGAAATTACCGTTTTTCAAGAGACCAGTTGCTAAATTTTTTGCACTTTCAGCAATTTCAATGGGTATTTCATTAATGGCTCAAGTTAAAGCGAAAAGCTATTACTTGAATGAAAAAACTAATCAAATTAGTCAACTGTCAAATGTCAATTCCCAAAGACAAGCTCAGATATGGCAAAAAATTGATGTTTTTGCATTACCGTTATTTTATTTCTATTATAATTTAACCTTTAAAAATGAATCATTAGTGATTAAAGATCCCAAATTAATGAATGATCAAGATATTAGAAGAATTGGAATGTTTCAAACTTCTAATAAAAAGGCAAGTCATTTTGCCGAAATCTTACCAATGAAATTTTGTAAAGAGGATGGTAAGATCGATGAAAGTATTGTATTAAAACTGTTAGGTATAAATAGAAATCCCAATCAAGTTCTGGATTCGGAAGTTTCAATTTCAACTCATTGGGATCAATTGAGAAAAGAAAACTTTCCTCAGGAATCATCTGAAAATATTGAGTGGGTTAATCCTAATTCTTCAAGTGATTCTTCAACTGATGTTAATGATTCTTCAATTGATGTAAATGATGCTTCAATTGATTCAAATGATTCTTCTAACGATAAAACAAATGATCCACCGTCATCATCTTGGGATGCCATAAGACGTCAAAATGGTAAATAGTTATGATAAATAGTTGTATATAGATTTACAAAATGCAAGTAAATATTATTTGTTTATTTTGGATAGTTTTATGTTTAAGTTAATGAAAATACAAAAGAAAAAAAGAATAGTAGTAAAAGAGAAAGAATTTATATATAAAAATATCAAAATTGATAATCTTCCTTTTTTTCAACTCTTCAACACTCTTTTAATACAATTATACGGATTCTAAGACAACATCTTTGAAACCAGAAACTTTTTTACCTTTATCATCAGTAGTACCTTCACCGTGTAAAGACATCAAAGCACCCAAGTCGAATTTTGGTTGTTTTAATAATTTAACTTTTCTAATGTGAATGTTTTGTAAAGGTAAGATGGTTTGAGTAGATTTTTCAATTTCACGACCAATAACTTCTGGGATTAATTTAGAAGTTAATTGAGATAAAGTAACGTTAGAAACTTCCCTTTGCATGATTTCAATCATCTTCTTTCTAACTTCTCTTAATTTAGAAGATTTAGCGTAAGTGGTTTTTTTAACTTGGTTAGCTTGTCTTTTAGTGAAAGCAATAGCGAAAACTCTTAAAACGTAATCATCAGCGGTTTTAACAGTAACGTTAGCTTCAACTAAAGATTGCCATTTTCTAACTAAGGATCTTAATTTATCAGAAGTGAAATCTAAACCGTGGAAGTTGGTTAACAAGTTTTTACCTTGAACTTCATCAACTCTCAATTTAACCTTTCTGTAAGAGTGGTCTTCAGAACCTTGTAAGTCAGCTAAACAAACTTCAACAACACGACCTTTCAAACCATCGGCAGCGTTTTTCAAACCGGTGGATTTGTTGATCAAAGTTTTACCAACATTTCTGTTTTCGAAAGTAGATGGAGCTTTAATGTCGTACCATTCTTTCTTGGTGAATGGGTCAACAACTCTCTTCTTCAAACCTTTCTTACCCTTGGAAAGTCTCTTATTTTTACCGACAGCCATGGTTGTGCTTCTAGTTGTATAGGGAGGTACTATAAGTCTAGAAATAAAAAAGGGGATTTAAACTAGAAGTTCTTCTCTGTAAAAAATTTGATGAATTTTTTTTTCCCCTTCGATTTTTTCACCGTCCCAAAAACAAAAAAAAAAAAAAAAAAAAAAATAAAAAAAAAGTTTTTCAGTACTAGTGTGCGCGCATATTGAGTGCGAGAAGGGCGGGATGTTTGGGTGTTTACTCCGTACTGCATATCAAATATCTCTCGCACGTGATTTGTTCAGGGCGGAAGCCCTGGATCGATCGTTTTTCAAAAAAAAGGCACCCGTACCGCCAAAAAGGGAAAAAAACCTCCGTACATTTATTTACTGTTGCTGCTTGCATCCAAAACAGTTAAAAGATAAACAAAAACAATAAGTTAACCCAAAACAGAAGGAATCAGAGAAACAGACGAGGTACTAACAAAGTACTCTAAAACATCATAAAATCAAAATAAGACAACCATTTGAATAAATCTAATTATCAACGGTACCAGCGATCGATAAAGTTTAGGAGAAAAGCTCTAGCCGTTTATTAAGGTTGGTAAGAGGGATCTGCGAATCAATCAGCTTGCATTATATATAATATATATATATATATATATATATATAAAATAAGATAGAGAATACTTTCAACATGGAAGAGGACCATAATCAAGATCAAAATAACCAGTATGTTGGAATGAACCAATTGGTTTCAGAGGAAACGAATACTAACAAAATACTTTAGGGTTTCCCTTAAAATAGGGCTTATTGGTGACTCCCAAATTGGTAAAACTTCATTAATGGTGAAATACGTCGAAGGATCATTTGACGAAGATTACATTCAGACATTAGGACTTAATTTCATGGAGAAGAAAATCCAAATAAAAAACACCGCCATAACCTTCAGTATTTGGGATTTAGGTGGTCAAAAAGAATTCATTAATATGTTACCATTAGTTTCAAACGATGCAGTTGCAATCTTATTCATGTTTGATTTAACCCGAAAATCAACTTTGAATTCAATTAAAGAATGGTACCGTCAAGTAAGGGGATTCAATAAAACAGCCATACCTTTCTTGGTGGGTACTAAATATGACCAATTCATTGACTTACCCTATCAAGATCAAATAGAAATCACTCAACAAGCTAAAAAATTCGGAAATGCCATGAAATCACCAGTGATATTCTGCTCAACCTCTCATTCAATCAATGTCCAAAAAATCTTCAAAGTCATATTATCAAAAGCTTTTGAATTACGATTAAATCTAGAAGAAATCGTTAACACTGGTGAACCGATTTTGATTTTTAAATAAACCCTTTTTTTGCCTATGACTCTTCTTTTTTGATTGCATCTTTCTAAATTCTTCCTCAGCATCTTTCTTTCCCCATTCTATTCTTCTTTCTCTTTTTGTATACTAGAATAAATGAAGCCTACGATTATATACCCTTGTATTGGCTGCCAATAGTTTAGCCCTTAAATGAGGAGGCCTGCATGTAAGCGAAATCGATAAAGGCTCCATCGAGCCCTTTACGCGTAAGTGAATTTTTCAAACATCTTGAAGAAGTATTGAAGACTTTCAGTTATCAAAGAGAATGGCTAAAACCCAAAAGGACTTGAAAGGCTGGCAATATTTTCTCACTCTGGATGAAGACGTGCTGCAAAATGAAGTAATTGAAGTTAAATCCGATGAAGAACCAAAAACACCTTCGAGAAAAACTAGACGTTCAAGAGTGTCAACTCCTCAAAAAAATCTGAATCCTAAATCCAATTTGAAATTGACAAGAGAATCAGATAACTTGAATCTTCAAGTCGGTGATGTTATTCTTGTTGATGAAAAGGGCTCGGACATCCCGGGAATTGCTATCATCAAAGAAATTCAATTTGGTGTTCTAAACTTCATAGACATTGTTGTTACTTGGTTTATAAGAATGGATAACGTTGAATTTAATGATTTACCTAAAGTTTCTGAATATTCAGACTCGGGGAAGCTTTTGAAAAACGAAATCTTCGCCACCTCTTACCAAGATGACATTTTTTTGAAACAAGTTATTGATAAAGCGGTGATTGTGACTAATCAAGAGTTAGAAAAAGATTTAATCATTGACAATTCCAATGAAGACTCTACATTTATGTGTAGACGTGGTTGTGATCAATGGGCAGAAATATTCACTGAAGAATTCGATTTCAGAGAATGGCATGATTCTTTCAAAACAGACCCTACTCAAGCCCTCAAGCTTATCAATTCACAAACTATTCCTAAAGCATATAAAGAACCTAAGGCGAGCCCCCAGAAGAAAGTTAAACAGGAACCTTCAACCCCCAGTAAAAAAAGAATCAGCAAAACAATGACACCTTCGAAAGTTCAAATAGAACTCCAGAAAGCAAAAGAAGAGAATGACCACGATAGCGGTGATGGTGATGAGAAAAGTCCCGGTGTTCAAGATGATTCAGACGAAGATGCGGAATTGGATGAAGAAGACTCAGATGAAGAAGATTCGGAAGCTGGAGATTCGGACTTGGATGAGACAGATGATGATGAATTCGGTTCTAATCTGAAAGGCAAAAAGAGAACCAAAAAAACTCAAAAGCAAAAAACTCCAGCGAAACGAAAACGTCAAGCCAAACCATTAACTTCTACCAATAATTCACCTGTTAAAATACCTAAAATTGGTAAGAGAAGAGTTGTAGTAAAGCCAGATGTTTCCAAACTTAACTTACCTACCTTATCACCAAGAAAACCAAAACAAGTAGCTAAAACTCTTCTGGTTGATCCTTCTTCTGAAAGTTTTAAACAAGTGAGAGCAAGACTTCACGCGTCTACAAGATTGGCCGAACTTCCATGTCGTACCGATGAATTCACAGCAATTTATGTTAATCTAGAGAATGCAATTAGCGAAGGAACTGGGTGTTGCGTCTACATAAGTGGTACTCCAGGGGTTGGTAAAACCGCTACTATAAGAGAAGTTATTGAACAATTAAATGATGCAAAGAAAGAAGATATAACAGGTAATTTTGATTTTGACTTTCTCGAAATCAATGGTTTAAAACTATTAACACCAAGTGTTGCATATGAAAAGCTTTATGAAAAAATTAGTGGACTAAAAGTTAGTGCTTCAAATGCAGCTCTACTTCTCGAGGAACATTTCAAAAATGAAGAAGAAGAAAGAAAGCCTCTTGTCGTTCTCATGGACGAATTGGATCAAATCGTCACTGCCAGACAGAACGTGATGTATAATTTTTTCAATTGGCCCACATATGCTAATTCCAAATTAATTGTAATTGCAGTGGCCAACACCATGGACTTGCCTGAAAGAGTTTTGTCAAATAAAATTTCTTCGAGATTAGGGCTCAGAAGAATTCAATTTGTTCCCTATAATGTTGATGAATTAGCAATCATCATTAGAAATAGATTAGTTCATTTTACAAAACAATCAAGAAAAAGGGTAGTGTTTGATGAACCAGCCATTGAATTTGCTTCGAAAAAGGTCGGTATAATTGTTGGGGATGTCAGAAAAGCCCTCATGGTTTGTCGTAGAGCAGTTGAAATGGTTGAACAGGCTTATGTAAAATTCAAGCAAGAAGATAGTGAGTCAAACAATGGTGCAAAATTTGAATTGGAAGATAAAGAATTAGAAGAACAAAGTCTTGAAAATAATCTCTTAAAAATTGAAAATGGTAAAATCGTCGTCAGAATGAGAGATATAGCAAGAGCCTTCAATGAATCAAATAATTCACCCGCACGTATTTTTATCAGAACTTTACCCTTTGCATCAAAACTAGTATTAGCAAGCTTGTTGTTGAGAATGAAAAGATCCGGTTTGGCAGATAATAGTCTAGGTGATATCATCGATGAAATGAAAAATTCTTTAGCCATGCTAACGTCAAAAGAAAGCAGTGAGCTACTTTCAAAAGCCGACTCAAAAGCTTCTTTAATGACCGTTCTTTATGGCAATTTCTATAATTTGTCTAATGGGTTGCAAAAAAATAAGATAAGGATTGCAAATTTCAGACACATTGTTACAGAATTGGTTGAAAACGGTATTTTGATTGAACAAAATGTTCGAAGTGAAAGACACAGGCTTGTTAGTCTTAACGTTACCAGAACAGAAGTGGCAAGTGTCTTGAAGGAAGATACGATTGTCAAGGAGATTGTAAAATCATTAGATCAAGAATGATCGAGACATTTCATTGAAATGCGACATCATCGCAATTTTTTTTTTTTTTTTTTTTTTTTTTTTTCAGTATTTTCGAGATCTTTAACCACAATCCATCCTAAAAATACTTATTTCTTATCAAAACTAACATAGAATGGCTTCTATCGACCCAACTGATTACGTCGAAGTAGTTGAAGGACAAACCAGCTTAAAGTTCGGTAATGAAAAACAACAAGCCAAGTTTGAACTTGGTGTTTGTATGGCTGTCTATAAATGGGAAGAATTGAATACTGCAGTCGATAACTCGTGGGGTGGTGCCAACTCTGCCGATAAAAGAGACTGGATATCCGGAATTGTCATCGACTTGTTTGATGAAACTGTGGTTGATATCCAATTAATCGAAGAAACTTTGTTGTACGCGATGGTCGATGAGTTTGATACCGAAATTGATAATGATTCTGCTTTAGAAATTGCTGCATTAGTTATGAAATTTTACAAGGAAGCATCCTTGGAAAACTACACTAATATTGATATTGCTTATGGTAAATGGCAAGAGAAACAAGGTAAATCTCAAACTCACAAAGTCACAATTGGCTCTGATCCTAATAACCCTGACGTATCTGATGATGAAAGCGAAGATGAAGGTGAAGATGACTCTAATGTGCCTGCATTAGTTGAAGATGATTCTATGGAAGTGGACGAGCCAAAAGGTCCTATAATTGATGACGACGGATTCGAAATGGTTCAAAAGAAAGGTAACCGCAGACGTTAATGATGCTTCAGTACTGATTGCAAAAACCAAAAAAAAAAAAACACAGACCATAGCATAAGTAAAATATATTGTACATTATATACTGTAATTTTATAATTACTACATTTCACACATTTATCGTAGAACCGATAATTTAAATGATAGAGTGAAGAATATACTAAGAACTGACTAATACTTTTCTTGCATCACATACTCATTGAATTTCTGGGAGTATTGGTTCTTGATCTATTTATGGCATTTAGTGATTGCAAAGAGGTTACCGAATTTCTTGGTGTTATCTTACCAAAAGCCGATTCTTGTTCTTCAATTGGAGTGTTAATCATTGCATTGACCGAATGTGCCGATGAAATACTATTTCTACTTGTATTGTTCATCCTGAAGTCACTGAAACGTCTGACCAAGGAATTAGTCATATCATTAACGCCACCTGGAGTCCCTGGAGTCGAATTATTACCTATTCCAAATCCTTTTTCTATTGGGAAAAAGGAGTCTCTATGTGCATATTCTATTTTAAAAAGCTTGATAGACGTTTGTGCCCAATTGTTGGTGCTTGTTAATGAATCTACAACCCAAGCGTTAACTTCTGGTGATTCATTACCTGACTCTTCAGAATTGGATTTGGTGATATTTGACCAGCCAGAAGTCAATTTACTAAATGAAGCTAAAGAACTGGAAAGATTTTTCATTATATTCCCATTAGCACCCACAAAAGCATTAACATTCTCTATTGAGTTATAGATTCTGCCATACAATAATGACGTATACCAGCCAAGCGAAAGATGGCTCCAAGAAAATTTCAAAGGTTCGAAAGGAATATTTGGGGAGAAATCATAATTTATTTGGCTTTTATACTCTTCGTAAAGTTGATCAAAATTGATGGCTTCTATTTGCTTCACTAAGAGGTAACTATCAATATTAGATCCTTCTCTACTAGACCAAGAGTCTTTCAAGGCCAATTTCAAATGCGGAATGATGATAGTGAGTATTATTCTTAATGCATCATTACCACCCCATGATCTCTGTAACAGTGAATCCTTGGGCAATTTTTCTCGCAGCTTCGGGGTCATTCCAATGGGAGGTCTCGGCCTCAAAGATGCCTCTATTGCCTCAGTCTCCGAGTCAAAAGAATGATTCAGATAGTTCTCTTTAAAATCATTCGTGGGGATACCTGCACCGCTGGAAATAGAATTTCTTGAGGATGGTGGTTCACTCAAACTTTGAATAAATTCAGATTCTGACATTTCAAAATCTGACTTGGGTATCAGAGGAGTTATCGAGAGTTGATCGGATTTATGAGATTCAACTCTTGACAAACCTTCATCAATACTATCGTATAAGTCATTGGAAAAAGAATTGATCGAACTTTCTTCTTGATCTTCATCTTCATCATTTATTGCATTCAAACGGTGAGGAGGTGAGGAGTCCAAACTAAATATAGTATTCCACACCAAGTCGTAGACCTTTTCGTTTTTCAATATACAGAAAAGTAACATTCTGGATGATTTAGGAAATTTGACACCAGCTATACAAACTGCTCTAAAAATCAATGCTAGTAGGTCAGTATGAAAAGTATATTCTGTGAGAAAGTGCTTGGTCAGGAATCGTATTATAAGTTGAGTTATGGAAGATGCAGCGGTATATGAAATCCCACCACCCGGGTTAGCATTTCCGAGTTTTCTGAGTGGAGAATCAGAACTTGGTATCTCTTCATCAATTATAGGAATTAAGTTATATAAAATTTCCACTAGAGTTGTAGAAAGGACATTGGGAGGATGCTTTTTAGTATGAGAAGGTACCGTATTGGAATTAGTATTCGAAGACGCGGGTGTTATTGAAAGGAGTACTTGGCAGATTTGAATCACAAGAAAATCTCGAAAGGTTGTTGGACGAGGTTTTGTCTTGAAAGAATTCGGTAGTATTTCGTAAGACGTGATACCAATGGGTTGAACAATGAGCTTCATTAAAGATTCATAAGACGTCAAGTATAACAAAAAGTAAGATGATACCCGAACTAAGTTTCTGTGAGCGGGAACATCATGATAAGTGACTATATAGAATAATAAATTGACAGTTATTTCTTGGGTATATCTTTGGCCGGCCAAAGCTTTAAATGATTTATTACACTGGAACAATTCCCAAAGTAAAATGACACATTCAGTTGCCCATAAAGAAGGCTGATTTCCTTTAATGTTTAAGGAAAATTTGGCATTATCAGAATCCTTAGCATGCTGTAAAGGAGTTCTCAAGATATTCATTAAATAAGATGCCAAAAATAATATTTCACTTTCCTTATGTAATTTCCCAACGTATAATCTTGCCATATTATAAGGCTTAGGAGTTGAGATCAAATCGTAATCAAATAAAATGCGAGTATTAAAATGCGATGGAACTGGATATACTATCATTGTAGTTAAAAGTTGAGCTGAATAAGTTATGCATAAATGTCTCATTTTTGTAAGTTGTGGATTATTGTAGAGCAAACCGTTTTCGTCTGAAGAGCTTCGAGCAGAACGACAGATCAAGTTGAATAAAGAGCATACCAATGTCAATAGTTCAACCCTCGGGGTTGTTGCAACAAGCAAGGTGAGAAATCTTGATCCATTGGAAATAATATGCGATGGTGCCATGTAAAAAGACGTAGATATAAGGGTCAAGATGAACTTGAGTATATGAGCTCTATTACTATCTATTATAAGATTTGTTGTGTTATATTTTGCAGAAGAACCGATACCAGGCTCCCATAAAGTTAATGCTTTTCTGTCTTCTGATGGAACTTTGTTTGATTTGGGAGCAATCAATGTGAAACCGTTGATAAATAAAAGATCTAGTGAAACATTCATTAAAGTGATAGCTAATATTTTCAGCTTATCAGAGTACTTCGATTCACCATGCAAGTCATTCTTTGCTTGAAATTTATTGGTTGCAATTTCTATTGGATTGTAAGTTTCTTTCCAAAAAACTATATCTTCAAGCTCGCTTGTATAATTAGGAAGCTCGTATAGAATCGGTAAGATCTTTGTAAGCATTCTCACACAATTCAACGTCTCTAAAGCAGTGGTGGGAGTCGTGAAAGGAAAATTGGGAGAATTTCTTAAATCAATTAGTTTGATAGAAAGAACTCGAACTAATAGAATGAAATTGGCTAGATTTTGGTCTCTTATGGTCTGCACATCGAAAACTGTCAAAACTTCAAATACATCATTCGAGCATTCTGGATATTTCCAATATACTTCCCAATAATCTTCTTTTTCAAGTGGTATTATCCTGCCTTGACCAAGTTTGAAAAAATGATTCTTGAAACGGCTTCTTTCTTCTGTAGACTTCATGATGCCAGGTTTACTCCAAACAGAAAAACACAGCTAACAAGAACGTGGTATGTTAGCCCAAGCGATACAGAACGGTCTGGATAAACGATCGGACAGGCTTATCTCTGGTTGGAAGGTTATTAAGAGAGAACGGCTGGAAGAAGATGAAAAAACTGGAAAGCTGATAGAAAAAAGCTTTAAAGGACCTGTGGGTCAGTGAGTCGGTACGGATGTTTTTTTCTTATAAGCCGGAAATTTGCGGTTCCAGAGATAAGCAAGCCCCAAATTTTGCAATTTCTACGGATTTGCTATGTAAGTCTACTCTTTTAGAGGAGGATGGACTATTAATAGAACAATTTTGGGGAGGGAAACGTAGCCATTAATTATTATTAAGAGGGTCACAAGTGATCTGTGACTAACATAAAAGAAAAAAACGTGAAAATAAAAATGCAATGAATGATTAGCCAGAATTATTACCTTAATCGTCTTGTTTTAGAAAACTCATCCTCTGAGGTCTCGTTATCGTCTCTTCTTCTCACACTTCCTACTATGGGTGCAAATCCAACATCAACGTGCATTCCTGCCACTTGATTACTAGCAGCACCATTATTGGGTTCTTCATAAAGTTCGTCGATTTCTAAATCGTCTGCATCACCCGAATTTCTAAAAGGGATGCTTTCGTGGGTTTCGTATTCCGTATCCATTGAAATTGCTTCTCCGCCGTCTTGCAACCAAGAGGATGGGACTTCTAAAGCAGGCTGTGATACTTCATCAATGGAAGCAAACTGAGACATAGGGTTTTCGATATTTTCATCTTCGTCTTCCGAATCATGGAATGACGAACATTCAGATAATGCATCATATATATCTGTGAGGCTCGACTGTTCTTGAACTGTAAATAATGGATTCTGTTCATTGGGTCCAGGTTTACCATCATTGTTTGTCGTTATAACCAATTCGATTGAAGATACAAATTCGGTTGGTTGTTTTGGCAAGCTTTGTAAATAATCGTTTGAAAGTAATTGTAAATATAAAATGGGATTTTGCGATAATTGGGAATTGGTTTGTAATGCATGCAAAATTATCGATTGATAGTTTATATCTAATCCCTTATTTAGTTCCTCGAACCATATGATAAAGCTTGTATTCAAAACGAATAAGGATACCAATGAAGTTTTTTGTAATTCGAGACCATTTATATTCAAATCGTGGGTTGGGTCATTATTCAAGATTTCAAATTTATAGCCTGAGCCTCCAGCGTAAAGAACAAATTTATCATCATCTTCAACCGAAAATTTTTCTGGCGAAGATGACTGATATAAAGATACCGGGATGGTATTTTCAACGTTTGGAATTTCGTGTATTAGTTTTATTCGACGCACCATTGGTTCTATGATTTTGTTGAAGAAAAGGGTTGAGCTTTGAGTTTTCCCGCTTTAAAAACTTGCTTATCAAGCAGTATTCACTGAGATTTGATAGGTAAGATACTTCTTAGGTGAATTAAAATCCATCCAACATGTGGTTATCGTATATATAGCTTTTTTTTCGTTTTGATGCTTCGGACTACGGGTGTACGGATGTTCAAAGTGTGACTTAACATAAAGAATACATACGTAAGAAGAAACCCATTAAGAGAACGTTGAATAGCTCAAAGAACGTATTAATTGGTAATGATAACTATATAACTTAGATCAACTTTGAGACAATCTTCTTATTAATCTTTGGAAAACAGGACTATTATTTTCACTATTTTCAATATCTTTTCTAATTTTAGAATTTCTTTGAGCTTCTCTTCTTCTTAATTCTTCAGGAGGAGGAGGAATAGCTTCATTTTCCAAATCAGCTTTTCTAGCTTCTTCGAAAGAAGAGATAGTTTTTCTTAAACCTTCACTACCATTAAGTAATGAACCTTTTGGTAAGATACCACTGTTCATTTGTTTCAAATGAGCAACCTCTTCAGATTCCAGTCTTAAAACTTGATACATTCTAGAGACTCTACCAATTGCAATAATTTTATTACGCAAGGCAATTCTTTTATCTTCAAGAGTTTGATCAATTGGAACAGATGGTGGATTTGAGGTTGGAGAATTACTAATACTTGAAATATTAATATCTTCATTATTAAATGGAGTATCTTCATCCAATTCTTCTTCAGTACAAATGTTAAGAATTGAAACCAACATATCCGTAATCTTTTCACCAACAAAAGGTAATGACCAAGTGAAAACATCCATAAAATGGGGTAACCAATAAGGATGTGGAGATGCATTGAATTGTCTGATATTCATGACGTTATTTTCATATTTTAAAACTGCTGCTTTATTATTATAATTGTCCAAATAATTTGGAGCACTGAACATAGTTAATAAAGATGGGAACCCCATAGTTTTAGTTCGTTTATACATTCTATAACCAGCATCTTGAGCTTCATGAGCTCTTATGATTGAAAGTAATCCAGTTCTTTCTAAAAATTGACAAGAAGCTTTATATGTAAAAGCATAAGAACAACCCCTTACAGAATTCTTAACGAATGTTTGATCCATATTATCCTCATCATATTCTTCAATTGGATCAGCCCATAATAAATCACACATTAAACCTTTAGTTGGAGGTTCTCTAAATCTATCCATTCTGATTAAATCATCTAAAGTTCTTAAATCCGGAGAAAGACCACCATGAACACAGAAAAATTGTTTATTCATAATTGCAGCCAAGGGTAAGGCATTGAATGATCTTAAAGATTCTTCATATAAAGTGGAGGAATATTTATGTAAGCATTCAGATTTAAAAGTGAAATAATCAGTTAAATGAGCACATTCGTGATTACCTCTTAACATCCAAAGAGTATCAGGATAATTCAATTTTAAAGAATATAAATAAAGTAGACATTCAATTGAAAAAGAACCTCTATCGACATAATCTCCTAAAAATAAATAAGAAGTATTTGCAGGACTTCCACCAACTTCAAAAAGTTTCATTAAATCATAATATTGACCATGGACATCTCCGCAAACAGTAACTGGAGCAGGAACATCTAATAAGTTTGGTTCACTTGCTAATAAGTCAGTGGCATCTCTCAATATTCTAATCGCTTGTTCTTCATGTAATCTTCCTTCATGTATAAAATGATTTTTCAAAAATTCACAATTCGGTAAACCATTTGGTAAAAACAATTGTTCATCAGTTGGTTTAAATGTTGCTGGTGCATCAACACTAGTACAGATTCTTTCCTTGGTCGATAAAGTTTCCCCTTCTTCTGTTGTATAAACAGAAAAATCTTTCCCATGTATACTTTCCTTTTCATGCAATGCTTTCAAAGCATTATTTATTTTATGTATGTTTTCAGCTGCTTGGCTATCGCTATTATACGACATTTTGCTTCTTTTTTCTTTCAATAAATAAAACAGTTAAGAGTTATGGAGATGAATTCAACCAGTTTTTCCAATGTTGATGATGTTGTTGTTTAAACTAATCGGTAATCAAATAGATGGACGTGGCAACCAATTTATATTGTTAAGACGTTTGAGCGCGTTGCAACACAATAATAGACTTGAGCCGGCCTGGGAATTAGATCAACGCTGATGTAGCTGGGTATAATAACGTTAAAGCTCACTGTCGTGGTGGGTTTACCCTGTGTTTTGCAAAGTATCAGTGATTCATTCGTGTGAAGGATGATGATTCTTTTTTAATCATCTTTTTTTGTTTTTTTCCCGATTGACTCTAGACCGTACATTTTCATTAGTGCACGAAAAACTCAGAATCTAGACTTGGACCTCATACTACTAATAGAACTTACTGGGAATGATTGGGAAACAGCTTGAAATAGCTTGAATTACCATGAATTACTATGGAAAATACGTAGCAGTTATATATAGAGTAAACATTGATGAAATTGGTGCAACAAGGGTAAAAAAATACAGAAAGATTGAGTATTAATTGATCAAAAACCATAATCTGAAAGGTCTTCAGAGCTAACATAAATGGTATGAGCCACTGCTTTGAAACCATTAAAAGAAGTAGCGGCGGTTGAGGTATAGGCACCAAGTTTTGGGAAGTATAACCAATCACCGACCTCAACATTAGCCATTAAATTAGAACCATTAGAAACACAATCTAAACCATCACAAGTTGGGCCCCAAATTGAAAAACGATGATTGCCCTTTCCATTGGCATCGTTTTCAAATCCAAAATATGATTTGTTTCTATGGGTTAATACGTATGGAATTGGATTATAATGATCGAATAAAATACAATTCAAATTACCATAAACACCATCATTAATATAAATCATTGCTTCGATATTAGTAGTCGATTTAATTTCATTGGATAAATCTCTACGAGCAATGACATGAGTTGCCAAGGTGAAAGCATTTGCAACCATGAATCTACCTGGTTCAGCAATCAATTTAATTTGATGTTGTTTGATAAAATCACCTGGGAAAAATTGATTTAAAGATTGGGTAACCATTTTTGATGATTCATTGAAAGATTCATGTTCAAATCCACCACCAATGTCTAAAATTGACATATCAAATTCAAATTGATGAATAGCAATATCAAATATTTTTTTTGAATCTCTAATTGCTTTGAAAATTGAAGTTAAATCTTTTGCACCAGATCCAACATGGAATGCAACACCTTTAACATTCAAATTTAATTCTTTAGCCATTGGTAATAAATCAGTCAATGCGGCATTGACTGAACATCCAAACTTGGTTGATAATCTACATTGAGCAGTTTCATCATCGGTTGCAATACGAATTAAAATATCACAATTTGGGTGAAATTTCTTTAACTTCAACAATTCTTGACAATTATCAACAGTTGTTAAATTAACTTTGGACTCTTGTGAATGTCTAATAAAAGAATTGGTTTTACAAGGATTGGCATAGATGATTCGATTAGCATCAAAACCCAAGTTTAAAACAGTATCAATCTCATTTTTTGAAGCACAATCAAAATTAACTCCTAAGTTACCTAACAATTCGATAACTTTTCGGTCAGTATTACATTTAACGGCATAATATGGTTGAACTTGTGGTAAATTATTCTTCCAAGTTAAAAAAGAACGATAAACTTCACCCATATCTGCAACGAAAAATGAATCTTCCTCACCAGCTTCACAAATATCATGATCAATAGTGGCAATGTGGTTCAACAATGCTTCTCCAACCAAGTACGTACTTGGTTGGTTGGCTTGTACATCTTTATTGACCTTGATAGTTGTTTCAGAATTTTTGATCGGATGATCAATAAAATTAGATTCTAAAAATTGTCTTGAATCATCCTGGAAAACTTCAATAGATGGGGTCATAACTTGGAAATTTTTATCTCTATGAGTGTGTAATTAGACTAATGTATTCTTAATATTAAGATTTTGCTTTTCGCTTCTTGTTGGAATTCAATCACTTAGTTTATATAGTAAATTACCCACACACAAATGGTTTTCAATTAATGGAAAGGGCAAACGTATAATTAGTTCAAGGGATTTTAAAAGAGGGTGGAAAGAATTACTCACGGTATTGGTGAGTAAGTTATATTATCGGACTTCAAGCGGCAGCTCTCGTAGAAAATTAGAAACTTATAAAGGGCAGGAATTTATTTTTGACTTATTAAAGTATAATAAAATCAAAGGAACGAATTACTTGAAACTAATTCAATAGAAGTTGAGGTATTTATCTAAATACGTCAGTGGTAATGATTAAATCAATAAGAAGCAAATACTGAAAGTGATTCAGCTTAATTTTTTTTTACTCAAAATTTTCATGTCTGAAAAAAAAAAAAATTTGTTTGCTACATAAGAAAAAAAAAAAAAAAGTTCTTAAAAACAACAGTAGGAGGGTGAATGAGGGATTTACAGTAGTGGTTAGTTTGTTGATGAGCGAATTTTACAAGACGAACGTCAATTGATCAATTGTAGATTCCAATTGAAAATACCGCAAGGGAAAACTCATACGAAAAGGTCCTTTTATTTGAAGTTACTATAAAAAGCAAATTTAAATGCCGGTTGTTCTATAATTCAATCAACGGTTCAGGTTCGACACGATGTTTACTTGTAGCAGAACTTGAGGTTCTTGAATGCAGAAGAGGTTGGTCGAAATGGGGCACTGACGGTAACTCTTGTTGTAGGTTATTTATAGGAGATGAAACTTGGCTGAATTCTGAATCAATTCTTTCAATTGGAGGATACCTTGTGTTTACTGAATGGACTCTTTGAGGTTGGTTATCGATGGGGGCAGAGGTGTTTGATAATTGGGATGGGTCTGAATTTGGTAATTGGGAAGGGTTGGTATTTTGATCATGACCAGGTAAGGCTGGGTATCTGGATTCAACGCTTTCATTATCACTTTCTTCGTTGCTATCACTATCTTCGGGAGGGTACGATGGAGCAGTAGGATACGAAGGGTATGCAGATTGTTGTCTTTCTTGATTGTACTCATGCTCATTAGAATCAAAAGGAGTTGGGATTGAAGAGTTAGATGGGTAACTGGGATTACCTTGTTGAGAATTTGGATAAAATGAAGAAGGTTGAGTAGGTAATGTATGATTTGGGGGAGAATTCATTAAAGAATTTTGAGATTTCAGTTCTTCCAAAGGATATGGAGCAGCGTAAGGGTTTGTTTGCTGAGGTGGTAATCTTTGACCGGTTGGTTGTTGAGATTGCTGAGGTGGATAACTGGAGATATAATGGTTATTATAAGCTTGGTTCAATTTTGATTCTAAAAATTGGTCATATAATCTTGTAATGGTTGAGATTTTATTGTTCAATTCGAGGAAATGATCATATCTTTCAATTGACAATCTTAATGACTTATTCAATTTTGGTTTTAATTGAATGACTTTATTATGTAATTCACTTAAATTACGATCATAAATGATATTATTTTGTTTTGATGCATCGTTTTTAGTATTATTCATTAAAGTAATGAATAAATTGATGGATTCTTCTTCTTGCTGGTTTAAATCTTCAACTTGTGGTTTCGTAGGTTGTTCTGAAATGGGTTGTTGTGGCTGCTGTGGTTGAAATTGTTGAAATTGTTGAACTTGTTGAGCTTGTTGTTGCGGAACATTTTGTTGAGGTTTATTATCAAATGGTAAATTAGCATAAAAATCTGAAGCCGGTTGAGGTTGAGGTTGAGGCTGAGGTTGAGGTTGATTCTTCAAATAATTTTCTTGTTCAACATGTTGTTTATGTAATTTTTCTTGAGCTTCGAACTCTTTTAAACTAGCAGCAATTGCAGCTTTCATTTCTTCCGACTCATCATCTTGAGGTTGAGGAGGGGAAGGGGCAGCAGGGGCAGCAGGGGCCGGAGCAGGAGCAGCTACTTGTTGACCTGACTCTTTTAAACTCAATTCAATTGCTTTTCTAAGTTGTTCGTCCTCATCATTTTCTAAATCGACCGAACGATCGTTAGTATTATTATTATTATTATTTTGAATTTTTTGTAAATTGCCAGAATTTTTCAATTTGATCTTTTCATAACAGTTATCACAAACCCTAACCGGTTCCAAAAGACCCAAATGGACCAAGGGGATTGAATGCAGACTATGTTTTGAGCAGAAAACGCCTCCACAAGAACGACAATGATGTTTTCTATTCAAGACTGAAAAAGCGTCGTAGCAAATCATGCATTCATCATTATCGACCCAGTCTGGAGGGGCCTCCAGATCGATGAAGTTGGAAGATAATTGATTTATATTTGGATCTAAATCTTCGAACTGGAAACCTTGATTAAGTAAAGATTTATAAATTTTTTCAACGTAATTTAATTGTAAATTATTTTGGAAATAAAAGCTCCATTCTTTTAATAATTTCAATATTAATTCACCAACGGCCAATTTTGAATTATTTGATTGAACTTTAAAATCCTTAGTATTATAATGAATTTTAAAGATATAATCAATTAAATAATCGATAAATTCTTTTGAAGAAATTTCCACCAAGAAATGATAACCACCATTTTTAATACATAAATCGATTAATTTAAGGGTAGAAGTGATTAAATTAGGATTATTATAAGTATTGGTTAATCTTTTCTTTAAACTTCTCATACATTGTTTTGGGGGTAAATTTCTACTTCTAATTAAATCGGTGATTTCTAGAGCAATTGAAATATCGATTTCACCATTGGGGATTGATTCTGAAGTAGCTTCGATGATCTTCGAGTCCAATTCAGTAACTGAAATTGAATTCCCACTAAACCAAGACATTATCGATAAAGAACAAGATGGTGGCGGTTTATACGTTATCAGTGACACACTCATTTTAAAATAGTGGGAGTATGATTCGCGCACTACAAAAACATATCTATATATAAAACTAGACTACGAAATATATTTATAAATATGAAGGAATATATTAATACAAGAATTAACGTAAGAAGAGAATTGAAGAACCAATTCCAATAGAGGCCACTGCGGTCCACCAGAAGAAATCGTAGTTATCGTGACTTGAGGATTTAACTGCGGTAGTTCTGTATTGATTTTCCAAAGATCTTTTAACTCTTTTTCTTAAACTTGATTTTGTTTCTGAAGCTTTATCGGTTGGGTTTAATGCATAAGTGGGTAACATTAAAGGAGGTTTGTAAGCCAAGAATAATGGTTGCATTTGAGAACCATCAAATTGGTACAATTGTAAAGTATATCTACCATGATAATCATTTAAATAGACTCTAAAAGCTTTGAACCAAGTTTTCTGAAGATATCTAGTATACGAGGAGTGGGTGGCACTATCTCCATTACAAGGATCACTCAACAACTGTCTGCCATCCACAGCAATTGGTGTTAAGATTAACGAACCATTTGATAATAAATCATAAGTACCATGTTGATAAGTTATGGAAGCAACAGCGCAAGAGTGATTTTGAGGATCGGAGGTGATACGGTATAACGCTTCTTCAAAATGGCCATCTTCGGTGAAAGAATAAGATATACCGGGTAAATCTGGTTCGATAATCAATTCATCAACTGGGTCATAAAATCCTGGTCCGGTGAAAACAGTATTCGATTTTGACGACCAGGTCCCCACCAACTCTTTTGTACTGGGGGCACATAAGACTATCTGGGATAAGATGCAAATTTGTAATACCAACTGATGTACAAACATTTTGGATTAATGAAAAGAACGGGTAGTTGTTTAGTTTTTTTTGGAAGTTCCATCTTTTGATGTAGGCAGTGTGTAGCAGGGGACACTACCATTGCGTGTTCACTGGTGTGCGGGTTTTTGGCCGATTGTTTCGCCTGCTGGGAATTGTGCAGGTTACCCAAGCTACAGGTTGTCCTCGAGTTATTTGCAGGTTACAAAACTGCAGCTTATCGCCCGGTGGTTTGCAGGTTTTCCCAGCGGCTTTCTGCAGGTTGCAAAGCGCATCTTGGGGCTTTTCTTGTTTGCGGGTTGTGCTGGCATTTGCATGTTACCTGCGGTATTTGCAGGTTGCGCACATACTAGTACCTGCATTGTTTAAAAGCCAGCGGAAGCAGCAAAAAATAAAGTAGAAAACGACGCAGCGGCACGCCTTACAAGATCAGAAGGCACTCAATTGTTTAAATACATTTTGAGGTATTATGTAGAGGTTATTTAAAGGTATATATAAGGTATTATCAAAAAAAAATGCTTTTAGAGAACAGGAAGAGTTTTTTTTTTTTTTTATGGTTTTTTTTGAAAGGTAGTCTTTTAAATTTTTTTCCATTTTTTAAGTAAGGACTAGTAGCACTAGTAATGAGTAGAAACAATAAACGAATAACGATAAAAGGCAAACGGGAAAAAAAGAATGCTGCGAAAAAAAAAGAAAAACACAGAAAAACAGAAAAAACAGCAAAACCGAAAATAGAAGCCACAAAAATGGAAGATAGTCCTACTCCAGGCTAGTGGGAATGAACGTTTTGTACTGGTTTGACTAAGGGTAACATTGGAGATTCTTCATCACTTAGAGGGGTTGATATCCCCAATTTTCTAGGATCGTATTCGAAGATCAGATTGTAGTCATGATCTTTAACTGAAGAAATGGAGGAATTTAAACTAGTTTGGCTAGTATTATTTTGGATATTGAATTTATTTGCATAAGAATAATGGGGATGAATGAATTGTTGTTGATTATTATAGTTTATACTCGCATTTGAAGGTAAATCAACCGAAGGACTAAACTTCAGTAAGTTTTGTAAAACTACTGGTTTAAAAATAGGTTGAGGACTTACTGTAGGAAGATGATGAGTCTGATGATTTGATACAACTACCCCTGCGACTCCTTGATTTGATGGGGTAGAGGTTGGGGACTGAAAATTATAGGAAGTATTTGAAGAAGGAGGAGTATTTAATTTGGATTGATTTGGGAATTTATAAATTGATAAGATGGAATAAAAAAATTGTTGGGGACCTCTGGAATTAAATAATTTAAGAATGAATTCTGAAGAGTTTAAAATTGATTTAATTAAATTTTTCTTGATGAAGTTATATTTATTTTGATCAATTTTAAAATTTTTTTCATTTAATAATGCGTAGTTAATTTTTTGATGGAAATGATCATTATAATCTAAATTGAGGGTTTCGTTAATTAAATCAATGATGACTTTTGATAACTCGATTATACTTATATCAATCAATTCGTATGAGTATAATGAAATATAACTTAAAAATTCTTTAATTTTGAAAAATTCATTTTCTTTTATTAAATTAAAATCATTACTTTGAATTAAAAATTCTTCAATTGAAGGATCATTAAAATTCCAATCTAAAGTTGATAAAACATGTAATTCCATTTGTTTAAACATCCCTTGATCATATTTACATTTAGCACCACATAATTTAACTAATTCATGTAATTTTGGTAATCTAAATCTTTCAGTTGGACCTTTAAATTTACCACCAGAACCATATCCTAAATCATTAATTGATTTAATTGAATTGACTTTATCTAAATTATTCAAATTAATAAAATGATTATTCCCACCTTGTAATTTAGATGCAAACCATAAACAAGTTGTTATAATTAACTGGGATTGATCTAATAACACAATTCTTTTAGAACAGTATCTATCAAATATTTTAACTGCTTTATAAAAAACAAATGGTAATATTTTCAATCTAATTGACATTTTCAATAAAAAGTCAATTAATTTCAATCTAATTGAAAATGTCAAGTATGGTTGTTGTTTATATAATTCAATGTTTGGTTTGTTCATTTCTAAACTTTCTAAAAAAGTTTGATATATCTCTAAATCATATTCTTTCAATGATTTATCATGTTGTTGTAATTCCAGTTTATATAATTCATTGGGATATTCATATTGGTTAATTTTAATAAAATCATTTTCAAATTGAGCAACGGCATTATATTTATAACCAACTGGGTTATTTTGATATTTCGGTATGTCAAACATTATTGAAGTAAAAAGTCCCACCAAATAGCTTTAAAATTGAAATAAAAATAAGAATGAAAAAAGAAAGTGAAAAAGTAAAATGAATGAAAAAAAAAAAAAAGTGAAAGAAAACGGTTGTAAAAAACGGTAAACGGTTGTAAAAGAAAGTGTATTAGTTAGAAATGAAGTAATAACCTGAAAGAAGAAAAGAAAATGCAATAACTAAGAATATCTAGAATATAATTTTTAAAAAAACCCCCAATATTCAATTCCTAGCAGTTTTATCATATATATCATATACAAGATCGAAATAAGTTTTTTTTTTTAAAAGCTTATGATAGTTATAAAAAAAAAACCTGCCAAAAAAAAAAAAAAAGAAAAAAACACCAAAAAAAAAGAACGTTCGTAGATATACTTAAAGGTTTTGAATTAAAACTAAGAGAAAGGAAACTAATTAAATATATATTTGGCAGAATTTTTTGTTTTTGTTCCTTCAACGTAACAACATCATGATTAGATGTATGTTAAAAGAAATAAAATCAAAAAAAATCATTTTTTTTTTTTGGTTTGTTTGGTTCGTTTGTTTTTTAAACCTAGTAATAATAAGCTATTGTATAGATTAAAGTAACAAAGTAACAAAGCTTAAACCCACACGATTGATGTAAGTCCATTTTGTGGGACATGTAAGTATTCTGTTGCCTGACTAATTGTTACGAATTGGTACATGGTACATTGTCCCATATCGATTTCTCGTTGAAAGCATCACTTGAGAGAGTCGATGCCTTTAACTTTTCTTTTTATTTTGATTTTCAAAATTGGTATGTTTTTTTCAACTTAGTGATTGAGGCCGTCAACTATTGTTTTTCGTCTCGACAAAGTTTAATCAATGTATAATGGCTTAATCTATTGGATGATCTGTATGGTGTAATGACCATTTTGAAAATGGCTGGTTAATGACGTTTAATCCCAATAAAGTTTGGTATTTCCTATTTGACGATTAAATGCATGGTCTAGTAAATTAGCATTTGTATAACCTTTTCAATAACATTTTGTATGCCTTTTGTTTAGCATTTTGTTTAGCATTTTGTATACCTTTTGTTGAGCTTTTTGTATGCTTTTTGTAGAGCCTTTTGTATAACATTTTCAATAACATTCTCGGATTATCTACCGTTACATCGTCAATTTATTTAATCGTGTTAGTCTTATCTAATTAGGGTCTATACTACAAGGCAGTGTATACCTTATAGGCACAAGTATGGTTGCCGTTCACATTTTCGTGATAACTTACTCTTTGCCCCTTACTTTATGTACGCTCCAATAATCTCGCTATTGGGAATGTTGGACTAATTCAATAACTCATACCCGGTTTTATTGAATTGAGGCGTGTTTTCCTTATTTCTTATTAAGTAAATTCCCTGCATTTCCCTAGTGATATATGATTCTCCTTTTACGAGTGTTTGTACTCTGTGGTTCGATTAGGGATAGTCGGTTTTTTACAGGTTGGCGTTTTGGATGTTATTTTTATTTTGATTTGTTTTTTGTTTTTTTTTTTTTTTTTTTCTTTTTCATTTTTGCAAACCAGTTGACTTCAATACCTGCTTTGGGGATGAACAAGTTTGTCTCTTCGGTGTTTGGTAAGAACTCCGAGCTAACGAACGAGCCGACTATAGATTATAATCAAACCATATACAATACAACCAAGTATGAAACCAAGGATACTAGGCACGATGAATCATCGAGGTATAATGATTTATTTGAAAATATTCCTGTAAGCACCCCTGGGAATCTTGACATTCCAGTGGGAACCCAAGAATTGAATAGGCAGTTGAAACATTCTATACAAGTATTGAACAATCAAAATGATTTTTTAAAAGATTTGAATGATTTAGTGGATGAGAATGACAAAAAGGAAGATGGTGATGACAAAAAGGAAGACAAAAATGATTTTGAAGCAAAATATAACCAATTGCGAAAAGATTTCATTGAAGAAATATCAAATCATCATGCGTTTTATAAATCATACCAAAGTTTATTATTGAAATATAAACAATTGAAAACGAGTCAAGATTCAAATGTTGATGATAAAATTAATAAAATTAAAAGTATAACTACTGATCCATCAATTAAAAATCTCTGCGATGAACTTTTATTAGATTGTAATCAAAAAGATTTATTAATAAACTCTTATAAACTAGAATTAGATGCTGCTAATTTGAAAATTAGCCATTTAGAAATCAAAAAGTAAAATTATACTATATGGGAAGAACTCATTGATGGAACAATTGAATGAGCATCAATACTTATTCCATCTTCTAATATACCTTCATTAATACATTCGTTTATAATATGATCCCATTTACTTGTAATAACACAATAACATTGAGATATGCTAACGAAAAATAATGCAATGATCATCCCTAACCATAATCCAACTAATTCTAATTTAAAATAAAATGCAAATAAAAACGCAAATGGTAATGCAATCAAATAATAACTAATAAGGCAAAGAATTCCTCCAATTTTTTGTCTTCCTTGTCCTCTTAAGATCCCTCCGGTTGAAGCGGCCAAAAAATCATTAATTTGATAAATTGATCCAATAATTAAAACTTTAGATGCTATTTTAATAACATTTGAATCACTGGTATATAATGAAGCGAAAAATGATCTAAATATAATAAGAAACCCTCCACTAATTAACCCTCCAATTAATGATAATAAGATTGTAGCATTACTTGAAATAATGGCGGCTTTTTTCGATGCTGCTCCAATAAACCATGCTATTCTAGTCGATGCAGCTATTGATAATGCAAATGGAATTTGATATAATAATACACAAGTAGTGGAAACGATGGATTGTGCTGCTAAAATATCAGTACCAAATTTAGATGCACTAAATGTAATAATTTCAAAAGCTAACCATTCAGCTTCAACCATTAGAACCCCAGGAATTGATAAATTGATCATTTTATTCCAATTTTGGAACATCACCTTATTGAAAATTGATTGTCTTGGTATACATTGATAACCATTAATTAAAAAAATATAACAAAGGAGAAGAAAACACATTAAATAATTGGTTACAACAACTGATAATGGAGCACCAATAAAACCTAATCCGATTTTACTATTCCAAACTAACAAATAATTTAAAAATGCATTTAATGGTGCACAAATTATTAAAATATAAGTTGATGCATGGAAAATTCCTTGTGATTGTAAAAAATGTTTTGAATTTTCAAATATAATGAATCCTGGAATACCAATACTTAAAATTTTCAAATAACTTGATGCCAATTCAATTAATCTACTTGAATCAGATCCTAATAACATGGTTAATATTGGTTTGGATCCAAATACCCATAATATTAACATTGGAACATATAACATCATTAATAAATAATTACATCTAATAAAATGTAATCCAACAGTGTTGAAATCACCCCTACCATAAGCTTGTGCACATAAGGTGTCAAGACATGTAGAAACCCCTTGAATAATTGCATATCCACTAATATTAGCAGTCATGGATGATAAACTAACCGCAGCCAATTCAACTGATCCCAATCTACCAACTGAAAAGACTGAGGCAACAGTAAGAGAATACTGTAATAAAAAGGTGATAATAAGTGGGATAGAATATTTTAATAAAACTTGAATTTCAGTTTTAAAATTGGTTTCTGGCTCTTTTATTAAATTATTAGAATTAATTGATAAAATTTCACTAATATCTAAATCATTTTGTAAAAAAGATGAATTTGAATTCAAATGATGTAAATGATTATCGTGTAAACTGGATCTAGACTTATGACTAGTCAAAGTATGGAAATGATTTGGTATATGATTTGTACCAGCACTAACAATCGATGCTCTTCTTTGTTGAACATAACTTAAAATTTCATGTTCGTCAACAACATCATCTTGGAGAAAGTCAGAATTGCTCAATAAATGAGACGATTCATCAACACTGGTTCTTGGAGTCATTTCAAATTCTGTAATGGAAAAGAAGAAGAGTTGCTGAAGATTTTGAAGTATTTTTGAAGTATTTATATGATAAGCACTACTTAGATAGGTAGTAAATTGCGAATGAAAAACAAACAAATCTCGATGTCATTCTCAAGATTACTCGAGCCATCGAGGTATACGGTACATTTGCTCCTGCTGCCGCCAATACTACTACTACTGCTGCTGCTGCTGCTGCTGCTAACACCACCACCGCTGCTACTGCCACTGTTACTGGTATAGATACCGGTGAGGAAGTATGTTGCTGCTGGTTTACTATTATTGTAGGGTGGACCCGTGGTGGACCCCTGCGCAGTGCGATTGCAAAATAGACGTATATATAAATCTATGGACGAATATATTTAGGTCAGGGAAGTTGGCAAAAGGATTAGAATTTCCCCTTTAATAAGTTGAGAATCATGTCCTTACCGGTGTATAAACAGGTTCTATAACAAGTATAAAGATCTAAGGTTGAGGTTAAAAATGAAATCATTCCAAAAGGTAACATTGCTGGAATCCAACCCTGGGCCAATTCTAAAGCATACCCACCGCTAGGGACACTGTATTGTTTGACATGACCTCTTTTCAAATGATGTTGATCACCAGGATAATACATTTCTGGTTCTAAGGATTGGGGGTAAGCAGCTTTTTGGTGTTGAGCCAAAATGGTGAAATAATCATCAGCATAATGAACTCCAGAGTGTCCTTCGGTACCGGTAGCACTACCAAAGAAAATAAGGTATTCTGAAATTGAAGCATGTAATATAAACATATTCCCCATGGCACCACCGGCGTTATTGAAAACCCAGTCGTCAAAATTTAAATCATTGATCAAATTTGGATAAGCTTTTTGCAATTCTGGAACAATGTCAATCATGATTTGAGTCGTATTACCTTGAGGGTTTTTAGCAATAGCATCATTACAAATCTTCAGTAATACTTGGGGATCGAAAACAAAATGGTTGGGTAACCAAGTTTTAAAAGATACTTCTAAAAAGGCAAAGAAACCTATAATGATCGGAAGGTAGAACGTAAGGAACTTCATACTGGGAATGTTAAGGAAACACAACTAACTTGAAGAAGTAGGAGGAATAACTCATCTTTTTATTCGACGGATTTTTATACGAGGTAAACGAGTGCGACAAGATTCAATGGGAACGAGAAAGTCAATGGGTACGAGTACGAAAAGTCCATGAGGAGGAACGGGACAATTCCACGAGCAGGAATTAGGAACGTCCAAGACAATTCGTGGTGGCAGGATTGGGAAGGAGTGATGGAACAATATCTGGATCAAACTCGGCTTGCAGAACAATTTCAGTACGTAACGATCATAGCTGGCCAAGATCAATAGCATTCTGTTAGTCCGCAGTCAACCAAGCAGTAATATCCAAGTCTATTGATCAGTTTAAGGGTACCAAGGTTTGTATAATCGGTGTACCAAAACTAATCAGTACTTCGTGTACCAAAGCATATTCAGTATATTAATCAGTATAATCAGAATTGGCCTTACCAGTATGGGTGTAGCATTGGTATAACGTATTGTTAACTGTATTGGTATACCCATATTAGGATAATCGTATCAGGATAATCGTTATAGCATAATCAGTATTAGCATAATCAGTATTAGCATAATCAGTATTAGCAATCAGTAATAGCAATCAGTAATAGCATTCAGTATTAGCAATCAGTATTAGCATTCAGTATTGGTGCAATCGTTTATTTGTCAGAAGAGCATCATACCCTGACTAAATCAGCAAGTGCATACGAAACAGGCACTAGGGCATTGAGTATCAAGGGTTCCACTAGAGGAGTAGAGATGTAGAGAAGTAGGAGCAGAGTAAGTTAGTAGAGAAGAGTAGGAAGGGTATTGATAAGGTGCCATTACATAATCAAGCACATGCACGTGACCAGGGATCAAAAGATGAAGAAGGAAAAAAGATTAGCTATTGAATAACTACTACATCCCCAGGGCAAGATGACTGATAATGTACATTCATTAAACACGATTGATCGATTGTTATCGCGGGACTCGATTCCCAACACGTCCAAGTTGATTGAGTTACAGTACTTATGCTCATTGATACCGTATTGTACTGATATTGATCAAATTGTGGACCGATTACCATTTGAAAAATATGCAAAAGATAAAGAATTATCAATAATGTTACAAATATATCAAATTCAATTACACTTATTTTTCGGAGGCCAATCGATAAATTATCAACGAGTGGAGAAAAATTTCAAATCAATCCAAGTTAATAATTTATCAATTGGACTAAAATCACCCAATGATGAATTATTATATTTAAGAATTAAATATAATGATTTGCTAACTGATTATCAATACCTATTAGCACCTAATGTTGAGGAATTCAAATTCATTGAGTTGGTTAATAAGAAATTGATTATATTAAATAATTTAAATAATAAAGATGATGAAGCAATTAATTGGTTAATTAAAGATATTCAATATAAAATATTAATCTGTTTATTACTTAATGGGAGTGATTTTAATAAACAGAAACTTCTTACTTATATTAAAGAATCCAATTTGACCATTGATAAAGAACCAATTAATGAATATTTTGAATTAATCTATCAAAATAATCAATTTATAAGTTTTGAAAAATTTCAAAATTTTATCGAATCAATTAAAATAACCTTCCCAATTTTTAATAAGATTATTAGACTCAATGAAATTAAATTAATATCTAATTTTCTTGAAAATAACCTTGCTAATTTACCATTTTACTATAAATCAATTTACTTAACTAAAATTGAAAATTTTTTCCCCAAATTCGATATCAATATTGAAAATTTAATTAATCAAATGATCATTAATAATAAGTTCCCTCCAGGTACTACCATTAATCAACTGAATGGATTACTTGAATTTCCGTCCTTCACCAAATTTAATGTTTTGAATAATCATATTAATCAAATTGGTGAAGTAATTAATCAATTAGTTGATGTGACTGCAAACGTGTAATCCACCTGAAGGTCAACTATTAACGAGAAGGGGCTGTTAGTGCATTGTGTACCTACAACTGGGGCAGCGGCAGATGCGAAGCAATTACGTTTATTGTAAGTAGGATTAGTTAAATATAATTTTGTAACTCATTAATTGTTTATTTTTAATGTAAATTCACAAAATTAACGGTTGTCGTTCGCTAATTTAGAGACGATGCCGTTAGCCATTGACGATTAACTTTAGTATTATAATATCGATTAACTTTAGTGTTATAATATCGTTTAATCTTGTTCAAAACGGTTGTAGTAAAAAAAAATTTAAAACAATAGAAATTGGGGTTCCGCTAGTGTAGTCTAAACCGATAGCCTATATTATTGAGCCTTCAAACTACAATGCCATACCCCAAGAAATCCTCAATAGACATTATACGGATTTCAGCTGATGCAGCGCTAACTAACTTTTTTAGATTAACAATCTGAGGAAATTAGTTAATTCGTGTTATGCTTTCACTCTTTTTGATAGCTATTGTATTCAAATACAATAACTAAAAAATATCCTTGACAGTTGAAATTTGATACTCTAACTAAAACTTGTACTAAATATGTGCTTAACGTACCGAAAGTATAATGGAAAAATCGTTGATTGCAGATGGGGTGATTTATTTTAATTACCTAATATAGGTTTGTCAATTACATCATGACCAGCCATCTCTGAAATAAGAGTTTGATTAGCGGAAATCATTACAACAGTTATAAACCTTATTTCTCATGTATTATGTACCTATAATCTGTATACATTACTACATCTTGGAATTAAAACAGTTATCCAAGGATATTCATTTATAGTGGCCATACTCCTTAGTCCAATATTGTCTTAATGTTTTTTGTTTACCCAATTCACTAATTTGTTTAATTTCTTCATTAGTTAATTCGAAATCAAAAATGTCAAGAAATTTACCAATTCTTTCTTCTTTGGTTGAAAGGGTAATTGGTAAAATACCTTGTTGTAAAGTCCATTTCAATAATATTTGCTCTTCTGCTTTATGATACTTTCCACTTAATTTTTCAACATAGTCGTCAATTGGTCCTGGTTTACCCTTTGACAATGGTCCTAATGGGCTATAAGCTTCAACCAAAATATCGTGTTCTTGACAATATTTGACAATTCCTGGAGTTTGTTCTTGTAAATAAGCATTGAATTCAATTTGGTTAACAGCAGGCTTAATCTTGGGGTTGGAGTCTAATATCTCCTGAATGTCCTCGACTTTGAAATTTGAAACCCCAATGGTTTTGGCGTATCCGTCCTCAACCAATTTTTCTAAATTCTGCCAGGCTTCAACCAAGCTAACTCCATGGAATGATTTCTTAATATATGGAGAATGTAACAAGTACAAGTCAACGTAAGGGGTCTTGAACTTATTTTCCAATTCTTTAACCAAAGATTGGTAAGGGTTTTCGTAAGCACTGCGAATGGTATACAGACTATCCCCAGTGTTATACTTGGAGGTGATGAACAATTGATCTCTGGGGACCAGTTGGATAGCTTCTCCGATTTCACCACTGGTTCCGTAAATTTCAGCACCGTCAATGTGGGTAAAGCCTTTCTTGATGGCCAATTTCAAAGTGTCAACTAATTTAGTATCAATTTGATCTTGACCAAATTTGAACCAAGCAGTTCCTGCGCCGTAAGCAATGGCAGGAATAGTAGCACCGTTATTAAGTTTGAAGGTTTGCATTGTTTGATCTGATGTAATCTGATGAATTGTAATCATATTGATGTGGATGCTGACTATCAAGCCTTTATAGAAGATCCCGCAAGGGTGGTAAGGTGTGGATTGTGGCTTAATGATTGATTTGTCAGGCTCCTGAGGGCATAGAAGGACATTACAGCTTCGGAACAAGCTTAGGTTCCGGATGGGACTACATGAAATAGTCATAGTACGGACTGCAGTAGTATAGATTGAAGCCGGGTTGAAGTACTATGGATTGAAGCCGGGTTGAAGTACTATGGATTGAAGCCGGGTGGAAGTACTACGGATTGAAGCCGGGTGGAAGTACTACGGATTGAAGCCGGGTTGAAGTACTACGGATTGAAGCCGGGTGGAAGTACTACGGATTGAAGCCGGGTTGAAGTACTACGGATTGAAGTACTACGAATTGAAGTACCGATTGAATCAGTTTGGAATCTAAACGGCTTGGCCATCTACAGATACGAATTTAGCAGCACCACGGCTTCAACAGTACATTGACAGCGCATTGAAGTACGTTAACAGCATATTAACAATACAACCGAATGACTCAGTACAATGAGGAGTAGACCTAATGAGTCAATTCGGAGGCTACACGGCTTGACTTGCTTGAACAGGCAATCTACAATAGTATTATCTAATCATTTAATCATAATCTATACAAGTTAGTAATAACCCGATCCTAATTGTAATAAACTTTTTGCCACGCTGAAGCTATTTGGGGTGCCAAAATTATGTTCTTTCAAAGGAGAAGAGGTTAAGATATCTCTTTTTTTAACGTTAATTGCCAAAGAAGATTCATCGATGGTTTCATCGATGGTTTCATCGTTATTGACCAAGTTTCTAGAAGATTTAATTGGGGTTTTCAAGATTTTATTAATGGAAGGTAAGTTTGTTTGGTGGTGGAAAGTTTTAATTGAAGGATTTGATAATGGTAACTGATTATTTTCATTATAGAAAGAAGAATTTTTCTTTATTTGAAATAATTTTAATTGATTTTTCTGTTTAGCAATTGAGCTTAATGAAGGTTTTAATTTTAAGTTTCGATGATTATTACAACTTGCAATTGATGAATTAGTCTTGGTTTGTAAGTTGATATTAATCGACGATTGGTAATGCGTTGGGGATGGTGGGGTAGCACTGGATACCTGACTCATATTGAAGGAGGTTGGGGTTGAATGATTTGATTCATTTGGTTTAATATACTTTGTATATGAATTAAATTTCGATATTGGACGCGTGGTTTCGTTATAACTAATTTTTTTATTAATTTGTTGTTGAACCTTATATAAAGCCAATTGTAATTTTAATTTTAATTTAGTAGCAGCTAAATCAGCAGTTGCATTTTTATTATTACTTATTTTATAATCTGAAAATGAGTTACTAGTGAAACTTTTATGGTTGGGTTTTCTAATACTGGATATTTTCTTGTTACTTGGACTTTTGTATGGAGTTGACGGTCTGGATACACTATTTAATAAACTGGTGATATTGGTTTTCAGTCTATTAAGTCGATGGGGAGTAGAAGTATTTTGATTTTTATACGGAGAATTAACATTCAAATTAATTGGTGCTAAAGCAATTCTCTTGGATGGGGTAGATGCACTAATAGACATGATTAGCTATATTCTATTTAACTTATAACTTACTAATAAGTAATAGTTCATACCTTTGGCAATTTGCTTAATATATAAATTGAAAATTAGAATCCTCCAAAACCGTGAATCAATCCTATAAAGCGTGAAAAATAAATAAACAGATCCAACACCAATACCTTGACAGTAAAATAAACAAATACTCACTTTAGTGCTACAAGTTGAATAATTGTAAATACTTTAATCGTATCGAAATTGTTAATACTCGATTGAGGATGTAAACAAAATCACAATAACGTCGCGTCTTTATCTTCCAAATAAACATCTACTCCAGGTAAGTACCTGAGCCTTATACGAGATCTTGTATAGGAAGAAGCTGGTCTTAATAATACCGTGCCATTAGCCATCACGTACAATAATGGCAATTGTACAAATACACCTTTATCAATTACGAGTCTTTTAGACCGGACGTGTTGCTTCAGCACTACAAACGTAAATAAACACTCTTTTCTGTCACTATAACAAACAAACAAACGGGTGTTGCTGACTTGATGGTGTGATGGTGTTGGTGTTGTGATGGTGTTGGTGTTGTGATGGTGTTGGTGTTGTTGGTGCTGGTGTTGTTGGAGTTGGCGTCGATGTTGTTGATGTTGTTGTTGGTGTTTAGTAAAGGTACGGGTGTGGTCCACGTGACCCTTTTGTGCGCCCGTACACCAAGCCCGCCATCCCTTGATAAGCGTCTGATAAAACAAAAGGAAGGCAATTAACCACCACCAACCATGTCGATAAGATCAAAGCTCTCATCATTGAGAGAATACCTCACTCCTATAAACACCGAGTCCAACTTCTCCACCACCGGAGAAATTTCCCCGGACGAGTTTGTCAAGGCCGGCGATTATCTAGTGTATAAATTCCCAACCTGGCAATGGGGGTCTTGTCCTGATAAGTTAAAAAAATCGTTTTTACCTCCTGATAAACAGTATTTAATAACAAGACACGTTCCTTCGTACCAGAGGGTGTCCACATACTATGGAATTGACTCTACCAAGGACGAGGATGAAGAAGAGGAAGATGAAGACGGTTGGGTCAAATCTAAACCAATTAATAATCGAGATCACGTTGATCGATTAAAGAAAGACGATCAGAACCAAGAACAGGATATAGATGATCTCATTGATGATTCGGTGGAAGACGATATCGAAGATGCAGAAGAAGATGATGACGATTTCCAACAAATTGATTCCAATAACGAAGTTCGTAAATACGATTTATACATTACTTATTCTACTTCTTATAGAGTACCTAAACTTTATCTTGTTGGGTTTAACTCAAATGGTATTCCGCTATTACCCAATCAAATGTTTGATGATATAAGTAATGATTATAAAGATAAAACTGCAACCATTGAAAACTTGCCAATCACTTATAACACCACCTCGATATCAATTCATCCTTGTAAACATTCGTCAGTCATGAAGGTCTTGATGAAACATGCTAAAAGAAAGAATTCCGAACCAGATATTGCCGATCTCTCCTTAGAGGATACTGGCATTAGGGTAGACCAGTATCTCATCATCTTCTTAAAGTTCATTGCCAGTGTCACTCCCGGTATAGAATACGACTATACCATGGATGCGTTATAATACGGTAGCAGGTCTGCGTGTTTATAGTTTATCAATAGAATATCTAAACCCTTATACCGTTGTAAGAGCGCAAAAAAGTATATCAACTGAAAAAAGTATAACTGAAAAAAAAGTATATCAACTGAAGAAAAAAAAAAAAAAACAATCAGTCAACATCATTTACTGAAAATGCCTAAACCAATTAAACGGAAACTGAAATCAAAGCAGGAGAATAACGATAATGAGCATGCTATCTTATCTTCGATTGGAGATAAGATTGCGAAAACAACCGGTATAAATGTTAATGAAGATGAAGATTCCAATACTGCAACACCAGAATTAACCGAATCCTTAGAATCAACCGAAGCAATTGAAAAGAATAAAGACCAGTTGAAAAAAGCATTACATAAAAGCAAAGACTCAAAAGAATTGAAGAAGAAACTTTACCAATCGAGAAGAGTTGTCTTTGCACTTGGTGCAGTGCTTGGATTATTATTAACAATTTTCTTATCAACTTTTTCAAATCAAGATTTAAGAAATGAATTAGAACAAATTGTTCGTTTTGATTCTTCGGCATTTTTCCTGGATGACTGGAAAGATTTGTTGCCTGCTGGAATTCAATCAATGTTGAATGATTTTGAAAATAAAGATTCAAATAAACCTGATGAATTAAACGGTTCAGCAGAATCTTTTTCTGCTGGTAAAAGAATGGTGGAACAATATAACTTAACTGCCAAACATAATGTTATTATGGTTCCTGGTGTTATTTCAACTGGTATTGAATCTTGGGGGTTAAATGAAGACGGGGATTGTCCTTCAATTCATCATTTTAGAAAAAGATTATGGGGGTCTTTTTACATGCTTCGTACCATGATCTTAGATAAAACTTGTTGGTTAAAACATATTATGTTAGATCCTGAAACCGGATTAGATCCTCCTAATATTAAATTAAGAGCTTCTCAAGGTTTTGAATCTTCTGATTTCTTTGTTGCTGGTTATTGGATTTGGAATAAAATTATTCAGAATTTAGCTGTTATTGGATATGGTCCAAATAATATGTTAAGTGCTAGTTACGACTGGAGATTAGCTTATTTAGATTTAGAAATTAGAGATGGTTATTTTACTAAATTGAAAACTCAAATTGAAACTATTTATAAATTATCTGGCGAAAAGTCAATTTTAATTGGACATTCAATGGGGTCTCAAGTTATTTTTTATTTTATGAAATGGGTTGAAGCCAATGGTGATCTTTATGGTAATGGTGGTCCAAATTGGTGTAATACTTATCTTGATTCAATTATTGATATTAGTGGTAGTATTTTAGGTACTCCTAAAACTATCCCGGTTTTACTTTCTGGTGAAATGAAAGATACTGTTCAAATGAATCAATTGGCCATTTATGGTTTAGAAAAATTTTTCAGTAGAAAAGAAAGAGTTGATTTAGTTAGAACTTTTGGTGGTGTTCCTGCAATGTTACCAAAAGGTGGTGATGTAATTTGGGGTAATTTAACTCACGCTCCTGATGATCCTTCAAATACTTTAATCACAAATTCAACTGATGTTGAAATTGAAGGTACTAAGAAGGAATCAGTTGGTAATTTTATAAGATATATTTCCAAAAAAAATCTGAGTGCTAGTCGTAATTTTACTATAGCTACTTCGATTGATTATATTTTAGATTTTTCCCCTGATTGGTTTTCAAATAGAGTTAGAAGTCAATATTCTTATGGTATTGCTAAAACTAAAAATGAATTATCGAAGAATAATCAAGATCATCTGAAGTGGTCAAATCCTTTAGAAGCTTCTTTACCAATTGCCCCTGATATGAGAATTTATAGTTTCTATGGAGTAGGTAACCCAACGGAACGGGCTTATAATTACGGTGATGATTTCACTGCTTTATTACCAATGACCATTGATTTAGAAAATGAAAACCCAATTTACATGGCCGATGGTGATGGAACCGTTTCCTTATTAACCCATACAATGTCTCATGAATGGAAGAAACCAAACTCTCGTTTCAACCCAGCAAATATTAACGTGACAATTGTCGAAATCAAACACGAACCTGATAGATATGACATTAGAGGTGGTGCTAAAACTGCTGAACACGTCGACATCTTGGGTTCTTCGGAATTGAATGAATTGATTCTTAGAGTTGCCGGAGGTCAAGGTGATAAAATTTCTGATCGTTACGTTAGTGACTTACATCAAATAGTAGATCGCATGGTTATTTAATCACTACATTGGTCTAATTGCCTCGTATCTTCTTCATTTCTTGTTCTATAATATTTATATTCTTTAGTTTATACCTTTTTACAGTGTTCTTTTAGATGTACGGGTCCTGTATACCTTTCCCTTCTTTTGTTTACTTGTTTTCTTTCTTTGCACTGAAAATTTCAAAAGGAAATAATCCGATTACGTTTCGATTACCTGTTTTGTATCGATTCAAGCCAGAATTTAATTGAACAAGTTGATTGTAGTACTTCAATTGCATCAACTTACCATCCATTCTTATAGTCTAGTATTGTTAAGGTAGTCACCAGCAGTTTAGACCTTTTTTTTTTTACAATTTTCAACTTGCTAAGTTTCGTCACTCGTTATCACGAATCGACTTTAAAACGTCTCTTCAATCATTATGAGGTATGTTTAGTGAATTGTTTGTAATGTTTTGACAGTCATACTAACAATTTGGTGATGTAGTGGTAAATTTGTTAGAGCATCCAAATATCGTCATGTATTTGGTCAAGCTGCTAAAAAAGAATTATGTTATGAAAATTTGAAAATCACCAAGAACGCTTGGGATTCAAATATTATTAATACTAATGGTAAATATATATCTGTTAATTGGGATGCTTCTGGTGGTGGTGCTTTCGCGATTATTCCAATTACTGAAGTTGGTAAAGCTCCTGATACTGTGTCCTTATTTAGAGGTCATAAAGGTCCAGTATTAGACACTGCTTTTAATCCTTTCAATCAACAACAAGTAGTTAGTTGTTCTGATGATGGTAAGATCCTCTTGTGGGACATCCCAGAAGATTATTCATTCCACAAATATCTTAATGAAAATGACGAAGTTAAAGATATTATCGAACCAACTAAAGTTCTTTCTGGTCATACTAGAAAAGTTGGTCATGTTGGCTTCCATCCATGTGCAGAAAATATCTTAGCCTCTTGTTCAATGGATTACTCAGTTAAAATTTGGAATTTGGAATCTGGAGAAGCAGTCCATACTTTACAACATAAAGATTTAGTTACTTCTTTTGCTTTCAATTATAATGGTAGTTTATTAGCAACTACTTCAAGAGATAAAAAATTAAGAATTTGGGATATTAGAGCTGGTAAAGTTATATCTGAAGGTCCTGCTCACTCTGGTGCTAAACCTTCTAGAGTTGTATGGTTAGGTAATACTGATCGTATTATAACCACTGGGTTTTCTAGAATATCTGATCGTCAAGTTGGTGTTTGGGATATTAATAATATTGATAAGGGCCCAATTGATGGCTTTATGGTTATTGACGCCTCCTCTGGTGTTTTGATTCCAATTTTTGATGAATCAAACTCAATCTTATATTTAGCTGGTAAAGGTGATGGTAACATTCGTTATTATGAATATGAAAATGATGTCTTACATGAATTATCTCAATATAGTTCAACTGATCCTCAAAGAGGTTTCGCTGCAGCTCCTAAATCCACTGTTAATGTAAAAGAAAATGAAATTTTGAAATCTTTCAAAACTGTTAATGATCACTCTATCGAACCTGTTTCCTTCATTGTTCCTAGAAGATCAGAATTGTTTCAAGATGATATCTACCCGGATGCTCCTTCTTCTAAGCCAGCTTTAACTGCTGAAGATTGGCTCAGTGGTAAAGACAGTAATGGACCTTTATTATTGAAAATGGGTGCCATTTATGAAGGAACTCAGCCAGATATAAGAGAATCTGAACCTGCTGTTATTGTTGATGAAGCCAAAGCCAAGGAAGCTTCTTCAAAAGAAGAATCCATCAAGGAAAAGCAAAAAACTAAGGAAAGAGTTGAACAAAAAGAAAAAGAAATTACAAGAGATGTCACTGAATCCAGCTCTGCTAAAGAATCACCTAAAGCAACTGTTGATGATTTATTGAAAACTTCCACTAAAGTCGACACTATGCTCAATAAAGTCAATGACGAGTCTGACGATGAAGATTCAAAGAGAATAAGTCAAGCAAGTAAAGATGATGACTGGGAAAAAGTTGAAAAACCTGAAACACCAAAAGTTGAACCAAAAGTTGAACCAAAAGTTGAACCAAAAGTTGAACCAAAAGCTGAACCAAAAGTCGAACCAAAGAAGGAGGAACCAAAAGTTGAACCTAAGAAGGAAGAACCAAAACCTGAGCCAAAGAAGGAAGAGCCAAAGCCTGCAATTAAAGAAGAATCTAAAATCGAATCTAAACCTGATACTCTTTCAGCTCCAGCTGCTAAAGAAGCATCTCCAAATACATCCAACTCCACTAAAACAGCAGGTGCCCCAACCTTAAAGGCAACTGTAGAAAAACTTGCAAGTCTTGTCGAAAATTTGGAATCTCAAGTAACTAAGTTGACTGATGCCGGTTTAGCGAAGGACGAAAGATTAAAAGTTTTAGAAAATAAAATAGATGAATTGTTGAAAAAATAGACATTTAAAATATGCCTTTGAAAATAAAATAGAGATATATGGTGTATATACTAGAATTTCCTTAGTTATTGTTGAAATACTACGAATTTTTAATTTTAAATATAATTATTAATACGTTTATGTTTATGTAGACTTTGGATTAAATACAAAGTTTTTAAAAGGTGATATAGACAATGCTCACCGATTAAGAAATGCAAAAAAAGTAGTATGAGAAATACTCATAGGTATTAAGAAGGAACACTGAATTATTATTATCTAATCTTTTTTGAGGTCGTAAAATCTTTTGAAGATGAAGGAAGTTAAGTTTTGAGCATCGAAAGTAACCATGCCCGAGAATAACTCCAATTTTTGTTTATTCTCATATTGATAGTTTAATAATTGATCCAAGGATATGGTGTTATAAGCACCAGGGACAGTGACAGATCCAGCTGCTGCTTCAATCACAAATATACCAACTTCGTGACAACTGAACATAAAATCTATTTTTGATGAAGATGAAAACTTTTGAGTTATCAATCCGCCAAAATCTAACAAGATCTTTTGATCCATTAACTTTTTAACAGAGTAAATATAAGACCCAAACTTAGGTAACCTATTGTTCTTTTTAAGTTCACGGTGATAGAAATACTGTTTACTGAAAACCGGAATAATGTTAAAAATCTTTTTATCTTTTGGTCTCAGTTGTAATTGAGCTAATATACCTTCAATATGCTTGTTGTAATCATTCAATTGTCTACTCAAGAACTTTTCTTTTTCAAGTAATTTATTATTAGTCTTAGTAGCAATATCCAATTGTGATTTACGGGTAATTCTTTGATCATCTTTTGTTTTGATGTCAACAGCAATTTGGTTAAGAAGCTCTTGGAATGAGTTTTCACGAGTCAATTGGCCCATACCTTCTAACTGTAAAATAATCTCTAAGGCCATCTTCTTCAACTCACGGTATGTTAAAGTTGAAAGATCACCCAAAGATGTTCTATAGTATGGTCTTCTTTTCTCATGATGTCTAGAAGATTCGGATTCTTTTCTTTCAGAGGCAACAATTTTTCTGAACTTGTCTTCATGACTTTCTTTAATTCTTGAAATCAATAATTCCAAAAGACCATCACCATCCTGTATTCTGATAATATATAAAATACATCTCTTAGCTTGAGTCAAAAGTGATTTTACTTTAGAATCAGCCAATGAGTCTTCTTTAGTAGTTGGATTTAAATTCAATGTTATAGTTCCTAATTCAGTAAGTGATACGAGATCGTCAGCGGAATTCACGAGTTCGTCTAACTTGGAGATTACATTATACAATTGGTCATCGGCACTTGGAGCCATGATATCAATATTTTGACCGACAATTTTTTCAATTTGAATCATTTCACTAACTTTCATCATTAATTTAGGTCTTTCGTGGGTGATTATATCATCGTAGTCATTTAGTTCATATTCGTATTCAATATCTTTCACTTCTATTAATTGTGAAATAAAGTTTCTAGTGATATCAATGGATGAAGTAATGTAATCATTCAAAGGTTTCAAAAAGTTGTCACTGAATGGCTTCATGGAAAACACTTGAAGAAGAACTCTGCTCAAATGTTTCAAGTTTGCTTTGGCTTTGGTATTGAATAATTCTGGATTGAATGGATCTTTTGCTAAATAACCAAAGTTTTCAGGGTATTGCAAAATTGTAGATATGTAGTGTTTAATAAAGATAACGCCAGCAACAGATAAATGCTGTTGTTCAGATTTTTCTGGGAATTGCAATTGTGATAATTTGAAGGCCTCCCTGGCAATCAACCTGACATGAATAGGGACCTTATTGAGAGATGCCTGCAAGACTTCAAGAACGCTTGTAGCATACTCCCTTAAACTGAGTAAATTTTCAACAAAAGCAGCAGAAACTTCTGGATCTTTAATTGCTGTTTGGGGAGTCATACCTTTTGGCCTATCACTATAGCCATGAACTTTGATTTCCCTATCAGCAATACCATCATTTATCACAGTTGGGTCTGACTCAAAGGAAACTTCATCAGTTTCAATTAAGAGAGTAACAATTTTACCCATAAAAGATTTCAAATGTGTTCTTTGGTATGTATGATTATTTATTTGCAAGAAGAACTCAACCCAGAATGATGATTGTGCTTTGGTTAAATCACTTATATTTCTGGAGTTTTTTTGAATGTCAGTCCTCATCAAAGCAAAGATAAATTTGACGTAGAAGAACTCTTCACGAGAGTGATTGTCAATTGAAGAATTTTTTATAGGGAAAAGACTTATAATCAAGTTCTGCAAAGATTTACAAAAATTTGACCCTTTAGACTCAACACTGAGAGTTTTGTAAAGTCTGATGAAATAGGATGGTTTTGTTTGTAAAAAGTAAAACATTGATTGATATAATTCAATTCTTTCTCTAGATGACTTATTCAATTTTTCTAAATTTTTAATGTGAGCAGCATGATTGGCAGAAGGTTTATAAAGTTTGAATTTGTTATTATGCTGAATGAAGTCTTCAACTGTAATTTTGTTTTTATCCAATAAACTCAACTTGATGTCTAAATTCTCAATTTGTGATTCTAATTCTTCGTTGGATTTTGATTTTTCAATGATACAATCTTTCAAATTCGACAATTCCATTTCCTCTTGATAATCGATATCATTGTCAGTCAATAATGAAGCGAATCTCTGAATTACCGATAATGGTGGGTTTTTCATATTAAGTAATGATTTATAAGCCCTTTGTGTAAATTTACTTTTAATCATTGCTTGAGCACGGATAACCTTATCTAGATTCATAGTATAATAATTGAACATGGAGACAATTTCCCTACGGATTTTAAACCCTCTAATACGACTTTGCAAATCGATCACTGAACCAATTTCAGTATAAATATCGTCAAGAATGATTTCTCTTTTAAACCTACTTAAAATTCCTCTAAATTTGGATTGAAGTGGTAAAATTTGTTCTTCTTCGTAGAAATACAAAACTTGTTTTTGCCAGTTGAATCTTCTTCTGATAGCATTACCTCTAACTTTAGCGAAAAGTTCGTTCATTCTATCATCTTGACCCATCAAAGTAATCAAAACATTATTACACAACTTGGTTCTAGCAATTCCACCTCTTGCAATACTTTGAAGGTCAGCAATCATTGTAGAAGCCCTAAACATACCTCTCAAGACTCTAAAACATTCGATTCTGGTTTTGTTACCACGGATAAGAGACTGTAATTGAACAATACCACCACTATTAGCTAAACCAGAAATGATACTATTATTGGTTTGTCTTTGATAGAGGATACGACGAGCAACGGATTGAAGTGATAAAACACTATCTTCAATATAATCAATGTTATCTAAAATGACCGATGATTTAGAATGAATTTTATTTCTTCTGATAACAGTTTGAAATTCAATGACATTAGAAGTAGCCAGCACAATATCATTCTTGGTATTTTCCACCCTGAGTCTTTCAATTCTTCCACGAATAATGGCTTGAAGTAGCACAATTGCTTTCTCAGAATCAGAGAAATCGACTTTAGATTTAGAATTAAACAATTTTCTTCTGGCGATTGCTTGTAATTGGATAATTTCATCTTCAAAAACTATTAAGTCGTCACGTTTGCAATCAATGGTTCTACGACGAGAAGCATTACCTCTTATGACGGAACAGAACACTGTAAACTCTTCTTCATATGACTTCAAGAGAATACGGTCGATGAACATTTTATAACGGAAGCTGGCACCTTTTGCTAAAGCTTGAACTTTGATTATATTATCAATGTGATCGTCAATTTCGGGGGTATATAATGGATTATAAGTATAATCCAATGAATTATAAATGGCTTTATGATGATCTTTGATTCTACTAGATGCGTTCCTATTAATTGAGTCTCTACTTGTATCAGCATTTGATTCTTCAGTTTGGTTTGTTTCTTGTAAGTATTTTTCATAACGATTAGTAACACTTGATCTATTATTTTTAATAGGACTTGTAGCAACGTCTTGATATTTTGGGCGGATTGGACTAGTTTGAACATCTCTTTCAACTTTTTTAGAAGTAGAGGACCTGAGCAGATCACTAAAGCTAGCATCAACAGACTTATCAATAGTTCTTGATCTACTCAAATGGAAAGGATTTTCCAACTCAGTTTCAACACATTTATCAACCATGGTTGGTTTAGGACGTTCAGAATATTGTTTACTGGAAATTGCTACATCTCTACCAGGTAAATGTTGATGATCATCTTCAATAGTTGAGTGAGTAGGATTAGCAGGGGTTTTAGGAAATTGGAAAACAGGTTTGGGTACAACTGGTGGTTCTTCTTCATAAGTATCACCAGTATCGACACTAGTGAAATTTGGTAAACTGCAACCAACCAAGGCTCTATTTGCAGCTCTTATTTCATCTTCAGTGAAATCAACTTGATCCACAAGATCTTCAATATATCCGTAACCTGGATTAGTTTTCGCAAGAATATAACTTAAAGCGTGTAAACAAAACCAAACTTTAGGAACATTTTTAGCGTCATATAAATCAGTTAACTCAAATCTGAAAAGATCTGGAACATTTTTTCTTTTCAAAAGGTAAAAAAATTGATTGATATTATCAGTATGTTGAAATTGTAACCTTGAATCATTTGTAAAGATTTTTTTAGTCGTTCCAAGGACTGCTTTAGATAATTTAGCGAGATGGATACCATTTCTAATATAGGATATTAATTCAACTGGATCTTGATTAATTTCTTCTTGTATTATAGGTTCCATCCAATTTTTGATGGCAAGAATACGACATAAATATTCGTAACCGGGAGAATCTCTGGAAGTAGCACTACCAGGAGAAGCTAGATAGTTTCTTGGAGAAGATTGTTTTTGTTTTTGGGGAGATGGAGTTCTTGGTTCAAGACGAGTGTTTCTGGTTATAGTAGAGCCTAAATCAGTTGGAGTATCGATTCTACCAAATGATCCACCAAATTTTTTAGCGGTATGGGTGAAATTTGCAGGGGTATGAAGTCCGTTAGGTTTATTAGGGGACGGGGTATTATTTGAATTATTTTGTTTAAGTGGAGAGGTATCAAACTGGCGAGTAACTTTATTTGCAGGAGTTTTCAACTCATCTACTTGATTATTAACTCTACCATTAGTTCTTTTTGGGGTTTTACTTAAGATATCACGATAATTACCCTTGGCCCAACTTGGGGTTTCGTCACCGGCATCAGCATCATCATTGACTGTTATGGGATTATTATTGTTATTATTAGGAGTATTGGATGTTACTTTCTTACCGGGAGACCCATTTCGACTACTATTATTAGAATTGGCCTTACTTTGATCTCTGAAAAAGGAAACGGTAGCAGAATCCGACTCGAATCTTTTCTTTAGCAAATCAGTTTTAGAAGGAGTGGAGCTTTGATTACCCGTCAATTGTTTGGCAAGCTTATCCAAATCACCTTCATCTTCGTTTTTATGGGGCCCCGTTTGTTTTAACGGGGTTTTGGTGGGAGAGGCATTGAACCTATTCGAAGGTTTCAAAGGCAGAACAGGGGCGGCGTCCGGATTATCTATAGATTCCAAGTATTTGGAAACAATATTATTAACCGCCATCCTCGATTATTTCGTCTATTCCGATTGAACAGCCTTTTGATCTAAAGCAAGGAGAATAAAAGAAAGACTAACGTGAATGAAAGCGAGCGAATGTAACAGCTTTGGATGCTACCGGGGTATAAATAAGATTAAAGAAATTAGACGGTAACTTAGAACGACTATAGAAAACAAAAAAAAAACAAAAAGTTAGAAAAAGTCTAAGCAGATAAAAATGAAGAAGAAAGCCAATAGATATATGAAACAGAATACTTCCTACTCAGCTAGCAGTGTGACCCATCCACAAAATTACCAAACTAGCCTAATGAATTGAGATTAAAGAGAGATGAATCGAAATATTTGTTTAATTGTGTTTATGTTTTACGTTTTTTTCGTTGTTTATGTTATTTACTTTCCGTTTTGGGAACGTATCAAAACAACTCTCTTTTTTTTTTTTTTTTTTTTTTTTTTTTGTTAGTGAAATTTTTCAGTCTTTCAACTTGACCAATTTACAAAGAGAAGGCCTCGACTCCAGTGGTGAAGGTTTTGCAGCACTCGCACGGTGAGAGGAAGTGTGTAGTTGCCTTTTGCATTCGTTCTTGCCGTTCTTTTGCAATTCCTGGGGCGATAAGTCATAAGTAAGTCGGGATAAGTAAGCAGTTCAGGCAGTACAACTAACCAAGCTGCTATATGCTGATGATGCTTCAGTACATGATTTACGATTGCGCTAGCCGACGAGAGCGTTCCATGCTTACATTGAAGTTTGTTAAGGGTCATTAAAATTCATGAATACGACAAGCTAAACTAAATAAGGTCCTGTTTCATATACTTGACGAGTTTTGGGGTGCCAGAGGCTGATGTTTTTGTGCCAAATAACTTGCTTCGAGAAATTGAATGGACTCATCAAGGGACTCCAACTCTGCTCTTCTTTCCGGGATGGTTTTCTTTGACTCGTTGAGCAGGAGTAAACTTTGCTGGTAGTCTTCGATGATATGGTCGATTCGGGGGATGATTTCCTTTAGGTTCGACTCGTTGGTGAATTCAGCTTTTTCTTCTTGTTCTTCTGATTCAGTTTCCAAGTTGGTTAATGCCATGGTAACGTTCATATCGGTGTCACTGATGAGTTTGCTATAGGCATTACGGGACTTCTTGGGCAACTCGCGACGAAGTCGAGTCATCTCGGTGGTTTCTCGTTCAACCTCTCCAATGATTTCTCGAAGACTGTTGTTCAATTCGGTATCAAATGGGGCTACTTCTTCCATGTTTTCTAAAGATAAGAGTTCTTTCACTGGTATTTCTTGGTCCTGTAAGTCGTGTCCGTCTATAACCATGGCATTCTTCGCCATTTCAAATGTCTCCAAAAGGAATTGGTTAAGTTGATTTTCAACCTCCATTTTCAATGGATCTCGAGGCCCCGACCCCGGTACATGGTAATCTAATTTGCTAGTGATATCATTTCTCAATTGGCTAAACAAGTAACGTAGGTCTTGCTTGGAGAGCTGTAGCTTCTCGTAGTTCTGGTTGGCACTCATCCTTTGCTTATCCTTATCAATGTTGTGGTTGTTATGATTATTTTGATCTTCTTTTTGAAAAGATGAAGAGCGTGCGACATTTGGTTTACCGGACAGCGACATTTGTCGCGCGGTCTTGAACGAAAGAGAATTAATAAAAAAAAAAAAAGGTATCTTTAATTAAGGAACAAATAGTGTTATAGTTATAACTTCAACTTTTGAATAAACATATAGAATAATGAGTGAAGCATTGGGAGACGAGTACAGTCCGGCTTTTGCTCCTTTTTTTGGTTTTGCTGGATGTGCAGCAGCAATGATTTTATCGTGTGCTGGTGCTGCCATTGGTACTGCTAAGTCAGGTATTGGTATTTCAGGTATTGGTACTTTTAAACCTGAACTTATAATGAAATCCTTGATTCCTGTTGTCATGTCGGGTATTTTATCGGTGTATGGGTTGGTTGTTTCTGTTTTGATTGCTGGAGGTTTGGCTCCCACTCAAAACTATTCACTTTTCAATGGATTTATGCATTTAGCTTGTGGATTGGCGGTTGGATTCGCTTGTTTGGCTTCTGGTTATTCAATTGGGATAGTTGGTGATGAAGGTGTGAGACAATTCATGCACCAACCAAGATTATTTGTTGGTATTGTTTTGATTTTGATTTTTGCTGAAGTTTTAGGATTATATGGTATGATTATCGCTTTAATCTTAAATACTAAAGGTAGTGGTTAATTTACATGCATTATATAGATTGACTGGTTGAGGATCAATGCTATTCAATTACCATTTCTATCTCTTATTCCTTTATAAAAATTATTACTTTTTTACTTCTTGACATCCATCAAACACTTTTCTTTTTGTTTACTTCATTTTCAATATAGTCCAAGCTTGCTTTACTGTAAAAAAGGTGTAGAAAAATCAAAACTTTTTTTTTTTCAAATTAAATTAATACACATAGAATCTAAATAACTACAAAGAGAGAGGGTTTATAAAATACATATGACAATTCTAATCAGTCTCCATCTTGTCATCATTAGAAGGTGCTGGGACGGAAGTATTTTCTGAGACTGAAGCAGTTGAACCTTTAGGATCATTGGTAACACCTGCAGGAGCTCCTAATGTAACATTACCATTATCATCGATAAATTGACTTGAAAATTCTTCCACGTATTGGACAGATCTTTCAGAATCCAAGAACAACATATAACCTCTTTTGATATCAGGCAAATCAACAGTATTACTTCTTCTTTTAGATGCTATTTGTTGGGAGACTGCTATTAAGTTAGAAGCATATCTTAAACTAGTTTCTTGTCCAATTTTAGTCAATAAAGCTAAAGCGTCATTAGATAATTCAACTTCTTCTTCGGTGGCTCTAATAGATAAAATAGTTCTTATTTCGTCAGCGTTATAAGAAGAAGTATGAATAATAATTGATCTATCCAATAAATCCATTGGTAAACCATGAGGTGATTTATAATTTGTACCCCTAGTTTTAGAAATACCTCTATTAGTAGCCATTATAACAATTGGAGAAAAATCATCTTCTAAAGCTCTATTTATAAATGAAAAACATTCAATATCTAACATATGAACTTCATCAATGAATAAAACACCAGGAACAATTTCTGCTTTACCTTCTTCTTTCCATTCAGCAACTTTTGTATTGATCTGATCACGAACTTCAGATCTGATTTCACCAGTATCACCGGAAAATAGGGCCAAGAAACCTTGTTGTCTAGAATTTATAACATCAATTTCATGTAAAGAAACCGTGTGGACAACTTCTTTTCTTTTTTGTAATTCACCTTCTGGACATTGAACAAATTTAGTATCTGGTCCCATTGCATCATAATCTCTAGCACGAGTGAAAGATTTACCTAATTTACTAATTTTTCCTGATGCTTTATCAATTGAAATAATATCACCGGCTAAAACTTTTTCTTTAGTTAAACCTTCAATCATTTTATTACCAAGTTCGTAAATAGTTTCCATGTCGGTGGTTTTAATTGTAAGTTTACCTTGTTTGTGACCACCAGTGATTGATCTATCTATTTGAATTTCAACAACTTCACCTTCAATAATCTCGGTTTCTTCTTTAATCTTAATACCAATTGATTTACGAAAGGCTTGAGTTAAAGATTCGGTTTTCGATAAATCTAATGAGAATACTTCGGAACCGGCGATTGCAGTGAATGGAACCTCTGACCCCAAGCTTTGCGATAACCCCATTGCAATAGCAGTCTTACCGGTTGATGGTGGACCAGCTACCAATACAGCACGACCTGCAATCTTACCTGCTTGAATTAATTTTTGAATCACACCGGCTGCTTTTCTAGCCTTTAATTGACCAACCATACCTTGGGAGGATTCCTTTGGTTTCAAATTTTCATCTAAACCTAAGCCGGATATATGTGAATGGGCTGCAATTAATGATAACCCATTCAAGTCCTTACTTTGGACGTTTGTACTGATTGTATTTGTTGACTATAAGAGTTAGTATGACCGGTATAAACAAAACAGAAGCTCAATCAAGCATTACTTGGTTAACTCCAATCCCACCAAGTACCATAACATACCATTTTACTTGTATATAAGCGAAATTGGATGGATAGATGAAGGCAAACTGAATTCACTAATTGACTTAAGCAGTATTTTTCTTTAGTGAAAATTGAGAGAAAAAAAAAAAAAGAAAAATCCAGAGATGTCGCGGGCCTACATTATATGCACTACAATTTGTTGTTCAAAATGTACGGATTTCTAATTGCAAAAAGTACTGATTAAAGTACTATATAACTAAATTCTTGATCTATGGCCAATGGGACCTTCTTCGTACATGTTTTCAAGTTGAGATTTAAAAAATTTGGCACAGAAAGGTCTTTTGATTTTAGTGGTAGGGGTGAGAAGTTGACGGTCCGCGGTCAAAGGTTCAAATTCAATATAAACATTTTGAATTCTTTCAAAACCTTGCAAATGGGGGACATGTTTATTGAGGTATTGGATAAGTTTAACACGGTTTTCCTTTTTAATTAAGTTTTCCAAGACAAGTTCGCCCGAGAGTTTGGAGACTGCTTCATGTTTTAATCCACAATGGGAAACCAAAAATTTCTTGATACCATGAACATCGACACCAATAACTGCAACCAAGTAATGATGTAAGGAGTTCCCGTATACATAGCATTGGGTCAATATAGGGTTGTTGGACAAGTATTGGTTTTCAACCTTTTCAGGAGTGATATATTCCCCCTGAGCTAACTTGAAAAAACTCTTTACCCGGTCTATTATATATAATCTACCATGGTCTTTAGAAATTAAAGCAATATCACCAGTATGAAACCAGCCATCGGAATCTAGAGCTTTGGAAGTTTCTTCTTCGTTGTTGAAATAGCCTCGAAAGATTTGAGGACCTCTTAATAATAACTCACCTCTTGCACCTTGAGGATCATTTGCAGTATAACCCATTTCGGGGATTTCTTTCACTCTGATTTCAGTGGTTGGATAAGTTGGACCACAAGATCCGGGGTCTTTATCGAAGGGATTACTTGCACAAAACCCTGCAAAACTTTCGGTTAATCCATAACCTTGCATGATTCCGATATTTAAAGCAGCTCTCAAGAATTTAATTGTGGAAGGAGATATTGGAGCTGAACCGGTAATGAGTGTTTCCATGTTATCAAAGCCTAAACCTTTACGTAATTTAGAAATGAAAACTTTATCATAAAAAGCATGAGTACCTGTGGCACCATCATATTCTGATTGCCATTCAATTTTTGAATTGATTATATGAGTATATAATTTCGAAACAATTGGAGACTTAGCTTTAAAAGTTGCCGACTTCAATGCACTTTCAAACTTAGTTAAGATTCTTGGAACATTAGCCATTTGAGTAGGTTTAAATCTCTTCAAGTCATCAATCAAAGTCAAAGGGGTACCACCGTGACGAGGATATCCAACGGTGTAACCATGGATCAAGTAAAGACAAACAAATTCTCTTTCAAAAATATGGGCCAAAGGTAAAAATGAAAAACCTCTTTTAACTTTATTTTTCGGATTCTTCATCGAAAGTAAAAGAATCCCACTAGCAGCATTCTTATGAGTTAAAACCACTCCTTTTGGTTTACTTCCACTTGTACCCGAGGTATAACTAATGGTGAAAACATTTTCAGGTCTTGGAGGTAATTCTAAAGAAGGAAACATTTTACCAACATGAACAACTTGTTCGAAATCGAATAAAGTGATATTATACTTTCTTGCCAAATTCACCAAAGTTTGATCTGCAGCGTTTGTCTTCAAGTTTAAAGGATCCATTGATACGATTGAGATTAAATTACCTAATTGTTCTGGGTGTTTGGCCTTCAAATCAATCAAAGAATGAATATGGTTTTTAGAAGCAACAACAACTGGAGATTCGGTTTCAGATAAAATGAAAAGCGAACTATCGGGTCCTAAAGTATCATATAACGCAGTATTGGTGATTGAAAATGATGCACACATCACATCACTTATAACCCATTCTGGTCTATTGGGACCAAAAATGGTTAAAATAAAAGACAAGTCCTTTTCATCATATTTATCGAAATCTAAATGATGACGATCAATCTTTTCATGGGATCTATATTTGCTAGAATCTTTAAAAGGATTATGTTGAAGCAAATACAAAAGACCCGAGCCAAGATTGATCTTCTGCTCGTTCATTTCTCGATAAGTGATATAACTATACTCATCAGCCAAGGTATGATAATCGTGATCATACTTTCTGACTCCAAGGCATTGTTTATCTAAATGAAATTTCAACATAGTACTGATAGAAGAATGAACCGTCAAAAACTCCTTGGCTAATGCTTCCTTCACATTACCTGGACTGAAAGAGTTTTGAAAAATCGAACTGTAACCTTCTTCTTTAGTGTCAGATATTGGAACCGAGTTTCCACACTGCTCTCTTGGAACCGGTAAGTATCTGTCAAATACTTCATCGATTGGAAGATTCGTTTTACTAAGATCAAACAAGTATGGAGAGTCTTTTGGAGCCAAGGGAGCTTGTTGTTCGTTCGTGGTCATGTTGGCAAGTAGTTATAATTCAATAAAGGATATCTTCTTCCACTTGGTCTTCAAACTTATATATATATAGATATATACCCTGAATAGTAATACAAGCTGAGAAGTGGGGAAAACTCGACTTAGGTCTTCAACCGAGAGCGAATTGATCAGCTTAAGGTTTCAAAATAAGAAACCGCTATCCGAAAAGACCCCGATGCCCACCCTTACCCAACCGTCAGTCGCCACGAAGGTTTGCACCTTAGTGCCAAATTAAGGTTGGGACATTGAACTCAATTAAGGTTGCGGACCTGACTGGACATGGCTGTTTGCGGACATAAGTGGACTTATGCAAAGGGCAGAATAATTCCTATTACAGGGAGCTACATTATTGCGAGAAACGCTTGATTATTTCGTATCTCAATTGATATTGAGTGGTATCTCTCTATGAACAACAAACAATGTTGGTTGAGTATTCAATTAATATACAAAGGTTTGTACTAGTTTGAAAAAATCATTATCGGCCCGTCGGTCCAGAGAGGGCAGCGTGAATAAGTGCGAACAGTGGAGATGTTCGTATGCAACCGAAGCGTTTTCTTTCAAATCGAGGGAATACCTGGATTTGAGTTGGGAGCCTGAAGGACTTATTCAAATAGCTTTGCCCTGATAAACTAGTGGAGGGGTTAGTTTGGCATGGGCTTACGGCCGCAGATGTAGTTGAAACGTTCAGGAACATCCATTTTATGTAAAATCAATTCCATGAATTCGATTTTGTTGGAGTGGGTTAATTTTGCTGCATAGTCCGTTAATTCTTGCATGGATTTCAAAGTAGCGCTATTATGTTTATCATTGTTGGTATCACCAAACAAGTTGAGTAGTTTTGTCCATTGCCAATTGTCTTGTATGTCATTATAAGATCTTGTTGGACCCTTGATGATTCTTTCAACCGTGTAACCCGAATTGTTAAGCAAGAAGATTTGAGGAGGGGTTACGTCAAATCTTAAGAAGGAGGATAATTCTTGGATTGTCATTTGGGCAGAGCCATCACCCTCGATTAAAATAACCCTACGGTTACTTTGTAAGTCTTTAACCGCAGCACAAACTCCAAAAGTTGCTGGTAATGCATATCCGATAGAGCTATAGTAAATTTGATTCAAGTATTTAACTCCGCGAGGAAATTTCAAATCAGGAATTGCAAAATTGAAGGAGCATGTTTCCACCATCAAGATATCATCATCTTGTAAGTGGTGGTTGAAAAAGTCAACTAAACCTTCTTGGGTTATATCTTTGGTGAGATTTTCAGAGAAAGTTGGTGGTTGATATTGGTATTTGATATTGTTATTGGATTGGTGTTTCAATTTGGTTGAATCCAAAATTTGATTCAATTTGATCATCAAGTCCCTCATGGCAAATTGACGTTCACCATTCTTACTGTTTTGCAAAGAGATGTATTCGCCATCCAAAAAGATATAATCAGGGTGAATGATTACTTGGTCGCTAATCTTACTGAAATCCCCCGTGTAACCCCCGGTATTTGTTTCGATGTTATAATACCCAAAAGTGATTAACAAGTCGGTTTCGTTTTCCAAAGAGAATCGAATCTCATTACTTGGAGAGATTTTGGCATAATAGGTTCCAACGAAATTTGGTCTGGACTCATCAATGATTCTCGAAGTATTTGTTGCAAATAATTTAACGAAATTAGTTGGTAATTTATCAATAAATTCATCAAACTGTTTCATTAAATTGAATCGAGTCATCAATGAATCACCAATGATTGATGGTCTAGCCGACTCATATAATTTTTCAACAATACGATCGGCAATATCGTTCAACATCATTTCATTATTCAATTCAGAATTATTAAAGGATTTTAATAAAAATCTTTCACTGATTTGCAAGTCACTCAAATCACTTGGGACAAATAAGTAGCCTGGTCTGGATTCATTAATGATTTTGTTCAAGACTCGGTCGATTTTCTCAACCAAGACTTCTTCTTCATCTTCGACCTTCAATGATTCTTGAACAACACTCACGTTATGAACCATTTCTTTATAAACGTCGTGGTTAGGTTGTTTCAAGGCATCTTTCAGTGGTAATAAATGATGGATGTTCTTCACCTCTCCTGGCAAGTTGGATGATTCAGCATATCCAACCTGTCTTGAAGAAGTAGTACCAACAATATGTAAGACCGGGGAATATTCAGCAAACGAACCAGCAATACCATTGATAGCAGATAATTCCCCAACACCAAGAGTGGTAATAAGCACCGAAAGACCCTCAATGGCCTTAGCATAACCATCAGCAGCATAAGCCGCATTTAGCTCATTACATAAACTAAGAAACCGAATATTCTTATGATTGGCAACAGAATCACAGTATAAATGTTCTAATAACGAAAGATTAAAGTCCCCTGGAACTCCAAAGATCGACCTAAGCTTAGGGTTGGCCTGGGCTATCCTCAAGAAGAGGTATTCTCCAATGGGGATGGCCTTGTCGGTTGAAGCTTGTAATGGATTTGTAATAATAGGTACCATGTTATCCTTAAGATATTTTTCTTACTGACTCCTAGAAATGGTAACTTCCTTGAAATATCATCCTCTTATATACCATTTTCTGGAAAAGCCCTTGTGTTACAGTATTCACATACTTGCCGTAGCTTACCGTTGAGCCTCACCTCATAAAAGAACTGAGGTTCCTCTGCAAATCTTGCACATTACAACTTCTAAATTCAAAGCAACTGCCAGTGCTGCCGTCTCCCTGACGGACACCCTTCCCGGAGTCCAAGGACTGTAGCATGTTCCCTAATTGCAGAAATAGCCTTCCAACAAGGCGAATTTGAAAGTTTTGACGGTTATATACGGTAAATTGCGGTTTTCTGCTTCAACCTTTAATTTTTTTTTGCAGACAAGTGCGGCTCCTCCCAAAATGGATGATCCACCAGATACCGTGTGAAAAAAAAAAAATCAGTTACTTCTGGATAAAGTTTTAGAGTAGTATTGTAGGAATTGTGTATTACTTATTGTATTGGTTATGTATTTATTGTATTATGTATTGCTTATCACATTAGTTATCTAATACTTGTTATGCACTCAGTGGGATTGTATGTATCTAAAAAGAAAAGAACTTGTCGAGCTCGTCATTCAATTCACCGTCTTCTATTTTTTGGATCCAATCTTTAAACTTGATAACTTTAAATTTTTCAAACTTAGTTTTACTCAAGTAGTCATAGTTATTGTTTTTTTCCAATTTTGTAGGCCAGTTGAAATCGTCAACTTCAATTTTGTCCCTTGCCAGTTGGAACCCTTTCTTTTTACTGGTTGGGTAAGATCCAATCCTTAAACCATTGCTATTTTCAATAACAACACGATCATTGCCCACCTCAACAAGAATCAAACAGTTATGTATGTTATGAAGACGTAATTGATGGCACTTCAACAATAGAACGCAGTGATTTAAATCGTGAATGAAGATAGGACCCTCAGAATTAATTGCGATCACTGAGTCCTCCCCTCCTTTGATATGTGCAGAATATGGATTGAAATCATCAGGATGACATACTATTGCTTTCTTCAAGTTAGAAAATAATACATGTTGATCTTTAGATTTAGATTCTTCTAAGGTAAGTTTAGTGTTGGTTAGTGATTCAAACAATAAATTAATATTCTTATTATTGCTGGTACTGATACTGTTATCTTTCGAACTCGTATCTTTCGTTTGTTCTTCTTCAGTTTTACCCGGTTCTGCATTACTTTCTTTATTAGTAACACAATCTTCAATGTGATCTTCTTCTTTAATCTCTTTGTTCGAATTATTTTCAGTAAGATCTAAAGATTTGACATTCACGTTTTCTGGACTCATATCCAGTTCTTCATTTGAACTCTTTGATTCTTCTAGATCAGTGGTAATCTTATCGTAAGTTTCTGTATGCAAAGGTGTTTCTTCACGGCCTTTGACTTTATTCATTCTAACCCCTGCAGCCAATTTCATTCTTTTATCACTAGTTTCTTCATGTTCTTTGCCTTGATCGAAATTAGCGCTGAGTTTTTGAACCATCAGTTGTACAGATGACAGAGGTAATCTAATTGGTTTTGGTGACATCTGTTGTTGCTGTTGTTGCTGTTGTTGTTGCTGTTGTTCAAATGTCATTAACTTGGACTGTAATTTAGATTGAACCCTTTGCTTAGGTGACGTTAAACTAGAAAGTGGTGATGTAACTGAGCTTGGTGGTTTTGAACTTGGTGACTTTATTTTTCCGTGAATACTTTCAAATTCATTTGAATTCCTGATTGACTTTTCTTCATTGGATAATCTTTCTTGTATATTACCGTCTTCTTCATTAGATTTAGTTTGTGGCTTGTCATCATTTGGTTTACTTTCAGGTTGCGTTTCGTCCTTTGGATCAACAGGTAGTGATTCATTGTTCTTTGGACTAGATTCAGATGACGCTTTATCATTTACTGGACAGGATTCAGCTGGAGATTTGTCGTCGACTTTAGGGGATGATTTATCGGCCATCTGCTTGGAGTCTTTATCAGTAATTTCAGAATCATCCACTTTTTTGTCACCATCCCCTGCAAAGTCATCCTTCTCCACGACTCCAGGTTCAACTTTAAGATCTTTTTCTTCAGGTTTCTGGCCATCAGGGTTATCTGGAACGGGCTCTTCCTTAGGCATTTCTTTTGCTTCATCGTTGTCTGTGACATCTTTAGCCTGCTCTCCTTCATTCACGTTTTCTTCCGTATTCTTCTTTACTTCAGGATGTAGTTGCTGTTCAGTTGATGAAGCAGAACTGGATCTTGGTTTCGTATTTGCCTTCGTTTCTTCTTTTGCGGCCACAGGTGCAGATGAGACTCTTGTTGGTGGCTTACCATGCACCAGATTACTTGTTGCCCTTGTAGTAAAAGCAGATCTGACCTTGGTTTGAGTTTCGATTTTGGGGGTAGGCGTTCTCCTAACAGTTTCACGTTTAGGAGTAGGCACTCTTGGAATCGGGTCCTTCTGGGTTGATGGAGGTCTGAGAATTGGATCCCTCTTCGGAGTTGGTGCTCTTGGGGCCCTCTCTCTTTTGGGAGTCGGTGATCTGAAAACTGGATCTCGCTTTGGAGTTGGCGCCCTCAAGATTGGATCTTTGTTTGGAGTGGGAGCTCTCAATGTTGATTCTCTCTTAGGAGTGGGAACTCTAACTGGATCTCTTCTAGGCGATGGTGCACGGACAAGTGGGTCTCTTTTAGGGATAGGTGCACGAAGCACATTCTTACTAGATTCAAAACTTTGTTTAGTTCTTAATTTTGGCAGAAACAATGTTGGGAGGTTTTCGATTTTTTCAGATTCTTCAACTCCAGAACCTTTTTTATCATCCTTCATTTCTTCCCCGGACACTTCAATTGGCTTGTGCTTTTTTGGAGGTTTTACCGGTGGTAAGTACAGATGATCAACCTCTCCATTTGGGAAAATTGGATGGCCACTAAATTCAAAAGTACTCGAATCAATCAAATTATGTCTAATATCAATATATCTCATTAACGATTGTATGGTTTCAAACATCCTTTTCCTTTCATAAGTTGGGATATTTTCAATTTCATTTTGAACCTCAGCATCAATCTTAATCACACTGGACTTGAGTTGATCTAGAATTCCTGGATCATCACAACTGACAATGTCATTCTTGATCTCTAAACGTTGTTAGCTATTCTTTCCAAAAGAGAATACTCGATACTTTTTCGAACATACCTATGCTCCTGTTGTTGATAGATGATAGCAATTCTTGAGGCGTGACCATTTTTATCTCGAGCGTCTATTCAAATAGTTTTAGAAATGTTAGCTGAAGAGATCAACGACGCGATTCCAAGTACTTTTATATATCTTTTGATTTTGTATTGTGTGTTTTTTTGATCTACTTCCCAAATCGCACCTATACTGCAATTTTCAATGCTAGACGAGGTGAGATCAAAACAATTAACTAAAACGAATGTTTGAACCCGTAATAAGATATTAGATGGTTGTCAAAAAGTTGCCAACTGTTTCGTTGTCTTATTCTACATATTTGCACTTTTGTAGCCAAGTAAACTTAAAACTTGTTAAAATTTTATATAAAACTATCTAAAGGCTAAAGACTGTTGGAATAACTCAACACCAAAAACTTGTTATTTTTTTGTAAACCGGCTTAGTCTTTTCAGCTTCTTTGAATCGCTTGACCTCACTTCTGTTAAGCTCTCTCGTGTATGAATTTCTGAAAACACCTTCGTTTATGTTTACTTGTGATAACTCAACTAGAATTGAACGATCTCCATATTTTAAGTATTGGTGGAGATTAGTTACGGCTAGCAAAGTTAAAATTATGATTATACCTAAAGTTTTCTTTAGAAATGAGCCGACACTAACATTCAGGTTTGCTGGAAATATAGCATCATAGAATTGAGCTATAATCACTAATATACTGAATAAAAAACCATACCATGCTCCGTAAACCCCAACTGGCGAAGTAAAGTAAAATTCTTCTTTGTAAGAAACTTGGTTTATCTGAAGCCATTTTCTAAACCTTATATGACAGAAACAAATACTTCCGAATGTAAATAAGATTGAGTTACCTGAGATAGAAACCAACCAAGTGAACAACGATTCTGTATTCTTAGATAATAAACTAATATACGCCAACACCCCAAAACTTAAAGAAATCAAGTTTGCTATTAAAGGTCTTTTTTTCTTATCAACATAGTTTATGAAGGAGGGTACTTGGCCATTTTGGGCTAATGAAAGCATGGTCCTGGAGGAAGCATATATAGCACTGTTCCCGACTGAAAGAATTGATACAAGAATAACTATGTTCATTGAATGGGCAAACAAATCTGTATTTGCAGACCCCAATGCTAGAACAAACGGAGAACTATTAACGTCAGAGCCTCCACCAAGTAACATAGGATCATTATATGGGACTAAAATACTAATAAGCAATAGGCTGCAAAAATAGAAAATACATATTCTCCAGAACACTTGCTTTGTTGCTTTAGAAACATTCTTTATATCTTTGCTTTCACCAGAGCTGATACCGATCTAAAACAAGGTTAATAAACCACCCTTGTGGTTTTGATTGAAAACATTATACGTACTAGTTCACTTCCGGCAAACGAGAAGACTGAAGTAATAAGGGCAGGAATAAGGTACTTAAATCCGTTTGGTGCAATCATTCCTGGATTCCTCCAATTTTTGAAACCGATAGTCTCTTTCGAATCACCCAAAACACCGAAATTAATCAAAAGACCTATGATGAAAAACAAAATAATTGCAGATAATTTGATAATTGAAAAAACATTTTCTGCAATCCCATAGAACTTAACGTCTAATAGGTTCATAAAGGCGATTACAAAATAGAAAATTGTAATCAAAGCTGACTTGGGGATATTCTGACTTAATACGGGCCAAAACTCAAATACCATTGTAGCAGCTACTAACTCAAGTGGGAGAAGCAAAGACCACTGAATTGCATAATTAGTAGATACCACTAAACTAATATTTTTACCAATAAGTTTTGTACAAAAATTTATGATTGAGCGTGGAGAATTAGAGGGCCAGTTTATGGATAATTCAGCTATGGATTGACACATACAGTAAATAAAGCTAGACACTATAAGATTTGATAAGATCAAGATAATAGGCCCAGACTTTAACACAGCTCCTTGGCCAATAAATAACCCAGTACCTTGAGATGTTAGCTGTAAAGAAATGGAAAATGCAGAGGCGAAAAGTAACGTACCGATAGAACCACCCACACATATCATTTGCAACGTAAACCCATCTAATTTTTGATTTAGTTGAACGTCTCCAGTTTCTGGATCAACTTCTTTACTTCTCTTAAATGAATGAATGACTTTAACAAAAGGGTTCTTTCTCCTACCATTTGGCTCTTCATCACTACTGTTTTGAACCACCTCAGGTTTTTCAACGAATGTGGTATCTGAGATGCTCGAAGGAGCTATAAATTCTAATTCAGATGAACGACAAAGCACCGTGGATCTGTTCACATCATTCAAGCTGTGCGTATCAGCAGTATTATCTACCTGGATTTGTAAAGACGCCCTGGGAAAGTCATGGGAAAACGACCGTGGTTTATCTTTCAAAGTAGTTTTAAACATCGAGTATAATTAATATAATCTTGAGCACCTAAAATCTTACGGTATAATTTTATAGCAAAATGTGCAATTATTGCAAAATTTGATGTTTGTAAAAAATTGCATTTTTTTTTGCGGCTTTTTAGGATTTTTGTTAATTTTTGCAGTCATTTTATCAAATTAATGCGAAAATAGACTACGATTGGCATCAGATACTGAATAAATAAAATTTTATGACAATGTATATATATATGAAATATGAAACGGAAATCAAACTACCCAGAACTGGGAACATAAGAGAAGAGAAGAAAAAGAAAAATATATAAAAATCTTAATTGATAAATTGAGGAAAAACAAACAGGAAGAAAAAAATACGGGATATACGTTAGGACGTTAATGAGTGTAAATGAGTTTTACAAGCTAACTTTTGAAAATACGAGTTCTACCAACCAATTGGTCAGCAACATCTCTGGTCTTATTCCAAGAAATCTTCTTTGGCATTCTTCTACCCAATTCAGTTTCGAAATCATACAATTGTCTAATTGAAGTGAATCTCAAATGGGAAGATTTAACACCCAAAACAGCAGCAGTAGAGGCAACTTTCTTATCATCACTTGGGAAATCAATGACATATTTATAAGGAGCGATGGAATCGAATTGTTCTTCAATATATTGGACTGCTTTAATTGAAAATCTGGCTGCTCTAGTTCTATCGATTGGGGAAGGCAAACCACCTTGTTGAACATGACCAGGAATAGCTGTTTTAGCATCAAATTGTCCATTAGCTTCTTGTTTGATTATATCAGCAATGACTTGAGTAGTTAAAACTTTTGAAGCATTGGTACTTTTCAAAACCAATTTACCAGATTTTGATAAACCTTTTTCAACAGCGAAAGCTTCTTTTAAGGAATTAATATCTGCTTCCAATTGATCTAAAGGAATACCTTCTTCAGGAACATAAGAAGCTTGAGCACCACAAGCTAAGGCCGCAAAAGTAGCGATATAACCGGAATTACCACCTTGAACATCAATGACGAAAGTACGATCTCTTGTAGCAGAAGCAGATTGTTTGACAACATCACAATATTGCATTAAAGAATTAAGACAAGTATCGGAACCAAGAGAGTATTCTGTACCAGGAACATTATTAGAAATAGTAGCAGGAATTAACACCATTGGGATTCTGAAAGCAGGATACATAGCTCTAGCACTTTCTAATTGTTCTAAAGAGACAAAGGCTTCAAAACCACCAACGATTATTAAACCATCGAATTGGTATTTTTCAAAGTAGTAAGCAATCATACCGATATCAGTTTCCTTTGGAGTTGATCTATTAGTACCTATTTCAGAACCACCAATGGAGTTCCAACCTTCAATTTGTAACCAATCAATCAGTCTAACTGATTCGTGTCTTGATAAACCGGCAAACCCGTTATGGATTGCATAAGGAGTATGACCTCTAGACATACAATAAGTAGCCATGGCATACACAGCACTATTCATACCACCAGCAGGAGCCCCAATATTTATAATAGCAATAGATTTTCTTTTATTAGCAGGTAAGGTTGGTTCATTATGGTTAGCAGAATTCATAGCCATGAAATTACTTAAATGTTCAGTAAATTCAGAATCTCTTAAGCTCATGGCTTTATCGAAATCTTTATTTTCGATAGCGGTAGCGACAGATTTAGTAATTTCAACAGCTTCAACCAATGATTTACGAACAATTTTATTTTCTTCAATACCAATTAAGGGAGATGGAGTATCAGGAGTAGAATCCAAAACAGCTTTAACTGCTTCGACCCCTTGAACGGTAGCTAAAATACGATCATAAGAAACCGCGGTACCACCTCTTTGGACATGACCTAAGGTGGTAACTCTAGTATCTAAACCTAATCTATCAACCAAGACGTCTTTAACAGCATCTGAAGAAATTGGTTCTAATTCATTGGTAATGGCACCTTCAGCAACAATGACAATTGTTTTTCTTTTACCCTTTGATCTATGTTGAGAAACAATTTGACACATTTGATCTTGCCAACCTTTTGAAGAGGAAGGTTTTTCAGGGATTAAGATATAATCGGCACTAGTAGCAATACCCGCCATTAAAGCCAACCAACCACAGTGTCTACCCATAACTTCAACAACAAAGGCTCTTGAATGAGAGTTAGCGGTTGCATCGATATAATCAATTGCTTGACAAATTCTATCCAAGGAAGAATAGGCACCAATGGTAGCATCGGTGGTAGCCATATCATTATCGATTGAACCCACAGTACCACAGATATTTAAGTGTTTATGTTTTTCATATTTTTCATTTGAAATAACCCCGGTATCTTTTAATTCTTGAATTAAAGAAGGCCATTCTTTACGGAATAAATCAGCACCAGTTAAAGAACCATCACCACCACAAACAATCAAAGCATCGATTCCGGCATCAATAAGATGCTTACAACCTTTCAATCTACCTTGACGTTGTTTAAAATCCATACATCTAGCAGTACCGATATTAGTACCACCTTCACTAAGATAGCCTCTCACATCCAGCCAGTTCATTTCTTTAATATATTCTGGACCCCCTCTTACTAAACCTTCATAACCTTCCATAACTGCAAAAGCTTTGCAACCTCTATAAATTGCGGCCCGAACCACTGCACGAACACAAGCATTCATACCGGGGGCATCACCCCCGGAAGTCATCACGGCGATATTTCTTTTAGATTGGTTTGAATTTTGCAATTCCAAAGGAGATTTATTTGAATGATTAGGATGAGCTTCTGATACGGTGGAAGACATAATGACCGGTTCTGGTTCAAAAGGATTATATTTTGAAACTGGAGGATTAACCGTTAAAGGATTAGCCAGAGTGGTAAAACCAATCACGTTACCCAAAGGATCAATGGTATAAATTTCATTTGGATATAATTCATTTGGATTAACTTGAACCGGTAATTTAAAAGAGTTAAACGTTTGAATTAAATCATTTAAATTCTCTGTTTTGAAAACAGTATTGGAATTTAATGATCTCCAATCGTTAATATTTAATCTTTCCACAATTTTTTTTTTAATTTCATCAACTTCTTTTAATGATGTTCCTTTATCATCAATTAATATTTTAATTACTGTCATTTTATCTTTTGAGGATAATATATGTAATTTTGAATCTCGATATTGAATATCAAATCCTAGTATATGAGAATAAAATTGTACTGCTTTTTGACTAAGTTGTTCATCAACCGCCATCAATTCTAAAGCAGAAGTACCATTAATAATAGCAGCCGTCATTATTAAGTGGTAATTGAATAATACTTACTGTTCGTTGTAACAAATAATTGTCCACCATATGGCAACCAATTTAATTTTAAGGGAAAATTGAGATTTATATAAGCAGGGCCGAAAGTCAGCAGGTTCTCAGCAAAGAACTCCAAAAAAAAAAAAAAACCCAAACCCAAACAAAGCTTTAAAAGTACAAAATTATCCTATGATGAAATAACGGAGTATCACCACGGAGCCAGCGATTCACCATTCTATTCTGCTCTCTTCTTGCTCTCTTCTCTACTCTTCCCCTTCTCTCCCAGACTGTACTACACCGTACCTACACTCTATCTACACCGTATCCACCATCCTCTCGACTTACCCTAGACTCACTCGACTGAAGACACCGAAGAGATAAGGTGATACTCGGATCATCTAAAGATCAATTGGAAAAACTACAATTCAATCACCTGAGCACTTTTTGTACGCACCACTTCTCATGCTCTGTCTCATAGATCGGACGGTTGTTTTCCTAAGGCCCTATGTCCACTTCCTCCCATCTACACTCTACCCAACCGAGCCCATTCATGCTCACATATCCCTGCTCTCATATCTAACCCGTACTCTCTCCTCTACTCCATAACCAACCCACGAGTCAAGCCCGAGCATCCCATCGCTGGAGTTCATGAACATCACCTGCGTCGTTCTTTTTTCCGATCTCATGTTTATTACGTCAGTACTGCAGACAAAATAATCACGTGCATGATCACATGACCAGTACAAGGCTTACGCAAGGGGTGGGGGTGGCACCGGGTAATTACCAGGCCGCGGAATTTGCCGGTGCACGCACGCCGGCTTTCTGGATTGCCATTCGCTGCTGCTCTCGGCACCGGTGGTGCTCGGTCCAGGGGGGCCCAGGACCCGGGAGGAGCTAGGCAGAGACACTGGGGCAGGCCTGCGCCAGTGTCTGTTCATGGGTCCATGTCCTGGAGCGTCTGGTGGAGCGATGGACCCATCGCTGGTGCGAGCTCTTTACCGGTGAGCTTTGGTAGTGTCTTCGTCTTTTTTTTTTTTTGGGCATTTTTCGTTCGTTCTTTCTCCTTCGTTGAAAAATTTAAATGAAAATTAACCTCTGCTAGTTTAATTCATCTCTGGATACTTACAACAAACATCACACAATGTCTGAAGCCACTACTCCAGCTCCATCTCCTCCAATCACTGGTACCAGTCCAGTTGCCTTGGGTGACTTCACCAAATTAGGTGCATTACCAGGTACTTCTATTCAATCTAAATCATCCAATCCAGTAGTTTCATTTTTCAATGATATTTATACCAATATCTCAAATAAACGTCAATCTTTGGGTTTAACCAACCCAGGTACCGTTGAAAACATAACCAAAGAATTAACCTACGGTACTTTTCTTACTAATCATTCCTTTACTGGTTTAAAAGCTGATTTAAATAAAATGTTTTCTCCAAATTTTCAAACTTCTCATTCTTTTGCCTTGGGTTCTCAATTTGCTCCACCTTATGCTTTTGCTGCTCTTTATGGTAATGAAAGTTCTCTTTTACAAGGTCAATTAGCCAGTGATGGTTCTTTAAGTTCTAAAATCATTTATTCTTGGTCAAAAGCAAATATCTCTAAAGTTACTTTACAAATTGCTTCTGCTTCAAACTTTATATGCCAATTAGAACACGAATTTAATGCTTCTGATTTCTCTGCTCATTTCAGAGCTTTAAATCCTTCCTTTTTAGATGGCGGTTTTACCGGGGTTGCCACCGCTGCTTTCTTACAATCAATTACTTCTAAATTAGCTCTTGGTATCGAAACTGTTTACTCTAAACAAGCTTCTATCGCTCCAGCCGATGCCGCCACTTCTTATTTCGCTCGTTATAACAATGGTGATTGGATTGCTTCTGCTCAAGTTCATCCAACCCAAGGTTCAATCACTGGTTCTTTATGGAGAAAAATTACCGATCAAGTTGATGCTGGTATTGAATCTAAATTAACTGGTGGTATCAAACCAGTTGCTGATCCTTTAACCGGTGGTGCCATCGGTTACGAACCAATTGTTGAAGGTGAAACTACTTTGGGTGCTAAATATGAATACCATACCGCCGTCTTTAGAGGTCAAATCGATAATAATGGTAAAGTCGGTGCTTACTTAGAAAGAAGATTAACTCCTGCCGTGGCAATCTTATTCTCTGGTGAAATCGATCACTCCAAAGAAGCCGCTAAAGTTGGTCTTGGTTTCCAATTCGAAGGTGCCGGTTCTCATAAAATCTTTTTAATGCAAAATGGTTTAATTGACGCTAATGGTAACCCAGTCCCTGGTGCTCCTCAATTATAATCGGATCAAAAGTAAAAAAAAAATAATTAAATTTTGAAAAATTTCCGCTTTTTTTGTTCTTTTGTTTCTGATCTATAAATCATGAATTTTTCCTTCTCGTTCATCTAGACTTCCCATCCTTCCATCTCCCCCTCCGGGAAACCAATTAAATATCTTTAAAGTATTATCATTTCATCTAATGTCTTCATATAAAATAGATTTTACTTTCCTTTTCTCAATTCCTTTTTCATTTTTTTCATGTCTTCATGTACTTCAAAAATATTTATATAGGTTTCTCTTTTGTATATATTATTCCTCAATGAATTCTCAACATTCTAAGTTATTTTTACGTAGTTGCTGAATTTAATTAATAAATAAATTATGTATTTTACAAGAGGTTCGTTTACTAGTTTATTTACCACCCAAATATTTTAGAAGCTAAACTTCGATTTTTTGGTTTTTCTTTTCGTATTTCTTGTCGATTTGAGCTGATCATCTTATAAACTTCAGAAGGATTCAACTCAATCCCAACAGAATTTCTATTCTTTGAAGGATTAGGCCGCTTAGGCGGTTTTGGATATTGCGTTGTATATGATTGCAGAATTTTGGAATATTCACTCAACCTTGATACCGAATCACTTCTTGATCTATGACTCGCTTCTCGTGAGTAACCTACCACACCACCATTTAGATTATTAGAAGATGCCATCTTAACTGGTTTATGTGAACCTTTAGATTTGGACCTCGATCTCGGTTCATCAATATATTGATTCAAGTTTCTTTGCGTGATACTTTTATAAATATTTCTATAAGTATTATTTAGATCCTGCCCATTGGCAGACCTAGTCCTATTATTATCTTGGCCATTGCTGATACTATATGGCTTATTAACTACTGGCGGGTGTGCACCATTCCCTTTTCCTGGTTCCATCCAGTTACTCATAGATGTATATAATTCACTATGAGACGATCTTCTGGATCTATTACTTGGATTATTATTATGATTCTCCATTCTTGCTTGATTATAACCGGATAATGAGGTTGAAGGAAAATAGTCTTCATAATCTTCTTCAGGATCACCAAATTGGGAATTAGCCAATCCAGAATGGTTATTATTTGAGCTCCAAAATCTCAGATTATAATTACCCCCATGTAATCGACTATTTAGATTATATCGTTCCGATATAGAAGTCGAGGGAGGTCTGGAGTGTGTAAATGTCATAGATTTGCTTACTGAAAGATGTTCTTCATATTCGTCAAGGAGTGAGTCCATCGAGGAGTCAGATTTTGTTTCTTCCATACGATGTGCATGTTGTAGTTTTTGTATAGCTTGATCATGGGAATGTAAATTGGGGGATTTATGAATCTTTGTGGGCTTAGGTTGATGAAGTTCTAGTATATTTTTGTAGGCGCCATCATTGAAAAATTGTTGAGGGCTGGTGTTGTTTAAAGTGAAACTGTTAGATAATGGATGTTGTTGATTATGAGGTTTAATGGCTGTCGATCTACTTGGATTTATCATCTTTTTATTATGGAGTTTATCCAGAATAGTAGATGGATCAGTATTGGTTGGATGAGAAGGGCCATATACATCAAAGCTAGCCATAGCACTTGTTATAGAATTCATTGATTTTTGCTTATTCAATAAACGTTCAGGATGATTTTCAAATGCAGGCAATGGAGGAGCTAGAGGAGTTTTTTGATAATCTGAGGCCAGAAGATTGAAACTTGTGTATTCTTCATCAATGATTGGTTGAGGAGAGATAGGAGCAGAAGGAGGTGAGTCAGGTATTTCTGCGAAAACGGCCAAATTCTTGTTGTTGAAAGAATATTTGTTGGAAGAATCATCATTAACTAACGAGCTTACAATGGGGACATTATTTTTAGTTGATTGGATCTGCAATTCAGCTGGTTTTTCATTAATCGTGAGAGCAGGATTTGAATTCGTTGATTCTTCAATTTCTTTGGATTCTTTTAGTTTAAGATCATTAGGGCCGTAATATAAATTTCTATATTGAACAACATTGTTCAAAGTGTTTTCTAGTTTTTGAATTTTATTATAATCTTCCGAATTGATGAATATTTTCCAATAGCGTTCTGGATTCAATAAGGGTAAGATGAATTGATTGAATGCAATTCTTAATATCTTCAATTTTGGTAATAAAGGATAAACAAACGAGCGACCACAAGATAAATAGGTTACATCACCATTGTGCAATTGGAAAACTTCAAATTCCCCATGGCCCAATAATCTGCCCGACGACTGGTGCTCATCAGATAATTGAGAATGATAAACCAAAATTTTAGCAGAAGAAAACTTGAAAAGAGAAGCCTTACCTTCCATATTTTGTTGAGCGAGAATTGTGGAGTACTTATCATCTTCATCATAATTATGAGTAGCAGGAGGGGACCTTTTCTTCATGTTTTCTTTAACTTCAGAGAAAAAATTATGCTCGTTCATTTTGTCATCGCTTTTCTTATATCTCATGATGGCTTGTTTCCTGGGGCTAAGCGGTGAGTTTGTTGATCTTAAAGGAGCTGGCGCCACTGATTGAGAGACAGCCTTACTATTTGGAGGATTCAAGTTATCCTGGTTTTTAGTATTTGGCTTATTTTTAGCTTTGGACCGTTTTTTCTTTCTTTTTGACTTGGACGGGTTACTGGTATTATTATCATCGTGAATGTTTTCTTCTTTAGTTTCATTTTCCTGATTCAGATCGGGAGTCAGTATACTAATCTTCTTGGAAGGTGGTTTATTTTCAGTTACAGAATTTTGTTCAGCCGTTATTGGCTCATTGTTTGAAGCAGGTGGATCCTGTTTCAAAGGCCCCAAGGACTTTCCCTCTGCTGACTGCAGAGACGACTTGGGCATTATCTTAAATAGAGTCCAACAGGCGGTACAATCGAGGACTATTCAATCACAATTACCTTAGCTAATGCTCAATATTGTAACTGACTTGGGGTTGAGCGGTTAATTCTCCTAAAAGCGACAAATCGCTATTCAACGAACGCGAAAAGATAGACACACACACAGGTTGGTAATCAATGGACTAAGCACCGTACCGGCAAGAGCTGAGCTGATTTGATAGAGATTCAATTGTAGCCAACGTGAAAAGATAATGAAACTGCTTATATTTTGAGAGAAACAAAAAAAACTTTAAAAAAACACCAAAAAAAAAAACAAAAAAAAAAATATCCACGGTTGTGTGGGGAGAGTTTTATTTTAATGCATTTTTTTTTTTCATCAAAACGGTACATTTAGAAGAATTACTGAAGTATATATTAAAATACAAGTTCTATCGAGGGTAAGAGGAAGGAGAGAGGGAGCAGAGAGGAGGGAGAGGCTTAAGCAGAGGCGTTGTTACCCAAAACATGGCCTTCACCTCTATAGTGGACTCCCAAAGTGTCCGAGTTGACGGCACTTTCAACATCTTGACTCAAGAGGGGGTTATAGCTAACACCTCTGGTGGCAATAGCATCTTCTTCTTTGTAGTAAACCACGATGCCGTCTAATAAGGAGATTGGTTTTTGGAGTTTTTGTTCTATAAATAAGATGATTTTAGAAGGAGGATATAAAATTTTCAATTTATCCATACCTAATAAATAACCCGAGCCAATCCCAGCCAAATGGCCAAACAAGGAAGAGCTTGGCAATAAGATGAAGGTAACCACCAAAAATACAAACGGAGAATACAAAGTGGGAATCGAGTATTCACGTCCAGATAATTTGAAAGTGAAAATAACCGGTTTCAATTCGTGTTCTTTATAAGCAATGTAGGAGAAAAACGAAAAGACAATTCCTGATAACCCGATGACATGAGTGTTGGGACATAAAAGACTGCCCACAATACAGTATTGTAAAGCTGCAGTTACTGCCAAAAGGTTGAGGGTGACTCCGGTATAAACGGTCCCATGGGATCTTTCGAATATAGCCATTGGGGTAAACAAACCAACAATGTTAAGTACCCAGTGAATAAACCCTTGGTGGAAAAGCGGATAGAACGATAAACGATTCAAATCAAAGTGGAATGGGGCCCCTGGATACAAGGATAACTTACTAGCCAAGGCATGACTAGTGGCTAAATCAATGATTAAAAGCACGAAAGTGAAAATAGCCAACCCAACAGTCAACGCTGGGTACTTGGAAATGGTCGAAAGATTTGGAAACGCCAATGACTTGAAGTCTATAGCTGAGGTAGGCATCTTGTACTAAAGATCAAGTTGTATTCCTTCTTGTTTTCCTTGTTTTCAACGGGTTTTTCACTGCCTTTTTTTTTTTTTTTTTTTTTTTTTTTTTTTTTTTTTTTTTTGTTTTTTCATCGCGAGCTTTGCGCAAGGTACAGTTACTATGTATTTACAATTATATTAAGGGCCCTATTACTTAGCTATGTATACTCCTTTCACCCTTGATTCTGCTGGTTCTTCGAGTTGATGCTCGCCTTGAAGTTATTTAGAAAATCTCTTTTGCGAGTGTTCAAAGACTTGAGGCTGGCAATCTTTGCTTCTCTTTCAGAAACCAGCTCTTCGATTCCCTCGATGTCTTGTAGAGTTTGTCGTATGACCGATAACTTGAGTCTGATGTTACCAGCGTTATTATCGAAATCTTTTGCCAGGATTTCTCCATTTTGCAAGCTGTGGATCAAATTATAGAGCTCTGGCAACAATTCGATCTTTTCCAACTTGGTTAAGGGTCCCTCGTCTTCTTCGTGATCTTCATTTTCTTGGTTTTCGTCCATATCTACATCCATTGGCGTCTCACTTTTCAAAGGTGACGATTCATTTCTGGAAATATCCATTCCTGTTGGGGCCGGCGAGTTTAGTTTGGTTTGTATGCCATTCAAGCTTCCCAAGGAAGAATCTGCTAGCTGTGCCGGCGACTGGAAACTTTGGTTCGGTGGTATTAGTCCTGGAGAGTCCATATCGTATATGCAAGTAGTTAAGTAGCTTCCTATAAGTAGTTTGGTGTTTTTAGTGGGTTTATTTAGTTTGGTTCTAATGATTTTTTTTTTGTAGAAAACCACCTCCGTGCACCACACGGTTTACCAACAACGGGATTAATTTAGAACGATAAATGAACATCCTTCGGGCTTTCAATTCAACAACTCAATTGTCATTACAATATGGATATTCTCCTCGGTCTAGTGACCAAGTGCTTACCTTGTATTCCAGATATATCAACTCCCTACGTTTCAATTAACAATAATAAGTACCAAATAATAAAACTATTGGGTGAAGGAGGATTTTCATACGTTTACTTAGTAGCTCAGAAATCTAACAAGAATGCTTTATATGCATTGAAAAAGATAAGGTGTCCGTTTGGAGCCACCGACGAAACGTTCCGTAATGCCATGAAAGAAGTTCGTAATTACCATCGATTTGCCAATTCCAAAACTCCTTATATTATTCAAACAATTGATGAAACAGTTATAGATGAAAAAGATGGTTCCAAGACCATTTACATCTTACTACCATATTTCCAAAAATCATTACAAGACATTATAAATTCGAATGTATTGAATAATGAAGATTTCGAAGAAGATGAAATATTGAGAATATTTGTAGGTATATGTCGTGGTCTTCAAGTTATGCATAAATATAAAAAATCAGGTGGTAGACCAATAAGTGAAGAAGGCGAAGAAGAAGACGATTTACTTCTAAATGGCTCTGATGATGATGATATCTCTGCTAGTGCCGGTACTGAATTACAAGAATTAACTCCTTTTGCTCATCGAGATATAAAACCTGCAAATGTAATGTTATCAGCAGAAGGCTTACCGGTTCTTGTCGATTTAGGCTCTTGCTCAAGAGCCAGGTTTTCAATCAAGTCTCGTCAACAAGCCTTAGCATTAACAGATTTTGCTCAAGAACATTGCACTTTACCATATCGTGCTCCTGAACTTCTTGACGTGGCAACAAACTCAGAAATTACAGAATCAACAGATGTTTGGTCCCTAGGTTGTTTACTATACTGCTGTTGTTTTGGCTTTTCTCCTTTTGAAAAATTAGAAATTGAACAAGGTGCTAGTCTTAATTTGGCCATTGCCCAAGGTAAATACGCTTTACCAGAAGATAAAAAGGGCTATTCGGACGGCTTACTAAATTTGATTAAAGAATGCTTAAACTTGGACAACACCAAAAGACCCACCGTGGATGAACTACTCGAAAAAGCTCTTGGTTTATCAAATCGTTCTTAGTTCTTTTATAAACTGTATCATAAACACGTACAATTTAAATCAATACCAAAAAAAAAATGTAAGATTGAACTACGAACACGCAATGATTTCGCGTTCCACGATATGCCTTGATTTCAACTACTTCAAGAACCTCATAGTAGTTTGCTTTCTATATTTATTTAGATTGAAACCGATAGCCTCTATATTCTAAACAGTATACTTCAATTCTTATTTGAAAAAGCTGACGAAAAGTTTAGGGAAAATCACTCACATACGCAGGAATAAGGGTCTTTCAGATCAGGGTTCTCTATCAATAGCACTTTAAAGTAATAATAATGACATTAACAAAATACCAACGAGGGGACCCAATGGAAGGTTGGAACGACTGTCCCTCTGTGATGCTACCTACTCCCACATCGAGTACAAGGGGAAACAGACGAAGAGTGAAAAGAGTTGGCCATACTATCAATAATTCCAATGGAATAGTTGCAGAAAGTGGCAGTAGACCAGGCACAAATGTGCTGAGTCTTCCTAATGGCTTACCTGCTCCTCCATATTCGAAGTCTTTGAATGGATCCTGGGTTATGGTATCAAAAGAGGACGGGGACCCCAAGAAAGATAAAGAACAAGGCTTACAGAAGTTATTTTCATTACCCACCAATTTGACTGGTGAAGTTTATGATTTATATAAGAGTAAGCTAAGTCAAAGCAGCACAACTTTCACAACAGAAGATTCTGAATTTTTTCTAAGTATTGTGGATCAAGTGATGAAATATTCTTCAATAACAGATGAAGAGGAATTAACATGTACGATTGAGAAAACGAAAACCCAGATATTAAGCTATATGATGATAAAGACTGATGCAAGTTCTTGGTGCGTACCACTAAGAAAATTATCGGAAAACGTTAAGATTTAAACATTAAGTAAGTTTTATAAAAAATATTTATTGTATTATACAAAGGAAAAGATAAATGTAGAAAGAAATGGGATAAAACAAGAGAAAGGAAATAATCCAACTCGTGATTAAGGTTGAATCCTTAAAGTTGACAATTTTGTTCTATGGGAAAAGGACTCTTCCTTGAGACTTAAGGGTAATGATTGGAATAAAAAAAAGAGTTAAAACATAAAGACTATAATTATACCTTCTTTCTTCTACCAACTTGGGCTTGGAAACCGGTTTTAATGGAGGAAACAGATCTTGTGGAACCACATGCTTTACAACTTAAGAAATGTAATCTATTGGCTGATTCTCTCTTTAATTCAGTATTCATGGATTTACAAGTTTTACAAGTAACATATTCAATAATGTATCTTCTTAAAACTGATTCCATTTGTTTTGGTTGAAACTTACCTTTCAAAACTAATCTTTTTTCACCATCAATAGAACCGGAAGTACCCAATTCAGCAAACAAGAATTGGATCAAATGTTCTGGGTTTCTTTGTAAAACAGTGGCAATTTCTTGAACATTGGCAAATAAAGTCTTTTTAGAACCTTCTCTTTGACAAACTGGTGGTGGAATACGGAATTTTGGTCCGGATCTGTCACCAGCTAATTCTGGGTTATTTTGTTTTAAGATAGAAAAGAAACGAGATAATAATTCATTATATGGTAATCCACCAGTAACGGCAGTGTTTGCTTCTTCAGTTTCTGGAGCAGCCTCTTCAACACCGGCTTTCTCTAATTGTTGTTCGAAATCAGTGGCAACAGATTTGGTGGACTTCTTCTTCTTTTTCTTCAATCCCAAATCATCAAACGATGCAGCGACATCGTCAACGGATGGGGAAGCTGATGCGTCGGCACTTTCTTCTGGCTTCTTGCTTGACTTCTTCTTCTTCTTTAAACCAGCAAACATATCTCCAAGATCATCAGCACCTGGAGATGCAGTGGCAGAAGCAGAGCCTTCTTCGGTCTTCTTGGACTTCTTCTTTTTCTTCAAACTAGGATCAAAACCTAAATCACTCATCTTGTATGTGTCTTCTGTGTAAATAGGGTCGAGTTCTAAGGAATCAATGCTAGTATGACTTACCTCTGAAAAATTCTTCTTACACCGAGCACAGACAAAAAAAAAAAAAAAAAAAAAAAAAAATTCAGTAAGAAAATTTTTAAATGGTGATTGAGCAACACACTACCATATTTTGTGGAAAAAAAAGAGTTTTGCGGCACGGGTGCAAAAAAGAAGACTACTATATAAGTATTCAATCGATAATGTACAAGTATATTAGGTTCTATATGGGAGGAGAGAAGTGAAGGGATGCCTAGTGGATGCTTAAGTCAGCGGTTTGTTTGTTTATGTCATCAGAAGAAGAGGCAGCGGCCGCGGCGGCTTCCTTAGCTCTGTCGTCTGCTTCTTTACTTTCTTTACCGGGAGTATAAGTGATTTTTGTATTTTCACCTTGATCCTCGACTTTGAAACCATCTTCGACGGCGTATTTATTCAAAAGCCAGTTTTCGACTTCTTCTTTATTGTTGTTTTCGGCTTCGAAGATGGAATCATGTCCTGTTTCGTTTTTGGCATAAACATCGGCGTTGTATTCTTCACAAAGTAATTGGACAATAGGCAAATGTCCATTGAAGGCTGCCCAGTGTAACGGGGTATTAAGACTTTCGTTTTTCTGATTAGCCAATTTGATAGCGTCTTCCTTTGGGATAATGGACAACAAGTATTTGATGACTTCTAAGTGTCCATTGGCAGCTGCCATGTGATAAGGTGTACTCAAAGTTATATCGTCTTTGATTGTCAATAAAAGATCAGCAGGGTATTCGGCAAAAATCTCTTTCAACGATTCTAAGTCCCCTTCTCTGGCATCGTAGATAATGCAGTCCATTTCTTCTTGGGTTAAAGTGATCTTTTCGGACTCGGACATACTGTACTGATATTCTTATGTGTCGGTAATTTCTTGTTAATTTCAAATTATAAAGAACCAAAAATCTCTATGTCAAATAAGCTAAATATCCTGGGGTATGATACTACTTCCAAGGTCTTTGGTTTTTCAACTGATGCGATGAAGTGAAAAAAAAAAAAAAAAAGTTGAAGGATGAAGATAGAACTGCATATAAAGCAGAGAAGCCATTTCTAATCTTCAATGCTTTCTGATTAAAGGTGTCTACTCGTACTTTATACCAAGATGCCGCCTAAGATCGAGGAATTGCCCATCAAGAGCGAGCCGGTTCCAAGTGGGAACAAAGAGGTAAAGAATCCCTTTGCCTCAAAGAAGAAATCCACAATAAGAAGAAATGCACAAGATATTTATCCAGATAAAAATCGAAAAGGTCTTAATGTACCAGATTACTTGGGCAATTCGCCCCTTGACAAGCTGTTCCAAAGACTTCAGAAAGTAGTCGAGGGGGACTTGGATGATATTGATATTTCAACTTTACAAGATCGAATGTTGGAGTCAAGCTTGCCAGAATTTGAACTGCATTATAAGGTTATAGAAAAGTTGTTAGATCATTTAATTGAAATTCGGGATCTTTCGAATAAAAGTGAAGCAGTTAACGGAGACGAAAATCTCATCAAGATATCGCTTCATGATATCAAAACTTTCGGGAAGCTAGTCAATTTGATAATAATCCATGGTATATATCCGGCACTTGGTAGTTTTAGAATTGGGATTCCCTTTGAGAAGAGAAGACTAAATGATTTTGCAAAGAGTAAGAAACCCATTAAGATAAAAAAGCTACCCGAAGTACCTGGAGCAAAGTCTTATAAAGAAAAATTCGGTAACAGTGAACGGTTACTAAGGTTAATTTACTCTAAGCTTAAAATAATATTTTCAGAAAAATCTGATGTTCAGGAACTTTTAATCAAGGGTACAGGGTATTCTGATTTCCTAACGGTTTCAGCAGCTATGATAACAATTCCATATTTCGCCAGCCATGACAAACCACAACTTTTATCAGAATATAATGATTTTGTCACCCGCCTCCCCGATACCTTTGAACTATTTCAAACCTATTCTTTACTAATAACTACCCCAAGCCCTCCATACTTTAAGCAGTTTATAATGTCAAAGTTGCTGACACTTCATTATGATGCAGACGATGGGATATCGGTACTATGTGAATTTATCTTAGGGTTGCGTGACAGTGAAGAAATTAACATTGAAAAATTCGAAAACGTTTCTAATGTAATCTTACTGAAGCCAAAATCAATAAACACTGTTGATTATTTTAAAAAAATCGGAGTGCAAATTTATACCCAACTCGTAAATATTGACAAACCGGTCATCACAAGTTGTTTGGGGTTTGTGATTGACAGGCTTTGGAATAAAAATCAGCTTGTCGCTAGGGATTTCATCTTCAAACATGTATGGAAGAACTTTAATCCAGAAAATAATAGCCAATCGCTGGTTCTAGTTGGTGAAGCCGCATTGAATAACAATATTAACGTTTTGATATCTTTGACAAAAAGCAACTTGTCAGGGGAATTATTGTCCAATATCTTACAGCCGATACTCTTACCGATTTGGTCATACTACACTTTTTTAAAATCAAATTCAAAATCAACAGAAGTAATTTCACAGATTCTTATCAGTTATTTTACAATTACTAGCACCATAGAGAATGAGAACTCCTCCATTGCACTCAATGACCTTAACAACATATCAAAAAATCTTTTGATAATGGGAAGTGAGTACTGGCAATTTGAATTCGGTCCTAATGGTTTACTTCAAATTGTGAAAGATTCTGGAAATCCATTAGGCGAATCAAGCTCAAATAAAATCAATTCATTTTTAGACAAACTTGACCTGGCTTGTGTTTATTTTACCGACCTTTTGAAAGAACTTGACGATGACTTAATTCAAGGTTTATTTGCTCTTATTTTGAAAAGATGGTTAGGATTGGAAGAAAATGCACTTGAAGTAAGTTTTGATAGTAAAAATGAAGATGCTTTCTTTGTGTTAATAGACTTACGATTATTAGAGAAAATGGGTAATGAATTCAAAGATAGTTTGGCAAAAACTCCACTGGAGATGTTAGAAATTGTGAAGAGTTTCCTTTTGCTCAAGAAGAAAGAGGCGTCCAAACCTTCTAGACCACATGAAAGAATTGTTGACTCTGATGATGATTCAGATGATGAAGACGTTGAAGAAGAATTATCTTCAAATATATTACCTATTGTTTTAGAGCTTTTATCGGTAATTTTATCTGAAGCAAGTGATTTAGATCAAAAATCCAATGATTTACTACGTGACATACAAAAATTATTAAAATCTCTACTGAAATCTCAAAGTGAATCCCAAACAATCAGTAATTCAATTCAAGCATTACATGATCGTATCAAAATATTATTGGATGGTGATACTAAACCCACCAGTACTAGTGATCTTCATTCTAAGATCTTCAAGCGAGCCATCACTAGTTTGAACGATCCTCTTGTTCCAATAAGAGCTCACGGCCTTTACTTACTCAGACAACTAATCGAACTTAAAAGTTCAGTGATTTCGTTAGACTTTGTTATAAACCTTCATTTAATTAATTTGAAGGATCCCGAGCCGTATATTTATTTGAATGTGATCAAGGGACTAGAAAGTCTTTTAGAGTTTAACGAACGTGATGTTCTACCACATCTCATATCAATTTATTTGAATAAGCAAGGGGATACAGAGTTAGATGAAAGACTAAAGGTCGGAGAGGTTCTTCTTAGATATATCCAACTTAAAAACGAAATGTTCTCGGGAGATATGGCAGCTTTAGTATTTAGTGCAGGGATTTCATTAATTCGTGTCAGCAAAGATGAATCTGATATAGTTGATGATAGATTAAGAATGTCTGCAATGTCATTATTGGGTACTTGCTGTAATACAAATCCAATTGGTGTTATTGATAAACTTACGGATGCTCTTGATTGTGTTTTTGGGATTTTGCAACTTGAAACTTCTAAAGATAAAGCTATAATGAGAAGATCAGCCATTGTTTTGATAAATGATTTAATTCTAGGTACTTCATCTTCCGACAAAATTAGTTTCCCTCGAGAATATCAAGAGAAGGTGACTACAATTCTTAGATATATAGTTGAAACTGACAATGATTTATTAGCCAAAGAACAAGCTCAAACGGTGCTTGATACTATCGATTACTTAATCAAGGCAAGTATTCAAACAATAAAAGAATAGGACTACAGGAAAGAAAGGATACTAGTTATAATTTTTTATTAATTAAATTTTGTATTATTTCGAAGAAAAAACACTCAAAAATATAACAAGAATATACAAACTATGATAAAATAGGGATAAAATATATATATATACGTAACTTCATTTAACTTAATCAACTTCTTCCATAGAAGATTCAGGAGCAGCATCAGTAGTAGTAGTAGAAGTACCAATTTCACCTTCGACTTCTTCTTCTTCTTCATCGATGTTTAAACCTAAAGAGATTAATCTGTTAATTCTACCAGCAAAAGAAGATGGTTCTTCTAAAGAGAAACCAGAGGTAAGTAAAGCGGTTTCATATAATAAAGTAGTTAAATCTTTAACGGTTTTATCTTCAGCACCATCAGCATCAACTTTTTTCTTTAATTCTTTAATGATGGAAGATCTTGGAGAAATTTCAAAAGTCTTTTTGGAAGACATGTAAGAGGACATGGTAGTATCTCTTAAAGCTTGAGCTTTCATGATTCTTTCCATATTAGCAGACCAACCGAATTGACCAGTTCTGATAGCAGCTGGAGCATCAACTAATTTATGAGAAACAACAACTTTTTCAACTTGTTCACCCAAAATTTCTTTCAAAGCTTTGGTTAATGGTTCGAATTCAGTAACTTCTTTTTCTCTTTGAGCTTTTTCTTCATCAGATTCTTCTAATTCGAAATCTTTAGTAATATCAACTAATTTTTTATCTTCGAATTCTTTTAATTGAGTCATGGCGTATTCATCAATTGGATCAACCAAGAATAAAACTTCAAAGTTTTTAGCTTTCAAAGCATCCAAGAATGGAGAATTTTCAACAGCTTTAATAGATTCACCAGTAATATAGTAAATATTTTTTTGATGTTCTGGCATACGAGTAACGTAATCAGATAAAGAAGTTGATTCTTCGGTTGATTTAGTAGAGTAATATCTTAATAATTTAGATAAAGCATTTCTATTTTGTTGATCTTCATGAATACCTAATTTAATATTCTTGGAGAAAGCAGTGTAAAATTTATCAAATTGTTCTTGATCTTCAGCAATTTCATTGAAAGTTTCAATTAATTTTTTAACAATATTTTTCTTGATAACTTTTAAGATTTTATTTTGTTGTAACATTTCTCTTGATAAATTCAATGGTAAATCTTCGGAATCAACAACACCTCTAACAAATGATAACCATTCAGGGATTAATTCTTCAGCTTCATCAGTAATAAAGACACGACGAACGTATAATTTGATATTATTCTTCTTCTTTTTAGATTCAAAAGCATCAAATGGAGCTCTTTTTGGAACGAATAAAATAGCTCTGAATTCTAATTGACCTTCAACAGAGAAATGTTTAACAGCCAAAGGATCTTCCCAATCATTAGAGATTGATTTATAGAAAGCATTATATTCATCTTGAGAAACATCTGTAGGGTTTCTAGTCCATAAAGGTTTAGTTTTATTTAATTCTTCAGTTTCAGTAACTGATTCAGTAATTTTTTTAGTTTTTTCCTTTTTATCATCTTCATCTTCAACTTCTTCTAATTTAGCCTTTTTATCTTCATCATCTTTCTTTTCTTCTTCTTCATCATCAGCTGGAACTTCTTTTTCAACGTCTTTAGTAACAACTAATTGAACTGGATAAGAAACGAATTCAGAATGTCTTTTAACAACTTCTTTAATTCTTTTTTCTTCCAAATATTCTAATTGATCATCTTTTAAGAATAATCTCAAGATGGTACCACGACCAATTCTTTCATTTTGTTCATCTAAAGTAATGGTAAATTTACCACCAGCGTTAGATTCCCAAATATATTGTTCATCATCATTATGTTTGGAAATAACTTGAACATGATCAGCAACCAAGAATAAAGAGTAGAAACCAACCCCGAATTGACCAATCATAGAAACATCAGCACCTGCTGATAAAGCTTCCATGAAAGCTTTAGTACCAGATTTAGCAATAGTACCTAAATTGTTAACTAAATCAGCTTTAGTCATACCAATACCAGAATCTCTAATTTCCAAAACTTTTTGATCTGGTTTTGGAGTTAATCTGATGAATAATTCTGGTTCACTTTCTAATTTAGAAGCATCAGATAAAGCTTCATATCTAATTTTATCTAAGGCATCAGAAGCATTAGAAATTAATTCTCTTAAGAAAATTTCTTTATTAGAATAAACAGTGTTAATGATTAAAGACATCAACTGAGAAATCTCAGCGGTGAATTCATGAGTTTCAACTTTAGTGTCAGACATTTTATTAAAAGTTAACGATAATACTGAAGAAGAGAGTAATGCAATTGGGAAAAATGAAAAAGAATTCCTTATTTATACAGCAGTCTCAGTTGCAAATCAAGTCGTCGAACGAAAAAAAAAAAAAAAAAGAAGCTTCCATTAGCTTCCATTAATTTTTGGAAGCCAGTCGTGCGGTGCCGGATCCAGAGGTTCCATACCTTTCTTTAGCAGCCAAATACATATCCATTAATAAATCAATAGATACATCAGATACATTAGATACATTAATAGATACATTATAGATAATATATACATTGATGGATCCATTATAGATAATATATGGATTAATAATATTATATGATAACCTCTTCGGTTTCGACCCCACAGTCGATGCACCGCTTCTTCACGATGTGGCGGGCCGAGTCTTCGACCGTCAATGGAGCAGACCAATCGTGGACATGGCGTTCGCCCAACCCCATTCCGTTTCTTAGTTTTCTGGTGTATTCTTCTGCTCTAGTTTTCTTTCTCATGTCTCTAAGTTTGGCCTGGTACTTTTTATCTCTTCGAACCAATCTGGCCTGTTCTCTCCTTTCCCACTCTTCGTCTAGGCCTTGAGCGGACCCCCATTTTTTCCAAGCAAACTCTTCTACTTGGAAACGAAGAAATAGCTGCATTCTTGAAAACCCATGGGGGTTTGGTTTTTCAATTCTCGGTAGAATCGATAAATCTTGTAATTCGGGTTCAGTTAAAAGGTAATCTTCGCGACACTCAGTTTTAGTTAAAAGAGAGTATTTATCAGGGAGTTCTCTCATACATTTTTTACAAACCCGAACGTTTCTGAAGTTGTTATATAGATTTAGATCAATTTCAATCGACTGGCACTCAAAGCATTGGGGGGCTTTATCGGGTTCTAGAGGAGGCGCGTCCTCCTTCACTAGAATCTGTTTATTGGCTTGTTCTTGTTCCCAATCCTTCAATGTTTTCGGGTCCTGGTTGGCAGGAGGATCTTCCAGGTTTAAGAACCCCCCTTTGGAATCCTTCATGGTGGAAAAATCATATTCGATATAATCTTTTTTGTTTATCGGCGGAGGCTGATACTCTTTTCTTTTCTTATTTTGAGAAGAAGCGCCATCTCGATTCTGTTCCTGTCTTCTTTTCTGGATCTCTTGAGCTTTCAATCGATTGGCCTCGATTCTTTGTTTCTGTTCGGGAGTAAGTGCTACCTTGGGAAGAGCAGGAATCACTCGATGCTGAACCGGTTGCGGTTGTTGCGGTTGCTGCTGTTGCTGTTGTGGCGGAGAGGGTCCATTTCGATTCTGTAGTCTCTGTAGAGCCCGCTCCCGGTTGGCCGCTATTCGTTTCTGCTGTTCTTCAGTTAACTTACCCTTAACAAAAGACATCTTATAAGCAAAAGACAGTTCTTGATAAGTGACTTGCTGAGAAGGCAAAAAATGAAGCCATGCCCAACGCGCCACACACGACCTCCAAGACTGCAAAACCAATTGCTTTGATTATCGCCGGTGGTGTCCACTTAATACCGGATCGTATGATTGATTCAGGGTGTTCGATTAATCGTGTTGATTGTACGTCGATTGTATGTTGATTGTATGTTGATTGTACGTTGATTGTATGTTGATTGTATGTTGATTGTATGCATGTCTGTGAAGTGTATGGATGTATGTATGTTACTATTGAATTATTCGACTCTGTTAAAGTTACTCTTGCAACAATGTCTGCCGATAAACGAAGGACCAGACAAGCTGAACTAAAGTCCAGCAGCAAAGGGTGTCGTTATACGATTCTTGACTCCGTACAAACCCCGAAGGTTATTGACGCGGATACTTTTGCAACTGCAATCTCTAGGGTAGACTGTATGCATAGTAGAATAGTCAGTTGATTGTATTCGGTTAATGTTTCGTTGACTGTTGACTGTGTACTTGACTGCGTCTTAAGTATGGTTGACTATATACTCGACCGTATGGTTGACTATATACTCGACCGTATGGTTGACTACATACTCGACCGTATGGTTGACTACATACTCGACCGTATGGTTGACTGTACTTATTTGTCTAGTTAATAGATTATACTTAGTCGATATAGATTGTATGATACTTGGAAACTTAAAACCGATTTTCCAAATTTCCAATGCTAACGCCGGCTGGCCTCAGTATTCTCTGTCGATCCTTTAACACCAATACCAACTCCAAACTCTATCTGGTACCATCACCGGTTGGTGGGTTGCCATTCCCCACCACCAAGACCACCAGTGTAGTCCACCATGGTAGAGCCTCGGTGCCGGGTGTTATCCGATTGGGTGCGTTCTCAGTCTCGGAATAACTTTGCACATCGATTTTTTTTTTTTTTTTTTTTTTCTTTTAATTCTTTTGTCAGTTTTTCAATAACATATAAAAGTAGTATAATCTTGTATAGCTATTTTATGGGAGTATTGGGTTGGTTTCTTAAATTTAATTTGCTTTTGCTTTTGCTTTGCTTTTGCTTTGCTTTTGTTTTCAAATATCTCCAACGATCATCTTTGGATCCCCACTTTGGCAGTGGATGATTTGCTAACTATTCACCCTCTTGTATCGCATTTAGTCTCCAAATTGAGGCATATTTTTCGTTTTATGAGATGACTGGGTTCCCTAAAGCTCCCACAAGAGCACTACTATCTGATGAACCGGAGGAGAAATTGGCAGTATGTATTATATACTTTTTTGACTTTTTTTTTTTTTAAATAAAAAAAAAAAAAAAATTCAATAGTTATACTAACCATATCAGGTTAACTCGCTATGTCATAATACCAAACTCGTTCATCCGCATCCCAAATCCTCCCATATCCATAATAATAAAATCATGAAATCGACTAAATTGAACCATTCTATAGCATCACCGGAAACCGTGATACGACATTTGCCCGGGAAATCGATTCCATCTTCCACCACCACGTCACTAAGCCAAAGTCCAGTATCGACGTCCGAAGAAGAAGGGGAAGAAAAAAATGACTTTACTAAGATATCGAATATCTTGAATGAAGAACAAAAACTGCAAGAATCACCTACTCATTTGAGATCGATTTGTACGTCTCCCTTACCAATCAACGTTATCGAAGATCCCGAATCATTAATAACAAAGGACGTGGTAAAATTATTCCAATATTCATTAAATAAATTTTTAGGTAGTTTACGAGCAATGAATTTAGAACCACCAGCAGATATTAAAAGAGAAGTGATTAAAAGTGTCGATAAGCCAATGGACTCAACGAATTCATCACCAAAATTACCAAATTTGATTAATGATACTTATGGACAAAACGTTAATATATATGTCAAAGTTGCTAAATACATCAGGGAAACATTACCGCCAAAACCGTTGAATGATGACTTACAACAAGTGAATTTAACCCCCCAGGAAATCTTGGTGTTTGCCGCAATGGGCACTGACACCACCAACATTTCAAATTTGAGAGAACTATTAGACGAGTCAAATAATCATCACTTGAAACCGCTTAATGAAAATTACCCCATCATCAATAAATTGACCAACCAATTAATTCAAATCCAATCCTCCATTGACGAATCGACTTTCACCACTTTAAACGAGTCAATTAAAGTCATTTCAAACTCAATTAATCTTGCCATCAAATTACAAAACCCAGTGCCTCTCTTCAAAAAAATTTGGTTCAGTGATGATAAATTCTATAAATTATTGAAAAAAAGACAATACTTCTCCCTAAGAGTATTATTTGTCTTTCTGTGTTTATGTATGATGACCAGATTACCTTTTATGAATGAAATTAACGTTTGGGTAGATTACATTGAATGGTTTATGAATTTCAGCTTGGCAATCGATGAAGGCGATTCACGAATCAATAAGCAATTCCGGAAATTCGATGAGTGTCTATACAACTGGGTCCTTTGTAAAAAAATTAGACTAGATAAATCTAATTTAGACAAACTAGGCCAGTTTGACCCAGAATCTAATAACTTGTGATTGTTTTTTGCAACTTTTATAGATATATGCATACATTTTTTTTTAAGCGCGCTAAACCGTATATAAATAAATCTATTTAATTTTAATTATTTAATCTTTCATCGGCCCAGGTTGGTAAAACAAATGAAGCTTCGTGAATTCTCTTGTTATAGTATTTCAAATTCTCTTTAACAAATTTGTCGTCCCAGTCAAATCTACATGGCTTGGTAACGTCTGCTTGCGCATCTTTGGAACAAACCATAAACCCAATTGATCCCGATGGATAAGTTGGAATCATAGTGTACCCATATTCGGCCACTGGGAAAATGCTCTTACAATCTTGTTTCAATTTAGCAATAATATCCATGTGTAACCAAATGTTTTCGGCTTGAGTGGTGATAACCCCCTTTTCAGTTAAAGCATTTTTCAATAATTCAAAATATGGTTTTTGAAATAAAGACTCGGCCGGTCCTTCAGGATCAGATGAATCAGTAACAATAACATCAAACTGATTTTGATACTCGGCCAAAAACTTAAATCCATCTCCAATATGAATCTTGGTTCTTGGATCGTTATACGATTTGGACATTTCCGGTAAATACTTCTTGGAAACTTCAATAACAGTCTCGTCAATGTCACACAACCAGGCTTCTTCAATTGATTCGTGCTTTAAAATTTCTCTTAAAACACCCCCGTCTCCTCCTCCAATGACCAAGGCCTTCTTTGGATTTGGATGGGAGTTCAAGGCTAAATGGGTAATCATCTCTTGGTACGAAAACTCATCTCGTTCAGTCACCTGAATACAGTTATCCAACACCAAAACGTTCCCGTAATTAGTGGATTTAAACACCAAAACATCTTGGTACTTGGATTTTTCAACGTGCAAAATCTTTTCAACCTTCAATGACATGGCTTGACCCGGCCACATGGTGTCGGAGATTTCTGCAAACCAGCCGTCCTTGACTGATGGGTGTGTTAATTCTTGTGCCATTTCTACTTGCAATTGGTGAATAACTATCAATGGATACGAATCAATTGATAAAGAACTTTGTATTGAGAAGATTTTTCAATCTGATTCGCAGTTTCGTCGACGGAAATTGAAAAAAAAAAAAAAAAAAATTACTCCCGGAAAGATAAAGTTTGCTCAATAAGAATGACAAGAAAGACGAATTACTAGACACAGTACATGAATGTATCGCTATCCCGTAGGCATAGTGGGTATCATTCAACGGGGTGCTCCCGAGTCAAATTCTCATCTACACCCGTACATTTTTTTTTCAAAGGAAAACATCCATATACCAACGGTGTGCATACAAGACAGGATTGCGCTTACATAATCAGAAACGGAAGAAAAAAGTTTTGAGAGATGACTTTAAGATCAGTACAAGAATAGTCCATCGTATCTTCCAGTAAGTCTTAAGTATTAAACATGCCATCTGCAGCTCAAGTATCTCAGAAGCAGAAGGGAGGGAAACAAAAGTTGGCTCCTGAAAAGGAAAGGTTCATCCAATGTTGTGGTGACATCTCTTTGGAGTTGGTTGCATCTTTGAAAAATTCCAAAGATATCAACTTGAACGGGTTAATCACCAGATACGCTAAGAAGTATAAGTTGAAGCAACAGCCTAGATTGACCGATATCATTTCATCTATTCCAGATCAATATAAAAAGTATTTGATTCCAAAATTAAAGGCTAAACCAGTTAGAACTGCATCTGGTATTGCGGTTGTGGCCGTGATGTGTAAACCACATAGATGTCCTCATATTGCTTATACTGGTAACATTTGTGTTTATTGTCCAGGGGGACCCGATTCTGATTTTGAATATTCAACCCAATCATATACCGGTTATGAACCAACATCAATGAGAGCTATTAGAGCTAGATATGATCCATATGAACAAGCTAGAGGTAGAGTGGAACAATTGAGACAATTAGGTCATTCAATTGATAAAGTTGAATATATTATTATGGGTGGTACTTTCATGTCTTTACCAATTGATTATAGAGAAGGCTTCATCACTCAATTACATAATGCTTTAACCGGGTTTAATGGTAAAAATATCGATGAAGCTATTAAGTTTTCTCAACAATCTCAAACAAAATGTGTCGGTATTACTATTGAAACCAGACCTGATTATTGTACTGAAACTCATTTAAGTGATATGTTAAAGTATGGTTGTACTCGTTTAGAAGTTGGGGTTCAATCGGTTTATGAAGATGTAGCAAGAGATACCAATAGAGGTCATACCGTTAAATCAGTATGTGAAACTTTTGCGGTGGCTAAAGATGCTGGTTATAAAGTCGTTAGTCATATGATGCCGGATTTACCAAACGTTGGTATGGAAAGAGATTTAGAACAATTTAAAGAATATTTTGAAAATCCAGAATTCAGAACTGATGGTTTAAAATTATACCCAACTTTAGTCATTCGTGGTACTGGTTTATATGAATTATGGAAAAAAGGTTTATATAAATCTTATAATGCCAATGCTTTAATTGATTTGGTGGCTAGGATTTTGGCTTTAGTTCCTCCTTGGACTCGTATTTATAGAGTTCAAAGAGATATTCCAATGCCTTTAGTTACTTCTGGGGTTGAAAATGGTAATTTAAGAGAATTGGCTTTGGCAAGAATGAAAGACTTTGGTACTTCTTGTAGAGATGTCCGTACAAGAGAAGTTGGGATTCAAGAAGTTCATCATAAAGTTGCCCCCGACCAAGTTGAGTTAATTAGAAGAGATTACTATGCTAATGGTGGTTGGGAAACTTTCTTATCTTATGAAGATCCTAAAAAAGATATCTTAATTGGTTTATTAAGATTACGTAAAGCATCAAAGAAGTACACTTATCGTAAAGAATTCACAAGTCAACCAACTTCCATTGTTAGAGAATTACACGTTTATGGTTCAGTTGTTCCATTACATTCAAGAGATCCAAGAAAATTTCAACATCAAGGTTTTGGTACTTTATTAATGGAAGAAGCTGCTAGAATCGCTAAAGAAGAACATGGATCAGAAAAAATTAGTGTCATTTCTGGGGTTGGTGTTAGAAATTACTATGCAAAATTAGGTTACCATTTAGATGGTCCTTTCATGTCAAAAATGCTTTATGATGATGAATAAACTTATTTCACTATGACTCAAATGACTAATTTTTAACTGTTTCACTAATTTTTTTCTTCTAAACTCATTCATACTTTATTTCACTGGGGTGGCCCCATCTGCATATTTTGTCTTTTTGCAAATCTTTTATTTATTACTTTATATTTCTTTATATATTTATATATAAACACATGTACACTATTTTGGAACTGAAAATTAATAAGAAATTTGGTTGAAATTTCGTAGCTGATAAAAATGCAACATTTGATCGGAATGAAACCTCAAAATTATAATTATTTGTATAAAAACACGATTCAGTATTGAAGCTGAATACTTTAAGCAAACTTAAAAAAAGATGAAAAAAAAAACCATTAAATATATTAAAATACAGAATTGAAAGAAAATGAATAACAGAGTAAGTCATTGGTTGTAATTATTAATACATTAAAATACAATTGAGCATAAATCAATTAATTAGAAATGAATGTTTATATTCTATCAGTGAGCGTGGGAGTATTGATTGTAAAATTTACGGGAGGTTTCATGGCTAATTTCTTTAGTCCACCCAGGAATATCTTCACCTGAACCACCAACTGGTCTTTCAAGAACAACATTTTCTAAACCAAGAGCATCATTTAACCAAGGATGGTTCACCATACCACCAGCGTCAGCCCTTGACTCAGGTTGTAATGATAACATTGGTAATAAAAATTCTGAAATTTCAATTCCATCACTGACAGAAAAATTATATTTTTCAATCAAAACATCTTTTAAGCCCCAAGGTTTTAATTTCAGAATTCTTTGCAATTCACCTCTTGAGTTGAAAAAATCTCTCGTATAGTAACCTTCTCTCAACATTGCTCTTGGGAATGGACCAATTAATTCGATAATTTGGGCAATATGGTCATCATCTTTGGTGTATGACTTACCGTTTCTGGGATCAAAAAGGTAATCACCAGTTAATAATTCAAATATTAAACAAGCAAAGGACCATAAATCAGTAGAGGCACCCCAATGATATCCTAGTAAAACTTCAGGTGAACGGTATTGTCTCGTTTGAATTTCGTCAGTGAAATGGTGATGAGTCCAACAAGCGTTACCAAGATCAGCGATTTTAACTGAAATTAATTCATCTTCATTGATTATTAAGCTGTCGTTAGTTTCATTTCCTTGTTGACTATCATCGAAAGTAGATGGAATCTGAACTGGCTCAGTTGTAGTGTTATTAGAAATAGACATCGAAGATAATGAATTATTCAAAGTATCTTGCTTATCGGTACTATGTGAATCAGATTTGGTAACAGGAACACCATTTGTATGGAAACTATTATCATGACTGAAGCTTGATTTGATAGGAGTATTAGCTGTTGAACTGGATAAGCCATATACATTAGTAAAAGACTTACTAAAAGTTCTTAATGGTGATGGTAAAGGTTGAGAACCCGTAATCAAGGTTTGTCTTCTTGAGCGACGGCCATATCTACCTAAAGAAGGAGAATTAGTCAATTGTTTTGAAAGAGAGTTTGGATTATGATCAGTGACTTTATTAGTTTGAGGAGTATTATGAGATGATGAACTTGGTGTGACGGTACTAGACTTTGAATTCTTTGATTTTGATCTTCGTAATTTTTTCTCCAATCTAGATTGATATTCTTCTTGTTCAACCATTCTAACAATTTGCTCTACATCGCCGATTTCTATCAAGACATTTTCTGGTTTTAAATCAGTGTGAATGACACCGCACTTGCGATGTAAGAAATCCAATGAAGATAACAATTGTTTGGCGATTTGTTTAACAAATACGACGGGGATACCACGATGTTTATACTTTCTGATTAAGCCAAGGAGATTTTCGCCCAAAACTTCAAATACCATTACTACGTGGACCCCATTTGGCCCTTCATGAGTGAATGTATCCAATAATTGAATCACATGTTCGTGACCAGGATGATGAATATCAGAGGTGGTGACTCTATCCAATAATTTAATTTCATCAACAGCAGTATCTGTGTAATGTTTAGCACTTCTAACTATCTTCATTGCAACATGGCACTGTTTGTCATTATCACGGGCCAACCATACAGTTGAAAAATGACCCCAGCCTAGTTTTCTCACCAAGGTATATTTATGGTTTTTATAATTTTCACCAATGAAACAAGGATGGTAACCCCCGGGAACGTAATCTTTCAAATCTTCCTCGTTGGCTGGGTTCAAAGGCGCATCTTCATCTTCATCGTCGTCATCATCATCGTCGTCATCCTCCTGGCCGTTGTCATCATCATCATTGACATTGTCATCTACTTCGTAGTCTATTACGGAACTATTCTTATTGTTATCGGAGAGTGACCCGGAAAATGTGGTTTTAATGGGAGACAAATCTGGTTTAAAGGACTTTGCAGAGGAGGATGAAGTTCCAACAGTTGGGATCGACTGTGAAATCAAATTGGGAAGGGGCGATTGGCTCTCATTATATTTGGTATTCTCCTCATTTAGGGGCAAGCCATATTGGGTGTTGATAAATTGCAGGTGAAGATGGGAGTTGAGATTATGGTGGTGTTGTTCCTCTTGATCGTTTTCTGCCTTTTGTATAGCAATAGAAAGGTTGGACTTTTGAGAGTTTGGCATTAAAGTTGTATTTGAAAATTAAAACAATGACAGAATATTAGTAACAGAAAAGGGGATTATTACTTAAAATCAAGGATTATTACTTAAAATCAACCTGATTATAATACAATCTGATGAAATGCAAATATACTGGAATAAAAGATGAATCAAAGGATTAACTGGTACCGAAATGGCGAAGTAAAGTAGGGTGGAAATGGGGAGGAAAGAAAAAGGCACCAGGTAAAAAGAGCTTGTCTACTCAATAAGGACTATGATTGGAACAGTGATTGGATTGCTTTAGGTCAGTAGAGAATATATGAGTAACTTTAATTCTTCATTGATCATCTAAAATTTTTATTTGAAGAGATTTGTTTTAAAAAATATACAGTACTTTGGAAAAACAAAAATCTTTTCCTTTGATCAAATCTCAGTCAAATCCAGCACTTTCTCAAATTTTCACTCAAAAAATCGGACCGGAGTAAAAATGCCTAACAGACAAAAAAAAAAAACCACCAGTAAATTTAAAGAGCTGTGCCTTTTATACTACAAGGGTATCGAGTTTGAACTTATATGATTAGTTTATTAAAGAAAAGGAATAAAAAAAAAAGTGTATATAAATATACCACGAGAAAGAAAAAATACATTAGAATTCAATTCATTACAGTGAGTTAATCGACGATAATTGATTTATATTGTGATTTTGGTGAGTTAGTTGTTTTGACTCTATCATGATAATCTAGGGGGCATTTGCTTATTCTTGCATTTCGATGTCTTCAGCTTTTTCTTCAGCTTTTTCTTCAGTTTTTTCTTCAGGCTTGTCCTTGTTGGCTTGTCTAGCAGCAGCCAATTTTTCAGCCATGGCAGCAGCTTGAGAAGCTTCTTGTTTTTGTCTTAAAGCTTGTTTCTTTTCTTCTTCTTTGGCTAAGTAACGACCTCTAATGATGTTACCAATGGAAGCCAATTCTTCATATTTGGCGATATATTTAGCTTTGGTGGAATCAAAACCATCTTCATATAACCAATCTTCAGTTTTCATTAACATATCAGATAATTTAGATTTTTCTTCATCACTAGCAAAATCTTTATATTGTTCATCTAATTTACCTCTTAATTCATAAATGTATTCTTCTAAAGCATTCTTTCTATCTTCAGTATCAGCAACTAATTTATCTTCCATGACTAAAGAGTTTTCTTTTTCAGTTAATTTTTCTCTAGATTCATCGGTTAAAGCAGAAGTTTGAGCAATGATGGTTAAATCATCCTTTTTAACCAATTTTTTAACTTCACGGTATTCTGGTTCAGCATCTTCATCAACTTCTTCACCTTCTTTTGGTTCAACCAATTCTTTAACCAATTTTTCTTCAACGGTGTGAGCAGATTCAATGGTGTAGAAACCAGATGGGTCATTTCTTAATTTCAATTTAACTGGGATAGATGATTCACCTTCATTTGGAACAACACCTTTAATAACCCATTTAACTAAAGTAGATTCGGTACCTTTTGGTAATTCTTCTCTATTAGTATATTTAGCTTCAACTTCAAAATCACCTTTTCTGTATAAAGTAATGATTTTAGTAGATGGGAAAAGACCACCTCTTGGGAAAACTTCCAAGTGATCTTCATCTTCTTCTTCTTTATCCCAGAAGTAAGAAACTGAGTATGGGTTGAAATCTTCAAATTTAAATGGTCTAACTCTTAAAGTTGGGGAGTGCATAGCACAGATGAAAGCATTACCTCTTGAGATAGCTTCATCTTGATTTAAAGTGAAAGACAATTGTTTACCAAAGATTTCACTTAATTTAGCTTTCAAAGCTGGAACTCTGGTACAACCACCAATAACTTCAATAGAGTCAATGTCAGAATTAGAAAGACCAGCATCTTTTAAAGCAGTTTCTATTGGGATGTGAACTCTTTCTAATAATGGTTGAACAAATTCTTCTAAATCAGCTCTAGTTAAAGAAGAAGAAACATCAATATCGTTCATAATGGATTCGACATTAATTGGAGCTTGAGTGTTAGCAGATAAAACTTTCTTTAATTTTTCAGCAGCGGCTAAAAGTCTATAGAAAGCTTTTGGATTTTCTCTAACATTAATTTTATATTTACCAATAAATTCATCAGCAAAGTGATTAGCAATAGCGTAATCAAAATCTCTACCACCAAAATGTTTATCGTAAGCAGAACCCAAGATTTTCAATTCACCCTTCTTAACAGCAGCGATAGAAACTTGTAAAGAAGAATGACCGATATCAACAAAAGCAACAGTTTTTGGTTTTTCTTCTGGTAAATCACCAGCTTTGAAAACACCATAACCAACAGCAGCAGCGGTAACTTCGTTAACAATTCTGACTGGGTTTAAACCAGCAATTCTACAAGCATCGGCGGCAGCACGACGTTGTTTTTCAGTGTACCAAACTGGAACAGAAAGACAAATATCAGTGATATTACCTTTGGTTTCTTTATAAGTAATATCCTTAATTTTGTTAATGTACATAGCAGCAAGTTGAGTTGAAGTAAATTCTTGTTCTTCACCCAAGAATCTAATTTTAGCAGAAATACCACCATCCTTATTTTCAACTAATGGAGCTGAAAAATATTTTTGTTCAATTTCAAAATCTGGATCTTTAAAATTTAAACCCAAAATTCTTTTCAAGTTATCAACAGTGTTTTTCAAGTTAGAAGTTTGTTGATTTTTACCGGTTTCACCAATAAATCTATTTCTGGATCCAAATCCAATCAATGATGGAGTGGAACGGTTAGAAACTTCATTGACAATAATATCAATACCTCTGTTTCTAGCACAAGCAATAACAGTATTATTGTTACCGAGATCAACACCAAATGGAGTAGACATTTCTTTTATTCTATTATTCTAAATACTATGATAACAATCAAAAATGTATCTTAAAAAGAAAACCAAAAAAGAAAGAGAAAAGACCCTAAAAAATTTTCCTTTGGAACTTTTGATGGTTAAATAAATCTAAAAGACCAGGAGAAAAAGCGTTTATTGTCGATTTGCCATTAAATTTTTCAGGTGTGCCATTAACAAAAACCACCAAAATGTTAGCGCACATCATCACCTGGTACAAACACTACTTACAATCTAGAATATTCTTCTAACTTCTTAGAAGAAGAACCCCAGAGGTACGGGTTGACTAATTGCTCTCAAAGTTGAACATTGACTGCAAAATCTATACAAGGCTCTAATGGCTGTGTTCTAAGATGGTGATCAAGGTCATCCAGCCGGGACTCTCTACTAGCTGGAGATAGTCCTCGTACTGACGGTGCTTCACGAATTTGAGAATTAGGTTGTATTCTGCTTCTCCCAAGATGTTTAATTTGGCCAAACAAACGAGTAAGTGGAAATCACATAACTGGCTTCCATCGCCCTTATCGTTATTCAAGTGTTTGTAGACCGCATTCAAGTCTTGTAATTCACCCAAGAAGTCTCTATTTTCGATTGCAAAACCATTTTGAAAGAACGGGGTTGGAACTAGTGGGAACGAATCCAGTAAGGTAACTAATAAGAAATCCACTGGGAAGCTGGGTTTAGCGTTTGTTTTAACTTCCAAGCCGTACTCGTTGATTTTCAGATAGAACACATCCGGAACGTATCTCTTACCATCGGATTGATTTATTATTAATTGCGAAGGTTGAGTAGAGCCACTAATGATATCAGCTCTCACCAAAGCTTCAGCACTGGTGGATACTTGATATGATCGGGGTTCGATTTCTCCTTGTAAGCCACCAGAAATAACACAGGTGACAAATTTGGATGAATATTGACCGCTATTGCAATGTTTGGAAATGTTAGGATGTTTATTTTGATAACGAGCAGCCATTAAAACTTCCAAACAACTTAAGAAATAACTATTTTTATGTCTTTTGCATAATACGGTCCCATTACCCATACCCGAATCGATTAAATCAGTGAAAGTGATTCCGACTTTGTATAATCCTAAAGAAGCAGCAATTTCATCAACTTGATTTTCATTTTCCCAATCTAATAAAGTAATACCATCCAATTCATTTGCTTGAGGTGGCTCATAAATAGCCTCCACAACCGCTTTTATTCCCAAGGGCACTTTTTCAAAAGCTTCGTATCTTCCGTATAAGATCCCAAATCTTTGTAAACCAGTTTGTCTCCAAGAATCAATAAATTTATTTAAAATTGAATGATCGGCAAATTCAACATGGTCAACCATACGAAACTGTTGTTGCTGTAATGTAATCACTGGTGGTTGACATTTGGAACAAATTCCTTTAGGATATGGTGCATGTCCTGATGGACATTTCAAATTAACATTATAATTGGGTTCTTCTAATGGTGCCATATAAGACGTTGCATTATTTTTATTGTTTTTTTGGTCATTAATTTCATTTAAATGGGCATGATATGATATATGTTTAAATCCTTGTTCTTTTTTATAATTCTTATCCCAAGGTGGTAATGGTGAACAATATTCACACATCCCTTTATCTCCATGACGACACATTGATGACTTATTACGTTTGATATATCCATCCTTTCCATCCAAGTAATCATCAACTGGTAATTGCTTAACTTCAAGTGGTTTTGGAATTGAAATTGGCTCAATAGAAATGCTAGTTGGTTTAGTAACTTGAACCGACGTAGACGATGGGGTATCGGTAAGATCACTAGTATTATATGTTAAAAAAAGCATCGATCCATTCTTTAAGCCTAATGAGTCTATGGTCTTACCAATAAACGAATTGGCCGGTTGTCCCTTATCATTTGGTCGATCACTGATATGAATCGATTGTGGATCTTTAATGTTAATCTTATTAACTAATTCCTCCAATGTGTTCAAAAAATCAGTGTCAGGTTCAGCATTGACCCTGAACATCCCGTCCTTCGACCTGAATCGAAGAATCATTTTCAATATTGACTTAAATATTAATAAGTATATTATAGAGTTATTGATTTTAGCTACTAACTGGTGGCGATTATGCTTTTTTTTTGCTCTTCATTAAGATGTACGGGTGCACCGCTACTTCCACCACCACCGGATTTGAGAGGTTAAAAGTACCGCAAGTCGGGCTGCAGAATCTCCGGTTTCTTTTTTGCAACCAGGTCTTTTCTTTAAACAGTTTATTATAAAACTTGAATTCCCTTGGTGTCTGGTGTATTCAAAGTCATGCATTGTGGCTCTATCTTTTGTGTTGAAATCTGAAGAACTGTACTTGTAGTTTGGTCGGATTTTTGCTTCATCTTACACAAAAGTCGTTGTCGATCTATGAACTACTTGTCTACGTCAAGAACTTACGTAAAAGTGGTAGTGGCGTCTATAAGAACGAGAGAATTAGATAGCTCAATTACATCGGTCATACAAAAAGTTACCTTCTGCTTCTCCCAAAGGCTCTCAGCATAACATATACTATATATAAACTTGTTAATTCTGAAAGAACGACTCCGATAGAACGACTTACAGACCGGTTGCAAAAGAGAGTCTTCCCTTGGTAATTAATCCAAGAACTCAAACAACATTCCACCGTATTATATAAAGTAAAGCTTGGAAGTTTACCTTATCAATCGGTATAGCTTGTATCGATTAGATATCATTCTGTTTCAAGATCGCAATATATTCAGTCTCGGTCTTTTTCAAAAACGAATCTCGACCTCGCTTCTATAAAAACATACAACTTTCCCAATAACAAGAATTTCAAGTGGGGAAACCACCAAGGGATACTTTTAATTGCCCAATCTTTATAATAGACATAGAATTCAAGGATAAAACCAAGAATCCAAGAGTAATGCTTACAAAAATGCCGATGAATTTAGGCACCTCATAGTAAACCACCAAATAAGAAATTTGAAAGGTGTTTCTCCAGATATCAACTGATAAGGCGTCCAAAAGGTCAAAAGCTTTAGGATAGAAAAGAATATAAATATCCATGGAATCCTCCCTATCCTCATTCCCTTTTGATAGTTCGTCAAGCTAGTTTCATAATATTCTCGAATCTCAAATATATTGTTTTATTCTCTCAAGTTTTTGCAACCTTATTTCTTTCGCGCAGAATTCCTTTCATTTTTTTTTTCATTCTTCTCTTCTTTTTTTCTTCTCTTCTTTTCTTCTATATAATACAATATTAGACCCCATGGATTCTAATAATATGTTATTGCTGACTATTATTATAGCTGCCATCAGTTTGATATTGATGCCTTTGGAAACTAAAACACATGCTGCGTTGACCTTATTTTCTGTATTCTCGTACTATGCCCCAATCGCTGCTGAACATGTTTACATCAACTGCCGGGGGAACGGGTTACATCCAGGTCTAAACAGTTTTCAATGTGCCGGGGCTATAGGCACAGCTTTTTCTGGGTTTACAGCTGGTGCTATGGGCGTAGCTGAATGGTTTAAACGTCACGAAGAAAATGGACAGATGTATACGACCGACGTTATAAATGGAGTTGAGTATTATCATACTCCACTATGACTCATTAAGAAATGGCAGGATTAATAAAAGGACTAATGATTACGGTAAGGGCATTGTGGAAATTAACATCGCCAACAATACTTATGTGTTGTTAACAGCAAATGGTACCGACTACCAGCAAGGTAGATTATCATTAACGAGCGGTGGTTATTCAAATGATACGAACGAGGTAGTACCAGCACATGCTATTTGGTATTCGTGGGGGCATGGGGTTAGATTGGACTTGATAGCTCCAGTTAACAAGACTGAATCGGCGAATGTAGTGAGTCGGGATTTAAACCCAAACCTTATTTACACAGCGGTCGGTTCCTTAGTGATGGAATGCCAATATACCCTAGGGGCAAGCTCTAATAGTGGGTTAAATATAGGTACATTATATGATAATGCTTTGAATAAGGCAGGTGAAGGACAAAGCTTACACTGGAAAATGAATGCATTCCATGCTTATATTGGTAAAACTAGCAGACTCAAGTGTGAGACTAAGGTATACGACCATACCGAAACTCATGACAGTTGGCGTAGCTGGGATGATGTATGGGCTAGTTTTTGAAATGCTAGAAGACAGGTTGCACTCCGATCAACAGAATACCCAGTTATCACAAACACGGCTGGCTATGAGATTGGCCGGTATTGAATTAAAATAAACGATAAATATAAATAACAAAAATATATATTTAATAAAGTAAATGAAATAAAAAAAAAAAAAAAGAGAAAGAAGATAGGGAGGATTCATTGGATATTTATATTCTTTTATACCTAGATTGGGAAAGACTATTTTGAGTCAAGATCCATAATGTGAATTGAATTGTGAGATAGAAATGGATGGTGCTGATTGAAGTGAGTTCTGAAGGAACTACTTAGTTTAATTTATAGATTGAGTGCCGAAATATAATAAGATACCAATTTTTTCGCAGCCTTTCGGCGTAACGCAGGAAGTCTTTCTGACTCCTGCTTCTGCGATACTCGAAAGTCCTGAACTTTTAAAAGCATCAGGTGGTATCTATTAATAGTTCGGATTTGTTTGGTGTCCAGAGAAGCGTTGGCTATAAAAAGAGATCAAGTTCTGTAAGGGACATTTTGTGTCGAAGGATACTGGCAGTAAGCCCAAATGAGATAAGTTGCATGGCACTCTAAATAGACATGGGTGAGAAACTCGTCTGGAATAAG